AAATAATAAACTCCGCTAAACGCGCCTTGGAAAGTTTATTTGAAAACAGAGGATCTTTTTTTTTTTTTTTTCCTTCTTTCTTTACTTTAGCAAAAACTATTATTTATAAAGATTTGCTATTGAATAAAATAATGGAGGCACTACGAACTGTTTTTTCTCGTCTATTTTCAGATTTACAAGATATAAATACTACAGTAAGCAGAGAAAGAACAAAGGAGAAAAAGAAGAGAACATGTACTTATTATCACTACAGGACAGACAAGGAATAGATAGAGCATCCTATGGGTATGTGGCATCATTAATAGATGAATCTATACACTAACATCTATATGCAGAAACCCTACGAAAAAGAGACGTCTTAACTTACTTCACCCAGACACAAAAGAAAGCATATATGATCATGATCTTATTCAGCTTCCATTAACCTCAAGTATCATTGATTATGAATCCATAGTAAGCGACTTTATTAAAACATGCCAAGTAGGCACAAACATTGTAAAGTACATATATAAGCATATACTATATATACACACACAGAATTAAAAAAAAATATTTGTGTGCATAGGAAGAGCAACTTAAAGCCATCATCATGAAGCTTAGAGAACCACCATTGACATTAGAAAAGGCATATCGTGTGATTACATTTCTACATCATGTTCTGAAAGAGATACCCATCACAACCTCAAATAGTAGCAATAGTGGTTTTCCATTAGGGCCTGTCATCAAGGACTTATCACTTGCATTATCCTTACGATCCAATACACCGCATGTTTATTCTATATGGATCATCATTATACAGTTTATGCTATCTTGCCTCAAAAGTGTACCTCAACAGACACTTTTCCATGCTGGAGTGACTACGCCCGTCATATTGGGTGTCATCAAACAAGTGCTGTTAGGGATGACAAGCTTACCTGAAAAAAATATGAATCTCATTCAGCAGAAATGCTTTTCAGTTGGGAGAGAGTTGTTGAATTTATTTTTGATCAGAGATCCCAGTGTTGTAAAAGAAAGTGACGATATGGACATAGATGCATCTATTCAAAATTTTACGGCTACTAGTAACAACAACAGCAGCAATAACATGAGCGCGATATCCTTCTATGATGTGATTTATTCAGTAAGCTATTGATAGAACAAAATATATATATACATATATAGCAACTGGGAGTCTAATATAATGTAGTTTCCTGAATTGTATGGTCATTTAAGTACAACACCTGCAACAACCGAAATGTATCCTCCATCACCCCAACCGTCAATTGCGAACAGCAATATATGGTTGATGACATTATCTTTTATGACAGTATCCATATTGCAGGATCACAAATTGCTAGAAAGGATACCTACTTTGATGGCCATTAATATCATCAAGCACATTCTGAAAGAAATCAATACGCTTCCACCCAACTTGACTACAACACAGGTCAATTGTATTAACAAAGGGAAGGAACTGATTAACCTTTTACTGTTGGGTGCATCAGGCGATGGTGCCGGTGTTGTGTCTCACTATGATATTATTGTAGCAGTAAGTAATATCATTTAAGGGAACTTGATCGCTTCTTTATTAACGCTAATGTGTAGTTACCAGACGTCTATGGACACTTTTTGGGTGGTACGTTTCCTCAGAGCATACATTGGACTCTAGAAAAGTTTATCAACGAATTGGGTAAAAGGCGTCGTCATCTAGCCTTCTTAATGATGCCTCCTGATGCCTCTTGGCCCCTTATTTCACAAATGAGTAGGCGTCATGAATATAACGATCTGACAACAAGAACAAGCTATCACATGTTTGAAGGTGATTTGGTAAGAAGATTGTCGACTGTTTCGAACAAAAAGAGAAAAAAAAAGAACTGATTCGCTTAATAGATTGAGTTTGTAAAAGAAGGCAACTCAACAAACACTGAAACACACTTTCGGGATATGTTACATCAACGAGCATCTATGGACGAGTTTCGACAATTGGCCATGTCACTAACACAGACAGGCTTGGATACGACTCAGATTAGAAAAGCTATGGTAGCAAAAGTAAGAGACGTGATACGATGTATTCAGCAACATAGTCGAAAGGGTAGAGCAGAGGATAAGGATGAAAAAGGTATTTTTTAAAAAAAAAAAAAAAAAAGATTAAGAAAAAGAGTAGTATTAAATCATTATATAAGCGTTTGAACCCTTCAACCCTTCCTTGACAAATATCAAAGGAGAGGATATCAAGATGGCGATACCTGAAAACATTCATCTTTGGGAATTAATGACGGAAACAGCTGATCAACTATATAGTTTTGTTTCAGGAGAGTAAAGTAACTAAAAGAGTTGCCAAGCTACGAATGCTTAATATTTTTTTGTATTGATAGGTTCTTTTCTTACGAGGATATCCTACAAGACTTTTATGACCTGGTTTATAAGCCGGATGGGACACCTTATACGTCAAGCACAAAGAACCACATTGCTAAAGATAATGGTCTTGTCTGGTTGCTACTGCAGCTCTTTTGTAAGTCTTTACATTTACACTTTCTTTTGAATGCTTATAAGAAAAACAAAAAGATATAGAGAAGGTGTCAACGAATGTGATTCAAAAGGATTTTGAAAATGATGAAAGACTCTTTGATAAACTTGTTAAGCTATACAACGAAGAACAGACTGAATCAAAGGATGCGTTCACCTTACGTGACTTATCCCTTCAGTGCGCGATCAATCACCAAAAGGCACATATCAAAGATGTGACAAACATTAAACAAAGACATCCCTTGATCACTGCTTCTCTACAGTATGCTAGTCTTTGCTATCACATTCAAGCGTACTTTAATAATCATTATCACAGTAAATCAGTTCGTGTATATATTACAGTGTGATACTTATCATACAAATAGGCAATGTACCAACCAACTCTACACTATTTCGCAACTTGGATTTGCAAGAGATGACCAAAATTGCTATGGAAAGTCAACTAAGACAGGATGTGGTGCCATATACACTCTATGTTTACCTTGTGCCCACCAAAGCCGATGTTGATACACTCGGGCACTCATCTACGACCTATATCAAAGGCGGTACACTCAATTACAAATTATTGGACTTACTGTGTATCAATGCAAAACATAGGTAGGATTAACGACATCAATCATGCTCGAATCACTCTTCTCTTTTTGTCTTGACACTTTTTATTAGGCTACTACAAGTTATATACAAGATGATGTTGGATAGCGAACTAGGTCCACGATACCAATCCACTGCTTCACCTGTCGCCTGCGTTCCACCTAATGTGCTTGACGTCGTGTACAAGCTATTGTATAGCGCACCGTGTTCGTAAGTGAAGTCATTATTATCGCCTCCCCCAAGAGATACTTATCTTACATAGAGCTGAATTGATGGTAAAAGAGATCTTTGACAAACTGAGACGTTGTGACAAGATGATAAAAATGAAACGTACTGGTGAAAGTGAATCTTTGCCAACACAATTACCTGACCAGACAATGCGCTGGCTACAGACCATACTTCAGCTTATGAATTACAGGTTCATACGGTTTTTAAAATACTCTCCACTTTCTTCTGGATTACTTCACTATATTCGATACTCTATATCGTTTCTTGAAAGCAGGCAGTGTTATCAGTCACTCGAATCGTTTACTGTGAATATTATAGTAAGTAGATGTTTAATCTGTGACATGTACACTAAAAGCAATGACAGAATATGCAAATGGATGTAAAGCTCCTCCGTTCATTAGACGATCCACATAGAGAAAAAACGATCTGGTTTGGAGAATCCGAGATGCTGGCTCGATTGACTGTGTGTACCATCAGTCGTCTGATCAAGACAAGAGGACAGGCGGATATCAAGACAGAGCAGATTCATCGTGTGCTATCTAATCTATACGAGCATTCGCTTGACTGGTCTTCAGCAGCTCTAGAACATTTCCCTCCTGTTGTTCGAGCCTTTTATGAGTCGCCTAGCAACCAAATACCAAGACCGAGCGTAACAGCAGCCAAAGTGCAACAAATCGTGTCTAATAACAAGGCACTGACGACCTACCTGCTTCAAGGGTCTCCAGAGGCAGAAAGAATGGCCATTCAGTATTTCTCAAGTGCAGAAAATCAATCTAGTTTACTGTGCATCATGTGGGTCATAGCCATTACTCGCTCTACGGCAGAATGCTTCCATATGCAATCTGTACGTAAATTACTGCTGCTGATACCTCCTTCTAAAATGGCAACAAACACAATTGATCTGATGGACTTTATACTAAGTGTAGAATATCCATCCAATGCTCAATCATCCGTAAGTTCGTTTTAAGCACCCTTTCTGATTTTTGTGTTTCTTATATGCTTTCCTTTAGATATCTGTTCTTTTGGATGCATTCATCTGGAAATATCAGTGGGTCAATTTCAATCACGTCCTTTTTGCACTGGCCAAGGGCAGCGGTACGCCCGAAAGGACGACTAAGGCCATGACCGTTCTTCGTTACTTACTCCTTGAATCTTCAGAACTCGTTAAACGCGTACACAAATGGGATTCTCTCGGCTTCAGCTGTCGTCCATGGACAGAGGAAGACTTTCAAGAAAAACTCATGGCTTACTTACGAGAGTTTCCCGAGTACAGTGAGTTTGAGGCGTTTGCTATGCAACAGTTTGAGCCTAGAGTCGACCTTTCACCACCATTGCAGGTCAAGCTACCTATCTATTTTGGCAATGTCATCAGTGACTTTGTTGTTTCCCTAGAAAACATTCTGATGCGATTGGTGGAGTATGGCCAGACAGAGCTATTGATCGACATATTAGATAAACATGGTCATTTGTTCAAATATCATCAGTGTCCATTATCATTTGTGGCCAACTTTTTCCTGTACTATCATGCATCACCCACATTGATGAATCTCTCTGTTCGTAAACGAATTTTGAGGCTGATAGGTATGTATTTATATGATGAATAGACTTTTTTTATCTCTTGGCACATTGATTCATATTCTGTTCTAGATTTTGATCAGTACAATATTGCGCCTGAAGCGGTAGCCTATGCTCAAAATGAAGATGATGATGGTAGCTTGTTTGATGCTGGATACTTTGAAAGGGTTATTTATAAGCTTGCTAAAAGTACAAGACAAGAAGAAAAAAAAGACAGAAATGATAGATCCTAATCATATATACTTAGGCATAAACCCTCAAACATGTGCTCCTAGAGCCAACCCAGACTTACCCGAACGTCATTTTCGAGAAATTGGCAGTCCAGCCATAGAAGGTATTGTCATTGCCACCTTGGAGACCATGCTGACCACGACAGCTCCGTCAACGATTATAAAGTACTTCTTGGACTTGGCACTGCTAAGAGAATCACATCATGTGGGTGTATCTGCATTGACGATCCATGCTATTGGTCTACTCATACCGTTACTACCTCCACAAGACTTTATCCATCCCATGTTTAAAGAACTGAATGACTTGATATTGACTGATCCTTATTTGCTGGCAGTATCTGAGCCATGTCGATTGGTAGTGTATAAGAAACAGAAATAGAGTGACGTTATCTCTAATGAATAATAGATTCGATGCGGAATACCTAAAAGTGTGAACGGAAAATATACCATGACTCAGAGTCTTCCTGATCTGACGACGACACCTGTCTTGAAAGATTCGATGAGTGCTCGAGTGGGAAAAGCGATGATATTTCCTTATATATTTAACGACTACACGTTTAATTTACATAACTACAGCACAAATGCGCCGAATAGCTTTCTAACATTATTTCACAGTATGGTGCATTATTCAAGTCTGGATATCTTTGGTATCTTTTTGGAGTACTTCCAAACCCTACGTAATTCAGAAAAGCTATTAACCGATGTACAGCTACTCTATGTCTGCTTCTTGATTGGACCCGCGTTACATCGTATTGAAAAACTAGACATCAGTGAGGCTGGGGTAAGTTTATTCAAAGCAATTTTCAATACATGTGTGTGCTAATCCCTTTTTTAGTTCTTGGTTGAATTGATGCATATGGTCAAACAGGTCACTACGCTCATGGACATGAAAGATGGCTGGACGACACAGGCACTTGAACAATCCTACGACTTTTTGTATCATATTCGAACAAGGTTTGTAAAAACTAATGAGTTAGCTGCTCAAATAAGGGAAATTATTCGTTCCATGAATCCACCAATATCTCAAAGGCTACTGAGACTGGTAATGGTTTAAATAAACCTATAAATGTATTTTTCTCTTGTAAAAGGGTAGTTCTTTAAGAAACGTTGGCTTAATTTATTGTGATATGTTGTCTATGATATCTGACAGAGAGAGAGAGAGAGAGAGTTGACTATGACTACATATTAGAAACTTATGGACGCTAATGTGAATACTGTGTGTAGTTTCGTCAAACGGTGAAGTAGATAACGAAACAATTAACAAAAGACTGTAGGAAACTGTTAATGTATCAACAATATTTAATGAAATAAGCGTGTAGACTAGTCCTTTATATCAATTGCTTGATCGTGTGGTTTACATGTCAACAAAATTAACATCAAAATAAGTTTAGCAATGTAGTTTGTTCTTTACACTGCGAGGCAATTTATATTTTCAAAGCATTTACAACAAAAGAGATACAAAAATAAACAAATACAAAAAATAATAATGAAACTACTTTAAGCTCAAATGGGCTTACACTGACTTATTTAGAATGAGAAGGTTGACTGTTGAAAGTTGGAGTTAGCAACATGATTGAGATTGCATTTCGAAATGGGAGAGTTCTGGACAGTGTAGATAGACAGTATATTTTGAGCGTAGTTTGAAGTAAATCCGCTTTCGAACTACAAATTTGTAAGGAGAACACAGAAAAAGAGGGTGAATGAATAAAACAAAGAGCCAATAATCCTTCCAACGATGGTTTTTACCTCCAACAACAATTTTAGGTGATCATATTTTGCTTTTGCTGCCGCTGCTTTTCTTCCAACCTCAATGTTTCCAATGTTAACAAATTTCTGGTTGACAACTATGCCTAAACGGTAATCTATCTTATGGTTTCCTCTAGTACTTGCTAACACCGTGTCTCCACTAAAACAGGTAATATTATTATTCTGCTGATGCCTCCGTTTTTAAAATACAAGTTTGGTCTTTACCTTTTGATTTTAATAGAAGAATTCGAGAAAAGAGCTTCAATAACAGGCCCCCATATATTTAGAGAAACACATGCACCAGAAAACACATCAGAAGTTAGATTAATATCACGGGCTCTACTTCTACCCATTACCTATAATGCCACCCAGCAAGGCTTTTCACCAGCTTGATTTGTGTTTCTTTTCAAGAAGAAGAGAAAAAAGAAATGCTAATTTCATGTTATCAGTTGATCAATTGCATGTAATTATGATACATTCGTATTTACATTATTTGGTCTATTTTCTGGTGCATGTAGTGTTGGACTATACTCATATTTAGATCTTGCTCGGAAGGATCAGAAACTACAGTAAGATCAAAGAGTTCGGCTTTTGTATAAAAAGCATTCACACTACACACGTAAGACAATTGCATTATGTTTTTAGTAAAGCGTCATCAGGCGTTCAACGCCACTGCTCCTAAGAAAACCGCTTCCACTTTGGTCTCCTCTCTGCTGGCATCTCCCTCACTAGCATCCGAATCCCCGTTTCAACCCAAACCTCCTCCGTCTTCCGATTTTGATTCCTCTCCTTTTCAGAAACTTATCAAGCTTAAAGCTTCCATACCCTTTTCTAATCAAATGGCTACTGCTCGCACCTTCAGTGCCTGTTCTGCCAATCATGGGTACATGTTCCTATACCTGCCTCTACGCTTCCGCCTTCCTATAGATCAACTATGCTCTCGCCTGCGTCAACTGAATATCAACACCCGCCGTATCCTCAACATCCATTTTTCCGATCATCACCCTGTTGCCCTCTTAATTCATAATGATTATAAAAATGAACTCCGCTCACAATTAAAGAAATTTAAGATTCCCACAGGATGATTACGATCCTTTAAATCCCTCGAACCTTCGTGATCCCGATTACGACGTCTGGGACGAAGCGAGCAGGACGACCGTCGCGAGTGTTTTATTTAGCTGTGTATCCTTCATGCTCTCGATTACCTTAAAGGTCCTGTCAAGCAGGCTGTAGCTAATTTCTTCGCTAACAAAGGATATATTGATCATAACGAGTTCCCTGGGCTCTTTCCCGTCAAAAAGGCATGGACTTCACTTACTGTTCTCTCAATAGCTTACCTTACTGAGATCCACTTCTCTGTTCCTTTCTTCAAGCACAACATTTTTATCATCAAGCCCAGAAATGTTTTTAGATACTTCTTTCATTCAGTCTTTGAACTTGCCCAACTGGGTTTAATAAATAAAAGATTGTTTAAGCATACTATTCCCAAAAATTGTAGAATTTCCTATTTAGCTATGATGTTTCAAGAATTTTGTTGATCAGGACAAATAAATAAATACAGCTGTTTCAGCCTCAACCTGCCTGAAAGCACGGCGTCTTCAGCTAAAATGGTACACAGCAACAAAATCCCATCTATATTGCGCCATAGCATGCTTACGATGATGGTCCCTTCATATTCCCGAATAAATAGATGCTATCAAACAGTTGTGCTTCATGCAAAAAAAAGGGGGAAAGGGGGCTATAATCAACGTGTACGGCGGGTAACCTTAAATAAACAATGTATTGCTCATACTTCTTTGTTTTATGAATTCAAGAATCAGAATGTTTAGGTATATGCAAGAGATGCATGAAGAAAGAAAAAAAGACTCATACGTTTTGATGATCGTTCACCAGCCATTATTAATTCATTATGCTTAGCAGCTTTGTTTACTCAGTTAAACATTGAAGGCATAGCTTAGCACCTTAATTCTATAAATATCGTGACAGCCATTATACCAGTTTTTTATAATAATACCCTTGAAAGAGCGAAACAAAGAGAGAGAGAATGATATTAAACTTGTGCTTAATACCCAATTATGTTTCGTGAATAAATTAGATTTGCAGATCGTTTATTGACCATTTTAAGACTGTGATACCTTGTTTATTGCATCAACATCTGTATTCACCAATGGCGGATTTTAATGTAGATACATCTTCTTTTCGGTCTATTATTTAAGCCTGATTATTAATTCAAAGATTAGTAAGAGCAAAGCGTTTACATTGTAAAGAAGTGTAACTTGATAAGTGCATATACGCGCGCGCGCTTTCTACTGCTTCTTTATAGAAGGGTGACACTTGATCCCCACATGTACATATGTGCATGTTTATCAAATGTACAACAATGGTAAACAAGGGCCCTCTCTTTTTCTTTCTTGTTTTAAAGCAACAAAAATTCATTATTCTGATGCTAGTTAGATTCTAATGTCAATCGTCTTTTTATACCTAATTGAATCCACATGAATCAACCCTCTTTTTGATCACTCGTCAGCCTTGATTCTCCGAGACGTCATTTTTTTTTACTTCATAGTCGTGTAATTAATAATCATTATAGGCTATTTCATGCTTTGTAATTTTTTTAGATTCAGATTGTCATTTCGATTGCTTTCTATAAACTATAAAAGCTCACTTTCTTTTATCTTCTTTTTATCTCTTCATCGAATTCTTCTTCATGGTCTCTAATAAGCAAGTCATCTTCACAAAGATCCCTACAGGTTACCCTCAACCAGGCGAACACATGCAAGTCAAGGAATCAACCATTGACCTCGATCAAGAACTTCCCAAGGGTACATTTATAATCAAGAACCTCGTCTTTTCCGTTGATCCGTACATGCGTGGCCGTATGAGAGATCCTTCTATCCAATCTTACGCGCCTGCCTTTGACTTGAACAAGCCGATGACAGGTGACACGATGGGTGTTGTCATTCGATCTAACCATCCTGATTACAAAGTGGATGACCTTGTATACGGTCGTACAGCTCGTGGCCTTTTTGAAGAGTATTCGCTTGTCAATGCAGAATATGCCAAGAATTCATATGTCGTTCGTAATGATCCCAAGGAAAATGGTCTCCCTATTAGACATTATGTTGGTGTCTTAGGTATGCCTGGTATGACAGCTTATTATGGGTAACGTTTAAAGTAATATAAAAAATAGACAGAATATTAACATTAATTGATCTGTAGATTGCATGAAATTGGTAAACCCAAGAAAGGCGAAACACTCTACGTCTCGGCTGCTGCAGGTGCTGTTGGTCAATTGGTAGGCCAATTCGGCAAGGCTTTGGGCCTCTACGTGGTTGGTTCAGCAGGTAGTGATGAAAAGGTCGAATACTTGAAATCCTTGGGCTTTGATTGTGCCTTTAACTATAAGAATGGCTCCATTTACGATAATTTGGCCAAGTATTGCCCAAATGGTATTGACATCTACTATGAAAACGTGGGTGGTGAAATGCTCGACGCTGTCTTGAAACATGCCAATAACTATGCTCGAATTATTGCCTGTGGTATGATTTCTCAATATAACCGTGAAAAGCCTGATCCGATCTATAATCTCATGAATATCGTGGCTAAGCGAATCACGGTGCAAGGCTTTATCATCATGGACCATATGGACTTTGAAGAACAGTTTCTCAAGGATGTTACCTCTTTACTGTTGAGCGGTAAAGTCAAGTACCGAGAAGATATCGCAGAAGGTATTGACAAGACTCCAGAGGCTCTTTGTGATGTCTTGTATGGTAGAAACTTTGGTAAGCAAGTGGTTCATATCGCTGATTTGTAAATAAAAAAGTAAATTTGTCACACTTGCCTTTTTTAAATAATGACGCAACACATAAGGCGTCGGTTTCTTGGCTTTATTTTATATATTTTTCTCTTTTATATTTAATTAATAAACAATGGCATTTCTGTAATTATTTGTTCAATCTACAAGCTATAGCTTCTTACTTATTCTTTTTAGTTCTGGAATCAAAAAGAACTTGAACAGAGCAGGCACAACAGTAAGAAAATAATTATAACAAAAGAAACTTGTCCTAAATAAGGGAGACTATAGATAAAGCAACGTACTGGAGGAACAGACAAGACGTTTGACAATGAATATGAAGAAGAACTTGAAAGATTTAAAGCGTAAGAAATAAAACAATAATAAAATACAATGTATTCATAATAAATAGACTAGAAAAGAAATCTGATAAATTATCAAAGCATGCAAAACAATACATTGACTCAACAAGAGGTAGGAGAAGGAAATATATAAAAGAGGGAATGCCCCTAACATGAAGTTTAGCCATTATTGCCTCACAAACACGTTTACTTCAAATCATCGAAAAGATTTACGGAGACAGTGCATTTTCTAATCCAGTCTTTGCTGAGTATAAGAGAGCATTGGAGACTATTGAAAAGGAAGCCAAGGATAACTTGGTAATATATAGAATATCACACAATGATGATATACTTATATATTTCATTAGGACCCTGCTTATCAAAAGACAGTGATTGAACCATTAGCAAGATACGTTTCTTATTTCCCAGAAGTGAACGAAGCTATCAAACGCCGTAATAAGAAATTATTGGATTATGATGCTCAACGTTCAAAGGTCAGAAAGCTTATTGATAAACCTAGTGAGGACCCTTCTCGCTTGCCAAGAGCTGAACAGGAGGCTAATATGGCAAGAGAACTTTATGAAAATTTAAATACTATTCTTATCAATGACTTGCCCAAACTTGTCGACCTTCGTGTACCCTACTTGGACCCTGTTTTTGAAGCCCTCGTCAAGACTGAGCTTCGATTTGCTCAGACTGGATATGAGCAATTGGAAGGCATGAGAGGTTCGATACCTGCTGAAGTCGAGGGTGGCGATAGACGCATTGATGAAGTCCTGCAACAAATGCGTGAACTGACCATTTGCGGTAACTTTTAAAAGTGGCTTAAGAGCAGTCACATATACCTCTATTTTTTTCCTCCTATTCTTTTATAGTCAATAAAACTATTTCGTTGTTTTTTATTAAAACACTACAGATAATATGCCTAAGGAATCTAAGAAAGAAAAGAAGTCCAAGAAGTCTGAAAGCTCTGAAGTTCTTCGCTTCCAATCACCCATCGCTCACCCTTTAGCCGATGATAAATTAGCCAAGAAAGTTTTCAAGACTGTCAAGAAGGGTAAGATTTTACTCATAAAATCTAATGATTATACAACTCAAATTATATATATATAGCTAGCAAAGTAAAGCATGTTCGTCGTGGTGTTAAAGAAGTTGCAAAAGCTCTTCGTAAAGGAGAAAAGGGTCTTGTTGTCATTGCTGGTGATATTTCTCCTTTGGACGTTATCTCACATATGCCTGTTCTCTGTGAAGATAACAATGTACCTTACATCTTTGTGCCCTCCAAGGAGCAATTAGGTGAAGCTAGTTCAACAAAGCGTCCTACTTCTGTCACTATGATCGTTTTGGGTGGTAAAAATAAAGATACAAAGGCAGCAGAAGATTACAAGGAATTATATGATGAATGCTATGCTCAAGCAAAGGACTTGGTAAGTCATTTCTTAGTTTTTTTTTGGTGTTATAGAAAGAGACTATATTAACCATTATATAATCTTTAGGATGAAAAGCTTGTTTATTAATACTGTTTTGCATTGTAAATAAAAAAAAGAAAGTACTGACAATAGATACTTTTCACAGTTATACAAGGAAATATGATTTATGCTTAATGTATAAGTTTATAAATATGTGTGTGTGAATATTGTAAGTTGCAAGGTTTGAACCTTTAGTCAACATGTTCTTTTTTTTTATTTGTCAAGTTCAGCAATTTGATTGGTTAATTCATGTTCTAAGCACTGTCCTTTTTTTTCTTCTGGTTCTCTTTCGAAATTGTTAAAAGGAAGAGTAAGATTTTATAGACATAAACATGGATATTATTAAGAAACAAAAGAACTATAGAAAGAAGAAGATTGATGAAGACAGTCAAATCGAGGTAAAAGCAGTAGAAACTAACACTGATGACGTGAGGTAGATTGTATAGTAAAAAAATACATTAAACAAAAAGCTCATCATTTCCCCTAGTGCTACTATTGAAGAGTTCCATGAAATACGCAAGCTACGTCGTAAACAAGCTGGGATTGATGCAGAAAAATTATCAAAAGGACTTGAGAAAAAGATTAGAAAGAAAAAGCAGCAAGAAGGATGGAATGTTACAGCTGAACCCAAATCAAAACTAGAAGATGATGAGTTTAGCACAAGTAAAAAACTAAAACTTGACTCATTTACAACACAAACAAATACACTTGATGTTGATAAACACATGTAAGTACAATCAAGTATTATAAGTTCATTAGAGTAACCAAACATTAGGATGGAGTATATAGAGACTGAAATGAAAAAAAGAAGAGGATATACACCAGAAGACGATGAAGAAGATGATGATGAAAAGAAAAAGGGATTTCATGATATTTATGAGGAATTATATCGTATTCCAGATCGACTAAAAGGTGAACAAAAGGTGACAGAAAGTGAGGGCAATGTACAACTGTCTTCTCAAATGCTAACTGCTATCCCTGAAGTGGACCTCGGCATTGAGTAAGTGCTGATATATATATATGCATATAAAGAGAATACATTAATAACTCCTTCTATAGTACCCGCTTACAGAATATTGAAGAGACTGAAAAGGCAAAACGTAGGCTAATTGATGAAACTCAAAAATTAGAACAAGAAAAGAAGGACGAAGAACGTAAGTGAGAGATCCTTTTTTATTGATTATATTTACTCAACCCCTTTTTTATAGCTTTTGTTCCTGCTAACTTTGAAAAGCAGATACATCATGAGTTTAGACCTAGACTAAATCAAAGATTAATGGCAACAGACGAGCAAGCAGTTGCCAGATTCAAGAAGAGAATGAGAAAATAGTCTTTTAATAATAAACTACTGTTTTTTATTCTTTTTGTGATAATCTACACTCAATGTGTCGTGACTTGCAGCCTATTGAACTTGACATGCCTATACTTTTTTTTTTCTTCTTTTTTTTTTCTTCTGTTTTTTATACACGACACTATGGCAGCTAATAGTAAGAGGGAACTTCCTCCTAAAGAAGCAGCCTCATTTAGAAATCTTTTGGTAAATATAAACTACACACGTGTTTATATGTTTATTCATATATTTCAATATAGAAAAATTATGAGCTTCGTCAATATAAGAAAGGTTTAAAGTTGGCTGAATCTATTCTCAAGAAATATCCTGACCACGGTGGTAAGGACATTTTAACAAAAATATACAAATCTCTTGACACACGCATGTAGAAACCCTGGCCATGAAAGGCTTATTTTTGAATAACCTTGAAAAGAAAGAAGAAGGCTATGAATATGTCAAAAAGGGCCTTCTTAAAGATTTGACGTCTCATATCTGTAACTTTCTAAAACATGCACTCACACTCACACCACTCATTCCTGTTTATTAGGCTGGCACGTATATGGTTTATTATATCGAGCTGACAAAAATTATGAAGAAGCAGCCAAATGTTATGCGAATGCTTTAAAGTACAACAAGAATGATCCCAACATTCTTCGCGATTTTGCTATTCTTCAAACACAGATGCGTCACTATGATGCACTTGTTGTAAGTAATATTCTGATTAAATCAGCAGTAGATACTCATTTGACATAGGAAACTCGTACAAAACTTTTAGAATCCAAACCCCAAAACCCTCCATACTGGCTTGGTTTAGCTATTGCTTACCAGCTTGTCAACAAACCAGAAAAGGCTGTCAAGGTCTTAGAAACATTTGAAGAAACAAAGATTCCCGTAAGTGTCCACTTTTTTTGTTTTGTAAAAAGGAACTCACCAAGTTTCATATGTTAGGGTATTACGACCGATTTTGAAAAATCTGAGTTGGCAATGTACCAAAACACCTTGTTGGAAGAAACAGGAAATTATCAGGCTGCTCTTGATCACCTCTTACAGATAGAACCCAAGGTGACTGACAAGAGATCGTGGAAGGAAAAGCACGCCTTGTACTTGCTCAAGTTGGATAAAAAGGAAGAAGCCGAAATGGCCTATCGATTGTTGTTGGACGAGAACCCTCACAACATCAGTTACGTGACCAGTATTTTATCACTAAAGGCTGCAGACAAAGGTAAAAGGAGGCAAATGGGTTCATATGATTTCTCTAAACAAAAACTATAGCTAGTAAAAATGACATTCTCGCCGAGCTTTTCACTCAATATCCTCGCTCGAAGGCAATCGAACAGTTAATCCTGGAATACGCTGAAGGAGAGTCTTTTAATGTCAAAGCTGAAGCTACACTTCAAAATGGATTGAGAAAAGGCATCCCTTCTTTATTTGCATCCATGAGAAGATATTATGCTAATGCTGAAAAGCAACGCGTCATTGAGGATCTTGTTGTTGGATACAGTGTTTCATTGGAAAAGAACGGAACATTTGGCACAAGCACAGGTATTGAAAGCAAAGAAAAGTGTGGGTTCTCTTCTTCTAAAAAGCTGTTGTATAGATAAAGAACCACCAACCGCCTTGTTATGGTGTTGGTATTATCTTGCCAAGCACTATGATTACCACCGTCAGTATGAAAAGGCTCTCGAGACAATCAACAAGGCTATTGCACATACACCCACCGTAGTCGAACTTTACATGACCAAGGGCAGAATCTTGAAACATTCTGGAAAGGTCGAGGAAGCTGCTGAAGTGATGAACGAAGCTCGTGAATTAGATCTTCAGGATCGCTTTATCAACTCCAAGTGCGCTAAATACATGATGCGAGCTGGTAGAATCGAAGAAGCCGAAAAGATCTTGAAGCTGTTCACACGTAAGGACGTTGAGCCTGTACAAGACTTGACCGATATGCAATGTCAATGGTTCATGGTTGAGGAAGGTCATGCCTATCTCCGTAAAAAGGAATACGGCAAAGCTTTAAAGCGATTCCACTCTATTGAAAAAATCTACACAGACTATTATGACGATCAATTTGATTTTCACAGCTACTGTCTTCGTAAACTGACACTTCGCGCTTATGTTAATGCTTTGAAATGGGAGGATAAAAACAAGTTGAATCCTTTCTATCTCAAGGCTGCCAAGGGTGCAGTTGATGCTTATTTGGCTCTGGCTGACAAGCCAAAGACTGCGGAACAAGAAATTGACGAGTCCAACATGACAGAGGCTGAAAAGAAAAAGGCTAGAAATAAAGCACGCAGGGCTGCCTTGAAGGCACAACAAGACGCTGAAGCTAAAAAAGGCAAGTAGAAAATATACAAAATATGAATACGTGTTATAACATGTATGTATAGAAAAATTAAAGGAAGAGGCTGCCAAGGCAAAGACAGATAAAAAAGTGACTGATTCTGATCCTGATGGCGAAAAGTATGTCAATACAGAGAAGCCCTTGGAGGAAGCTCTCAGATTTATCAAACCATTGGAACTTTTGGCTCCTGAGTCAGCAGAGGTCAACGCTTTAGGATTCGAAGTGTACATTCGTCAAAACAAGCTACTGTTAGCGGTTAAAGCTTTATCTAAAATAGCAAAGGTTGACAAGAAAACTTCATGCTTTGAAAGTAGAATGGAACGGTTCGAGAAAGCTTACAAGGCACAACAAAAAGATTTAGATTCTAAAATTACTCAAGTTATCGATTCCCAACTTGCTGAAATTCGTAAACTTTAAAAGAAAGAAAAAAAATAGAAAGCGTGCAATAAAAGTAGCTTTTTAAAAACCTACGAGGATATATTCCTTCTTTAAGGTTTTTGTTTATTCAAACTATGTGTACAGTCTATATTAATTAAGCCCACTATGAAAAGAAGTTAATATAAGATTCAGATGTATAGTGTCAAATAACTTACCAAGTCACGAAGATACTTCTTGCTTGCTATCCAACTTATCAAAATCTTGTTGGCTTCGACGACATCTATCTTTTGATGCTCTACAAGCATATCGGCTAAAGCATCCTGAACACCCTTTGCCATGCCCTTTGCATCACCGCAGATGTATATAGCGGCATCTTTGTTGATAATGAGATCATAAAGCTGGGCCGAGTCTCTTCTGATAAGATCCTGAACGTAGACTCTGGGAGAGCCATCAGATGCTCTACTCTCAGCCAATGCTAGATGAGTGATCGTACCATCTGCTTCGAACTCGCAAAGTTCCTTTTCGAACAAAAAGTCCTTTGATCTGTTTCTAAAACCATAGTAAACGTAAATTGGACCAAAGGCTTCTTTGATCTGACGGCTCGGTTGGTGACCGGTACCGCCCATAGACAATCGGATGTTTCGCTGTGTCTGACGATGTTCCAAGAAGCCAATGAACGGAGCAATACCTGTGCCAGGGCCAATCAAGATCAAAGGACGCTCTGTTTCAGTAGGCAAGACAAATGCGTTTGCATTTTGACGTACAAACATGGGAATCTTGATGTCCTTCTTTACAGGTATTTCAACCTTTGTGGGTGTCGATCGGCTTGGAACCATTTCTGTTATTCTGTCCATCCAGGGAGTAGCCACGCCCTTACGCTCAGCTTTACCTGGAGTGATATATTCGACGACATTGAAAGCAAATCGGATCTTTCCTTGTCTCTTGAGAGGAGAGCTAGAAATGGAATAATAACGAGGCATGTGTGCTGGTAGCAAGTCCAATAGACGTTCAATCGGTGGTTGACAAGATGGGAATGTTTCAAGAATGTCGAGAAGTGTAGGACACTCATCGCGGATAGCATTGAACGCAGCCGCACCCTGTTTACTGCAGATGTACATCAACGACAGCTTTTCCTTGGGGTCGGTAGCGTAGTCTGCAAGCATTCTGAATAATGCCTTTCTAGGCTGGCTTGTAAGGTCAACACCATAGCGGAATAGTTCGAGTAGAGTTGTGTATGAGGCACCCTGTAAGTGAGATGGGAGGTTGTCGCCTTCTACCTTGTATGCATCATTGTAGGATTCCTCCGGTACAGATAGACGATCAAGAACGGCATAGACCAAATGTTCATCATTAGGTGCTACAACACCAAAGGCATCTCCAGGTTCATAATGAACCCCTTCACCAACATCCAGTTCAAGTTCCAACGTACGTTTAAGGGCGTCCTCGGTTGACAAGCAGGATACCATGGTGATAGGAGCATATGTGATGGGAACTGGTGTAACAACAAATTCTGGCACTTGCATACTGTTGGTTGGTTTCTGTCCCTCAAGCTTAGTAAGCTTTGCAACAGGAACCGACACCCGCGGCAAGCCGGTTAACTTGGCGCCTGGTTCGAGACCTGCCAGACTGATCTGAAGAGGGAAGCTCTTTTTGAATGCTTTGATCTTTTCGACTGCTTCCACTGCACTTTCAATCAATGAATTTTCAAGTTGAGTGTATTTTTCGACAAGGTCAGGGACCGTCTTTTGGCGATTTTTCATAGAGTACGGTACAGAGGCAGGGTCGATCTTCAATTCGGTCATCTCTTTCTCCAGTTGCTTTTCGGCCGCAATACTCTCTTCAATGGTCCAGCCTGACTTTTGAGCCAAGACAGTTGGTAAAACCTCCCACAACTTTTCGATCCAGGGATCAACTACATTTTCCAATCTAGGGTGGATTAGTTATTTTCGGTATTCTTTCCTTTCTTTCTATTTTACCCTTCAGCATCGTCAGCTAAGCCCTTTTCGTAGAAAATAGTGGCACCTAAATCCTTAAATTTCTTCTCTAAACGTTTTCCTGTGTTATTAAAGTTGGAATAATTGCTGTCTCCAAGACCCAACACAGTGAATTTAGTGCCTTTGAGGTACTCTTTGTCCTTGTTACGACGCAGGAATCTCCAAAACTTTAAGGAATTGTCGGGAGCATCGCCATCACCAGTGTTTGAAGAGATCAAAATGATGATTCCTGCTTTTTGAAGTGGTGCCTGTAAATGACAATTAAGCTTTCATTGTGTATATTATATGCTTTATTGACCTTTTCATAGTCGTCCATGACAAAGCAATCACCTGTATATCCCTTTTTAGTAGCTTCTGTATGAATGTTTTTAGCTATCCATTCTGCATTGCCTGTTTGTGAAGCCCACAGGATAAGATAGGTAGAAGCAAGCTCTGTCATTTAATATATATTTAAAAAAAAAAAGGAAATAAAGGACGCACACCAACTGGGTAAAATAAGACGGAGTATAAAAAATTTAAGATGTGTGTCAGTGTGCATACAATGACTATTTTTTGTTGATTACTCTGAATACTCTCAAAACATTGGTTCAAGAATCAGACACAAATTGAAATGTAGGCGTGCAGTTGACACAACCATCATCAACAGATACGAATTTGGTTGATTCATGTATAGTCAGACAGTCTGCCCTAATGTTATTCTTGACTTTAGATCAGAAATTGGGACACATCACTTGAAAATTGCAAGTCTGAGGTATTGGTTGTTGCTAGTACTCACAAAGATGTATAAGAATGAAAGCAAAGAAGCAATGAATCCTTGTTTTATCCTTTTATTAGAAGTGAAAAGAAGTGCTCATAGCAGAAAGTAATTTGGTTCAAGTCTTGGAGCCACAAGAAACATAATCAATTAATCTACTTTGCCACTATCTGCCAAACTCTATCAAACTCTGCTACAAGAAAAGAAGAAGAAGAAAAAACAAAAAACTAACCAGACAGGTCACTGCTTCTTTACGCTGGATCACTCCGGGATGCTCCTATTGTTTTGACTCTACCTCTTTAGCTGATGAATGGCCCGTAAACCCTCCCCTACTTCTGAGATCGATGGTTGCGATACTTCAAAGGTTCAGCATTCCGAAGTTTCCACGGTCATCACCCCTTTCGAAACGCTTCGCTCTAGGTACTTAGAAGTGCACTCTTTGTACGTTGAAGCACCTCTTTCGCTGAATTTACCGTAGTATGGTTCTGAGATTGACTTTTGATTTTTGAGATTTGAGCCTTAAGTGCTTTTTATTCATGGAGGGTTTATACCATGTAGTCTTCTGGCATGCAGTCTATGGTTCTAGTCACCTTGGGTCTGAAAGCTAGCGATAATGTGGCCTTCTGGACTTATGAAAAGAAAAAAAGAAGAAATCTCTACTTATTCAAAACTTTCTCTCTCTTTGGAAATCAAACTATTGCTTACTTAAATAAAAACTTCATTCTGTTATTCCCACGCTTTGACTCTGTTCTTTAATCTTAATAAAATATATCCACTTGACACACCTTTCTTTGTCTCTGATAATCCAAGGAAACAGCAGCTTAATGGTTTCTTCATATGCATCATTATAAAGCAGTTTGGGATAATTATCATTATATAACCTCACATAGGTAGTTCTCATTAGTGAGATGCCATATATTAATATCAGTCTGTGCTATACAAACTCACAAAGGCTCTTCTGGGCTCAGATTCACATCCATGTATCGTCTTTGAGCATTATGTCATCGGACTTTTTTCATTGACGGAACGCATTTCTTGTATAATAGATCTTCACTTAAATGTGTTGACGATCTACTGGGAGTACGAAAAAAAGCATCCTTCTGTATCTCCATTACCAAAAGATGGGCTCTTCTTGCTCTATATTTTCATATTTGGCACATCTCCTTACGGAATTAAAGAGTGGTCCCTGAGAGTATAGGACATATTTATGAAGAAACTCCAAGTGGTTCATCCCCCAGTTGTACTTTTGTGCCATGATTCATTATAAACTCACGCATAATATTAGCATCTCAATAATTCAAACTGATTCTTTTTTATCATATTACACTTCTTCTAATTTTATATAAATATCTTCATTTATGATGGACATCAAGGATCACAGAAAAAGACCTCCTTTGTATTCTCAAAGTTACATTAATGATTTTTAGCTATCCTTCAGAATGTAGAACGAGTGTTACTTTATATAAAGTATCTAAAAAAGATACTATGAATGATTGAAATGTATAGCATATAGGATTATTTACATGAAGGTACCAGCTATTGATATTGTAAGCTCAGGTTCTATGTGGCGCTGTTAATTTATCATGCACTCCAGAATATGAACAGTTTTATCTAGTTCAAAAGTCTGAACTTTAACTTTCTTCATAGTCTAAAAAGGGAAAATTGATATGGACTCAGCCTCAAAGACATAAAGGCCACTGTTTTACCCTTGTTTTGTTCCCACCATCAAATGGAGTTTGCTCAGTTTCGTATTGCTCGTCCTACAGACAACTTTGAAAAGATCAAGGAATTCTATGGAAAAGGCTTAGAATTACCTGTTATTGGTTCCTTTGAAGGACACGCTGGCTATGATGGTATCATGTTTGGCTTACCTGATAATAAGTTTCATTTAGAATTTACTACACATATCGATGGCAGTCCTTGTCCAGCACCAACCAAAGATAATCTCTTGGTATTTTATATTCCTGATCAAGAAAAGATCTCCATCATTGTGAATAGATTAGGCAAGATGGGATATCATCCAGTTGAACCAGAAAATCCTTATTGGAAAGAGAAAGGCATTACTATTGAAGACCCTGATAAATGGAGAATCGTGTTGATGAACGGTGAATACAAATAAAGACTTATTATACAAACACAGTCAAATGATTCTTTTATTTACATGATTTTATATAATACAAAAAGATAATTACATTACTTTAATCCATATCAAGGTCTTGATCTTCATCCATTGGCTCTTCAACTACGTAACCTGCTTCACTTTCATGATTACGAGCAATTTCTATTGTACTACCATCTGAAGAAATATCAACCTTGGCCACCTCGTTATTACGAATACCACCATCAATAATTAATTTGGCCAATTGATTAAGAACCTTTTGCTGGATCAAACGGTTCAGTGGACGAGCACCAAAGATGGGTTCATAACCATGAGCACCAAGCCATTCCTTTGCAGCTTGAGAGACTTGAAGGGTAATACGACGGTCAGCAAGACGATCTTCGATTTCTTTAAGACGAACATCCACAATATTGGTGATGTTGGTTTGAGTGAGACGATTGAAGATGACAACTTCATCAATACGGTTGGTGAATTCAGGACTAAAGTGCTTGCGGACAACTTCCATGATTTGTTCTTTCAAAATGTTCATTTCTTCACCCTTAACATTATCAGCCAAGAGATTGGCACCCAAATTGGAGGTCATGACAATGATTGTATTACGGAAATCAATTCTACGGCCTTTGGAGTCATGGATGAAACCTTCGTCAAGAACTTGCAGGAGAACATTGGCAACGTCTCGGTGGGCCTTTTCCAATTCATCGAGAAGAACAACAGAGTAAGGTTTGCGACGAACAGACTCAAAGAGACCACCTTCTTCGTGACCCACATAGCCAGGTGGAGCACCAATCAGCTTAGCAACACTGTGCTGTTCCATTAATTCGCTCATATCGATACGAATCAAGGCACGTTCGTCATTAAATAGGAATTCAGCCAATGTCTTGCAGAGAAGAGTTTTACCGACACCAGTGGGGCCAAGGAACATGAAAGAAGCCAATGGTCTGCGAGGATCTTGTAAACCAGCCTTGGAAAGACGAATAGCATCGCAGACAGCCTTGATAGCAGCATCCTGACCAACGACATGACGAGCAATTTCAGTTTCCATCGTCAGCAGCTTCTCACGTTCGCTCTTGGCCAAGTTTTGAACGGGAATACCAGTCCATCGAGAGACGACCTCCATGATTTGTTCAGGACGTACCACTTCAGAAATGATGGCATCACTTGGTTGATCATTAGCCAAATCTTCACTTATCTTGCGTTGCTTTTCTGCTTGAAGCTCAGCAATACGCTGCTCGACATCAGGAATGGCATAGTACTCGATATCAGCAGCAGTATCCAGGTCATAGTTATTTCTAGCTTGTATAGCCTTTGATTTGAGTTCATCGAGTTTCTGCTTCAAATCACGAATTTCATCCAGTCGTCCCTTTGTCAGTTCGTACTTGAGCTTCAGAGGTTTCAATTCTTCGTCAATTCTGGCCATCTCTTCTCTGACTGCCTGTAAACGTTCATTTGATTCCTTGTTATTCTTTTCCTTGCTAAGAGCCTTCACTTCAATTTCAAGTTGGAAACGTTTACGTTCGAGCACATCGATTTCTTCTGGTTTAGAATCAAGTTGAACACGTGTGTTGGCTGCAGCTTCATCAATCAAATCAATAGCCTTATCTGGCAAAAATCGAGTTGTGATATAACGATCTGAAAGTTGAGCAGCAGAAACGAGAGCAGAATCTGTGATTTTGACACCATGATAGTTTTCATAACGTTCCTTGAGACCACGGAGAATAGAGATAGTTGCAGCCACTGAGGGTTCTCCCACATCGACCTTTTGGAAACGACGCTCGAATGCAGGATCTTTTTCAATTTCACGGTATTCAGTAAGTGTTGTAGCGCCAATGCATCGCAATTCACCACGAGCCAGCATAGGTTTCAGCAGATTGGCAGCGTCCATAGAACCCTCACCTTTACCGGCACCAAGAACAGTGTGGATTTCATCAATAAACAAAATGATACCCTCTTCAGATTCCTTGACTTCTTTCAAGACAGCCTTGAGACGTTCTTCAAATTCACCACGATACTTGGCACCAGCAATTAAGGCGCCCATATCCAAAGAGAACAGTTTGCACTGGAGAGACTGAGGCACATCACGTTCAATGATACGACGAGCCAAGCCTTCGACAATGGCTGTCTTACCAACACCAGGCTCACCAATCAGTACAGGGTTGTTCTTTGTCCTTCTCGCCAGCACACGGATCACACGGCGGATTTCATCATCACGACCAATGACGGGATCTAGCTTGCCATTTTGTGCCATCTGGGTCAAATCAATAGCGTATTTTGATAGGGCCTCGTACACTTCTTCAGCGTTCTTTGAATCCACACGACGGTTACCACGTACTTGACTAACGGCCGCTTCTAGTGCCTTTTTGGTAATACCAGCATCTTTCATTGGCTTGAATGTGGTATCATCATCGGAGAGAGCAAGTATGATGTGATCAACCGAGATGTATGTATCCTTTTGGTCTTTCATGCGCTTCTCTGCGTTACGTAACAATCTGCTTGTCTGTGAGCCAATCGTGACATCAGTTGGTGCTGGATCCTGAGAGGGCAGTTGGACCATCATCTTTTTATATCCACGTTCAACCGTTGTGGGTTCTGCACCTGTCTTCTCGATAATAGATCTGAACAAGGCAGCACCATCTGTTTCATCAAACATGGCACACGCGATATGCGCAGGCATGATTTGTGAGTTGCCAAATTCTCGAGTTAAAGCTTGTGCTCTTGCAATTATCTTTTCTACTTTTTCTGTAAAATTCATTCCACTCATATTGATTAATTCAAAACTAAAAAAAAAAAAAAAGGAAAGGACACAGAAAGGTTGTCTGATTTATATCTTGTCATGAAGGATTGTGTCGGAGATTAAATATGAGTAGAATATTGTAGAAGACACTCGAAAATACCATGTTTCTAAACAAAGCTAAAAGGTGAAAGGTCAAAGAAAGTGCGAGTAATTTCTAAAGAGCAAAGGCAGAACCTTGTTTATTTACAAAAACATACACACACAAAGATTTATGCCAAAAATCAAAGTGTAACCCATGTAAAATAAAGTTTACTGGGCGGGTAAAGGAATTTTTGCTTTCATTGGAGGCCCTTTATCCATCTTTGGTTCTTCTTTGATGTATTCCCTAGAAATTGAATTAATACAGGTTTAAGAGGATTTCTAACAGCTTACTTTTTAATGGGTATTGGCTTAGGTTCACTCTTGAGTGATTGTTGATCAAATTCATGCTGAATCACGCGCTGTCTTTCCTCTTTGTCTTTAAGCAAAAGCGAAACCCTGTCTCTGACTTGACCTTCCAGCAATAGCCTTGCTCCCAATGTGCTTTTACTTGATGCTTGTGCTTTTGAAGATATCATCACTACAGCCCCGCCAATGGCCAACGCAGCGCCACCAGTAGCGATTGCGGTACTACCTACGACAATACCTCCCAGTGCAGATAAACCACCCAACGTTCCACATCCCCTGCATAAAGTGGACAGGTGGTTAATAACGAATGCCTATTATATATCATTTTTGCTATTTACCATCCAGCAGCTTCCATTTTTTTATGTGAGCGAGGATCCAGTCTAAAGTAGCAAGTTAGATAACATAGGATTGCATAAACTCAAATAAACCTTTCTATAAAATCAACGAGTTCTTTCAGATAGGCGACATCAGATCTAACTTGATTGGGTACTTTATCACCCAATTTTTCATGTTCTCTTATCCATATATCGGTGCTTTGAAGGATAGCTTGTACTTGAGAGAGTAAGATCTCCAATTGGTTATGAAATGATATTTCACTGAATGCAACACTTGCTTTATATGTCGAATAAAGTGATAATGAAAGAAAGCCTGCAGCCGCTACTGATTTTGCTAATTTGTTGTTTTTATCATCTTTTTGAGTCATCAGCTGACCATCCTTTTTCTTGTCCTCTTTATCTTTGTTACTCTTTGCCTTGTTTTTCTCGTCTTCTTCTTCTGATGAAGACGATGTATCATCCTGACGCCAAAAGGTTGACTGTCTCTTCTTTTCTTTATGTCTGTTTCTATACTCATTATCTTGATCTCTTTCTGATGTTTGTCTCAAATACTCATTTCCACATCGGATAACAAATTCTGTTATTGTTTTACTTGTATCGGATGTCAATAAGGAACGAAAATAGCTCTTCGGATGAGCCTTTACAGACTCCTTTGTCCATGTATCTTCCTTTGAAGACTTGATAGGCTTCTGCTCCTATATTGAGGTTTTATTAAATATAATCTACATAATATACATATCATTACCTTTTCGTTCTTTGGTAGTTCCTGTAATATATGAGGAGCAAAGTCTATCAAGGTTTGAACTGGCGTAGTAAAACTACCGCCGTCTTTCTCGTAAAGCTCACTTGGAAATAAATAATCCTTAAAGAATAACTAGAAAGAAGTTAATAATTGGCATTTTTTTAACAAACAAGACATACTGAAGCCATTAATAAAAAAATAAGGAAGAAAACAATGGGCATTATTTCATCATACAGCTCTTAAAAGACAATACAACCAATCATATTCAAACAAAACTCATCTGTATTCATGCACCTACCAGTAAGTCCTGTGGCTTATATGCGTAACTGCGACCTTCTTTTTATATCTTCAATTTTGGGTAATTTCAATTTTTTAAAACTTTTTTTTTTAGATCTAATAATCAATACATAGATCATGGGTAAAGGCAGAGAGAAGAAGCATTCAAAAGGTAATAGACAATACAAATATGTGTGTGTCCTGACTGACTGAATACAACATAGGACGTTTGGATAAATACTATCACTTGGCAAAGGAACAAGGCTACCGTGCCCGTTCAGCTTTCAAGTTGATTCAGTTGAATAAAAAATACAACTTTTTAGAAAAGTCAAGAGCATTAATCGATTTATGTGCTGCCCCTGGTGGTTGGTAAGTTGATTCTTTTTATTTTAAACATTTGTAGTAAAACATGCCTTTAGGTTACAAGTAGCAACGAAATATATGCCACAGAGTAGTTTGATCATAGGTACACAATTTAACTAGCTTTTATTTTTTTATTTTATACACTAACATGATATAAAGGCGTGGATCTTTGTCCTATCAAACCTATTCCTGGTGTCATCACTTTCCAAGATGATATCACTACCGAAAGATGTAGACAAAACCTACGACAGGAAATGAAGACATGGAAAGCGGATGTGTATGTTTCTTTACTACTTGTACAAACAGCAGACTAACCAATCCTTGTAGTGTACTTCACGATGGTGCACCTAATGTCGGTAGAGCATGGGCTCATGATGCATTCTCACAGTCTGAACTTGTTCTTGTTTCACTAAAACTTGCTACTGAGTTCTTAGCAAAGGGTGGTGTCTTTGTAACCAAAGTATTTAGATCCAAAGACTACAACAAACTCATGTGGGTATTCCAGCAATTGTTTCGTAAAGTAGAAGCCACAAAGCCACCTTCTTCTCGTAATGTATCAGCAGAAATCTTTGTTGTCTGTCGTGATTATGTTGCACCCAAAAAGATTGATCCTCGAATGCTCGATCCTAAATCTGTCTTTTCTGACGTTGGCGCAGAAGAGCCCAAGAAAATTGCCGATGTGTTCAAACCAGAAAAGAAGAACAGGCACAGAGATGGTTACGAAGACGGCGACTATACCCTCCACAAGACATTAGACGTCATGGAATTCATCCGCGCCAATGATCCAATCGTCACTCTTGGCTCTTATAATCAATTTACATTTACATCCGACGAATCAAAAGAGTTGTTGAAAAAAGATATCACGACAGAGGATATAAAAATCAACTGTCAAGATCTCAAAGTACTGGGTAGAGCTGACTTTAAGGCACTGTTGAAATGGAGAACGATCATACGTGATGAATACAAGTTGGAACAAAAGAAGGAGCAAAAAATTGAAGTGATTGAAGAAGAGCCTCTGGATGAAGATGAAATGTTGGAAGCTGAGTTGAACAATTTAACAAAGGAAGAAGCAGCTAAAAGAAAGAGAGAGAAGAGAAAGGCAAATGAAAAGAAGATGAAGCTGATCCAACGAATGCAGTTGAACATGATCATTCCTACAGATATCGCTCTTGATGAGAATAAAATGGATGAAGAAATGTTTAGCATCAGAAAGATCAAGAAGGACGTTTCACTTGAAAAGCTTCAGGAAGGAGACATGTCCATTGCTGACGATCTTGAAGAAGAAGATGGAGATCTCAATGTCGATAAGAGTTTAAAGGGCCGTATCGCCGAAATGGATATGGATGAAACTCTTGATTCCGATGAAGAGTATGAGCGAGACCTTGAGATGCAAATGGACGAAGACTATGCCAGATATAAGCAACGTAGAGCAGAAAAAGATGCCAAGTTTAGAGCCAAGATGGCTAGAGAAGAGCAAGATGAATGGTCTGGTTTTGATGAAAAAGCCAAGACAACGAGAGACAAGAAGTTTGACTCTGATTCATCCGATTCTGATGATGACTCAGAAAGTGATAATGACGATAGCATGGATGAAGCAAGCGACTCTGACGACGACGATGCTCCCAAAACAACCATGAAAGGTATCAAGCCTAGAACTCAAAACTCACTCATGAACGATCTTGGTCAGAAAGCTGCCTTGTCAAAGAAGACAGAGAGTGGTCTTTCCACAGCTGCTGCTATGTTCTTTGACCAGGATATCTTCCGTGATGTTGCTGTTGATGAAATCATGGATCAAGATGAATCAAGCGATGATGAAGAATTTATCCGTGAACAATCTAGAAAAAGAAAGAGAGAACAACAAGACGACGGCACTGCTGAGCGTGATGAAGAAGACAGTGATTTTGAAATACAACCCACTGAAGATGCACTGCCTTCTGATGATGAAATGTGGGATGGTCGTGAAGATGATAATTCTAAAGCAATGAAGGAGGCACTCGAAAAGGGCTTGACTACACCCGAATCCATTACATTGGCTAAACAATTAGCAAACAAGGAAAAAACTGTTGAAGACCTTGTCGACATGGGTTTCTCCAAAGAAGCTTTTAGAGATAAAGACGGTCTTCCCGAATGGTTCTTGGATGATGAAAATAGACATAACAAACCAAATATTCCTGTGACGAAGGAGGCAATGGACCAATTAAGAGAAAAGCTTCGAGCATTGAACGCACGACCTATCAAGAAGGTGCTTGAAGCTAAGGCTAGAAAGAAGCTTAAGGCTGCCAAAAGACTTTCTAAAGCGCAAAAGAAGGCAACAGATATTGTTGACAATCCAGACATGACTGAAAAGGAAAAGGCAAAGACAATTGGTAAACTGATAGCAAGAGCATCAAAAACAAAACCAAAGAAAGAAGTCAAGGTTGTTGTGGCAAAGGGCGCCAATAGGGGTATCAAGGGTCGTCCAAAGGGCGTCAAAGGACGATATAAGATGGTGGATGGTGTCATGAAGAAGGAAAGACGTGCAGAGAAACGAAGAGAAAAGAAATCAAAGAAGAGTCGTCGTTAATGATTGTAAAAATAAATTTATTTCAAAGATATACAAAAAAAAAAAGCTGTAGATACAAAAGATTAATCTACGTTATTATTTAATTGTCTTTCTGATTCTTGTCGTTCAATTTCCATTGCCTTTTTATCAATCTTATCAAACTGCCATTTCCATGTGGAATTGTATAAGAAGGGGCGCATATCAAATCGATTATCGTCAGGACTGTAAGCTTCTGCATGATAAGAAGGTGTCAAGGTAGTGAGCTTGTGTCTGTTGATAGAGTAGTAAAAGAAGAAGCGTTTCACTTTGACGGCAACCTCAGAAGGTGTGTACACTTCAGCCCAGTCATGCACGAGTTTTGTAAACATGCTATAAGGACCACATCTATCCACCTTACGAAGGCGACCGTACTTGGATAATTCATCGTACGTCATGCCCATATCAGCTTCATCAGATTGCACATAGGTTGAGGTGATCGGTTCTAATTCCGCGGTAGGTACAGCTGACAAGAAGTCCTGCAAGATAGGCATATCAAAGCTATCTTTGGCCCAAGCAATAAATCGTTTGAGATCAGATTTTGATATGGCTCCAATTGGATTGATGTCTGCACTACTGCAGTCATATTTGGTCAAATAGCCTCTTAAGCTCTCATCGACATTGGCGCTTCCCAAGACCAGTAGTCCACCCTTGAGAGAACGACACCAGGGTAGGAGTTGTGCAAAGAGGTATGCAAGCAGCATACGAAGACGTGCTTGAATATTTTGGAGAGCAAGATTCTCAGTATCTGACCCGCCGTGCACCTTGTATTTGGGAGATTTTCCTGTGACAAAGGAAAAGAGCTTATGGATGGATTTGACAATGTCGTCCATATCCAGATCGGTATGGTAGCTTCCGATCACCTCAGCCAAATCCTTGGCACGTTTACGTGTTTCCGTACTGGAATTTTCCGTTCCCATATAACAAGTGTAAAAGATATGACTTGCGAATTCACGAGGATCAGTGGGGATATAATTGTCACCTTGACAGGCTAAGCGACGAGCATCCTCAATGACTTCCTTGTTACCCTTTGCAGCTTCTTTAACCACCAATCTACACATGGAGGAGACAATGACAGCAGTAGCACAGCTATCGATACCACCGCTGAGAGGTAAGAAGTATCCGGCCGTTTTAGAGCGACGGAGATAGTCCCATAACCAGCAAGCAGGACCAAGGGCAATTTCTTCCTCGGGCAAGTGGTAAAAGGGCTCCTGGGGCTTTGATGGGCGAATGTGGATGTTTGACTTGATATAATCATGTGTAAGAGACATCTTGACTTCTTGACGAACATAAGCTGGTGCCAGTGATGCTTGCATTCCACGACTGGCCATGCGAGCACGATAAGAGCGAACGTCTTCAAGATCGACTGTGGCAGTGACAACTTCTACATCATGCAACGAGAATTGAGAACCTTGAGCAATAATTTCACCATTCATGGCGATCAATGCTCCACCATCGTAATAGAGACGGTCACCATCACAACCCTGTTGGTTAGAATAAAGATAGATGCCGCCTACTCTCTGAGTCGCAGCACGAATGAGGTTGATACGAGTGTCGAGTTTACGCAATTCATGATGACTTCCACTACTATTTGTAAATATCTCAACACCATCCAAACCCATGCCAATGTGTGGACTTGCCGGCGTAAACAGTTCCTCACATGTCTCACATCCAATGCAAGTATCAAAGGTGCTAATGACCGAATCTCCGAAAGGCACCAACAACTATATAAAAAGTAGTGAGTCACAATTGCCCCCAACCATAAAATATGTTACCTGTCCGGTGATCTTTGAGATCATGCGTGGCAAATAGTATTGTTCAATCTTCTTTGGAGGCCATGGAGCAAAATAACGCATCTCACGATAATTTCCATCGTTGGCCAAGTACATCTTGGGTCGAATCAATACAATCTTGCTATCAGCAATGATCAATCGGCAGTTATATTTTACAGATTTATGCATGACAGGCCTACAAAAAGCATTGAGTGACACATCTTTAAGAAACAGCTGTAACACTTTACATGCCAATGTCTAATATCATATCATTTGAGACATCACTTTTTAGAATTTCAGCAATTACTTCCCAAGCATGCAAATAAGTATCCCCTAAGCACATGTGAACGTGTATGAATTATCTCCCTTGCTATTGTTGTTGTTGTTATGATTACCTTCAAAGAAATGATCATAGCAACCGTAACCACTAATAGTAATATGTCAAACTCGTGATTCATATTTAAACTATCCATTACTTACGTGACCTCAAGCTCTGGTCCAACACGTATTTTTGCACCTCTCTCCTTTGCGATTCTAATACTTTCCAAGATTCGCTTCAGATTACCTTCAAAGTCAAGTGCCCACTGATTGAGAGAGCAAGTTGCCAAGGTTACACTTTTGAAATGAGCATGAGTAAGAAGAAAGAGAGAATGAGAATAGTAGCTTACAGGTGCCCCATATTTACTAAATATTTTTTTTTTAAAAAAAAAAAAGAGCAAAAGCGTCCTTTTCAATGAAGCAAAGTCAGTTTGACTTCATCTCTTCATCATATTTTTGATTTCCGCTCGTCATATTAGCAAAGAAAAAAAAGATATCAATTTTATTTTCATCGTCCTGGCAACAAAACATAGTCAACGGCCACATTATTTTTCTCGAGACACTCACGCATACTTTCAAAAAATGACTCGTTTTTAAAAAACTCATTCTTTTCAATCTCTTTAACCAATTGACGATGCAAACAGATACACACACGCCTCTTCTTTGGTTTCTTTTCTTTAAACACATTGAGAACAAACTCTTTGAGTGGACCTATCAGCAACCATACATCAGCGGGTTCAGTAAAGAACCTGACAAACAATTTGGTAAAAACAATCTCGAGATAATCCACAGAGGTCAATGCTGTTGATGACGCCTTGAGAAGGCCAAGACCTATACTGAAATCAACAAGCTGAAGGTAACGAAGATTGGGTATAGCCTCAAAGCAAGTTGTGATCGCATTCTCTGCTTCTAATCGGATCGGTTGCATCGTCATGCTTTGACATCCGATCTTGCCCAGTTTTCCCAGTTGGTCCCAGCCGTGCAGACTGAGGCTCTGTAACCTTGATGAAGTCAAGGGATAAAAACACTCGAGCCATACTTTAGACGTCCATGAGTTGCAGAATCCAAACTCGAGCCGTGTCAAATACTTGAGTTTTGTCAGTGGACTATATTTTTTGGCAATGATGTCTTCCAAGTCTTGCCAGGCCTGCAGGAGTGCATGACGTTTACGTTCGATGACCTCAGGATCATCCGGGTAGTACTCCTCATCACTATCATTTTCGATTTCTTCTATTCGGCTAATGATGCTCTTTTGTTCAATACTCCTACCATCTCGTATACTCGTCAGTGTGAACTGGTGCATATGTGGTGCCTGGTTTGTGTTATCCGTAAGCTCGAGGATAGACGCAAACCCCGAGTTACCGTCCTCGGCAAAATCTAGGTGTGCCTGTTTGAGCTGTGGATGCTCATAGATCAACTGGAAACAGAATCGTTTTGTGTCGCACCATGTCTCGATACGATGACAGATGATCGAAACAAGTTGCTGTCTATTCAGCTGGTGTGACAAGTATGCGATCTCTGCCAAACACAGATTACGTGTCTCCAGATGTGTGACAGAAGGCAAGTACTCAAAAGGCAATGGCGCAAAGTGGGCGTGCCTTGTCTCGTTCGGTTTAGCTACAGTGAGATGAGTGACAGCAGTCAAGAGAGGTTGTTTGGATGTCAATAGTCGAACATAGGCTGCATGGTACATTGGCCTGTCAATCAATAATTTTCGCCACTGTAAAATATGCATATAAGTGTGTGCTTACAAAAATAAAAGCAAAAAAACTTACGACAGAAGGTAAACGTGAAATAGAATACCACTGACGACATACTTGTGATATCGCACGCAGGGTCCAAGGACAACCATCGCATGCTTCAAATACTAGCTGTAAACAATCGTTGTTCAATCTTGAAATCGTCATTTAAGAAAAGAAAGAGAAAGCATTTAAGAAAGAAAGAAAAGAAACTGGTTATCTTGATATGCAGGATTGACGTCGTTACACAGTCCTGCAAAACTCCGGTTCTATTTTTTAGTAATATCCAAATGACTGCACTTTAAGAGTGTCACACTTCTTTTCTTTCTTTAATGTCAACACAATCATCAAAAAGACCACGTCAACAAGACAATGATGTAGATTCAGTTCATTCTCAAAGAATAAAAACTCTTAATGAAGGAAGCGATGAAGTAATCTTGCCAGGAATAGAACATGTCACAGCAAATATTGAATCATTTTATAGGAAATAGAACGTAAAGTAAAGGCACTTTGTCGATATGTTTTGGCTTGTGAATACAAAAAGATTAACATCAGAAGAGAAAATATCAATAAAATAAGTAAGGTCATCAAAACCCATTCAAGCTGTTCCATTAATCATTTTTTAAAAAGTAACCCCTGATAATAAGCGACTATTCAACACTTTACTTGACCAAGCCAATCAACGATTGAGAACTATCTTTGGATATGAACTTCAGGAAGCTATACTCAAAGATAAAAGTGTGGATGAACAACATCAATATGGTAATTATGATATAATATCTATTTATACATACTCACCTTGAGCAGATACCCAAACACAGGCTGAATCATCCACACAGAGAAGAACGACAGGAGGCGGTACGTCAGGTGTTTATATTTTACGAAACATCATGAAGGAACACTTTATTCTTCCAGACATTGTAAAAAGATCGACAGAAGATTATGTAAACACAGGTGTACTTTATGTCATTCTTGCTTTACTTTTCATTCATGAGCGTGAGATGGATAGCAGTAAGTAAAAAGATAAAGACTGCAAAAACGGGAGAATTTATCTTGCTATTAGATGATTTATTTGAACATTTAGATCGTCTCAAAGTGACGCGATATGGTCAAGAACCATTACCAGATAGAGATCAACTAATGGATACATTTGTAAAGAATCAATATATCCGAAAGATAAAACTAGATGAACAAGATGGAGAGGAAATTCAATATAGGTTTCAATGGGGGCCCAGAGCTTATACGGAAATACCTGCTCAAAACATGGTCGAGTTTATTTCGAGCGTAAGTGCTTTTGATATGGTATATGCATGCTTTTTTAATTTTATATAGTTTTATAATGTTGAAGGGCAAGAAAAGACGGAGCTTGTACGTAATCTATACCAAGCAGCAGGTTATGAACTTAGGAAATAAGGACGCAACTGGTCTGCTTCCTGTGCCATATCTTGTTCAGTTCGTGGCTCTCTTTCTTCATTATCGACACCCTTCTTGTCTAATTCTTCATAAACATCATCATTATTAGCCCAATCACCCTTTTTACGAGGAATGACATGCATATGAACATGAGGAACCTGACTATGTTAATAAACATGCGTTGTATATACAAAGATATCTTACTGTCTGTCCAGCTTGAGGACCATCTTGAATGGTCATGGTCAGTGACGTTCCGTGGTAGTGTTTTTCAAGAACATTGCCAATCTTTTGTGCTGATAACATGAAATCAACTATCTTATAAAGAAGTTGGTTCTCTCTCTCATACTGTTTATATATAAATATATATACCTCTTCTTCTGTCAAGTCTTTTAGTCGAGGTGTATTCCTTTTTGGTACTACTAGAACATCTAGAAAAGAGAGTCAGTTGTATCTTTAGTAACTATTGTTCCCTCACTTACGTCCACTAAATTAAAAAATTAGTGCCCAAAACAAAGCAATACGAGAAAATCACTTACGGAGCAATAGGTTTCAAGTTGATAATACCAATAGTCAATTTGGACTTGAAAAAAACTTGAGATTCCTTGATGAGATGTGGGCCAAACTTGTAAATAGTCATTCCAGAATAAAACAAAGAAAAAAAAAAAGAGCACCAGAAAAATAACTTCCCGCGCAAAAAAGCTGTCATTTTTTTTTTTTTTTCCTTTTTTCTTTCTTTAAAATGACACGGTTTAACGGATGCATCGATCTTCATCATGGAAAAGTCAAGCAGATCGTAGGCGGTTCACTTGTTGATCATTCACCCGAAACATTAACAACCAACTTTGTCTCAGAGTAAGCTTTTGGCATATGTACAACAACATAAATATATACTTATCAAAAAAAAAAAAAAAAAATATACACACACACAAATTAGTTCCGTTTCCATGTGAACCAGATAGATTCATCTTGTTGTTATTTTGTGTAAAAAAAAAAAAAATAGAGAAAAACCTAGTTACTATTCTAAGCTATACAAGGACAATAATATAACGCGTTGTCATGTCATCAAGCTTGGTCCCAACAACGATGAAGCAGCCAAGGAAGCGCTACAAACTTGGCCAGGTGGACTTCAAGTTGGTGGTGGAATCACTATTGATAATGCTGAATATTGGTTATCTCTTGGAGCATCTAAAGTAATATACTATATAAATAGGAATGATAAAGACTTACATTTGTTTAGGTCATTGTCACCAGTTGGTTGTTTCCCAATGGAAAATTCTCGTTGGATAGATTAAAGCAACTCTGCGAGCGTATTGGTAAAGACAAGCTTGTTGTAGATGTTAGGTAATATTATATGTAAAATAAACATAATATACCAACTGTGTACCTTGTAGTTGCCGAAGAAAAGATGACAAATGGATCGTGGCCATGAACAAATGGCAGACGATGACAGATATGGAAGTAAACAAGGGTAAAACAAAGATATATAAAAAAAAGATAATAACTAACTTTATATAGAATCATTGGATGTATTGAGTCAATATTGTAGTGAATTCCTTATCCATGCTGCTGATGTAGAAGGACTTTGTCGTGGCATTGATCAGGAATTGGTTTCAAGTAATTAATATATTTATTAAAGAAAATAGTTCTTATTGTTACCTAGGTTTGGGTAAATGGGTTACCATTCCTACAACTTATGCAGGAGGTGGAAGATGTAAGGCATTAAATCCCTCCCTTCCCCCTTTATTATACTATTTTAATTCATATCATTATTTTTAGGTCTTGAAGATTTAGCACTCGTAGAAAAGCTATCCAATGGTAAAGTAGATTTAACCTTTGGAAGGTAAGAATATATATAAATAAATAAATCCGTATCCTTAATACTTGACAGTGCCTTGGACATCTTTGGTGGAAATGGAGTTACATTTGAAGAGTGCGTGCGTTGGAATAAAGAACATGCATGAAAATCAAATTAATTTTCCGCTCTACATATTTTTTTTTCTTTCTGCCTTTCCTCTTTTGTTGTTTACACTAAATGAGTTCAGCAGCAAACATCGACAAAAAGAAAAAGACAATTTCAAAGGAAGAATGGGAACAACGACTGGCCAAAGTCAAAGTGAATAAACAGTAATAAGATAGGAACAAAAGCAAGTGATTATATAGCTGACTCTTTATTTTAGAGATCTTAATCAACTTGTTATGAATTACTTGGTTGTCGAAGGATATAAGGATGCTGCAGAACAGTTTAGTCTTGAGAGTGGTTTAGAACCTACAGTAGATTTGCAGTCTATTCAAGAAAGAATGGACATTCGTCATGCTGTTCAATCTGGAGACATTGACACAGCTATTGATTTAGTGAATGAGTTAAACCCAGAGGTTATTATTATTATTATATTATTATTTTTTATAACACCCTTGGTTAGATTTTAGATACCAACCCACAACTCTATTTCCACCTTCAACAACAACGACTGATTGAGTTGATTCGACAAGGCTCGTTTCAGGAAGCACTCGAGTTTGCTACAGAAGAAATGGCACCACGAGGAGAAGAACATCCTGAATTTTTAGAAGAACTTGAGCGTACGATGGCATTATTAGCATTTCAAGACAGCATCGATAGTCCCGTTCAAGAGTTACTTCATCCCGGACAACGACAAAAGACAGCGAGTGAGCTAAATGCGGCGATATTGATCAGCCAATCCCAAGAAAAGGATCCCAAGTTGCCCAATTTACTCAAAATGCTGGCTTGGAGTCAAGAACAGTTAGACGAAAGGATGAATTATCCAAGAATTGAAAATTGGGTGAAAGCAGACTTGGTTGTACGAGATGAAAATGGGAATCATGTAGACGAAGATGTTACGATGTCTTCTTTGTAACACTTTTGATCGAAAAAAAAAATACATATATTTGGATGCACAATGTTTGCAATTAAGAAGAAAAAAAATAAATTTAAGGGAGTTTCTTTTTTTTTTGTCTCTCTTTATTATCTTTCACAAATGTTAAAGTTGTTTCCATGGTAATAAATCATTTTTTTTTATTTTTTTTTAACTTTCCTTTTTCTTTTTTCCCCCCTTTCTTTTTTTTTTTTTTTTAAAAAAAAAAATAAACTTTGAGAGAGATGAACGCGTGTATGTGGGCAATACTAAGTCATCATAAATTAAAGTTTATTTATAATTCGTTCGATATGAAATTGAATGGAATTTCATTATTTGATCTTATTCATCCTGAAGAAATAACTTTGGCTAAAAAAGATCTTTGTCAATTTATAAAATCAAAATTATTAGCAGGATCAGTGACAAGGTTATATATACAAATCCTTTTATTAAAGAACAAGTTATTAACATAAAGTAGATGTCGACTCAGAGATTATGTAAACAATTATTATTCATGGATCATTGTGGATATCATCATGTATGTAGCCACAGACGACTTGGCATTAGCATTCTTTCACCAAGAAAAAGGTAACAGTAGCTATGGTAACGTCATCCTCAACTTATACGGACATCGTAGACTCAATATGTGGAACGGCATGTTCAACCACACAACGTGATCGTCTAATACAGGCATTTGAAAATCATCCTCACCATACACAAGAAAGAATATTTCACGTTCTGGACAATCAAACACAATCGGTCATCATGTCATGGCCCGATCACTATCCCAACGAAATGAGCCTAGATGACCGTCCGGCTGTATCACCAAGCATTGTATCCTGTTTCCGTTGTGTACAACAGCCTCCCAAGTTGACACCGAGTGGTTTATGTCTTCAGAGTTTATGCATTGATTATGGTAGTCTATCATTCATTATCACCAAAAGGTAATTTACACAATTCATTTAGAAACAATGACTTATAACAAGCAGATCTACGCCCAAGATACCCAAGTTTACTTTAAAGAAACCTTCAAAATACAATCAAAAATCTATGTCTGTTGAAGACTTGGTAACTGCTACTTATAAATGTCAAAGTTGCGGTACTCAATCTAGCCCTGAATGGAGAAGAGGACCCAGTGGACATAAAACGTAAGTTTATTACTTTCTTCATCCCCAAAACTGACTTTATATTTATAGTTTATGCAATGCATGTGGTCTAAGATACTCTAGATCCATTGCTAGGCAAGAAAAGATGGCCCAACAACAACAACAACAACAACAACAACAAGAGAATGATGTATGCTCTCCTTTTTCATTCCTTGATATGCCTCGGTTCATTTGTAAAAATTCTTTTCAATAAATTGATATTATGTTACACCAGAAGAAAAAATAAGGTGATTTTGAGAGCATATTCACGTGACTTGTTATTTCCTAGTCTGTGCGTTGGAAGAAAGTAATAGACTGTCTTTTTCAATGGACGGTCTTGGTAAGTAAGAAAGAAGGAAAGAAAGAGAATAAACAACTGACAAATTATACAGTTGAATTGGCCAACAAGTCATTTAATCTCGTCCGATGTTCACCATTTTATCATTTCGATAGTGAATCCCATTCAGCCAAAACGACCAGCTTAGCCATTCATCTAGCTTCTGGTCTTCAGCTATCGATCCATGGTCGAAAAGCTAAAGAGAATGCACGAGGTGAACTGATCAATCTTCGCTTTGACACCCTATCTATACCCGAACTTCAACTAAATCCGATCCGAGTCAAGATCACCTTACGATTAGCCAATGACGCCAAAGACACTCATCACCTATTTATTCTTATTCCTGCCACCGTTGCATCCACAGAAGATGTATTCACCTATTTCCCATTGATGCTTTACCGATCCAAGACGATCATTGCGACTGAAGTACTCGAATGGTTTAAAAAGAGCTATCAATGCCAATTTGATGATCTTTTGGTTCCTGCGCCCACTTTTCATAGTATCATCCGGACATGGGTCAGCACATTGTTTGAGCTGGCGCCTTTGGAGGATGAAGTTGTCAAAGGTTAGATATCGTTACTAGTCGTATAGATATATATACTCATTCACGATTATAGTGCCCATGCGAACTGTTCAACACTCACTTGAATTGGAATATGTGACACATCTGAAGGAGCTATCGACGATCCGAGTGAAACTAAAGACGCAGGAAGTGGTCAAGTTGTGTAAGAAATTGAAAAATCAGGAAGATTTCATTTTTGCCTTGCAGGATCATTTGTTTAGTATCACAAAGATAAATATGAGCGCATTGACCTTGAATGAACTGACGACGACCAATTTGGGTATACGTAGAGACGGAAAATTCAAGGTATGCATAAAGAAAAGGACGAACGCATTTCGTGTGTATTGATCATGTGTATAGATGTTTGGCCACATTTCAAGAACAGACGCTGTCAAGATTATTGAAGAATTAATTGAACTAGCAAGTACAAAATAAATACGCTCTCCCCCCTTTTTTTTTTTGCTATCAGAAATAGCAACGTCAGTGATGTTGGTAACTCTTTTTGAGTCTCTCCTGTAGTGCCCTATTTCATTTGTACGTATTTGTGATATCATTGATGTCTATTGTCAGCAAGGTATTTGTTATCAAGCACGATATTAAGAGCATATACTCGCCTCACCTCTATGCTTACCTTAAGACCGCACAAGTAGAGTGGGCAAGACGAGTCATAATGAGAAATGTGCTGGTTAAAATAGTCGAGAATAAGGCAAAATAATGCTCATGTCACATTTTTTTAAAAAGAAAAGGGGAGACATTCTATAAAAGAAAGGCAAGGAGTGTAAATTCTGCAAAGAAAACACTTGGATGTAACACCAGTTACCCTAGATGCCGCAACAAAAGCTATCGATACAGGATATATTCAAAACTATCTGATGATATGACCTTGTCACAACTGATGAGCTTGTGTACAACATTGTAACCATGGAGATCCCTTTCCAAATAAAAATTCTGATTTATTATTATTTTATATCATTTTTCTCTCTCTCTTTTATATATATAATTTATCAATAATGAAGACTTCAAGGGAGCCAAGTCAACCCAAGGCAACCAACATTATTAGGCCGAGCTATAAACGTGGCCCTCCTTCCGTCATTTCAACAGGATCATCTAATTCAGTGGCATCTCAAAGGAAACCCAGAGTGGCAACAACAACCATTGTCGAAAAGCCAGGATTCAACATATACTCACCTCATAAAAAACAACCTAATCTGTATAATGCAAGTACAAGTACGAATAGTAGCAGCAATAGCAATGTTAGCAATACTAGCAATAATAATACACATAGACCTGTTGTTGAGATTTATAAACCACCATCATTACAAAAGATGACAAAATCATTTACTATACCTGTCATTTCAGATGCTACTACTAGACCTCGTCTTGTCCGTTCTGTCTTGGGCCCTATTAATACCCCTAACAATAATAACAAAACATTCATTGAACCACAACCACAGCATACCCTATTCAATAAAGATCAGTTACTAGTGAAGGAAGAGATTAAATCATACGAGACGGATGATGAATTGGATTCGTCAGATAAAGATGTAGAGGATGACATAGAAGAAGAAGAAGAAGAGGAGGAGGAGGAGGAGGAAGAAGAAGAGGATGATGAAGTGAATGAGGCAAGAACAAATAGGAAGGCAAGTGAATACCTTAAAGAGAATATGCATATACTTATTAGTCGTGTAGATAGAAGATTTGGAACTATCATTGAAATCATTATTGGCAGTGAACTCCATGTTGGAAGAAACAGTGAAAAAGCAGGCACAACAAATAGTACAACTCAAGAAGCAAACCATGGGGACAACGGACCATGTTGATCCTATCCTTACACACGTACAACAATACACAATGAAAGAAAATAACGCAAGTATATATTTCTATATTTATTATACAGTCTAACCTTCTTTAACAGACAACGGATCAAGACGACGACAACGAAGAAGAAGATGAACTATTTCAAACAATAAAGAAAATGACAAGTCAAATGATTGAACAAGGCGAAAAATCAATTAAATATGAATATAAAATAATAGGTAGAGTCTTATCCAACTACACGCCAGACGATGATGATGATGACGCAAGTACATAAGAAACGAAAAGCGATACCCATTAGAATTCCATTGCTGCATACATATAAATAATCCCTTCTATCTCTTTTTAAAGAGAGCATGAACGCGTAAAATTTATAGGCTTAATAAATATTAACGCGCGCCCACATTTTTTTTTGTGTCTCTTTCTCTTTTTTGGGCAATGAGCGAGTCAAGTAAACTCCATCCCTTCTTTCAGCCAAGACGACCCAAACCTACTCATGCTGAAGAACCCATCGTAGACACACCCACACGACAGACAAGGCAGACAACTCTTTTGTTCGCTCAAAAGCAACAAGATCTAAAAGAGAAAGAATCGACCATTCCAGAAGAAAAGGTTGAAAAGAAAAAACCCTTTGTGATCACCAAACGACCTCCTGCGACAGTACCCAAACTATTGTCTGAAGAGCCTTTGAAATCCCAGTGTTCGAACCCGTTATTACGACCCTACGAACAAAGTGCAGCGCTGTCCAAAGAACAAGAGTTTGACTTTTACGGACCTATCAAAAGTAAAAAAACAGTCCGTGGTCGCTTTGATCATGAGTTTGCTCGTCTCGATCGCAACATCTACAAGCACGCCCATTGGCCACCAATCAGACGAGATGATGCGATCGAATTGACACGAGTACATCAAGTCACAAATGCTCATCACATCAAACAACTCATTCACACAAGATCGATATCTTGCTTTCAAAGTAAAAAGAGACAACCAAAGCAGCCATCTTACAAGACAACCAAACAGAAAAAGATACATGGCGAGCGAGAACTCAGGGCTTGGCTCGATCGACATTATCCAGAGTGGCACACGTTTCCGTCATGCACTCGACTTGTTCGAATGATCTTGGGTCCATCCATCAAAAGTAATCAGTCATGGATCGATAAATACAGACCCAGAACTGTTGATGGGCTCGTCGGCGCTAAACACAACCATGTCTATCTCAAGAACTGGCTACATCAGATGAAAATCGAACCAGCCACAGCACCATGTCGTGACGAAGGTAACATCAAAAAACATACCAAGAAAAAGAAGAAAGAGATGGATGACGATCTTCTCTTGGATGGTCTGAGCTTGGACGAAAATAAGACAAACGCATTTGATCGTTTGATGAAGAAAAAAAAGGAAAATGATGATAGTAGCGATGACGACTTTGTCGTGTCGCCGGCTGCAGTCAGGAAAAAGGCAGCAAGGCAGCAACATCAGGGAGAGACTGTGCGATCCAACATGGTCCTCTTAGTTGGATATCATGGGGTGGGGAAGACCGCGTTGGTCCATACGGCAGCCGAGCAAGAGGGTTATGAAATCTTTGAGATCAACTCGGGTAGTCGTCGTTCGGGTAAGGATGTCGTCTCAGCCGTGGGTGAAATGACAAAGAGCCATCTCGTTACTTTTCAAAACAATGTATCAGAAGAACCCCAAAAGAAGCGAAGACTCAACCCATTCTTATCATCAAAGGGCATGACAAACACAACACAGGGCAAGGGACAGCTGTTAAATTTTGTACGCAAGTCGAACAATGGCAATAATAATAAAAAGCTCAACCTTAACAGATCGGCAGACGGACCCAAGCAGAGCTTGATCTTGTTGGAAGAGGTCGACTTGCTCTTTGAAGAAGATAAAGGATTTTGGGCCTCTGTGGTAGAGTTATCGCAAAAGAGTAAGCGACCAATCATTATGACATGCAATGGTAAGTTTTCAACAAAAGATGCTATAGAAAAAGTAATTCACCTATTTCACATAGATCCTGATCAAATTCCGTTCGAGATGCTGTATCTTCAAACCGTGCTTGATATTCAGCCTCCACCACTGGAAGAGCTCTTGCCCTATCTCTGGCTTGTGTGTTATGCTGAAGGCTATCAAATGGATCCTGCTGATTTGGTCTGTCTTACTGCTCTCGTCGGACGCGACGTGCGGCAGTTGCTACAAATTCTTGAACTCTATCGTGGCGTTCCTCATCCATTTGAGTCATATCTGTCCATTTCACCACAGATGAGCATGACTGAACTCAAATCAAGGTCTATACCTTCCAAAATAGCCGTTGACACTTACAGACTCGTGCACTGCTTTGAGTCCGTGGTACATCGCGACGAAGACGAAGATATGGCAGAGAGCTCTCAAGAAAGTCTCGAAGATATCCTTGGTGCGCTAAATAATGACGGCTTTATAGATGTCTGGGCAGGATCAAGAGAACGTCGATTGCTGGTAAGTTTTTCAAGACACACTTTAATAAATCTAATTCAAAAAAAAAAAAAAGATACAAACATCAACGGATGATTCCATCATCGGATACACTCATCTTGTCATAGATGAAGAAGAGAATGTGTTAAACGATATTCAGGTCCACGCTACTGCCCTGAACCATCTATCCAATAACACAGAGTTTAATGAAAGCTTTTGGGATGAACTCGAGGACGCTAGACAGCGAACTTATGAGATAGACGTAGAGGCTGTTGAAAAGATCTTGCCGCTTCGAATGATGAATCGACACGATGTGATAATGACAGAATATATACCCGCGATTCGACTCATGCTAGATCCAGTGCGAACGGGTGTTTTAGATAGTAGGTCAAGACAGACCAGATCAAAGCGGAAACGAATTCACCTGCCCTTGGATGATGATAGTGTAAATATATTGACAGAACCTAAAGAACTTGTAGATGAGGTAAGAAAGAATACATTTCCATAGAAGGTAATAGTGATTGTTTTTTATAGACTAGTCTTTTATGTGAAAAGCTTTGTCAGCAATAAACCGTCTTGATACAGTTGAGTACTTTTTTTTTTCGTAATCCGCGGATGAGTCCGAACATCGTAGGTGTGAGAAGGGTAGAAAGTGTGCGGTTCCTTATTTTTCGTGAGGATAGATTAACAAAGAGAGAGAGAGACAGAGAGAGAGATCATGGTAATCTATCTTGTTTGTTATTTATACGAGCATATGATTGATTAACTTGATGATCTCATTCCCTTTACTTCTCTTTTTGCTGTGTGTCACTAATCTGCAACAATAAAAAAATTAGAGAGAAAGAGTGCACTGTTCAAGAAAGCGGAGCTACTTTATTTGGTTAAACGTTCTTTTTCGTGAATTTATCTAGATTCATCTTTACAAGCCCAGTGAGATTTGTCCAATATGGTTAAATATTTATCTGTTTATTTATAAAAAAGTCAGCCAATTTATTTTTAAAAAGTGGGCTGAAGCAAACAAGAAAGAGAATGTTTCTCGGATCAATAAAGTAAATTCGGGTAGTCAATGTTTGATTATAGAAATCAAGGTAAAAAATAGAAAATGGAGTTTAAATAATCTAGTAAAAATAAATGATTGTAATTTATTTTGACACACTGACAATCCTTGCTCACACATCCATGTCTTTTTTTTTTTCTTGTTTTTCTTTTCTCTCTCTCTCTTTTTTTTTTTTTTTTTTTTTTTTGTTCATAAATGAGTTATTCATGCTTTCATTGTAAAGAAGAATGTGTTCGAGGTGATCCACGTCTGATTCGAGCCGTTGGTAGATTGTACCATAAAGAATGCTTTCAATGTGATGTAAGTTGTATCGAATAAGATGATGACAAAAAGACTAATATTATAATTAGTGTTGTGGAGTATCTGTTTTAGATAAATTCTATTTACTAGATGATCAACTGATATTATGTGAATTACATTACAAGACTCAACAAAAGGTCATGACAACAAAATGTCCTGGATGTACAATGACTTCTTATCATCACCATAGAGAAAAGAAATATTTTGAATACAATGGGAAACCTTATTGTCAATATCATTATTCACTTATTAAAGGGGTTGATTGTATTGGATGTGGACAAGCTATATTTGAATCATCACAAGAAAGATGGCATACTGAATGTTATTTGATCTATAAACATTGGCAGATTACACTTGGACGTGAAGATATGAAAGGTTACTATTATTATTACTATTAAATATGCAATCTAATATCGTTGATTATATAGATTATTATAATGATAAACATCAATTCTTGTCTGTTCAAAATGAATATGAACAAAAGAGATTTAAAATATGGGATACACTAAGTCAATTTGAAAATGAATCATCCCTCATCATCAAAGATATCTTGTCAGCAAAGAATGTGGCTACCTGTCAACAGCTTGTACAACAAATCACAATTCTCTTTCAAGTCTTTGATTTACTCTATCTCAAGTCAGAAAAATATGATTTAGGTATACATATAAGCTTATTGGTCATTACCTTTACTTATATATTTTATAGCATTTCATTTTCAAAAGTCAATACAGTTATTACTAGATCAAGTCATCTCCTTTTTTCATGTCGTCTGTCATACCAAAAATAATAATACCCAAAGCAACAATGAGCAAGAATTTATCTCAAGAATGGGAAAATTGATACTTTATTACCTTAGAGATCTTGTTAGGACTAGTCTTGAAAGAGGATTATTACTGGTAAGCTTAATACAAAACAAATATATATATATATATTATAACACATAAATAGGAACAAAAAGAAAAGCAGGTGATCGAACAGGTGTTGGATTCTTTTTACTTAAAACAGCCATTCATTACATATTCGCTTGATTATTTAAACCAGTCCATCCGATCACTAAACGAAGGTGAGTCTACACACCCCCATTTGTGCGGCCATAAGCGTTACACTAGTATTTAATAGGCCTAATGTCTGATAATTACAAACCTTTTCTTTCAAAGATGATGACCAGTTCAAGTGTACCCAATGTTCAACTACAACAACAACAACAACAACAAACAAGCATCAGCAGGATGGAATCGATCAAGAGAGCCTTAACGACAAGCAAAAAACCAACAAGACCTACCATTCAGAAAGCATACAGTGTACATAATCCTTTACACATTTCATTAACGGATCTTAGTTCAACTCCAATGATGACTTCACCTCCACCTTCTCCCATGTCAGCTGTACATTATCATCAACACATCTGGACAATACCTCATCAACTGCCTGAATTAAATCAGATACAGGATTCGATCCTAAGGCACACGGCTGTATTGTTTATGGAATCTTTTATAGAGCACGACATATTACAAGACTGCTATCTCGTAACCAAAAAATCACCTTCATCCCTTTGGAATAAACTCAAGCAGCATATATCAAATGGTGATATTGATCATCCTATAACCAAACATATCATCGGTACCTCACTCTCAAATCTAAATTATGATCATCCTTGTTCACATCAAGTCCAGGTATCTTTGATGACCTCATGCTTTTCAAATAGAGCACAGATACCCAACTTCTTGAAGGATTGTATATTATCCATCACCCAAAAGGATATTCGTACAGAAGGAATATTCAGGAAGAACGGAAACATACGTACGTTAAAAGAAATGTGTGATACAATCGATACCCAACCGGATAAACAAGATTGGCTAGACTTTTTCAACCAACACCATATCATTCAATTAGCAGCATTCATAAAAAAGTTTTTAAGGGAACTTCCCGAGCCATTATTAACCTTCAAGTTGTACAAACTGTTTATCCTTGCAAATTCAAATATCCAACATCGGGATAACATCCTGACCTATACTCTTTGTCTACTTCCAAAGCCAAACCGGGATACATTCATGCTCCTACTTGCCTTGCTCAATTGGGTTGCAAGCCATGCAGATGACAATAAGATGGATATTGCTAATTTGGCACGAGTCATCACACCCAACATTCTCTATTCGACAAATGATCAACTTGCGCCCAACGATACCTTGGCTGAGATTAATATCATTTCTTACATGATTGAACATTATAAACGATTTGTAAAGGTAAAAAGAAAAGAAAGAAATATGGAAGAGACACTAATAACACACACGTTATTTAGGTGCCAATGGATATATTGTCTCTCTTGGAGAATCCCAGGTTGACAGAATACGTCTTTTCAAATAATATCGACCTAACCTCAACTAAGCAATTTAACAAGCATTTTAATCAACTTTTAAAGATCAAAAAGGAAATTATCTTTAATGATTTGACCCGGTTACCCCCTTCCCCTTCTATATCTTGTTCAAAATAACCCCATATAATAAACATGTATTACATCGACTCATATTTATTTTCACACATGGCAAACCAATCTGCATGTTCTCCTTTTGCCTCTTGTTTAGCTATTTTCACTAATGATGTTGAATGCTCAATATATCGTTTTACTTGCTCCTTCATATAAGCTGCATCTTCATCATAGATTTGTGACACCAGCAGATCTGTCTCATCAACTAATTGACTCGCAGCCGTATACACATCATCCAACCATGTCACAGATTCGCTATTTCGTAGACAACGGCGTTCAATCTTTTGCAACACAAAGACGGCCATATCAACCAATTTGGCACAGGTCTTGGCCACCTCGAGTTCTTCTTGTCCCAACTCGGTCTCATCATCGGAGCCTTCATTATCATCGAACCCTTCCGATCTGTCCTCACCAGCAACAATCTCATGCACCTCCGTCTTGGCATCCTTCAAGGTTCCTTCGAGTGCATGCCAGGCATGGATGACAGCTTCTTGATTGTTCTTGGGTAACTTTACCAGTTCCTTACACGAGTCCCAGATGGCAGCGGTCGGGACCATGAACGACACTTTGTGTTCTTCAGGCAAGAAATTAGAGCATAAGCTCATGACGCCCTGTATCAGCTCGTTCACTGCGAGTCGATATTGTGTCTTGTATGTCTTGCCTGCAGAAACCGGAATAGTGTGATAGAATCCGACGATACGGTAGACGGTGTTGCTGATTTCCTGAATCATTCGGATCGCATCGTTTGGTTTACGTGGTGGTTTACAAGAAAGTGTAAATTTGGTGGCGTCATGAGAAAGAATTTTTCCTAAATTGACTTTATAAAACAAAACATGAGCTGCTGCATTTCCTTTTTGTTGTTGTTAGTTACCCATTGTGTCCTTGAACGTTACTGTATTAAATTTGTCATCCGTCACGTTTCTCTCTTCTCTTACTTCCTCTAAATATAAGTTGCACATTTTGCAACATGCTTTTAACTTTTCTAAAATAAAGCAAACTTTTTAGATTATAAAGTCTTTATGTCTTCTTTATTGTACCTTGGAACTCTTCTTCGGTTGACATTAGGAAAAAAAGAAAAAGACACAAACTGTGACAGGATAATTCCAAGTCACTTTTTATTTTATTTGTTACCAGTTTGATAAGTGATTCCAAAACTCATCTTTTACTACATCTCTATGCTCCTTGACAACAATACCTTGTCCTTCTTTTGATAAATAATAAACATTGTCAATACCATTTTCTATTAAATACTGAGGTATCTTTTCATAAAATAAGCCCACATCCTTTGGACCGTGACAGTCATCCGATAAGGTAAACTTGCCCCCCTTTTGTTTGATCAACTTGATGATGTCTCTTTGTGGATAAGCGTCTGTCAAGTTCTTTTTCCAAGACCTTGAATTTATTTCAAATAGACCGCCATAGCCAATGATGAAATCTACGTTACGAACGATACACTCCCAAACAATAGGTGTAAGCAACACTTTATCTGCCAAAGAAGGATCAGCAAAGATCCTGATCAGATCAAAATGGCCAACGACTTGAGGCTGAACTGCCTGAAGCATGGCCCATTGCTCATCAAAATACCGCACAAAGAGATCAACAAGGTTTCCATTGACCTCTGTTAAAGCTTTCTGATACAATTCTGGTGAGAAATCAATAGGCACTGTGTTGACATGATGAAGTGATCCAACCACATAATCCACCTCGTCTTTCAATCGGGCGACATAGTTGCAATAGTCATGATGGATATACTCAATCTCTACTCCTATCAAAAGTGATATCTGATCCTTGTATAAGTCTCTTAGACGTTTTGCTTCTACATAAAAGTCCTTGTAAGTCTGTTCGAGTGTCTCTGGCGTGCAGTTGGCCTCTATTTCTTCTGGGTAAAGCTCAGATTCTGCGTATCTGGGCATATGTTCCGTCAGACCATAGACACGAAATTTTTTTCGAATAGCTTCCTTCACTACGTCTTCCAAGAGACCATGACCATGATGACAGAATTGTCCTGAATGGCTGTGAAATGAATATGGCATTTCCCAAAAAAAGAGAGAGAGAAAGAAGAAACAGAATTTCTTACCCCGTCACTTATTTTTTTTGAGAAACACTACGCGCACGCGAAAATAAGACTAGTGTGAAATATACATATACATGCGAAAACGCTATGGACACACCAGAACAACAGGCTTTATTTATTGGTATTAAATACCATTGCCTTTCACGCCGTTTTTTTATACAGGGCAGTTCAAATAATGATGGGAAACTTGGCTAAATTAGCCTTCTGTATTTCTTTTCAATCTGTCAGGTACCATAGTTGGTTCAAAGGTTTCAAGTGACTTGGGTCAAAATGGCAGGTACAGCATATTGCCTACTGCTTCAAAGTATACAGATACAGATCTATTATACGCATCTGCCATTAATTGAATACAATCTAAAGAATTGAATCGATAATTAGGTGGAGGAGCAGAGTTATAATTACTAAGAATTCTTTGAACATCTGTGTAATATTTCATTTTATCTACAAATTTCAGGTTACTTTAGCTTCACTTTTAAAAAAAAATTTGTAGGTATATCTTTGTATAATTCATGTTTGTGCAAGTCAAATCATTCCTTCGTTTCTCGCTTAACTCTCATGCGAACATAAAGTGGGATGCCCATTGCGTTTTTGCGTGTATATACTAAAAAACAAGGTTTTGCTATTTATAAAACATCATCCTTTAGTTATAGATGACTTCTTGGAACCCTTCTTTTAGATGGCATTTGGATTTGTACCTGACCAATTGTCAATTCGAGACCTGAAATTTAAGCACAAACAGGGGAGGATTGATTCAATTAAATTTTTAATGTAGTAAGCGGTAACTTTCTATTCCAGTTCTATTATCATGTCATTATGAAGCTTTATCTTGTTGTATTCATTGGTTTTCCACTTGCCTCAGTGCAGCTTTACTGTCAGCATTGGATCATGTGTTTTAGTTCAAAGACTATAAGGTTTATTCATCATTTGTAAGTCAGTATTTATTCTTTATATAACTCATCATCAGATCTGAAGTATACATGAGTGATGCTGTTCAAGCTTTATTGCATAGCTTATTATTTATGATGTCTATCTTAAAACAGGATCATTGCATGAATTTATCACGTCCATTTAGAACTGGGCATGGCGCATCTATAAGGATAACGTATTTTATGGTCAGTCTTTTTTTGTTTTTCTTTCCTCAAGTAATGATAGTATGAAGCATTTATAGGGTAAGCGCGACAGATATGTAAATCGAATTACTTACGCCACATATTATGTTAGTGCTATGCAGATGTGCAAAAACCAAAAAACAATTATGTGTACGCCACATTAATTTATTTTGGGGTGTATTTTCGCGTGTGCGTAGTGTTTCCTTTTTTTTCTCTCTCTTTCCAGCATATTAAATGAAACGACATGGTAAGGGGGAGGTTGTCTAGTGGAGTCATTTTGATCTAATTTGTTGTAGCTTCTTTTATAATATCATGCAAAAGATACTCATCTACGCTTATCAGTCGACGTGTTTGGGTAGTAACTGACGGAAGCATCGAGCATACATTGCCTGCATTGGCTTTAGGCAAGAAGCTGTCAGGAGCAAGTCAGGATTTAAAATTGAAGACTATTGTAGCCAGTCAAAGTAAAAGTTCTTCCAGCAGAAAGCCTATAGAATCACTTACGCATGTATAGAGTTGCAACTATTTCCAAATATTATTCAAAAATACATTGTTGATTATAGATCGTCCAAACATCAAGGTTGAATCTTTGCATTGGGGGAAGAAATAAAGTGCTGATTTTTTTATAGGCAATCAATTACCTTGGTACTTGTCTTCACCAGATCATTCAGGCATCATAGACGAACCTTATCCAGACTATGTTATAGCAAGTGGACAAGACGCAGTTCCAGCTTGTCTTCATATAACGAATACATATAAAAAGAGCTTTTCAGGTACGCACACACTGCTCATCTTTTTTCCGTAAGATATTCATATCTTTTAAGTGTTTGTTGGTTATCCACACATACCTTTCATCAACTTTGATCAAGTTGTTTTGCCAAAATATGAAGCAAATACCAAAATGGGTAATCAAAGAAAAAAAAGAGGGGAAATAAACAGTAACTAATGCATCCATATAGCCGCGCTTGGACCACTTGCTAAACAAAAGAACGGAATTATTACACCAGTAGGTATACATACATCCTGAAAATCTCTATCTTGACACAAATGAATTAGGCACCGCTATTAAGCATGGGTACTACTAAAGGCAAATCAATCGTCCCAAGCTCATTTCAAAACGGATACTCTGCAGTCATCGTCGGCGGTCACTCTGCCTACTGCAGATGGTATTCTGAAGACGCAGCTACATTAGGAGATAATATCAAGGTAGGTTCAAGTGTAGAACAATGGATGTTTACTAATCACCCTATAATTAGCGTATAGTGCAAAAATTACAAGACAAAGTCGTGGTTGTATATACTGATAGGACATCCAAATTGGTTAAAGAAGCAATAGACAAAAGGCTCGATTCACTTTCCGATGCTATCATTTGGGATTCAACCAAGGAAGAGAAGACGATAGATAAAATAGAGAAATATGAAGACATCATTGCTAATTGCCAGCGAGCCATCTTAACTGCTGACTTGGATTATCCAATTGCACATGCAATCACCAAAAAGTAATGATATTGTCCCCTTCATTGTATTCTTTTTGCTCATATTCTTTCTGTAGTAAACCTGTATATACTACCTTTGGTGGGTATTGCAGATCCTATCTATTACAGTTCAATCGATGGATGCTGGATAATCATCTCATCAGAAAACTTAGGCTAGACAAGAGTAAATATAGAGCAAGCGACGTACAGGATAATTATAGCTATTTAGGTAACCATGCCCCTTGGGGGGATGCCAACAAGGTGTTTCAAGTGGAATCAACAATGGCATCGGTAGTAGATGAAATCGAAGCAGTGCGCCAAGAAACAATCACAGGCAAAAGAAGAAAGACATCATAAATAAAAAGAGAGTTGATTCTCCGCTACAAATGCGATAACCACGTTTGTATTTTTTATTATTCTCTTTTCCCTTTTATCCACTCTAATTTGGAACAAAATGACTCCATCGCCTATTGTTGCTTCTGGAGCTGAGCTTATTGCGACCTGTTTAAAAAACCAAGGTGTTCAAGTAGTCTTTGGAATTGTGGGTATACCTGTAGTTGAAGTAGCTGAAGCCTGTACTGCTGCAGGTATACGATTTATCGGGTTCCGTAACGAGCAGTCTGCGGCCTACGCGGCTTCTGCGTACGGCTATTTGAGTGGACGACCTGGTGTGTGCCTTAGCGTGGGTGGACCCGGTGTGGTTCATGCACTGGCCGGCCTGCTGAATTCCAAAATTAACTGCTGGCCACTTGTCCTGCTCTCTGGCTCGTCTGAAACGGAGCAAGCCGATAAGGGAGCCTTTCAGGAGCTAGACCAAGTCGAAACGTGTCGACCTTATTGTAAATACGCAGCACGCCCGGCTAGTCTTGAGCAGGTACCGTTTGTGATAGAAAAGGCGTTTAGAACTGCCTTGTACGGACGACCAGGAGCATGTTATGTAGACTTGCCAGCCGATTTCATTCAATACCCTATTCGTAACAAACAAGTGATGGAAAGCATCCAGGTGCCTCAGGTGCCTCAGTCGCCTCGGTCTGCTGCTAGTCCAACTGATCTTCATCAAGCCGTAACGCTGTTGAAGCAGGCTAAACGTCCATTGATTGTCATTGGCAAAGGGTAAATGATTTTTTTTTGTGTATGGGTTTCTTTTTCTAACCATGTACCGGTAGTGCATCATATGCTCGTGCAGAAAAACAAGTGTCTGAGCTGATCGAAAAGTCTCAATGTCCCTTTTTACCTACACCCATGGGCAAGGGCGTCGTGTCTGACAGCCATCCTCTCTGTGTATCGGCTGCACGATCCAAGGCCTTAAAGGAAGCTGATGTCGTGCTTCTTATTGGTGCTCGCCTCAACTGGATCCTCCATTACGGCCAACCACCACGATGGGACAGTCGTGTTCGATTCATTCAGATTGATATCTCACCTGAAGAAATAGGAAACAACAAGCATGACACTCTACCACTTGTTGGGGATATCCAAGTCGTAGTTCACCAGCTGACAAACGCCCTGAGCACCATGAAGATAGACTCAACCTATGTCTCGGGCTTACAGGAAAAAGTAAAACAAAACATGGCCAAGACAAGAGAGGCGGGCCATAAAGGATCTGATAGGGACATACTCAATTATCAGACCGCTTTCCAAGCCATCAAGGAACTCTTGCCCGAGAATGACATCGTGTACGTCAGCGAGGGAGCGAACACGATGGATATTGGTCGGTCGTTCTTTGACGTTCATCAGCCGAGACACCGTCTGGATGCAGGTACGGGTGCAACCATGGGCGTAGGTATGGGATACGCTATTGCTGCACGATCCTATTACGGGACGTCCAAACGCATCGTCTCGATTGTGGGCGACTCAGCCTTTGGATTTTCCGCTATGGAACTAGAGACCGCTGTTCGATCCAATTTGCCCTTGCTTATCATTGTGATTAACAATAATGGTATCTACCATGGTCTGGACAACAACGAGTACCAAGCATCACAACAAGAGGGCACACTTCCGACCACAGCCTTATCACCCGAGACACGATACGATCTGATCTCAGAGGCCTGTGGGGGCCGAGGTTGGCTCGCCAAGGATCGTGCCGAGTTAAAGAGAGCAGTCAATGAAGCACTCGATACAAAGAACCAAACCTGCGTGATCAATGTTATGATTGCCCCAGGTGGTAGAACAAAGTTGAGCTTTAACTGGATGCAAAAGGTAGAAAAGCCAAAGCTATAAATAAATAAACAAATGATTCATGCATTTATTGTACAAATGAGTGATAAAAAAACACATAAGATTGGGCATAAAGAATGAGGTAAAAAATGCAAACATTGTAAAATGAGTGGGGGAGTCTGTTACATGGGAATAGAGTTCAAGATAAACGATTTAAATAATCCAGGTTGTCCAATAGAATGGATGCAGATAAACCCGATAACGACTACTGATGTGTGTGAGAAAAGTAAAGTGTTTCATGCTTAGATTACCTATCAATACGGGAAGCCAAAAAATGTATAACCTGTGATCAAGCTTCTGATGAACGAAGCCGAGGCCGTCCATTTCCTTGTCAGGACTTATCTGTACATCTTCGTTCTTGATATCGACATGGCTCAGACTATGGAACCGGTGAGTAAGGTGGCTCTTGACGCTACCTCGTCTTGACAGTGGCTTTCGTCTTGTGTATAACTCGAGTAAGTCCTTGATATCAGACTGTTGAGTGTAGACTGAAGGAAGGCCAACGTTTGACTGCACACCTGGGTTAGAACCAGCCCGCAGAAGCAATCGAACGATGTCTAGGCAGTTCAAAAGACAGGCAAAATGAAGGGCGGTCATGCCATTCGAGTCCTGGGCACTGAGAAACTGCTGTTTGTCTTGTGGATCTGATATTAAGTCCAGGAGAGTACCGACAAGTGCTTCGTTCTTGACCAGCACAGCCAAATGAAGCAAGGTGTGTCCGTTTGAATTAGATTGAGAGAGTGTGTCATAGTGCAGATTGGCTGTCTTTATGGTCTCCATAATGGCCTGTTGATCAAAGCTGCCATTCACAATACTCATGGCGATCTGCGTTGCAGGCTGCAGCTTGCCCGTCGTCTTGAGTCCAATCACTTGCAGGGCAAGCTCGAGTAAGGCTTGGTCACTTGCGTCATAGTAAGTAAAGATGACTACATCCTGACCTTCGAGGAGCAAAGGATGCTCCTTGAACGAAACGACAACAGGACCAGGATGGGCTGCAGGTGGGAGAAGACAGATCATCGTGCTCTCATTCACACAGGTTACGGTTGCTTCCTTGTCGCCAAAGAGGCAGGTCAGGCCTTGATAAAACCCGGTTCCTAGCAAAGTTACCTCTGTGCCGCCATAAGTAGGGCCCTGCGCAGGCACGACTCGTTCTAGTTGAGGAAAGGAGTCACCTAGGAGCGAGAGAATGGACAGTGACTCATGTGAAGTCTTTTGACGACGAGGGGACCATGAGTCCTCTTCAGATAAGGCAGGTGTTGGAAGAGAGTCCGCAAAGAGGTCCCACATATAGTCTTCATTCACTGAAGGTTCCCATCCATGCTCCTCATTTGAAGGTTGAAACAAGATAGGTTCTGGTGATGGTTCCTTTTTTTCGACATATTCCCTTGTCCTCTTCTTTCCTGCCAAGGTCAATTTAGAATGATGACTATTATTATTTTTATGATCATCTGTAATCATAATCGGAGGTGAAACAGTTGATGCAATAACTTGATTTTCATGATTTTTCATGACAAAGCATATTCTAATATAAATAAATAGACATCCTAACTACACAAACATTGGGGGTACCTGAATCCTTTCTTTTCATTATGATGACGACAGTAACAAGTGATACGTGTCGGTAATGTAACTTCACCCGAAGCAAAATTGACGAACGAATTGCAATTGAACAACAAGATCCTATCTCTTTCCTTTTCAATGTCTTCTTCTTGATTTACTTTCATCTTTATTCGTTCAGCCCTTTTTCGCTTTTGTAAAAAGATTAGTTTTATATTTATAAAGTGAACCCTTTTTACCTCACGTCGTACACAGCCTTCGCACATACGAATCGGAAGATTAGCATCACTTCGTATAACGTATGCTTCTAGATTCAATATTTTTGATTCATCCGAGAGTATCATCAATTCCTTTAACTTTTTCTTTTCTTGTTGTTGCTCAATCTTGCGTATCTTTGAGTTGACAAGCATGGATGTGTTGATGCGAATAAATGACCATTGGGTGACTCTTTCTCGTTGCTGGTTTTGTAGCTGAATCGTTATCTTGATTTGTGTTTCAACGCGCGATTTAGCGCCCTCTTTAGGAATTCCAAGTAACAAAAGATGATACAAATGACTAGAGAATAATAAAATTAATGTAAACATATAAACAAACACACAATAGTAAAAGAGTGAGGTCACCTTTCCTATATATGAAAATGGGTAAATAAACAAGGAATCATCTTTATACATATGTATATGTATATGTATATATACCATTAAATCGTGTCTTGTTTGCTGTTCATATTCATCTTCTTCGTTTACTGAAGAAGAGCTCGAAGAAGAACTTGAAGAAGAAGGAGAATATAGAATAAAAGAGTTCAAGACAGGTAACATGTCTTTTGGTTTATCTGTAAAGTGCCTCATGTAAAAATAAGAAAAGTAAGAAAGAAAGAGAGAGAAGAAAGGTTAAAAATAAAAAAGGTTTTATATTTCGATATGTATCAACGAGCTTACAAGTGTGGGAAAAGTTGATCGCTTAAAGATAAAGAAATCTCGGGTTACTTTGTAGCCACTTTCCTTTCCCCCTGGTCTGTTCGCTTGTTACACATTCAAATATTTTTATTACTTTATTATCGATTAGATACAACTTTTTTTTTCTTTTATAAAAGTTATCCATCGATACCGTCTTCGTTGTGGGAATATTCGGGAAAATATGGGGAAATATTACGTAATTAAAGGGTCCATTTAAGGGTTCAGTTGAACCGGTCGAAGTTTTTTAGTAGGGTGATGTTCTTGAACAGATGATCGTTTGATGCCAATAATGGGAAAACAATGCACAGTGGGCTGACCGCATAACAGTTGAGACCATTTTTCGAAAATGATCGGGTTCACATAAATATCGTAATTGATCAGCTTTAAGAAGCAAGTTTCGATTTGGTTGATTTCTTGTACTTTCAACAACGTGATTTCTGCCCATACTTTATTCTTGAATGTTTTATCGTTGAGGTATTTTGATGCAATCATGAGTGAAGCTAAAAACATTCGCCTGCCACATTTAATATATGGGTTCATTGTCGTCTTGACTGCTTGTTGTATCCTTTTTCTGTTATGAAATAGATAATATAAAGCAAGTTGAAATACAGAGCACGTTGTCTTGGATCGTTTTAGTAACTCATGGATGTAACTTGATGTTGATATGATTTTGGTTGTTGTTGTGTATGGTAACCATAGTGATTCAATCATTTTAACTGATCTTTGTATGAGTAATGACATTTGATGAGAATGAAGGGTATCTTTGGACCATGAAATTAATGGCATAATGAAATATGAATACTAAATAGAAAGAAATAAGAAAGAAAGAAAGAAAGAAAGAAAAATAATCTCTTTTTATATAGGGTGAATGTCTTTCAAAAAAGTAAGACCATATTTTATTTATTGATATAAATATACAAGACCATATAATAAAGTATGAAATAATAGAAAAGATAACAATCCACCTATTGCTCCATCCAAGAATAATGCCTTCATATTAATAAAATGTTCTTTTCTTGCCTTGATAGTCAATATCATTCCATTCAATATCATCCAACTCAAAGCAAAGAATAAAAATCCATTCCAATTTTGAAGACCCAATATTCCTGCTGCAGATCCTGATATGGCTGAAAAGCATGATCTTATATATTGTAGCTGCCTATTATTATGCGCAATATTCGCTTGAACATACTTGTGTGTCTCTTGATTGACATTCATTTCAAACAGATGGAGCAAGATTAGCAATAACAAAAACAAAGTACACTCGATTAAAACTCAACCAATTTCATTTGTCACGTCACTCTTCAAATAAGGTGATTTACTCTTTTAAGTGAGGCTTTTCCTTTGCCTCTGATACATGTATCTCATCCGGTTTATTTAAAATAGTCAATTCCGCAGCATTATCGTCGTCCTCTGAATCAGAATCAGCAAAGGGTCTGTAATGTATAACATTACTGTATCCTCCTTCTTCCTTGACATCTTCTTTTTCTATTATATCTTCTTTCTCCGCTTCATCATCAAACTCAACCCTTTTATCTTGCTTCTCCGCTTCGTCAGTATGCTCAATGTTTGATTCTGTCATTTTGTCATTTTGTTCAATTGATTTCTTTGTGTGCTTGCTAAAGAAACTAGAAAATATATTTCGTTTATTTGTTGTCTTGCTTTTGTTTTTATCGCCGGATATCTTTCCGGAGGATGGTCTTTTGAATAAACTTCCGACTGTGGATAGTTTTTCCTTTTTATCATCCATTCCTACTTCATTCGGCACTACTGTGTTGGTAGAGGATGAAGGAACTAGATTATTTGATTTTAATTCAGCCGATATACGTCGATTGAGTATAATGCTGCTATTATTATGAATGCTTTCGGAGCCAGCGGTTGTCGTGTTATTGGTGACACTGACTAATTTCAAAAAAATAGTGTCATTTTAATAAGATCTCTATGCAAAAGTGTTTTTCTTTTTTTTACCTGTTGATAATGAAGAAATCGGATCATTTTTAGCATTTCGACTACTCAAACTTTTTGCTGATAAAGCAGGTGATGTCTGTGGTGAAGTAGGAGGCGAACTTAAGGCGGGAGGTGGTGCCTTCAGTGTGCCGACGGTAAATGGTAATTCAGCAGACATAAATTGCGATTCCTGAAGATCTTGTGATATATAAGTGCCTTCATGAGCATACACAAGGGCTCGGATATAATAATTCACAGCCATGATTTTACTTTGTTCCATCGCGATCGTCGGCACCGCATCTTTGGGAATCTGTAATTTGATCTCAATCGTCTGTGATGGATTGCCATTCTGGGATGTCAAGTGGAGGTCGCCAACTGATCGTGAAACGGGTTCTACAAATGATGAAAACTTTCTATAAATATGAAATGGGGATTGAGTATATTTGGTATTGTTTCTCTTTACTTTACCTTCCGTTCACCATGACTTCATGTGTTCGCAGTAAAGACACTGAAATTCCTTGTTTACGAGTCAGTTCATACTCACTCTGTACTGTAATCGAGATGGGAACAATCGTGCCTTGAACGTGACCCTGGCAAGGCACGATCAGTTGCATAGATGATATACAAAAGTGCTTTGAGTTTGCTACAACAGAGAATACACGTTCTGCTCTTTGCGGGGTCATCATCAACGGTGTCATCACATAAATTGGCTCATACACTGGTATAGTTCTCGACTTGGAGAACACATGGCTTGTTCCTGTAAATGCTTCGAGATAATACACAATCTTGTGAGCTGCGAATTCATTCTTGGTTGAGCTCGGCAAGGGAATATCATCTGGCACCTTGGCCTCAAATGCAAATGCGACTGGTTTGTTCTTGGCTAATTCTAGCAGCATTGGTTCTGATTCGTCACCGTTGGTGTTTTCGTTCGGTGAATAATTTACAAAAGCTGTGTGGTAGATGGGTATATTCTTGTCTATTCGAACAGGCGATTTAAATATTGGAGAACATAGTTTCCAGCAGTCTACAAAATAATCATGGCTCTCCTTCTCATTTTCTCTTGGCTGTACCTGAATGCGTCCTGTCCATATCAACCATAATTTTCGAAGTGTGTGGTTTTGGTTCGCTTTAAGTATAATTTTTCCCGGTATTGTGTCGCCAGGGAAATACTTTTTATCTTCGTCTAGTTTAATATCAACTTTGATGTCAAGTTTGCCAAGCACCATTGGATCTTTAATAGTTTATGTAGAATAGATATATAAATTAATAAAAAGAAAGAAAGAGAGAAATAGGCATTTCTTTTCTTCTTTACTCATAGCGATATTCAGCCACATTTATATATTTCTACATGTGCTACACGTGCAATATACCATATATATCTATTAAAGGTGTATACCTAGTTTATCCTTGTAATTAATGATTCGTTGCGCTTTATTTTCTATTGTAGATTAAATGATTTCTGATAGTGTGCGTGTGCATGAGAATTTTCTATTAAAAATAAACAATGGCTCACAAAAATGAACACTCTTCTATAAAAGTACATCCTAATCCCAAGTTCATTTTTCTGATTAACTGTGTGGTTAAACAAGGTGTTTTTTTATTTCTTTATAGTACCCATAATGACTTTTCATTTCTTAAGTGTAAATCATGTATTTTTGTAGTCTATATGTGATTGTTATTAAATATGTACGAAGGTTAAAATATTATGATAGAAATATATATAAAGAAATCGTCTAAAACAAAAAGAACAATGGTATTTATAGTGTTTCTGGTAATGGACGAAGATCTGGTTCAACGAATTCATGCTTAGCCTTTTCTGTATGCAACACTTTTGGTGAATAATAAGTTTCAATCGTCTTTGGGTCTAGTAATTCTGGATATCGTTCAACAAGCGCAAAAAAATCGTTCTCGTACTCCTTATACGATCGCATCGCAGCAGATACTAATGCGATATAAAACATGGTAATTGTTTCATTATACGATTGACTCTTTTTCGCATCCCTTTTGAAGTGACTCTGTATTGTCTTTTTGATCACTGGTTCAGCAGCATCAGGTCCAAGCTCACGAATATAATTCCAGGCCAATCTGAGATGTGCTCGATGTGTCCACTTTGTTGTATCCAAAGTACCATCACCCTCTGTGAATGCTTTCATAAACACTTGATCACCAACACTTCTGTATCCTCGGTCGTAATAAAGCAGTGGTTTAGCCTCTTCACGTACACCATGCTCTCCTCCAACACCTTCTTCCACTCGAATGACCTTTGTGATCCACATTTCATGGTCACCTAGTTCAATCACCTTGTAAGCCTCACAGTGCATTGCTCCTACAGTCCCCGACAGGACAGGTAGTCCTGTCATTGGATCGTCAAAAAAGGGTATATCTTTGAACTGGTCAGCGCTTGGTGAAGAGAACACGACGGACTGCTGTACTTGCTCGTGACTGAGCATATTGAGAACCATGCTGCCAGACGAATGCAATAGTTGTGAAGCTCGTGAAGGCACTCGAACACAAAACGACACAAGTGGTTCCGGATGTAAACAGACAGAAGTGAATGAAGCCACGGTGATGCCTCGTCGATAGCTGGGGTCTTCGGGTTTACACGTCGTAACAACTACAACTGGCTGTGGTACTTTTCTCATGATGCCACGCACATCGTCAATCACTTGAGTGGATAGACTTCTTTGGCAAGATCGAAGCGTCGATCGCGTAAAAAGTCTAAGCATTAGGCTGTAAAAAATAAAAAATTATGTCATGGTCCCCTCTTTAGGGCTCTTTTTGTTGCTCTTTTATTTTCAAGTTCCGTTATAATAATTCAAACTCAATGAGCGCTGACTTCGCCTCTGGGAATGCATTATGTAGGGGGACTGAAAGGTAAAAATCTGATAAGGGTTTTTCTTTTTTTCCTTTTTTCTTTTCTCTCTCTCTATTCTATTTATTTTGTTATGTACTTGTCTGGTGGTCAAAGTTTACAGAGTGTAGAAATACCAAACAGCATCCAAATAAACATAGGTTCTTCATCGTCTTTTAGTCCAACCGAAAAAGATCAGATAATTCTTCGTAGAATGAACCTTTCTTCAGACGACTTGGAACATGAATTGCAAAAGACAAAGTTCCCTTCAGAGTCAACTGAATTTGATGCTTCCCGTAATTATTTGGCGACTATATCAACTTCTTTAAATCGCTTCAATAACCTGACTAGCTTAAATCTATCGAGCAACCATATATCCACTATTGACTCAGAGCTATATCTTCCACAGCTTACAACTCTCTTGCTTTCTGATAACCAGATCGAATTTATTCCTGACTATATGCCCTCTTGCTTTCCCAGTTTGGTCGTACTTCATCTCGACGGCAATAGGATTTCATTACTCCCTCGGACAATTGGGCAGTGGCACTTGATGCAAGAACTAAAGCTAGGCTCAGAACTATTTGGTGGTAATGCGATTGAATATCTACCAGAATCCATAACACAGATGAAGAAAATAATTGAGTTAAACTGTTCTTATAATCAGATCACTAGCCTGCCTTCGTTACAGGGCATAAACCAGCTTCAGCATCTTAACTTATCTTTTAACCGACTAGAGAGGGCACCTGATATAGACTCTTTAGGATTGAAGAGCATCAATCTATCAAATAATCGCATTGTATCACTACATCAAGAGTTTGTGCGCTTTATATTGTCATCTCCAAACATGGAAGTAATAAATTTAAGCCATAATCGAATATGTGTCCTGCCATCCGACCTACTGGAGCAATCTAAAGTTCAAGTGATCATCAAGGCAAATCCACTCATACAGCCTTCTAACCCACAAGAAGTTAGCGGCAGTAACACTCATAGAAACGGGTGGTTTAGATCTGTGAGACAGTTGCTACAAAGAGCGTTGCCTGTTTCTGACCATCCACAAGCAGCAGTCCGAGAAGAAGAAGAAGAAAGATCAATAAATAACATGGATGATTATACCAGCACGTTACTGCCGCATAGCAGGCTTCCAACAAACAATAATAACAGCCACCTGGTGTTAACAGGCACAGTTATTGATGATAGCAACCAAGAGCTTGAAGAAGGAGGAGAAGAAGAAGAAGCAGGTTCGACAACATCTGAGCAGGATGAGATACCACCTTACTTGATTCACTCGCTTCGAGAAATTGCATTACGAGATACCATCAAGACCAATTTTTCGGCTACTTCGCTTCTTCCACCGCATATCGCATTTGCAATTGAAAACAAGACAAGGATATGTCCTATATGTGAGCGGCCGTATATTTACGAATGGGTCAGTTCTATCCAATCCAGACAATACCACGGCTATAACTCAACACTTCGAAGTATCAAGTTTTGTAGTACGCGGTGCTGGAAGACGTACAGAGAAAAGATAAGGATAAGGGCAGAACAGCTACAAAATGCGGAATCACAACGACAACGAGCGCTCGAGTTTCTCCGTCGTGATCCAGAACCATTACAACCTGAATCGTTCAGCTGGGTCGTAGCTGCTGTCACAGCTGCAAGAGAACAAGATGAACAGATAGAAGCGATGACGAATGCTATATAAGCAAAAGATGAAGCAATAAATGTCTGGCTGTTTTGTCTCTCCTCTTTTTTTTTAAATCATGAAGGCGCAAAGTAACCTTACATGTATAGCATTTGATCTATTCAAGTACAGCGCTACAACGATTAGAGTGAGTTAGAAGCAATTTATTTCTAAAGTATACAAGAACTATAATAGTAAAAAAGTATTCTTTGTCAAACTTTACAGCACATATCCTTGTTCAGGCCGTCTATAATCCCAATGAGCAATCTCTTCTCCGTCAATTTTTCTTCTAACGATCATAACATCTGGGTGATTATTAATGACATCAAAGATCTCTATCCAAAGATCAATATACTCTGGATAATCCTGGATGAACCGATAATAGAAATCTCCGATAGGTGATAATGAATATGGATGAAATAACGGATTTCTAATAGAAAGAAGTCGTTTATGCTCGAGTCCATCAAGAATATCCCGCGCAGCTGTATCTATCAGCCTTTGAATGGCACGCCTTTTGACAAAACCATAGCATATCTTCCATAGCTTAACAGCGATGACAGAGAGAAAGAACAAGATAAAGGGTACACACCAGAATTCAAGCTGTGGCAATTTGGTTGGGATGGAACGTGTGATCTGAATGTTGATATAAATCAAACCAAAGAATAAGCTATAGATGATGAGAATTATAAAGATGGATACAAGCGTTTTCCACAATAACGGTATAAACTTTGTGAAGAGTATTCTACTGTAGTAGTTGTGTATAGGTTCAGAGGGCACCTTCTGGCCAAGGTTAGGCACTGTCGTCTGAGCTGAGCTAGGATGCCTTTCAGAAGAAGCTATCGAATCTATTGGCCCCTGTTGTTGACTCACGGACGGTAAGTTAACATAAAATCCACAGAATTCCCTATTATCGCTGTCTGATTCTGTATTAGGATAAAAGAGCGTTTCATGATGAAATGGGGATTTACGAGCAAAAGTGTCTTGTCTGCTGCTTGATGGTGGCTGGGGTGCGCTTAATGTTGTAGAGTCAAGACCAAGTGTCTGGTGAGACTCTGCACGAGGTCCAGGTAAACGATCGCTATCACTGACAGCCGGTGTGCTGTTACCAAGTTGAGGTGGGTTAGAGCTGGCTGTACTATGGTAAGAAGACACTTCGCGACCAAAAAAAGGATGAGGAGCGAAAAAGCGTAGTCTGCTGCTTGATGGTGTCTTAAGCCAACTTGAAGCTATGGGGTGGAGGCCAAACGATTGACGTGGCTTTGCACGAGATTCAGGAAAACGAATGTAATCGTCGACTGTTGATATACTGTTTCTAAATAGAGATGGTCTAGGACCGGCTGCACTACGGTAAGAGGATGCTTCATGATACAGAGAAGGTCTAGGAAAAAAGACACCTTGCCTATTGCTTGATGATGATTGAGAAGAACCTGATGCTATAACTTGAGAAGGATCCGATGCTATAACTTGAGAAGGATCCGATGCTATAACTTGAGAGGAATCTGATGCTACAGCCTGAGAGCCAACTTGATCACTTGTGTAGGAAGCTGGTGATGGTTGATTATAATGTGATACACCAGGCAACTTTGTTTCAAGCGAAATGTGAGATAAAGGATACGTTGGATTTACAGAAGAAGATGGAGGGGATGAACCAAGGCTGAGGTAATCGTTTGTATCAAGATTAGAAGCATCACTCTCTGTTTCAGTTTGTGCTAAAGATTGCCAGTACTCATTCAAGATTTGTAACCGATTGCCATATACTTTTTTATTGAATAACTTTAATAGCTGGTTTCTTCCCATATTAGGCTTATGTGTAATGCCATGATGAAGTAAGGTTTCTGCTAGGACTTGCTTGCAAAGTTTTCGTAAATCGACGTCTTCGTCTAAATATATATTTACATACATGTATTAAAGAAAACGAAAGTATCAATGTACCTAAATAATATAAATGACTAGGAACTGCTCTTTCTTCAGATTCTTGTGAAGTGGTAGACATAGTTTAGATAGTAAAGAGGTTATAAAATGAAAAAATGCCATTTTATACTTGATAAACAATGAATAGTGTAAAACAATGAAAGCCTATGATGGCGCATTGAGAAGTAATCCATGGTTGAGTCATTATGCTAAACATCGTTGTTCGATTTTATTAGAAGACACAATATTCGCATATCCAAGATTGACATTTAGGCATTATTACCAATTTGATGGTAGTGCTCCATAATTTAATTTTAAAGTAATTTTGGAAAATGACAAAGCTTCTTCTCCTATACCAAATATTTCAGGCAGTGCTGGCCAATACGCTGTAGGGGTATTCTTGGTGATTGTAATCAAAAGGTCTGAACAGACAAGATTGATTTTCAGGACAGATTGGGGAAACATAAAGCCACGCTTGAATCACGCTTCTTTTGTACAAACTGGAAAAGAGTGATCTACTCAGAATATTGTACTGACAGATTTAGAGGCGAGAAACCTTGAAGGCACCGAATCATAGGCTCAATCATGTGAGCCTTTTGTAATTGTATAGGGTGGCCATGCTCTCCGCTTGCATCCAAAAACATTATCATGTACAATATGACAGTGCTCCTACCCACAGCTAGAGCAGGTCTGAGCTACACTGACTTTATTCCTGTTTATCCATTAGCTTGATAGTTCTTTTTTATTCGAGTATTTCTTCAGGCTTCGAGACAATGTAGAGGAATGCAAGTTTCTTGATCATGACGACTTTTCCCAGTGTATTTACGATTCTTGTAATGTGATCATTTCCTCTACTAAAAATCGTCAAGGATGAACTCGTCAAAGCATAAGTTTCTTTTTCCCTAGATACTTGTCATGTAAACATACACTGCAGTTTTTCTTTTTTTTTCTTATTGTATAATCTACCTTTATTTCATGCATTAAAAAAGTGATAAAGATCAGTCACTGCACAAAAATTGCTGATCAAATGCACTAGGACATAATTCTAGAAAGGTCGATATACTGATAGCTAATCGTTCCACAAGAAAGTAGCCACATGTGGGGTCAGGGTAAATGGGTAACCAAGAAGATATAGTAGAGGGACTAATTTTCCTTACATAATTCGGTAAGGCTGGCCTCTTTATCGCATCCTTATCTTCGGATTTTACATTATGAAGCATGATAATTCCGTCTGGAGCTACATTTGATGTAGGTATTAAGCAAGTATCTAAGATACAACCCAACTGATGTATTGTCAGCTGCTGAACTTTTTTTGTCGAGTATTCGCTTGCACCTGAGAAGGAACCAGCTCTTACAGGAGGGAAGCTCTTTCGGATATCCCATAGTGAAAGCAAGGGCTTTTGTAATCCACTGTCACTTGGATGACGAATAACAAGTTTGCCATGAGACACATATGCATCTTTTACTCTGAAATAATGTTGAAAGGAACAAAAATCAGGCACTGTCCAAATGAACCTGTTGTAAGGGTCAAAAGAAGCAAAATATAAGAATAGAGAAGATTCATTTCGTTTGTTTAGGTCAGACTGTACATCCGTAGAAAGTTCATGAAGATTTGTTGAAACTAGGTTTAACAATGGTTTTGACTTATTGTTTCGAAGTTTAAAGACGAGTGCTTCATCAACTAATGCTTGCGGAAATACGGAATATAAGGCATTAAACGTAGATAAAGGAACGTGTTGAAATATTTGCAGAATAATTTCGAATGGTAATTCATCTATAAATGTCTTCATTATGTAATAAAAAATAACAAAGAGAGAGAAAAAAAAGTAGAGACTGACACACTTCAAAAAAGGATGACAACTACGATATCATTGTTCTTGGCACTGGTTTAACTGAATGTATTCTCAGTGGTATCTTTTCTGTTGAAGGTAAAAAGAGATAAAGCACGGATAAATAAAATATTCTGGCTTTTCCCACGAGTTTCGCTATGACAATGTAGTGAAATAAGTTTTAAATATTTTGAAAGATTACATAAGATATTTAATATAAAACATGCCTCTCATATCAGAAACATTCAGCATATAAACTTGGTTAAATTAATCAACCAGTTTTGTACTTGTCCAAGATAAAAATAAAAACCGGAGCTTTAGTGGCTATGATTAAAACTTAATAAAAGCTTTCCAGTTTGTTACAGAAATAACAATAATATTTATATTTGTAATCCTAGAAATAGTGCAGTAGTGGCTTCTATACCTGCATGAACATGCTAAATGTATTGCCGATGTTCAGAATGTAGCATGTGATATGATAAGTCATTGCCATTTTACATAATTTTAACTACCGCACTTTGACTTTTTTTTTTTTTTCTACAAAGATCCAAGGAGATCACCCACTTAATTTATATTGTGTGGCATCATTTTTTATATTCAAGTTTCATATCCATGGTTACGTCTGTGCTACTCACTAATACCATAGCAATATAAAGCTAAGGTATCACCGTGTCACTTGTCAGCTTTCTTGAAGAGTCGTTCATTACACAAACCCTGATTTATTCTAAATGATAAAAAAATACGTTCTTTCCCAAAACCAGGAAAGATTACAACAGTTAAAGGAGCGCTACCCACGAATCAAGTTACACTAGAAATGGGTATGATGATAATCACTTTGCAAATAAAGTATCAGCTGTGGAATAAACGTAGTTTACTCAAGGCATATTTTTAATAAAAAGCTCTTAAATATGCTGCATGAGCCAAAATGTGATTTTGTAATGTTTTTAATGTATTTTCAAGTTTACTCCTCCTTTTCTGATGACTTGAGGTAAGCATATTTCCATAGTATATAGAGTTATGAATCTTTGCTATTATAGGAAGTGCCTGTCTTTCTTTAATATAAGGGATGAGACGAACAGACTCTTCCATCTTATACTCTTGGGTCAATGGGAATAAACGTAGGTACAGCGGTAAGCGTTTGTGATGATCATTGGAAGTAGACGTGGAGAAAGGGGGTTACTAAGTAGATAATTTAAACAAATATGTTCTGCTCAAACACAATTCTTCTCAGAGTTGTTTTGGGAGCTCAAAAACGTATTCAACCCATTTGTTTTTTCAAACAAGCACGCGGTTAGTACTTTATAAAAAACTTATAAACTTTATTGTTGACGATTTTTCTAAGCAATCAGAGACCCACGTTTTAATCCCAGTCAATTTTGAGTGTATTTGAACTCCTCTAGCTTATCGATCTTCATTGTGACTATCTTTCGTCTCTTGTTCACTCTTTCTCTTTAACTCTTCTGCTTATCCATTTTAGCTTACCTGTTTCAAACAAAGTTTTTGACTTCAAGATTACTCTAGAGAATAGCCTTTGGTCACGAGAGCATTATCAATTAACAATGCATGTCGGCAGTTTAAAATAGACACGTTGGTTGCAGGGTGACTTTGTCACACAGATATCGTCCGCATGGCTTTAGTCCTTTTTTTGACTTTTTTCCTTCTTTCTTCTTTTCCCTTTTTTTTTTCTATTCAGCCCTTTATTTTAACTTCGATGGTAGGAGGAGGAACGCCTACGCAATCAATTGCCGAACTCATTACAGAGTTTCATAAAACAACAGGAGATGTACCACCTTCACTTATTGGTGCAACTGCGACTTTGATCAATCGACATGTGTATGTCTTTGGTGGTAGATTACAATCAAGTCGACAAATATCCAATCGACTCTATGTTCTATCTTTAGACACTATGTCATGGAAAATTGCCTTTCCTCAAAACACTCCACCTGTGCCTCGTTATTTTCACTCAGCCAGTGCACACAATGATACACATATCATATTTTATGGTGGTATGACAGTTGGACAACACCAGCATAGACGATCCGTACCCTCAGATGAATTGACAACGCTTGATGACTTGGTCTTTTTAGACATCAAGTCACTCGCCTGGGAGTATCCCAATCTTACCAATCAGCCTATTCCTTCGCCTCGTTACGCCCATATTTCGACCCTAGTGAATGACAGACTGTTCATTTTGGGTGGACAAGACATTGAAAATAACTATCTGACAGACATTAGCATCTTTGACTGCAGGAAACGAGCGTGGTGTGAGCCAATCTCAACACAGCAATTTCAATATGGTGCCTACCGCTCAGCTGCAGTAGCAGTTACACCAATTCAACTATCCCCACCCTTTGCACCCAACATGGATCTACTCACTGATCCTTTTGAGGAGACAAACATCACAGTGAAAGAAACGGATATCTCTATTCATGTCTATTCAAACTATAGTGGAGCTGAGATCGCTCGACAGTTGCATTCATGGAAAATAAACACTAATAGTGAGTGTGTGGACATGCTGAACCAGACTGAGCAAGTTGGAGCCAATAATACTGCACCGCCTCCTATTCGATTCCCATCTGCATTTATGTGTGGTCAACAATTCATATTGGCAGGACCACATATGAGCGGCGCAGTCCAACAGTTTCAGATTTGGGCACTTGATATGACAAGCTTTGTTTGGACTAAAGTTGAGCCTGGTCCTGGCATCGCACGTGGCTCCTGGTTGCGCGGAATGTTGTGCGAAACAATGAACAAGTTCCTCATCTTTGGACATCCAGCACGCAATATGCAGGATGACTACAAGAACCGTGTTCACTGCTTTGATTATCTAGCTCTCGTTGACATTGAGGTGTTTGGTATCTACAGACCGCCACAGACATCCTTCAGTACCATCGGACAAAGTTTAGGATTATCAATGCTCAAGGATCCTGTGTTAGCAGACCTCAAGATAACAGCAACTGACAACAAGTCTATCTCTGTTAATTCATCCGTCTTGGCTCAGCGATGGCCATCTATCCGCTCACTACTTAAACCTGTCACCTCCCCTCAGCCTGGGATGTCAGAAATACTTGACCACGACAAACGAGAGCTTTCATTTCCTGACACCTACATCGTCCTTATCGCATTCCTGCAGTATATTTATACTGACCATCTTGTCACCGCTCAACAGCACCAACCTCAAATTCTCTCACGGCTCCTGTTTGTAGCCGACTTTTTCCAGATCACACGACTCAAGGAGCTCGCGATCCATGCTCTACATCAAATGCTCAATATGTCTACTGCTGCCATGATTTATGAATCTGCATCGTTATCAAATGCAACTTCATTACAAATTCGTGCTTTGCGTGTACTAATCAATGCTAAAAAGATGATGCAACGACAGCAAAAGATGCAGCAGGTGACCGAACGCCCCATGCTCCCTGCCAATCCGCCTCAAGAGCCAATACTGCCACTAAACACTGCTCGTACAACAAGTCAAAGTGAGCCACTCAATTACTACAGCAGCAACTCATCTAAGCTTTTACAAAAGCAAGACTCACCTACAGCAGCAACAGCTCCAACTTCTCCCGATTTTACACAAAATAATATTAATCATCATACCCGTTATCAAAATATCAACAACATCCCATTTGCATCATCACAAAGCGCAACAACGCTCAATCATCGCAGATCTCCTTCTGAGCAGTCTATGTCATTGGATTCTTATCAAGTACCAGGTGCACCGCCTACACCCATCAGTAGCAAGTCAATCAAACTGACCGCCCTTTTGGCACGTCAGCAACAACAACAACAACAGCAACAACAGAATGCATACTTTGATAAAGAAAATTCACCTGTTTCATCTGCTGCTCCTTCACCTAGATTATCACCCATTCAACAGCCATGTACAGATACTTTGATTAAAAATAGTAATAACAGTAAAACTCATTTTTGGAGACATAATACCGTCAGCACAAAAAAGAAGACAAAGACAGAAACCAGAGCATTTGGCTTTACATTAAGTAAATAGAAGAAAGAAGCCGGCCTTTCTTTCCTTTAATAAACTCTCCCTCTTTTTTATTTGGCAATTTTGATTTGAAATGTACCTAAAGAAAAAAAAATATATACTTAGTTTACAAACATGTAAGAAAATGAATAGGTTTACATTGAGGTAAGTTTGATGTTTCTGCTACTACTACACTAGGAACACCTAGACTGGCTAATGCTCCACGGATAATACCGCATGGAAACCAGACATACTAAAAGAAAGGTGTAAAAAGATGATATTTATTAGATATAGTACAACTTACAGGCATTGCCTTCTTGGCTGAATCAGCTCCTCCTACGTCTGTTGACATGCGCATAAACCATCTGAACCCATTGTCTTGTAATACATAGACTCCCTAAATTAAAGTATGAATGGCTATTCTCTAATTTAAAAAAGCCTCTTTACTCTGTGATTTGTTTTCAGGTTATCAATCTGCTTCTTGAACATGATTGTCCAAAGATCTTTACAAATAAATTTTACAACATCTAGAGTATCTACAAATCGTAGTCTATCTTTGGTGAATCTATTCTAAGCATTTAGTATAAAGCAATACTTTAAACAGATATATTACCTCTCTATCAGCCTTTGACCAACAACGTATCCTAAAGTTTCTAGTTTATAGAATATCGCGTCATTATCCCCATCAGGTTCAGAAGTAGTTGTTCTGCAGACAGTGTCTACCATTTCAATTAAAAATAAGTCCATACATGTCTCGCTCACTAGACGTGGTGGTATTGAGCTTGAGTTGTCTTCATTATAATTCATGTTGAAAAAGTTGGAATAAGCAATAATAAAGCAAATAATTCTCCCCTTTAAAAAACAGAAAGCTAGCAGGTACGTCACATGATCAAATGGCCAATAAGAATGACGTTTTTCTTTATTACTTGCGTATACATGAATGACAGCTAGTGTTAAAAAGATATATAGATATACATGCAAGTCAAACGAAGGAAATATAAAGAAAAACAAATGGGAGAAAGTGATGATGACTGTATTAAGATATATTAAACAGCAAAATTTATGCGTCCCTTTTTGGTCTTTTTTTTTTCAGTTTATTTTTATAGATGCTGTCTTCATCCATTTCACCAACAGAAGGTCAGCTTCATAACCCTTTTGATGATGAAGCATCTGTTGCGTTAATAGAACCAGACATTGACCTGACAGGACAATCTACAACAAAACCAACGGAACCGCAAAATGTATCCCCGACTGTCACTGGCAACATTGGCTCCATTAACAACATTTCTCAGCAACAACAACAACAACAACAATATGAAGATACGCTAGACGAACCTGTTTCAGTAACGATTGTAAATATAAAAAAAAAAAAAAAAAAAAGTTAGTTAATGAGTCATGTATAGATGCGCGACGTGAAAAAGGTGGCCAATAAGTCATTACAAGTCCTTCATCCAAATGGCGATAGAAACGTACTGAGAGACTGTAAGTTATTATGGTTTTTCTTTTATTGATATTAACTTTTCTAAAAGGGGATCTATGGGGACCTTTAATCTTTTGCCTAATTCTTGCCATGTATATGATCCATTTATGCATATGCAGATATTAACTTTTTTCTGGTAGCGTCTTGAGCGTAGAAGCGCCCAAGGAACAAGCCATGCCTATCTTTACAGGTGTATTTGTTATTGTATGGGCAGGAGCAGCTGTTGTTACGGTCAATGCTCAATTATTAGGTGGCGCCGTGTCCTTTTTCCAATCGGTTTGTGTGATCGGTTACTGTCTATTTCCTATTGTCGCATTGGCCATCATTGCTTTGTTTGTCAAATTCATCTGGATACGCTTGCCAATTGCCATTGTATCGTTTGCATGGTCAACTTATGGTTTGTTTAAATTGTAAACGCACGACAAGATGAGTCTTACTTTATTCTATTAGCTTCCGTCGGATTCATGTCTGAAACTCAAATACATCTACAGAATAGACGAGCACTAGCTGTAAAGTATATAAATGACCTTTTTATTAAAATACTAATGGGTGATATTAGGTTTATCCTTTATTTTTATTCTATTTTGTCATTACGTGGTTAGTCTTGATTTCATAAACAGAAATATTATTATGACTATAGTATTTGTCTACTTGGATACACAGAACTTAGATCTTTCGATTAGGAATCATTGAAGCGGGCAATTTATCAGGCAACTGTGCGCCTAATTCGACTGCCTTAACGAGATGCAATGCCACGCCAAATTGATCTGCATCCATGTAGCCATCACTATCCCAGTCCGCAAGTCGCCAAATTTGAGCCAGTGTTTCTGTAGGCAATCCGCTTTCTTCGAGCACAGGCTTGACGCTTGCACCTGAGACCAGACCATCACGTGGCCGTAAGGACTGGAAAATAGGCATATAGCTATTCTTGTCCAGTTGAGTGTAATCCCAAAAGGAAGGTGGCAGCTGTCCGTTCTTGACGACTTCTGCGTCGACATTAGGTTGAGCGAACGGGTTGATCTGAGACTTGTCCAGCTCAGGGTTGCCCATTGGGAACCGAGACATCAATCGAGGCAGATCGACAGCAAGGGCATCATCCACTCTGGCAATCAAGTCTTCCTTTAACGACTTGAATTTGTCCATATCATATAATGCAAGGTTTTGCTTGAATTTTTCTGGGTTTGGGAAATCGCCAGCGGGGAGATGATGTTTGTTTTGGATCTTGATAAACACTTGGTCGAGGTTCTTGAGAAGCGCCTCTTGTTTCTTTTTTTTGCCAAACATGGATGGCATTTCTTTTTTGAGATGACTGATAATCAAAGCATGTACCTTGGCCAGTCGAGCTCGTTTGACAATCTCATTCACTTTACGAATGGCTGCATTTCGTCTGAGTTCTTTTAGATCCCTCAGCAAGTCTCTTGACTCGGCTTCGATCAATTCACGACAATCTTCAAAGCAATTACTGGGCTTTTCTGTCCAAAACGAGCTAATGTACACACGCATCACTTCAGGTGTTTGAACGACCTTTCCTAGAGACCACATCATGGCGCCATACACTCGCATAAGTTGCTGTTGACTGACCATGTCACTCTTGTTCAAGACAACACGGATTTTTTCTTCTTGGCCTCGTAAACTATGAATCGCCATCTTGAACTCATTAGAGATATCCAATTTGTATGAATCAAACATTAGAAGGATCAAATCGGCACGCTGTGCAAACCATTCGATGACTTGAGTAAAGTCATAACCTCGCTCGATTCTCTGCTTGTCGCCTGCCAAGATACCTGGTGTATCAATCAATGTCATATTTTCCAAGACAGGCGAAGGAGTCTCTGAGACCTATATAAAGATGTAAGCTAGGCAAATGTATAAACACGGCTTGTTTACTTGAAATCGAGATAAAAATGCTTGTCCAAAATGATTGAGACCACGGAAAGGTAAATCCTGGTTGACAGCAGCAGCATTACCAGGGATTATACGATCTTCACCACCATTCATGACAGCTAAAAATCGGTCTGTAGTAGGCTCGACACCGATATGCTCACCAGGATATTTTTTATCAAGCAAGTACCGAATAAAGGTCGTTTTACCCTTTTTTTTTACAGAATTGGTTACTACATTATATTGCTTATCTTGTTAATATTTACAGTCGAGTACTGGCCGATGAGCAACACCATGGGTTTTGCTTCAATATCTGAATCCGTCAAGGGTGCAGAATGAAATCCTTTTTTTCTTTTATGGTGAATACATTGTATACATTCATTGCATAAAATTGCAAAACACACGAACCTTCAAAATTGTATGTCACTTCTAAAGGCTTTATCTTTGTCTTGTAAATCTTTTTAACACCCTCTATCACTTGAGCATACTCATCATCTGCCCAATTTGTGGATGAAGAGTAGTGAGGACGATTATTAGAAGGTTGGCTGCTACTTCCGTTCACGTTGGTTGACTTGGTTTTTAATGACTTCATAAAGAAAAAGAGGTATGAAAATAAAAACAGAAATGGTTAAATAAATGGGACATACATGACGTTAATTAAAAACTCCGCGACTGAAACCTTTCCTTTATTTCCTTAATTTTTTTTCATTTATAATATGTATAAAATGGTCGGCGTCACCTTGCAGGTAGTGTCAGGCAAGGGACACCTGTGGAATTCAGAGATAGCAAGCCAGAGCTCTGAATTCCCGGCGGGAAAAATTAGATTAACAACGAGAGGGACAATGTCCCTCATTATAGTTGTTAAACTATAAAGAACAGATACTACACTTGATCTTAGCCAAAAGGCCTGAGAGGATAAGGAAAAAAATGGTTTCTGCCTTTTGCTCGTCCTTTTATACTTTTTTCGAGCCTCTTTATGCGTGACTGTTGATTTGATACTCCTATTTTCTAGAATTCTTTTTGCACATGATTGGTTGTTTATACTCACCGGGTCAATGTTACACATAAAGTGCGCAAACAATCATTTAACCTTAAAAAGAAAGAAAGGGATAAACATTGAATCGTTTATTTACGCCAACACTCATAAAAAAGGAAATGATTGGTGAATAAAGGCAGTGGAATAATACTAATGTGACGATAGGTTTCGGAAACAAGGAGAGGAGATAGTAAGTTACCTCCCTTCTTGAAGTTCTTTTAACATAATTTTGTGTGTTTAGAGTAACATGCGTTTCTTTGAACACACACACATATACACACGTACATTTAATCACTTGTGGTCATGAGAATGGCTCTTGTTTTTTATATGTGTAAACTGTAGTACGAGCATCATTTTGGTCTGTCGCACGATCAATCTGCAGCCGATACTGATTAAAAAAAAAGTGTGCCCATTTAGGGAAAGGATAAATAATGTAGCGAACACACAGAGAAACATACTGAATTTGAAGCCACTCGAGTGACTTTGTATTTGAGAGTATTTTTTTTTGTGAGGAAAAAAAGAGTATACATATTTTACATATAGAATGACAAGCATCAACACGTAAGATTAGCATAGAACAAAGGCAACATATTGTTAATATATTATTCAAGTATTCCTAGAGGTTTCAAACCATGTCTCTCAAAATATTCTTCACCTTTTGATAAAGAAATACTTCAAGACGACGATAAAGAGCTTTGGTTGATTCGTATTCCTGACAACGTATGTGTTTGTGTATTTGTAAATGCATGTTTTTATTGATGAAATTTACTATAGATTTCAGAAAAGGATCTGGAACAATTAAAGTTAAAAGTCCCAACAGCAACAACAACATCTAAGCTCGCCAAATTAGAAAAAGACAATAATAAATATGCTCTATACAAGGTGCCCACAGACAGCTTTAGCAGTAGTAGCAGTAGCAGTAGTAATAGCATTGATGATGATAAAGCGCAAAATGATGTTGGCATTAGTGGACAAGAAATGTTAAGTTTCGATTGCTTGGTGCCTAGCCGTGAAGATAATGGCAAATTTGTAAAAGGTAATATAAATCATAGACATATATGCGCGTATCTTATAATTTCTTAAAGTGGATAAACCATTCGAGCATTGTTTAATTTTGGATGAAATTGTTGATATTCCTGATTCAACAGCATTAGCAGAATCCATTCGTGACTCACCCATCTACAAACGAGAACAGCCTGAAGGTCTCAAGCTGCGTTTCTTGCCAACTGGTTACTATTCAAGTAAATATATTTATAACAAAGTGATCCCAATAAATGGTATATCTCATTGTTTTATATTATAGGAGAGGATGAAAAGCCAAAGGAAGAAGAGAATAGAAAACGATCTCTTGAGGAAGAAGACGTAAAAGAGCCTGTGAAGAAGGTTAAAAAGGAAAAGAAGGATAAAAAGAAGAAGAAAGAAAAAAAATAAAGTTACCAAAAAAGGGTGGTACACGTCATACTGCCTTACATATAATTTCCTTTTTTTTTTTCTGCTTGTTTCTTTCATTTTGTAATCATGTCTTCTACTATCAACGTCAACGTCAAAGCTTCAGGCGATAAAAAGTTTGTTATTACCATTGATCCAAGCAAGAGTGTGCTTGAGTTCAAAGAGATGATTGCTGAAAAGACAGATGTACCTGCCGAAAGACAAAGACTCATCTATTCTGGTCGTGTATTGAAAGACAATGATACTTTGTCCGATTGCAAAATTGGAGACGGCAATACCGTCCACATGGTAAAGGGATCGCAACCAGGTGCACCTAAAGGTAATATAAATATAAATGTATATAAAATTAGAAAATAACATCTACTTAGCAAGCAGTACACCTGCTGCTGCTGCTCCAACAACAACAACAACCACAACAGCCAGTGCACCACAAACAAATGACAACAATACCAACACACAATCTATTCCAAACAATCCGTTTGCAGGATTAGCAGGCATGCCTGCCGATTCTCAAAGCAATCCTTTTAATCTATTCGGTTCTGGCTTCGGAGCAGGTGCGATGGGCAACAGCTTTGGAAGTCTACTTGATCCCAACATGGCCAACCAGATGCTTCAGAACCCCATGTTTGCACAATACATGTCAAGTGTACTTCAAAATCCTGCTGTTTTAGATTCTATCATTCAAACTAATCCTCAATTATCAAATATGGGACCAGAGATCAGACAGATGTTGCAATCACCTGAATTCAGACAAATGTTATCCAATCCAGACATGATTCGTCAAATGGCTACCATGGCTTCCATGTTTGGAGGAGCTAATCCTGCTAGTCAGCAACCTGCGGCAGAAAATCCATTTGCTGGTCTTGGCAGTGGTGTACCTCCTGTGGATCCTCAGTTACAACAACGTATGGCAGCCTTATTTGGAGGTAATAATAATACCAATACTCAAGTGGATACACGTCCACCTGAGGAGCGCTTCCAGGTTCAGTTGCAACAATTGAACGAAATGGGATTTTGGGATGCAGCAAAGAATATTCGAGCCTTGATAGCAACAGGAGGCAATGTGAATGCTGCTATTGAGTTACTGTTTAGTGGCAACATTTAGATTAATTGTGTTTTTTTTATAAATAAACTATAAAAGGAGAGAAAGTCATCTGCCTTCTTATCCACACGAGTTTTAGCCCTCCCTTTATTTTTCTGTAAATATCCTTTTTATTATTAACTCGTACGAAATAGATTGACGAGTAAATTTCTGAATTGTTGAAAAAGAACATCCTGTTGACTTACATCATCCATGTGATTTGAAATGGGAGGCAGGATAAATTCGATCGTTCTCAAGCCCAGATTGTTTTCTTCTTGTAGTACACGCTTACCACTCTGGGAGTGTTCAATCAAGTAACCCTTGATGCATTTCATGACCACTTCACCTCGTTTTTGTAACCAAAGCTGATAATTGGGGATCTGTTCAGGTTGCACCAAAAACTTGTCTGGTAACAGTGAGAGCGGAATGGATAAGGAGGAAATATCATACTGACTTGTCAATTTTAGAATACTGCGTAATCCAAGAATGAGAGAATGTCTATTGGATACATCAAGAGTACTGATACCTAATACATGTGTGTGTGCGAAGGATGATGATCAGATGATTTTTTTTTTGGCTTTTTTTTTTTTTTTTTGTTACTTGTGCTATCAATGACCAAGTGAAATACGACTTGAATATTGGGTAAATTAGAATGTTTTGTGACAAAAAAGGAACCTTCCTGTAACCCTTCAGGATGACATTCAAAGTCCTGTTGAATGACGGATAATTGGGTTTCTATATCAGCAAAGTGAAACTCTGTCGATTGCTGACACCGCTCAAAGAGTGATTGGTTCCCTGCCTTGCCTGCCTTGTACTGCCTCCAACCATAACCTGCCGGCTGATCCTGACGACGGAGGTCGTTCAAATCGACCAAGACAACGGTTGCACTCAGATGACTTGTATAGAGTTTAGTTGCTGTTTCAGCACGATAAGCCACGTCTCGGAGAGGATCACAGGGTATCACTTGATCGGTGACAAGGAGACGTAAATTGTGCGTCGATTTCACCTGAGCAGTTCCCATCATGATAGTGAATGATTCAGCCAAAGGGGGCGCAGGTTTCGGCTTATCTTCCTCAATCCCCAAATTTTCCATGGCCTTACCTAACCAGCCACCTAACTTTCGAACGGAGCTCAAGTGAGTGTTCTCCATGGCATGTTTCTGTTGCTGCAGGAATGAAATAGGGTTCCAGCTTTTTCCGGTTTTGTTGGTGTTACCCAAAGATGAGGCACGTTGAAGGGAGTGACGTTTGTTTTCGATCGAGCTGTTACTCCTGGACCTTGTTGTCTGAATAGAACGACGCAGGGGAATGTGAGCGTCCACCTTGGCACGGTTCTCGAGTAAGAGGGCGATGGCAGCCTCGACTGATTGATTTGAGAGCATTAGTGCTGTCTCAGCTTGGTCTTTAGCAAATCCCATTTCTTGAATACTCTTTACGCCCTCTGTGTATTCACCATTACTCAGAATTGAGCTGGCTCTTCGTTTAGAAGAAGAAGAAGAATGAAGGGAACCTGTGTCTGGATGATCCCAAGCCTTGACACGACTAGCAGCTGCTTCCACCATTTCCTTTCCATCCGGCTTTTCCTCTGACCTGTTTTGGTATTCGCGGTATAACTCAATGACAAATTCTCTATATTCCTGACGTTGTGTTTGTTGTAATTGAAGAATATCTGATTGCCAAGTAGCTTCAAACAATTCCATTTCTTCTACATGTCGTGTGAATAAACTTGTCATGTTGGCTGAAGAAGATTCTATTTCCTTTGCGTGTCTAACAAAAATATAAGATAAAATGAAGACACATTGATGCTTGACACCTGCCTTGCTTTGATATTAGTCAATTCATGATCCCTTGATACATATAGTTCCTGAATAGCCAAGGTATAACTTGATTCTAATTCTAGTAAAGTATCAAACAGGTTGGGTACAGGACAATGAACAAGAGTATGATAAGCTCTAGGAAAGACATCCTAAAGACAAGTTAATCATCATAATTGAAAATATTAAAAATATACCTCTTCTGGTTTATTATTATAAGCTAACGTAGTGGATTGATATGCATTCAAGAATGACTTCTTTTTATTCTTGTCAACTGGATGTTCTATTTGATTAATTTCTAATAAAGCAGATGAAATGAGCGACAAAAGTGAGATAGAATAGTAAGGAGGCAATGATTGGGTCTGTGTGATATGATGAACATAGTCTCTAATATGTTGCTCTTTTTTTAAATTTATTTCAAATCTTTTTTTAGTATTTTTAATTAAAATAACCGTATTGGACATTTTAAAGAAAGAAAAAAGGAAAGATTTAAAAAAGTTCCCGCCTTAATCTCATGTGTAACTTTTGAAACAATAAATGTCCGCCTTCTCGGCAAAAGATTCCATGTGACGAAATGCATGAACTAAAAAAAAAAAAAAAAAATTGGGAGGATAGGAAGGATGTTGTCAAAAAAGGGTTAAGGGAGAGACTTATATTGTAACTTTAAAAAAAAAAAAAGTTGTCATTCAACAAGTCCGATGGGATCTACTTTAGAAAAAAAAGAAGTATAAATAGCCCTGCTTTTCTTTTTCTTTTTTTTTATTCTTGTTCTCTTTCTATTTTAAAATGGCTTCTATTCTTTCAATAACAGACAGTTCTCAATTGACTGAATTTTGTACAGTAATATTACCCACCATTTGGACATTAAATATAAGCAAATCAAGACAATTTATACAAAAAGTATTAAAAGCAACACAAATAAGCTGTACATGTATCCTAGTCGCACTCTATTATATCCATCGTCTAAGATCAGCTTATCCTCATATCGACCTTTCTATTGGATCAGAAATAAGATTATTTACTACCGCACTCATCTTGGCTAATAAATACTTGGAGGATAGTACATTTACAAATAAGGTAATCATGATTTATATATAAATAAAAAAGGAAAGAAAATTAAATTGATTGTTTTAGACTTGGTCAAGTGTATCAGGAATTCCGATCAAGGAATTAAATAGAATGGAAGCTGAATTTTTATCTGCACTTGATTACAACATTTGTATCTCACAGCACCAATTTTATCAGTGGACAATGCAGTGTCAGCAATTATGGTCGCTATTTTTAATGCCAGTGACACAAAAGAGAAGTTTAGAAGAAGAGGAGGATGAAGTATATTATTACCAAAAGAAATCTAGATCATCCAATTCCCAAATATTATGTAAACCTATTCTCAGTTGGTCATCTTCTGTGTCTGCATTAGCTGCTTCAAGGATAATGAATACATATTATTAATAGTAGTAGCAGTAGACTTTTAAGCGCATCTGTACATACAAACATTTTATATAATGCATCCCTTCTTTTTTAAATATTTATGTGTATAATAATAATAATAATAAACACTTTTATATACATCACGTGTATAAACGCATTTGATCGACAAATATAAACACGTGCCCTGATAAATATTAAAATACATTTTCTGCACTAAAAGCAAAAAAGGAGAGAGAAAAAGGATAAACAATAAAAAAAAAAATGGGATGATTAAGAAAAAAAGGATCGGGGCATTTCTATGCATCACAATGAAAACCGTGATATCAATCTGACTTCAGTTGCGCCACACAAATAAATTACTTTTTATAGAAATATTGAAATTCTCTCCGCAAATGTGTCAATAATATGTGTGTACATGTATACAGCTCGGCATCCCCCTCTGCAATATATGTTCATAATAGCGGCTTTTATTTTTCTAGAATTCTTGCTTTACGTTTGTCTTGTTGCCAATTATGATTATATAAAAGTCATGAATTTAATTATGATTGGCTTGCTATTTGATTCTTTAAGATGGGATTTGCTAATGAAAAACAATAAACTAAACTATACAACCTTTTTTTTGGCTCCTTACACCGCGGATAAGTCCTTTCTGATTATTACACAAATAGGTCTTGAGTTGATAGCTTAATTCACGCATCTTTTTGTAGTTGCTCCACTCTTTTCTTGATACGTCTGTGGTTTAAGTCCCAGAAAAATGACAGTTCTCTTCCTTCAGCTTTGGTTTCGTGGGATCTTTATCATAAAAATAAAACTTCTTGCTTAAACGCTTAAATGCTCGGCATTAGACCATGATTCCTATGGAACTTTTTGTAAGCAGTGCCTTACACGTTCGGTAGAACCTTAGAGATGAATGTGAGAGAGAGAGAGAGAGAATTATATATAGAATCCACAGAATTACCATATTTTGGTGTACATTACGCGCACAAGGGAATCTATGAGAAGAAGCTAGTAACCTGTGATGTCGTCCAACAAACCTTTTCAATGTGTAGCGTCACGCTAAACATGACTTTATAAAGTCGTCATCTTGGCTTATATTTCAAGAAAGAGATAAAAAGATATACCTTTATTCTAACTCTGTGCTGTCAGTTTGGTCAAGATCCTCAAGTGCAGTTATGACATATTCGTATTTCATATGAATGGACAACCTTATATTATAAAGAAGAAGCATCCGTCACATTAGTCTATTTTCTGGTGCATGTAGGTCCTTATTTTCAAAAAACAAAAATGTGTGCGGAAAGTAAAAATAAAAATGTGCTGTGCTGTGGCCCTTTCTGAGGTTGTGTGTCAATAATATATGTATAAATTTATCCGTACACTTTATTTATCCATGTGTTGTTGTATACATGACTAAGGTAGCACCAACTCATCAGGATGTTCAACATAAAATTCAATTCGATCAAGGAATTCATTTGCCTTGGCATCCGTTCCATCCAATTTAACTTGTACTCTATTTTTATCTTCTTTCACCTTTTCTTGTCCTCCAAGATAGCCAATCAAATCAATCATTTCTTGATCCTTACTCGATTTGGCTCTCTTTCCTTCCATCACATCTACCTTTAATGTATACGCTCTAGGTTCATAGCGATCCATAATGAAATCATATCTAGGCTCAGCTAAATGGAATATCCTATTCTTCTTTTAGGTAATTTCCTTTTATAATCGTTCAACTTACTTCCATTCATCATTCGTCTTCTTCTTCACTATTATTCCCTTTAACTCTTTCTTTTCAATATCCTTAACTGCACGTTCAGCAGCCATGTGAATGAATTCGGTTACTGTAGTAAGGTTAGTATTATTTATTTATGTTTATTATGTTTATTTACCATCCATCTGCACTTTATCCATGGCTATTTGTTTACTTATAAACTTAGGAGCCTTGTCTTCTTTCTTCTCCCCTTCCTTCTTCCCCTCCTTGAGTGACTATAGTACAAAAAATTAAAAAAAAGATTCTCCTTTTATATCATCTGTACTACCTTTGCAAACACAATCTGATCTCGAGGAGGAGCTGCTGTAAAGTTGGGCTGAGGAGCAGGTTTAGGAGCAATCAATCCAAGATGAGCAAGTACATCACCCTTCAAGATACGGCCACCATATCCCGATGGCTTAATACTACCCACATCCTTGATACCATACTTTAAGACTAAACTTAAAACAGCAGGAGACAGTGGCTTTTTAAGTTGCTTGGTATCAATATCATGATGCGAAATAGGTGATACTGCAGGTCCCTTGCTTGCCTCAGGAGCCTTCTTGTTCTCTACAGATTACAATAAGCTTTTCATGATTTTATTATTACTTTTTTTTTTACCTTGTTCCTTTTCTTCTACTTTGACTGCAGGAGCTTCTTTTTCTTCCTCTGGAATTTCGATATTCGAAAGATCATCCCCTTCTTCTGCAATAAGGGCAATCAACGTATTTACAGGCGCCTTGTTACCTTCCTTGAGCTTAAAAGAAAAACTCCCATCAATACAAAAATAGAGCCCTATTATTCTTTATACTTACAATAATCTTGGCCAACACGCCGTCTTCAGGAGCCTCAACATCAATTTGTGCTTTATCCGTCTCCAATTCTAAAAGGACATCACCTGCTGAAAATGTCTCGCCTTCTTGCTTTTTCCACTTGTGAATCGTGCCTTCGGTCATTGTAGGACTCATGGCAGGTAAATTAAATCGACTAATGGCTGAACATGGTGCCAAAGTATGGAAGCCTAAAAACACAAGTCAGCACACACAAATATATACGCGTGCATTAAGTTATACCTGATACTTTGATAATCTTGTTCAAACGGCTGATGCGGTACATTGCAAGGGGATTTCCTACAAAGCAAGAAAAAAAAAATCTTGTTGTGGTTATTAGCGGGAATCTAGGCAGAAATGACGGGAAGGGTTTTTTTGGGTTGTGACTGTTTAAAGTCCATAACACCCCCAATGATTTACATGAGAACGGAAATATAGAAGAGTAAATCACTTTTTCTGATATACCAACGTTTATCTCTCTCTTTCTTTTTCTGCTTGGTATATTTTATATGCTTCTATATTAAAACGCGTCTATTATGCTCTCAGTGCGTGCCTAGTGTATTTTTCTTTCTTTTTCTCTCTTTCTCGCTTTTCTTTTTTTTTCCCTTTTACATGAAAGTAAGTTGAGTGGTTGATGACTGATGTTCTAATTCAAAAGAGAATGACTTTTTATAAGCATATCCAAGCGTAAAAGAAGGAAAAAATGACAATGAGGGAAATCTGGATAATAAGTAAGAGAAAAAAACAGCCTGATTCATCAATGACTTTTTAACACAAGACATGTTTGAAAGTTAAGCTGTTCTAAGCAACAATTTACACAAAGTCACAGCTCAGATGCAAATAATAAAGAGACAAACGTTTGTAAGCTATATTTTAGGGAAACCAAAGTGGCATTGCAAAAATGTCTTTCATTTCTTCCTTGTCAGTTAAAGCGTGCCTTATTTTTGATTTATTATCGGACATTTAAATTGAAAGCTCAGAAAGGAATTGCAATTAATTCAAAGAAACAATGGAAAGAACAGAAACCGAGTTGAATGTGCCATTTATCCATCTTTTTCTGTCTTTTCTTCTTTCTTTTTATCTGCTTCTGCCCATCCTTTTACTTGGGAATTCACCCACATGTATGATGTAATCATTCTGCGTAAATGAAGTCTCATAGAGAAAACTAACAGTGATGAGATCAACTCCACTGTTTATGTCTTCTTAAATCGGATCATATACACGAGCCACGGGAAATGAATGTATTATTTTGGATGTAATTCTCGAGTTTTTACTAGCTGTAAACCTCTTTCTATCTACAAATAGAGTTGATCGCTGCAATGAGTTGGCATTGGGCATCCGTCTTGTTTCACCCTAATCCAAAAATATCTTGACCAAACGAAGCGCGCTTTCTTAGAATTCACCTTGTGCCACACTTCATAAAGTGTATATAAAAGACCTATTTTATTTTCTCTTTCATATTGAGTTTACATCCCTTCCCTTTCCTTTCCTTTTCAAATGTATCAACAACTCTTTGTTCTTGCTTCCGTTGCCCTCGCTATCGTCAACGCTCATCCTGGAGCACACACTTCAGGAACAAAGACTACCACTACACCATCCACCTTCAAATTCACTGAAACTTTCCCTGAGCCCGGAAGTGTTCCCACTCCCAAGCCTGAATGGCTCGAGTTGATCAAGAGCGCCAATGTCACCAAGGCTCCCGTATACAAGGTTGGCAACGGTGAAGGTAAAAATAACGAAATTACTTTGAATAATTGTTGATCCCATTCTTCCTTTAGGACCTAAGCCTGAAGTCGAAGGTCAAGATCCTTACTGTGACTGGACCTTCACTGGTTGTTTCGGCAAAGACGACCTCTACCAATGTCCTAAGGGCCAATGGGCTCTTACTTACGATGACGGACCTTCCGAATTCAGTCCCAAGCTTTACGATTACTTGGACAAGATCAATGTCAAGGCAACCTTCTTCATGGTCGGTGGACAAGTTGTCAAGTTCCCCGAATATGCTTTGCGCGCTTACAAGTCCGGACACGAAATTGCCATGCACACCTGGTCTCATAGCTACATGACCAGTCTTACCAACGAGCAAATCGTTGCCGAACTCAAGTGGAACGAATTGGCCATCAAGGAAGTCACTGGCGTCGCTCCCAAGTACTTTAGACCTCCCTATGGTGATATCGATAACCGTGTCCGTGATGTCGCTGCTGCTCTTGGTTTCATCCCTGTCATCTGGAACTACGACACAAATGATTGGGCTGCTGCCTCCAACCCTCACAGCTTCAAGGAATCCTGGATCGATGGTAACGTCACCAAGTGGGCTCAAGAAGCTAAGAATGCCAAGGTCGGTGGTATCTCTCTTGAACACGATCTCTACGAAAAGACAGTTAATGCTGCTATCCGTATTACACCCACTCTTCAAAAGGCTTACAAGTTGGTTCCTGTCGGCATCTGTAACAACGTCACCATGTACAAGGACAATGCTACCGTTCCTACCAACACTACCACTTCCACCACTACCGCTGATGCTCCTGGTACTACTACCATCCGCTTAGACTCTAACGCTCCTGCTGCCCCTGCTGCCAATGCTGCTGCTCCCGCTGATCCCGCTGCTCCCGCTGCCAATGCTGCTAATGCTGCTCCTGCCGGTAGCCAACCTATTGCTGCCAACGTTGCCTCTACCTCAGGTGCTTCCTCCGTTTCTTCCAGCGCTGTTGGTTTGGGTGTCGCTGCTGCTGCTGCTGCCCTTGTCTTGCTCTAAGCATATTTCCCCCATATCATTTGTAGAATTACATAAAGCAACAATTTCTTATTAATTCATATCGTGTATTTTTCCCCCTTTTTTTCCCCTCCATTAAAGAGTAATGTTAACAACTTTTTTTATTTATAAAAGAATTATGTAATAGATAAGATGCGTATATGAATGATAGATATTGTATTCTTGAGTTTTAACTGGGAGGAACATAATCTAGTATATACTTGTTAAAGCACTGTAATTGACAACTAACAGTAAACTTACCAGGGAAGCATTCCTTCATCGTCTTGTTATGCTTGTTTTGAGCATGTTCAGTTAAACTACATAAAAAAGTAAGCACTTGAAATTGACACATTTGAATCAAACTTACGCCTTTTCACGAGATGTGCAAAGAAAAGTTTGGAAACAAGTCTTGCAAATGATGTTTTTGGCAGCAGCATTCTAATAAATAACCATGAGTACAACACAGTTTATGAACATTGCTTTTTGAAACTGACAGCTTTCAATTGAGATGCACCGTCCTTCTTTTGATTCTGTTTGGCATTACGCTCACGCTTCATTTGAGCCTTGGCTCCCTACTCATAATGTTTAGTCATGTGACCTTCAAAAGATATTCTTGTCTCTTACGTTTCCCATCTTGTTGTTGTTGTTGCAAAATGTAAAAGAGGCTGAAAAAAATTTTTCTCTCACTCTGTGTCTGTGCCTGGAGATCAATGTTACACAGATGTCTCGGCCTTCGTTGGTCATTTTGTTAAAAGACACATTTTATCAGGGTTCATTTGTCATACAAGTTTGTATCTGTTTGAAATATGAAGTCATGCTTTTATGCATAGTCTGGGAACATCAGCCTGCATTTCTCAAGAATAAAGTAGATCGAAGATAAAGAGAACAGCGATTTTGAGAATAAATTTAAGTTGTACTCCTGCTTTTGATGTTCTGATTGTCAGATACTGAAAGGTTGAACCCGCTTATACTTTAGACTTGAATAAAGGTTAGACTTGTGTTCATAAGCTTAATCAGTGGTGTTGGAGTTTTTAGTAATGATAGTAAACCATATTATTTTTTTAAAAAAAAAATCAGGTTTTACATAGTCTAACTTTTAGATAATTATTGTGTCGATGCTAGAAGAAAATATATTACGTTTAGCTCATGGGGTACAGCTTTTTAGAATAAGAAAAAGGGAGAAGTTGCACACATGAATATTTTGCATCTGTTAAATGAAAAGGCAACATTGCTATTCACCATGTGCAACTTCACTTTTCGGAAGCAATACACTTATTTGAGAATAGTGGTGGTGATACTTGCATTAGACTTGGCGCAGTAATTGCTTACTAATGACGTACTCAGTGAAAGTGCATCATGTCAAATTATACAGCTTATCCAGCAACGCTGTAAAATGTTGCTCAAAGATAACCAAGTGTAAATAGATGTCACAAATACAAAATAGAAGTATACTTGCTTGGTGAGATTGAAGGTCTTAATGCCAAGCTGTAACAGTGTTGGTACAACTATTTAACTCTAGTTTACACACACGAAGCAACATAAAAATATATGAGGCTAGATCTGTTTAAAATAGGGTTTTACATTACCCAATCTGGATAATGAAGGCGTCCGTATGATTGCCGGATTAAGGGCCTTTATTTTTGTTAAACCAGGAGAAGCACAAGTTTGTTTAACGTAGACTAAGGTGGTGCATATAGTTTCACTTTGCCGAATCAAATAAATTAATTGGCCGACTGAGTACATCATTTTCTCGATTTGTTTTGTTTTTTTTTTTTGTAAAATAAGAACTGCACTACCACCAACAAGTTTTGTTTATTATATATAACAAAGTCTGTGCAAGTAGATAACTCTGGAAGAGATATTGAACACTGAGTCTAAATTAAGACTATGGTAATGATGAATGACTATCAGCTGTGCAATGTCCCATGAATTCAAATAAAGATAAATTGATTGTCTAAAGATACATACATATATTAAATTAAATATTTGATACATTTTTTTTGTGAGATGTCTTATTTTGCTGCCAGGAGAACTGCGAGAAACATGCTTAGTATAAGATACTGCCCCTGTGAAAAGCACAACTTGAAAACCCACAAATATGACCTAGAATTGCCTTATTCCCGATTTTGAGTTTCTTTTTTAATTACTTGCTATATACTGTTACACCAAAAGAAGACAAGATGATATGAAAAAGGTTATCTTTAAGGAGGACGTGTCTGCTTTGGGAAGTTTCTTTGTATTATGATACAAACCTTCTTGTAGTATCTATCCTTCCTTTACAAAACTTTGTGAGATATCACTCTATCGTTATGCTTGTGACATTCAGTCTACCCCTTAACCTGTTTACTTATTCTTTCACATGTATTGCAAATTGTTAATATGTCTTTTACTGTTGTAACTCAGGCATAATACAAGACTTAAAAAAACACTTTTCATTCTCAATATGGTTTCCCAGCCTTGGTAATGCATTCATCTCGCATCCTAGCTGTTTAGTGATACTGATCTGCTCTAGAACTGGAGACTGTACGAGGAGTTTACAGGCATATGCTTTCATAAAACAAACTGAAAGTGAACTCACATGAACTGCCGTGACTAGCTCAAAATCTGTGATCATTTGGTGGCGCTAGGTTCAGGTAACTGGAATGGTGGCTAAACATAGTTTAATATAATCTCATTTGGCAAGACTCAGGATGCTAGCCTCATCAAGCGTGATGATGCACTGTATTTCTTTTATATCACAAGTCTTTTGCTTCTTTACAGTGTCATAGAATGCTGATTTATACATATTTGTTATTGATTCAAATTGCTTAAGAGTATCGTTTATGGAATGCTGCGCACTCTCGGCCAAATCCTATATAGCTAAATTACCAGCCACACATATCAGCTCCTCTGTATATGCTTACTTTGATGATTGAATTAACAAGTTTCAACATACGTATTCGCATAAACTTCAACAGATTAAAGAAAGGATCACCGGTTAAAGCAAGCCACTCCTTCAAACAAGTACATTACTGTAACTATTTTTGGAGCCATATGCGAAAAGGAAGTGATAACTCAAGTCTATTCAGAAGAAAAGGCTAGGCATTCAGCCCTTGAGAGGTATCGCTCATAACACTTCTAAAGCTCAGAGTTATATGGACACACGTAGACGAAGAATCACACATTTACTACGGTGTCCCTATTGGATTGTTCTAGTCTACAGTCAAGGGAAGCATTGGAGGACTATAGATGATAAATTGAGCGCTAGGGGTCATCAAACTAACCAAACCTGTATCTGCTGATGCTTACATAAAGTAGGATAAACCTCTCGTATTCCTTTTTTGATAGATGCTTGGCTTCCAAGAATTAAATTTATCTGCTGGCTAGCGATGTTAAAGAGGATGCAGGACTAAATTAGTCCAAATATGCGCATCAACAGGTTAAAATGATGAAATTATGGTTTGTGATATCAAAGCTTCCATTTTACACAAGAGTTAATTTATCTTTTTATATTCTAAAAATATGCACCCCCTTCCTCTTGATAACATGACTTTTTATTTTCGATGACGGAAAAATATATACTCACGGTATATGCAGAAATCACAAACATCTGTGAGCATGTGGATTATGATAAACCTACAAAGCACAAGTATATGCAAAACAATGCATTGCGTTCTGTGTTGCAGTTTAAAAAGACGAAAAAAATAGAAAAGTAGGCATATGCTTCCTGCAGGGTTAAAAAAATATTGAAAAGTAGCAAAGACATCCAGGTAACACTGGAGGAAAATTCTAAATGTTCTTGGACTGCAAACCACATGAAGATCTATTCCATATACTATTTGATTCAAAATTGCTGAGTACATTGTATAATAACTTTATATCATGTTGTGCACTCTTTGGTTAGCCTGCTTTTATTTATTGCGAAGTATGTGTGAAGGTCTTCTCCAACAAAATGTGCCTATTGTTTCCACAATACCAGATCTGAGAATAGAAGACTACAATAGCGTTGAATACTAAAGTCAATATGAGAGCACCCAGCTTCAAGAACGATGGGTATGTGTTGCAGTATCCGAACATTGATATTAATTTTTAATGACATATTGAGTGAAATACGCAGATGCCCAAAGACAATTGCACTCTTGCGTGCAAGTATGAAGATACAACACAAAAATGCATCTATTCTCAAGTCATATTACACTTTTGCGTTTATTAACTAATGGCCCTGGTGCGCTGATGATGGAAACCTCCAGCAACCATTTATCGTGCTGAAAACTATCAGCTTTTGTTACTAAAGCTATTCTTGAGCACAAAATGGTAACCAAGAGAAGAGTATTATCAATATCACTTACAAGCCTCTTGCAAAGTTTTTTTTAAAAAAAACCAGCTGCACAAGATCTTTTGTAGGTATTTATCAAGAAGAAGAAAATGAGAGCACAATAAAATCAAAGCAGTGTCATGAAATTGTAACACTTCTTCAGATTTCTTTAATTGCCTACTCAGTTCTTTTAAAATAGGACGAATTTAGGACTTCCACGCCCTCATAGTCCTAGCACAATGGGAAACTTTGCTCCGAAATAAAGATCCTAGAGTTTTTGGCTTATCGTCCTAAGCCAAACTTTTTTGTTTGTTTTTGAAGAGTTAAAATTTCATCCAATAACAGTAGCTTTTCAAAAGAAGACTATGAGATTGGGGCATTTTTTAAAATACTCTAGAGTCTGTGACAAATTGTCGTAAGTAAAATTTTCTTCAAGCTCCCTTGTGAACACTTTCTCCCAATTTTTATTAACGAAATTCAACTAAAGGCTGAGATTGACTTGATAACGTGTATGGAGGGTTGAGAAAGTCAAGCAGCTATCTATACATAATATAAGCCACAAATTCCTCCAGGTTGATACGTCAAAAAACTATGATAGAGAGCTACAGATTAACCTTGAAAAATCAACCATCCATTAAAATTGATGATATATGGTGCTTTCAAATAGTATATAAGCCGCACATGTTAATACTCGGCAATATAATAACTCAACCACCATGTCTTGGATTTTCTGATCTCTTCCCACAACTGCGCCTCGTTTTTAAGGCTTTGCCACGAATCAGTTAATTGTACTACTGTGCAAAAACACACAAGAAATTAAATAGTGAAACAATAAATTTTTGAAGCTTTGGTTACTTTAAGAGAAATCAATCTCTAATTGGTCATTTTACAACAAAGAATAACCCTATTTAAAATGAATACTCCTTTTGGTTGATAGGAGTAGATAGCAAGAAAAATCATTAGTACTGTTCAATTAATAATATCCTAGTGATATTCTACTGTAGCAAGTCTTTACTGATTAGATAATTTGGCAAGATCACCTTTTCAAATGACTGTGGCGTTCAAGAAATACATGGAGTGAGATTAGCAATGATATATTCGTAATACAATGTGCGTTATCCAAGATAACACATTTGTAAAAATCCAGCTTTTGCTAAAGCACTGCAACATTTGTCATCTGTAGTTATCTATTTACAACATAGGTACATACTCTATAAAGCATACTCAGTGTACATTGTTATACAAATTGACATCGGTAACCATGGTTACGTTGAAATATATACATGTTTAGAGGAGTATAAAAAGGAGATCAACACGCTGATTTGTACAATGGACACCTGGGAACACATCAAATTTTATGGCGTTTGCACATCCTTTTTGTGCGACTTTGATAATGAACGGATCAGCTTTCTTTTAAATCTTTTCTTTTCCATCTATTTCTTTTCCTTGATCAAAATACATTTGACATGCCAATAAGTGATAAAAAATGGAAGTACTCATCTACTGAAGACATACCATTGGCTGAGACCGTGACAAATCGTAACGATGGTAACATACATGACAGATCCAGTTACCCTTATGAAGACAGAAACGAAAACAAACGTTCATTCTCTGTACTGCTCAAGTCTCTATTTCTTGTTTTTGTATCTATTTTTTTTGCTACCGCTATTTTGCTCGTATTGTTAAATGCGGATGGAAAGCCTTTGGATTACACCCTTGCCAAGATGAAGATAACTTCGCTTATCTCGCTACTTTTAAACCTATACGCAATTTTCACTGGGAGTGGAATAGCAATGTAATATAGTGTGCATGTAATAGAAACATTCACTAAGCGCTATCATAGGGCAATATCCGAGTACAAGTGGATTAAGCTTAGAAACGGCGCTCCACTCACTGTAGCAGACATCTATGATGGCTGCACGAGAGGCATGGGAGGTAGGATATAGAACAATGCATAAAGTACTGGCTAGGCTTATTTCTTATTGTTAGGTTTTCTTACTGCAATTAGGGGTGCCTTTATCGATATTGTCTTAATTTTTGCGCTCGTCTTTAACCTTGGTCTTTTGGTATTGTCACCTGTGTCACAAGAACTGATTGTACCGGTTTCACTAAAACGCAATCTAACCAGCATTGTTGATTCACATCTTTACTACAATGAGCCATTTTACGTGAATGATCGAACCAATCTATCATCACTTCCAATTCCTCCAACACTCAACGGCCTGACATATGATAACTATTTGATTCCAATGAGCTTTGCTAATGTTGCTAGACATGCACCATTCAATGGAGCTTATACCTGTCCATCCTACGCTGATTATTGTGTATTCAGGAATAAGAGCTTCGTCTCGACCTCGCTTGACTGCACCCCAGTAACAGATCAAGAACCAATTGTTAATCAATCCAACTACAAAGAATTAACAACACCAGCAAGATATTACACTGAAATTGAACAAAATAAGACACTCGTTAATGTTCCAAAATTTTTTTATGCAGGAGAAATGCTTAATCGCACATTCCATGATCTGCAAAACTATAAACCTCCACTAGCACCTGGAGGATTTATTACTTTAGGCCTTCTTTACTCAGACTATGATCCTCAATATAGACCATATGTAGGCAATCAAACATTTGTTTTGGCCTATCCAAAGACTAGGTGTTGCTCTGCTTTAACCGAAATTGGTGATATATCATATGCTCGATGTACATTCCGCTCAAGCCTCAACACGGTAAGCTTCCTTTGTTTATGCGCATATAACTGAATACTCATTCTAAAAATAATTATTACAGACTGACTGGAAGACATCAAATGGTACACTCGTAAAACATGGGCAGGAAACCTCAGTTCCAATCACCTTTGATTTTGATCATGTACTTGGTAACAACACAGCGCTTTTTCAGGCCACTAAGGATGCCGACAACACTACGCGTAGCATAGGAGTTATGATAAACGCATATCTTATGCAGCAAGCTCTCTTGAAAGAATTCATTTCTCCCCAATACCGCCCATTCATTCAATATTTGCGTGTATGGAACATGAACTATCCTACTACAATAACCATGTTCGACTATCTAAAGCCTGCTATGCAAATGTTTGACTTGAATTATGCAATTGCTCCTTATGTCACGGGCGGTTACTTTACACAAACCACGACGGAAGGACTGATATTCGCAACTGATCCACCTGTATATTCCACCAACAAGATATATTGTTATATCTTGTTCGCACTGATGTTCTTACCAGTAGTATGGTGGCTGATTGTGTGGTCGATTGGTATCAAGCATTCGAATGGCAGAGGAAATTCCCAGATTAGTTTGATGACTATGGAGATGACACCACTGGCCTCTCAGAGCTTGCGAAACATCTCCAATATGAGTAGCAGTGAAGCATTCAAAAGGGCGAAAAGTATACGTGTAAAAATAGGAAACCATGCAACAGAAGATAAGAAGCGCCTTGTGCTTAAATTGGAAGACGAACATGGCATAGCTCATTAACAAAGCTGATACAAGACAAGCACAGCATACATATATTTTCAATATTTGACTACACTACAACTACCCTATTACATTACGTCCTGGATAAAGCCAAATAAAAACTCTGATAACCTTTTTAATCATAGTTATGTATTAAAGTATTAAGTTGTTGCTTAAATAAGCCTTTTACATTAGTATCCTTTTTCTTTGAAGTATAAGTCTTTTTAGAGGAACAAAACTATTCTAGCAACTGCGTGCGTAGCATTTTTCTATTTTAAGAATATTTTACTGGTCCAAAACTTCAGACTGCTGAGCTTTTTTGGGAGAGGGAGCAACCTGTCAATTGAAAAAGTATACTTTTCTCTTTGACGTCGGTTCATAAATCAAGTGCTCTCCCTTTCTCATATAAGGAACACATTTGTATTGTCTTCACTTGAAAAAGAAAAAAGTATTATTTGGGATATAATTTTATTTTGTTTTATACTATTTTGGGTAATACGAAATACAACAATAAATAATGGACTAATGGATAAAAGGACACACACATACACAAAAGTACGTAGCAAAGAGAAAAAGGAGAGAGGGGAAATAGAATAGATGGCTTTACATATCTTTGATATTACTTGGAGGAGGAAGTGAAGGATGATGATAATGTGGTTGTATTGCAGATAAATCTAAAGGATGACCAGGTGGTGGCATCATCTGCTGACCCAATCTGACACGATATAATTCCAAAGCGCTCTCAAGTTCCTGTATACGTTGTTGATGCTGTCTTAGTTTATCATGTAAATATCGAATATGGTCCACTGACTTTCGCAAGATAGTTCCCTTGTTGGATTTGATGGCTTCTCTACTATCAGGTAATAGTGTCGCCAATTCATTTATTCTTTCATTTATATTCTCTCTTCTTCTTCTTTCTACAGCATTGTGACTTTCTCTTCTTCGTCTCTTCTTCTCAAATATTTCCTGCATGCTTCTTTATATCAGTTTACTATGCTTATTCTTGTGGTTATCTTACTTTTTTTGCATCATTTCATCTTCCATGCTATTAGGACTTGACACATCTGTTGTTTCTCTATTATTACTCGAAGGTGGTTGCTGATAAACAGGTTGATATTTATTGTTGTATATTCTATCTGATATAGAAGGCATTGTATTATAAGGTAGTTTTACTGTACTATTATTACTATTGCTGTTGCTGTTATTGTTGCTATTGTGATCTATAGTTGAATACATTTTGTTAAATGATTGTACGATATTATTATTAATATTAGTATTATTATTATTTAAAAGAAAAAGAAAAAAGAGAAAATAATAAAAAATATCTTCTCTAAATAATGACGTATCTTACTGTTATAAAGATAACGTGATGACAGTAACTGGATGATACATATTTGTATATGTATATATACACATATGCAAGTGATGTATTCATCCTAACAATAATACTCCACAAGCACCACTCATCCTAATAAAACCATACACACACATATACACAATAGTCTTTATGGGGATATAAAGGGCTATCTGCTTATCTTTTTATCATATCCCTTATTCACCCTGCATGAATACATATCATATGCATCATAGTTTGATGCATATAATTTTTTCGCCACAATAAGCTTTAAATAGGTGCAAGTAATTCAGGAACAGACCCACTTTCTATTCCTGACCTCACAAGTACGTCACTACCAACCATGATTGTTTATAAAAAGGACTACTTTTCTCCCTTTTCTCTGTCTCACTTTTTCAATGTCAAATACAAACGAGCCATTCACATCACCCAACACAAAATCCAAAACAGGAGGAAACAATACGTTATTCAACTTGATAGCTATGCCATTTGCAGCCATTGGAGGCGCATTATCACAAATCGGTGGGAAATTTACAAGAAAACCAACAAAATAAAGCTTTATTACATTTCCATTTCTTCATCTTCATCATGAACTGGATGATCAGGTTCATCCATATGAATGGCCATTTCATCCATCATTTCTTCTAATGAAATCTCGGGTAATTCCTCTTCTTCTTCTTCTACCGCGTCTTCAGTTTCCATCAAGCCGCTATTCTTGAAAATATTGATGTTGGCTCTGAACTCGGGATCTTCTTCAATATCTCTCATAAACAGTTCCATGTCATTTTCAATACGAGCTTGTTCTTGTTTACGAGGTAACATTTCGTCCACTTCTTTACCCAATTGTTGTAACTTCCAGTTTCTTTGTCTTGACTTCTTCTTACGTGCAGGATAAGATTTACGTACAAGGATGACGTCAGGTAAGTCTGAAGCATTGAGTCGATCAAACTCTTCATTGTTAAAGTTGGTCCTTGTCAAATCGTAACCCATGACAGTGTCACCAGGATTCAACAGTGCACCCAGATGGGATCTGGCGATGAATTGTTCATCATTTCTACCAAAGTCTGACATTCTTGCAACATGGACATCACACAACACTTTTTTGCCATCCACAGGCCCCAGAGGCTCGACATCTAATACATAGTATTCGACCATACTCTTTGCACTGGCTAATGCTTGGAAGGGTTGTCTATAATATTGAGTTGTACTAACATCGGCTGTGGCTAATGTATTTACATCCAACAAATGAATTGAATTACTAATTCTTGTACATATTAATAATCGATTGATATTTCCAAAATTATTGGCTAGTTTCTTTGGTATACACACAAGGTCGTCTCGACATACAGGCACAATTTCACAGGAGTATGTAAATTTATAGTTGCTTACGCTTGTATGAATATCTTTTGAAATCAACTGTTCACTTGTCTTATATCGCATAGGTACAACTGCCTGCAAGAATTCGACCATCTTGATGGCATGGTTACGACTACCATAGTAAAAATCAATACCATCCTTGGCTTCTTTGATGTTGGTTGTATCTTTGTGTGCGTTGTGTTTCAAGATGATTTGTTCCAAGAACAAGAATGTACGTTTATGCTCTACCTTTTGTCGGACTTGCACTACTGCCTTCCATGTATTTTGAGCAGCCAATCGTGTACATTCATCACACTGTTGACTTGATACCACATATTCGACTTCAAAGACTTGCTGCAAGATCGTATTGGCAAAGACTTCCTTTTGAATTGTCAACTTCACCTTGATACGTCTACTGTGTGGTTCAGTCCAGATAAAGCCAGCATCAACCAATCGGACTCGATTTAATCCCTTCAGTTTCTTGAGACACAGTGTCAACAGTTCTCGAGATTCTAACTCTGCTGTGACCCAGATTCCAGGTGGTTGAAGGTATCGTTCGCAGTTACGACAAAAGTGAATTGTAGCATGTTTAGGAATACCTTCTGTGATATCAACTTCGTTACGAATACAGTTGACACACATATTGGCAGCATTAGGAGGAGTGGGTGCACCACAGCCAGGACATAAACTATAATGAAAAGAGGTCATTAGATTCTTTTTTTTTTTCCCTCTAGTTTGACTCTATTTCTATCAACTTACATTAACTGTTCCGTAATTTCAGGATGATATTCCATGATTTGTTTCTAGGAAAAAGAAGATCTAAAAGAGAAAAATATTTCTCTTTTGCTGCTTATAATCATAAAAAAAGGCAGCTAAGCCACCCGCAGCTTTATAAATCTGAAATATCAATTACTGCTCCTATTTGTTCTCTTTAAATTTTTTTTTTCCACTAACAAATGCATATTACTCGTTGTTACTTTTGCTCAGGACCTTGTTATCCTGGACATGGAACCATGTTTGTCCGTAACGACAGTAAGGTAGTTTTCTTATACACAGAGAAAATGTCTGGTTGATTAACTTTTGATCCTTAGACCTTCCGTTTTTGCCGATCTAAATGTCACAAAAACTTCAAGATGAAGCGTAATCCTCGTAAGGTTCGTTGGACTAAAGCTTTCAGAAAGGCAAGCGGCAAAGAAATGGTTATTGTAAGTTTAAATATGATCATCCTACATTGATTCTCACTTTCTCTTTCTTTAGGATTCTACATTTGAATTCGAGAAACGTCGTAATGTTCCTGTTCGCTATGATCGTAACTTGATGGCCACAACAATCAAGGCCATGAAGCGAGTACAAGAAATTCGTGCTAAGCGTGAACGTGCATTCTATAAGAACCGTATGGCTCCTAATAAAGACAAAGAGAAGGCTGAAGATATCCGTGTTGTCAACCAGAACATTGAATTGGCACCCCTTGAACACAAAAAGAGAGTTCAAGCTATCAAATCCGAAAAGGAACAAACACAGACGATGGATATGGAAGAATAAGAAAGAAAGAGAGCATCAAAGAGAAATTATTTTTATTGTAAATAGAAGAAAAATCATTATTTTTTATAATAAAGGCATATGTGTGTGTTCAGTATTTACATGCGTCTAATGTCTCCGTTGTATTCAATGCCCATCGCATATTTCATAATCTCAGCCTTTGAAAAAAATGAGAGATCAAGTATAAGTATGTCGTTTTATTTACCTTTAAGAAATCCATTTGATTGACAGCGTTAAGACCAAGAGATCGGATCCAAGTAACAGGTGCTACATCTGTTGAGTAAAGTCTATGTAACTTGTCACATGAGCTAATCATCATGATATTGCGTAAGTAACGCTCAGAAGCATATTGTCTTAGTAAATGAATATTGCCAATGTCTTGGCCTTCCATTGTGCCTTTTTCAACAAGTGTAGATAGACACTCTACATCCAGTATACCCTGATTTAATCCTTGTCCAGCAAGTGGATGGGTTGCATGGGCCGCATCTCCCACAAGCGCAACTCGATCTGCCACATACCTTTCAGCATTACGTAGACGGAAAGGAAAGGAGGCTCGAGAATACTGTTGAACGTCAATGACTTGTGGTGGAAGAGAATGCTCTCGTTCAAGAATCTCATTATCGCTTAATGATTTCTTTGCTATGCTCTCTCTCCACTCATACTCCCCTTGAATGTCATGGTTCTTTCCTCGTGTTATTTGTTTATAGAGATAGCTGAGGTCGACATGTGACATTCGGAAGGCAGCATTGACCATCGTACAGAAATCGGACGTTGGTATAGTTTTGAGTGCTTTGGCAATTCCTGGGTAAGTGGACCATACCATAGAAGCATATCCTTCAGCAAGCTACAGCATAATCAATAACTTTCAAGCATAACTAATCATGTATATCTTACCGGAAGCATGGCAATAGGTCCTGTCGGCAAGAATCGTTGCCACGCAGTAAGGCTACTCTCAGGACGCTCAGGGTCTAATTTAAGAGTGGCAACAACCCCTTGTGCGTCATAATCCCAGCCGAGAGACTCGATTCCTGCAAAATCACGTACTGGACTATTGATACCGTCAGCTCCTACCTGTCTTGGCACATCAGCAAACGTAAAATAAATGTAAAGATATCATTACCAATAAACGTGCTTTCAGCGTCTTCCCGTCATCCAAATGGATCGTTGGCCAGTCTTTCAGATCAATACCATCATGAGACGTCTCAGACTCTCTGTTAATCTCTGCTACTTTTGTTTTCTGGAATATATCAATATGCACGCCCTGTTCACGGCATTCTTCGATACGTTTTAAGGCAGCGCTCTGAACATTTACATTCTCTACCATATAAGCGATTGTCTGTTGCTGACCGTTTGTATTTAAAAGAGCCGAATCCAAGTGAATCCTTGCCCCTGTGACACCATCCCAAACCTTCATATCACGATACCCATGCGTTCTGTCGAGTAACATATGACTTTTAACGCCAATCTCTAAAATGATGACAAGTTAAACTTTCATGACTGCTTGCGTGTGTATATATATTTTTACTGGAAAAAAAGTTCATTGTGCCAGGTGTCAAAGAAACGACGCGGTTAGAATAATTGTCCTGTTTAGGTTCCCAGCTTTTAACGCCTGTTAAATCCATGGCTTCAACAAGTGCAATACGCCGACGGCTGACAGCTGGACTAGAGGCTGCATACATGGGGTTAAACTTGTTTTCTATATATATATATTTGCTTACCCAAGGCACAAGCAAGCGTGACACCGGCCACTCCTCCACCAATAATAACAACATCATAAGCAAGATCTCGAGAAATACTTGTTGCAAAATTTCTTTTGCCTAGAAAACAAGATCTTTGGAATGAACGCAACATGGTGAGGTTTTATTTAGAAAAAAAAGGTGAAAAAAGGGATTTGGTGAACCTTTCGAATCCCGCGCTGCTCCCCTTTCCCTCCTTTTTTTTACGCAGCAAACAAAAACTTTGAGATCGATGACTGAAGAGGAAGAAGCATTAGATTCCCAAATCTTTGAAGAAGAACAAGATCTGTTTTTCGATGAAGACTCTGAAGAAGAACAAGAAGAAGAATTGAAAGAAAGTGTTCAACAAGAAAGCGAAGAGTCTTTTCGAAGACGTTTAGCTGGACCTTCAACGAATAAAGTTTGTTTAGATAATAGATCACATAAGTCTTTTGCTAAACCAGTAGTATAGGCAGGACTTGGTAGTGTAGATAAAGATAAGGTTAATAAGATTATATATGAAGCATCCAAGGTATTATGTAAAAAGGAGCAACAAAAAGTGACGTTATAAACCAGTTACATGTAGGGATCAGCATTCTTTGAAAATGAAAAAAAGAAAGATGAGATGGTGACAAAGCGCATCAATGCCATCCTTAAGAAATATGACACCATCAAGGATCAAGACTTGTCTTTTGAAAAGAGAATTGTTGATAGCATGATACAGGATCTGGAAGCGAGGAGAGATTTGACTCAGTGCATATGTCATATTGATATGGATGCATTTTATGCATCTGTAGAAGAACTTGAAAACCCAGAGTTAAAGACCCAACCGATGGCAGTCGGAAGTATGTCAATGTTGTGTACAAGCAACTATGAGGCAAGAAAATACGGCGTTCGTAGTGCTATGCCTGGCTTTATTGCGATCAAACTGTGCCCTCAGTTAAAGATGATCCCGCTTAACTTTGCAAAGTATCGAGCTGCTTCAAGCAAGGTGAGAGCCGTTTTTGCAAAGTATGATCCTCGATTCCTGCCACTCAGTTTGGACGAGGTAAGCTTGTAAAAGAGAAGCTGCTACTGTGATCTAATCACATAATAGGCTTATTTAAATTTAACAGAAGTAAGAATATAAGATGAGCCAAGATATGTTAATCATTGTGTGATTTAGTATTTAAAAAAGGAGCCAGATCTGACTCCTGATGAGCTTGTCCAACAGATTCGACGCGAAATATTCGAAAGCACTCAGCTAACAGCCAGCGCAGGTAGATTATTGCACGCTCCCTTTCCTTTTCCTTTTCCTGACATATCATAGGAATTGCCTGCAACAAATTTCTAGCTAAAGTATGCAGTGATATAAACAAACCAAATGGTCAATATTATTTGCCTATAGACAAGACAAGAGTGATGGAATTTGTCAAAAAACTAAAAGTGCGGCAGATCCCAGGTGTTGGTAGAGTTACAGAGAGAGTGCTCGAAGCACTCGGCGTCCACACCTGTAATGACATCTACGCCAAACGCGCAATTCTATACAAACTATTGAGTCCGGCTCATTTTCAATTCTTGCTAAAAAGCTGCCTTGGATTAGGAACAACTATATTTGACACAGAATCAGAAAGGAAGAGTGTAGGCGTTGAAAGGTATATCATGGTTACTTTTCTTATACCTTGACTCATTTCTTCTAGGACATTTTCGCCCATATCTGACCCAAATCAGCTGTACCAAAAGCTACACGAGTTATGTCAGGCGTTAGAAAGGGATGTAGAAAAAGCAGGTGTTATGGTAATTCTAGTCTACTTTAGATATATTTTGTTAAACCATCGACGTAGGGACGAAATGTGGGAATCAAGCTCAAATTTGCATCTTTTGAAATGCGTATAAGATCAAAAACGCTTCCCACATACACTTGGTCCGCAAAAGACATTGAAAAAATTGCTAAAAAGGTAAGGATTACATGAAACGTGCTTTTATAAAGTCTTATTAAGGGTTTGTGTAGCTACTTGCTAAAGAAATGCCGATGAACCTTCGACTCATGGGTGTGCGTTTAGCCAATTTGAAGCCTAGAGGAAGCGAAGATGAAAGTGTTTTGAAGGTATAAGAGAGGGAAGCGTATTTCATAGCTTGTTTGTTAATCAATGAAACCAGTACTTTTCAAAAGCGCCTTTGCCTGAAAAAGTCAAAGATAGCTCAGATAGCTCGATAGAAATTAAAGATCAAGAACCGAGCGCACTCGTTTGTCCAATTTGTAATCGTGCACTAGTCATGGATATCGCTCAATTTAATAACCATGTAGACGAATGCCTAAATAAAGTAGAAGTAAAAACGATTTTGGAAAATGAAAAGCGTCAGTATTCCCCTTCAAGCAGCAGAAGTAGCTCTCACTCGAGCAACAAAAGAATAAAGAGGTATAAGGACATATACTGAGTTTACTATTATTAACAACATGTGTAGGTCTAATAGTACAAACTGTAAACAAAACAGCAAATCTTTATTTGACTATTACCCATCCTCAACCTAGTTACATTCCCGTATACTAGTTCTAACTACATCATCTACTCTAACATTATAATAAACTTTTTGCATAGATTTCATTACAAAAGTGAAGCACATCTTTAGTTAATAAACAATCAGATGACATAATAAAGACCAAATACATTTTGTATAAACGTTTGGCTTGTCATAACATCATATTCGAATATGATATTAACAAAACATCCACTCCCATAACCTGCACATATTCTCCCATTGTACCCCTATTTTATTTAAACGATTATTACACTGGAAATATTTACAAAGGCTATGTCACTGTTGGAGGATTTTCTTGGCTAACGCTAAAGAACGACTTTGCCTTATCCTTTTATGAGCCACAAGTGGAGTAAAAGATAGGGCTGACTTTCTCTTTTGTAATATTTTGCTTTGTTCTTTGTATTGTTCTATAGGTAAATCCGGAACAATTAAGCTTGGAGATGGATATGATGTAGTGGGCGATAGAGTCAAGGTTGGGTCCATGTTGGATAAGGATAGTATACCAAGCTCATCGTTTGTATTATAATCGCAACTTGCTGTATCCAAGGCTCTTTCTATACATTTATTATCCAAGTGTGCCTCGTGATTTACACCCTCGCCTACTACAGTGTACAGGAAATGCTGGAAAACACAATCAACATCCTCAGGTGTGTTAACAGCATGACTTGCTAGCAACTTAGGATGCTCTAATGCAGAGGGAAATGATATTGGCTCCAAAAACATTCAATCTAGGATGCAGAGAAAAGAAGGAAAAGGAGCATTGTACTATTTAAATACTCTTTTGCACGAGCCAACCGAGGGGACACAGGCAACTGTTGTATAAAACATATGAATTGGTTACACTGCCAAAATGACACGTCCACGGGCAGTTCCGTTTACTCTCACAATATGGCTGGATGCCATTATCTTTACTGAAAAAGAATAAAGCCATCAAGGTTTACACAAGTCGTATAAATTAGCTTGATCACATTGACAAAAAGAAAATGACCGTTATTTTTGAAGCAGCATATTATATTTTGGTATCATTATTAGCAATAACACACAAATCTCTAAAGTTACTTTATAAATATTAAGTGAAACGTCTTAGTCGTAATTTCTGTACTTCTATTTTTGTGCCTGCGTTGAAATAAGTAACAGACTATCTTATCAAGTTGGCAATTTAAATTATCAAGCACGGCATGAAATCTATGTGTTTGTTTAAAAACTGTTATAAAAAGACAAAAAAGGCTTAATATTACAAATATATGTAGTTGGTTATTTTCCATTTCCAGTCGAGATAAAACCAGAAGGGGAGAAAATAAAGCCTAGTGCTGTACAAAGAGCTGGTGAAACTATCGTACTATGTATGTATTAATAAATAAAGCAACTACCTTGATTGTGTCTGTGTTTCAGCAGATTTTTTTTATAACCCTGCACAAGATCACAAAAGAAAGAACACTATAATGTTGTAGCTTACATTCAGTATTACAAAGTGTTGAATACTACAAGTAAAGCAAGCTCTCCTATAATAAATTAAATCATTTAGCTGGTTATCAATCTTTTCTCTAATATTAAAAAGATAATGAATTCTGCCTTTTTGAGAGATACATAAAATAAATGTGGTCAACACTTATGAATAACACGTAACTGAAAAGGCTGTTAGAGACTTTGTTTAAATAGTCTGATCTTGACATCTTTTTCTTTTCTTTTCTTCTTTGGACCAAAAAGTAAGACCAGCTATTCCTCAACTACCCTTAAGGTATGATTTATTCTTTACCCTTGCAAGAAACTGATATGCAGTATTATAGATTGCCCATCGAACCTAACCCGATGTTGGCTGGGGATAGTTTGATTCTTATCAAACTTTGGTCCCATTCACTCACTCTCTCGCGCTCCTTTTGCTCTTTCCGGGTCAGTTATCGCCAGCCCAACCCATGATATACCTCGGGTAAGATAGTAGTAATCTCTTTATAATTTCACTCACTTTTGTTGCTTCTCTTTTTTTCTCTTATAAATCTTCTTCTTTATAATGTAAGTACTTAACATCAATGTAATAACTGATTTACTAATCATTTTATTTTATATCGCATCCTTTTGCTTCTTGTGAGCTTTCTTTTATCATTATTTGTTGCCTGAAATTATCATTTTTCTATCAGTGTACGAATAATTTCTCAATAAAGTGCAAAAGTTAAACTTTTCCTCCATTGGCTTCCCCCTTCTCTCTCCTCTCAACATCTTTTGGCCTAACCCTTGTTCCGTTCCCTTCTTACTCGGTTTCTTCTACTTCTTTCCTTCAATTTTTCCCTTTGATCTCAAAAGGGTTATTAGATTATATGTTCTTTTTTTAATCTGTCCCAGACGGGACGAAATTATATTGTTTCAATGCGCCCAAGTGACCTTTATTTTCTTTAATCGCAAAGGTTAAACTTTTTACACAAGCATCAACTCCGAACTTTTAAAAAATGACGGGAAGAGCGCTGGGAAACCCTTTTTTTTTTCCTCAACACAAAATGACTCCAGTGCCTATCTTTGTATTGATGGGAACCGCTGGATGTGGTAAAACAAGTGTTGCTGAACAGATTCAGTTGTACTTGGGATGCAAGTATCTTGAAGGTGACTCACTTCATCCTCCACAAAACGTTCAGAAAATGACTTCAGGTAAAGAAAGGAAAAAATAATAGAGAAAAGCGACTTATTGTATATGATCATAGGGCAACCATTAAATGATGACGATCGTTGGCCATGGCTTCGTAGTATCCGTGATCATATAATCGCACAAGCCCAAGAATTGCAACCATTGGACAATGATTCAAAGAAAAGAGTTGTCGTTGTTACGTGCTCCTCGCTTAGAAAAGTGTACCGCGACATTTTACGACAAGTACCAGAAGAACTTGGAACAGTCATCTTTGTTTATCTCAAAGGATCATATGAGCTTCTATTACAAAGAATTCAAAACCGTAAAGGGCATTTTATGCCTGCTAAAATGCTTCAATCCCAAATAGATACTCTAGAGGAACCTGATGAAAAGATAGAAAAAGTAATTGTCGCAAGCATTGTGCCCCCACCTATAGAAGAAGCAAAGCATATTATTGATGCTGCTGTCGAAAAGGGATATTTGCCTGCTACTGTTCAGCAGTAATTCTTAGAGAATATATTTATTTTGTAGATCTACATGTAATAAAGCTTTTCCTATTTCTTTAATCCCATTTCATCTAAACCCTATCTATTTGACGGGAAATAAAATTTACCCCAAGTTTTCAACTGGTTTCCATTTCTGGAATACGCTTTTTTTTTAACAGTAGCTGCTGATTCATGGCCATTGAACAAACCCACCCAACTTTTTCTCTATTCAAGCGTAGCTAACAATGCCTACTTTGAACAGGTAACCACATACAACAGCAATTATTTCAAACTATCATTGTCACAATAGAATACTCAGTAACACCAAGGTTGACCATCAAATATATGTAAAGGAAGTGCTGAGTATATGACGAACTCTCTCTCAAATGGTACCCGTCTCTAGGCTCCCAGTGTGTATATCAACCCTCACTGCATAAATAAGCAACAGCAGCAAAATTGTTACACACATATACACAGTGCTCAATATATTTTTAGATACTGACTGAAATAAAAAAAGAGTTCAAACGTAATCAAGGACACAACAACAGCACTGAATGTAATTCAATAATAAACAAGGTTAATATAAAGAAGGAATAGAAATAAACAACTATCAGAAAATAAGAGAGACTTAAGGTAAATCCTAAAAATGGAATTGTTTTTATTTACTGCTATTCTTGGCAAAATATATATTTATAATTATTCCCCTTATTTTCTTTCTTTTCTTTCTTTAAACACACACACACAAAAAACACAGATGACTGAACAGAAACTATATCATCCTGTAAACTTAAATACAGCAGATTTGATCATCTCTTTTGCATCTAAACAGCATGCCTTCAAACTGATGATGAGTACTCTTCGAGAAATAGAAGAACAGATAGAACTTCGACAGAAAGCAAATAAAAAGTTTTGTCAAACTAGTGTTGTCATCCAAGACATTTATCATAAAGAAATCGATACATATAAACAATTATTGCACAGCATCACTGGAGATATAAAATACTTGGAGAATGACATCTACAGATTAAATAATCAACGTACAACATTAAAAGAGGAACTGGATACATATGAACAGGAATTGGCCCAGTTGAGGGAATACGCCGAACAAAGAAGAAACAAGAAAGCAAAGAGAGAAAAACAGTACCACAGCTTTTACAATGTACCTATTGTTGCAGCGCAATATAAAAAGAAATATATGCGTGCTCGGGATAAAAACTCGGATGCTGAAGAGCAACTGTCAAAAGTCAGAATCACCGTAGATTCGTGTCAAAAAGCTGTCGCTGAAGTAGCCAGGTCCATTAGTGATTGTCAAAAGAAAATCGAGTTACTTGAACAACAACAACAGGACACTGAAAATAGAATAAAACAAGCAAACGACATGATTAGTGAGTTACAAGATGGCCAACGATTCTGGTCTGACTTCGACAACAATCAGCTGTCTACAGCCTTGAAGGCGACACAGCAATTTATTGAAGCTATACAAAAATATTCTAGGAAGAGTCATAGCAATCTTTCTCAAGTAGTTCATCATCAGACGGACTTTGTTAAGGTATTCAGATTAGCATTACATGAATATAGTGAAGCAGAAGGCTATGCAGAATCAAGATGGAAAGATATACAGGTAGCATTTAACTGTGCTCGATGTAAAACTACGCAGATTGGTTGGCCAAATCTAGACAAGGTCCGTACAACAGATTTGCTATGTGATCCATGTTACAAGGAAGTGCGTACTACGATGATTCTTGAGAAAAAGATTAATGGAGTGATAGGATCTAATCGCAGCCAACAGTTACTATCACTTCCTGGTTCATCAAGCTTTTCTGTATCGTCGTCCAATACATCCAACTCAACCACATCAAGCAATAAGAGCAAAACTGGATTCAAGAAGATGTTTCAAATGATTAAAAATAACAAGCGAAGTAGCTCTAGCCATGATCTTTCCAGCCATTCTCCAGATGTGTATGTGTCTTAGTAAATGTATACCCTCTTTCTTTATGTAACGATACATGAAGTTCTTTTATTATGTACACTATCAAAGATTCTATTATAAAAAAAAATAACTCGTTCTTTGTGTTTTTTCTTTTTCTTTTTCTTTAAATATCGCCCAAGCTATCCTTGATGGCACTGTAGTATTCAGGAGAGAGATAGTTAACCAGTTCATCTTTTGTTAACCAAGCAAAATCTGAGACGCTTTTACTAGGCTTGACTTGACCAGCATATACTCGAGCTTTCATGAAAAAGACCTATTATTTTTTTTTCTAATTAAACGTCTGTCCCTTCCTAATATACCATCATCCTTACCTTTAAACCGGATTGTTCTTTAGATGAAGTTTCTTTATAAAATGCGATTGGCTGACGGCCAACAAACCAAGTATCCATATCCACACCACATTGCTCCTTTAACGTACGTTCTGCAGCCTAATGATCATAAATAATGAATAAACAATCATTCTGCTTTATATTTATATTTACTTCATGTAAATATTCTGTGCTATCAATTGGTCCCTGAGGGAACTGCCAGGCACCTTCTCCTGATTGCTTTACAACAAGATACAGTGTCTGCTTCAAGGCGCGATCGAGGCTCTTGCTGTCGTTTTTTTTATCAGCTTCTGTTGTTCTATCTAATTTTTCAACCTTTGTTGCTGCGATTAAGCCTTCATTCTCTTGTTCCCAAGTAGTCTGACTGGCCTGAACCGCATCACTTAATGAAGTTGAAGGATCTTTCATGGCTTGTTGACGAGCCTGTTCTTCATGCTTCCAACGGCGTTCTGCTACTGAACCCTTTTTGAAGTAAAAATCTGTAGGTGTTGTCATGGTCTCTTGACGCTCCAACTTTTCACGATAATCAAAATAAGCTTTTTCAAATGGTGTGGCATCACGGGTAATTTGAGGTGCACGCGATAAAATTACAGAAGCTTGTATACGATTGTTTTTTATAATCAACGGATTAACAGCTGCAGAAGCTAAACCTCGTTTGATTATAGCGTGCTTGAACATGTTAAAGTGACAAGATTATCAAAACTGAAAAAGTTTTTATTTGCCGGGGTTGTCAAAAAAAGACCATTGATCTTTTGATTTGTTGATAATTTTTGCTCCGAATAAAATACTCTTTGTCACAAAAGAAGGGCATCTTCTAACCTTCAAATCAAGCACATATCCCTTTGTATTTAATAAAGAAGAGTAGTCTAAAGAATACACATTCATCTAATTACTTTTCCAAGGGAAGAATCAGAACTATATCTTATTACGTTATGAAGAGTAAAAAAATAATTTGCTGCGTTAGTGGCCACCAGGTTCTGATTATACAAGATCAAATAAGTAAATAAGGTTAAAAGATAACTGAAGTGAGAATAATACTGTAGATTGATTAATCTAATTAAGCTGGTGATTATTTATTCAAAGCATTGTGTTATTTATATGAGTAGTAACAGGAAGTGAATCAAATAACACAGCTCGATGTACTGTGCGGGAAACAGTGTTTGAGAGACAGTGTCTGTGAAAGGTACTGTTAGGGGCGCCCTCCTGAGTCTTCTTCATTACAGTAGAAATTTGCATGATTCATACATACGTACGGTTACCAGTTTCATCAGATACCAAGAAAAAGGTATCGATACCTCCCAGAAAGAGTCCGTCCTCGAATTGGCGACTTAAGCTAATCCAGATGTCAGCAGTATCTGCGTGTTGATGAAGGAGGCGATAACGTGCCAACTTGGGTAGGACAGCCCTCAAATGGGAACGCTTCATCGCATAATATAGCTGTATACTAAGTAGGTCTTCTAGGTGCGGTTACTTGAATTTTACGTGAGACACTTCATTTTCGTGGTGAGCAAATCGTTGAGCCAATTGCTCTTTCAAGTTGTTCAGGCGGCCTTGTTCCCTGGCTGCAATAGCCAAATCAAAGATGATATCCGATTTATTTTTGACTATTTTTTCATAATAAATTTTAGCAGATCCTCGTAATTGTGCTTTATGATTAATTTTCCTGCTTCATTCGTGATGCTGTTTATGCCAAGATAGGATTCTAGTACTTCTTGAAAGTGGTGGTAGCCTTCTCCTTCGTAACCGTGAAATCCAATGAGGGCTGTGCGATTATTGTTTGCCAACGCGGTTTGTCGGTTATTCTTTCTACTTTGTACAGCTCAGCCTAATCAATTTTATGTGACCTGGTGGTCACACATTGAGCCTTTATTATAACTTTACATTTTCAAACACTTTTACTACAAACCTCAGTCTTACAAAAGACACGAACACACAAGCTTCTATTCTTATTATCCTTACAGCACATTCAAATCAAAGCCTACAGTATTACATTTGGTGGCCACTACGAGTGGCAGTTCTTTCAAAAATTGAACTTACAAAGAACATCAATCAATTAAACAAAAATACTCAAAATTTGCAAGCTCGAATTTTTAAACAACCTTTTATATCAGCTTCCTATTGTCTCCGTAACGAAACAATTTTTGTCTTCGATCGTCTTTATTATTGCCAAATTCATCACCGCCCGCTGTTTTCCCAAGATCAGCTTTTCAACCATGACAGCTCCTCGGAAACTTGGTGGCCTTGGTTTACTGGGTCCCCTCATACTGTTGTATTCATACTTAGTGGATTAACTATTAACCATATATAAAACAATAACTGGCAATCATTCGACTTCAGTTTGTTGCTTTGAAACAACTGTGCGGATCATTATTTAAACAAATTACCAGAAAATGGGTTTTAAGGTACGCATATCCAGTGACTCTGATCCATCATTGCTACTAGGGATCATCGTCTCATCAAAGGCACCCGATTCGTCCTAACTTCCTCATTGCCTCAGTTGTCATTCATAAGCCTCTATGAAAATTTTTACGACCTCAGCTGAAGGGTGTCTCACATTTAGTATAAATACTCGTCCTTAATAAAGCCAATCGACAGATATCTTTTAGTCTGGTTAATTCTAGTCTTTATTCTTTTTAATTGATACTTTGTATTCAACACATACAACAATCCACGCTCCAACTGCGATGGCTTCTTTTGCTGCTGAGTCATTTTCATCTTTCGTCAGAGTTTTGGTACTCGAAAGAGCTCACTTCTTCCATTGTTCTGCCTCTCCTAGCGGACTATCTCATTCACCTTGTAGAAATCTCGATGCGGCCCCCACAGCCTGTAGCATTAGGTTCTGACTTTCATCTTCCTTTTCTGTTTTCCTCGCTCCGCCCTCTTTTGTCCAAAGACAGAGGACACCTGTTATTCCTCTTGTATCAAGCCATGGATGCTCTTCCCAAAAATTTCTCTACTGTGGTTATCAACCCGGAAACTGCCATGCACATTCCTCTTGAGTTCATCATCAACCCAATTCGGACTTTTCAGCTTCGTCCCTCGATTTTAAAGCTTCCAGCAAGTAGTGCGTACATCATTGACTCAGAATTCCATTTTACACGGCCACGCAGTAATATAGAAATTGCTCAGTCACCCAGACTTGTTAAAATGTTTCTGAAAGCGGCTCGGGATGGTCACCTCCAATTGACCCCTTTCTTCTTACGAACGTGCATAGCACAATTCTTAGCTCACTTGGCCTCTCCTGCCTATATACCTGTACTACATCACAATATCGATGTCAGTCAGTTTGTCAAAGCCTGTGCACTTGGACCTTCTGGGAAAGATATCTCATCCAAAGAATTTCGAAAGCTTTATCGTCCGCCTACCCCAAAGTCACTTCCTAGTCTTTCTTCAACGAAATGCTCTCATTTTGGCGTTTTTTTATTCACCTGCAAGCTTGTACTGTTTAGTATCAGGCCTTGCATGGCAAACTGGCCACCCATTCCACTCTTTTCAAGCTCCATCCTGAACTTGTGGATCCTCCACAGTGCATCTTCTGTAATATGTCCGCCGTGGAGGACATCGCTCACTTTCTATATGATTGTTCTCCCAAGTTGCTAGTTTGGAAGGAACTGTGGTCTACATTATTCAGCAGTCAATTCTTCGCCCCTCTGCTTGAAAAAGCCTTGTTCAAGCTGGAATTTCCTGGCTCTTCCGCCGAAAACGAAATACCTCCTGGCATTGGAATCGCGTCCACCCTTTTATTTTTACTTTTTAATTCGTACTTTTTTTTAAGGAGTTTATGGTGTTCAATTTATCAGTGAAAATTAAAAAGTTAAAGAAAAACGAAAAAGATTATAAGATCATTGGAGTGAGAATAATACTGTAGATTGATTAATCTGATTAAGCTCATAATTCTTTATTCAAAGTTACTGGGTTATTTATATTAAAAAATAATAGGGAGAGTGTCATTGACACCATAACTGACATAGTGCGGGCACACTATGTCATGGCATTATGTGGTGTTACTGGGTGTTAGTAAGGAGAAAAGCGCTAATAGTAAGTTTTAAAGTAAGTTCTATAAATAGATTTTGATATTATAGTGACCAACAGATCTTAAAATAAGATCAATATAAAGCAATATAATGCTAAGTCTTGTGAGATAAAGTAAAAAGGTTATCAAGCAATTGTTGCTTAAGATATAAGATAAAATAGAAGTTATTGTGATCTGAAGATAAGATGCTTCTTAGATGATTCTTCGATGTTGTTTATTTCATGAATAATTTGGGAATATTTATACTGTTTGCATAAGTAAATATGCAATATAAAATATATAATAAATGATAAATCATTAAAACTTGCATTAGACATACAGAGTATACGATACCAAAAATGGCAAAAACGCTTAAAATTTTACCCAAATAAAAATTTGAAAAGATTAGCCCGACGGGGGGGTCGAACCCCCAACCTTGAGATTAAGAGTCTCACGCTCTACCGATTGAGCTAGCCGGGCTTCTTATTTTTTGGTTAATGCCTATATTAATATAGATATATCATTATCACGTGATAAAGTCACGTGCTTATTGTCACGTACTTTGTTTTTTTATTATTTCGAAGTTCTTTACCATGATAATGGTATAAGGTCTTGTTAAATGATGTTTTTGCTTTTGACTGTAAAGGAAACGATCAAGAATTACGTGAAAGTCAACTGTTCGAAATTTGGAAAAAAATACACTTATTCAAGTTTCGAGTAATGTCGTCAATTTTAATGGTGGCTCATAACATACTCTTGCATAAAACAATTTAGCATCGCGAAACCTCAATAATGAAATCTCTACATGCAATACTGTTATTTTTATCTCATAAGTTACACTGTAATACTGAATATCTAAGCAACTGGTATTTATAAGACCTATGTTTGTAATTAATAAAATATTTTGTTCAGTTTTACTCGACTCTCAAATAATCACCACAGTGCTTTGCTAAGGTCTTTACAATTTCGAAATTCAGTTTCGCCATATTGTTAACCCAACTTACAACGGATTAACCATATCGCTATCACATCGTAATATAATATCATGTGGGATTTATTGAAGTTATACTTTATTTTTTGTCTATTATGGTTGACTTTTAGTCTAACGTGATAGAAAAATAGAAGGTAGACTGTATGCTCTACTATAAGATCATAAAGCATTATTATCATTTATCTCATAATAGGCATTAATTAGACAATTGGATTTATGGTTAAAACTTGCAAAGGCTGCATGCTGTTGCGCCAAGCCTTTTAAGAAGCTGTGCCTTCGAAGGTTTTACAGCAAATGATGTCAACAATATTGCAAGTTGTTGCTCCATTATCAAGTGCTCTCACATGTATAAGCCTAAAAAAAGTAGCTAAGATTTATGATTCTATTATTTATCACAGGATTTATGGTTACTGCTCTAATGTCAATATTTGACCTTTCAACAAACTATGATGTATTGATTCAACAAAGGCTATCTAGCCATCTATGTCCCTGATCATTTTTTTAGTTCATATCTCATGAGCTGATTGGAATACTTTAGAGTTAGGTGATATTAAAGCATCAAAAGCAAAAAATTCATTATTTTAGACATTGGCAATTGTTTATAGTTCTTTTATACTTTATAGTAAAATATGCCCTTCACTTTCATATGTTCTGCCTGGCCCTGTTCGACCCATTTTCATAAAACAAACCTTATCCAACACAGCTTGCCCAAAGTTAATCTCTTTATGCTCTTGAAGAATCGATCTAGCATCAAAGGGCTGTCTGATCTTTCCTTTGCAATGACTAGTATTTACAAGTGTCGCATGTAGCTGGCATCATTTCAGTCATAGTTTTGTCCGTTTGCTTATCTGATTACCTTTAATGGCCTCTTTTCCATTTTCATAAACCCTCCATCTATCATTTTATCAATAATTGCCTTACATAATTTAACAAGTAGCTGTGTCTCATCTTGCGGCTCAATATATAATACATGCGCTTCAGCTATCTTGTTTTGTAAGCAACTTTTTCATTTTAAAATACCTTTAACTAACCTGGGTTAGGTTGCATAATAGCTAGTTTTTGTAATCTCACGCTCAAAGGGCCGTTCTCAAGGACTTGATGGGCAACAATTGAGCATTCCTCTTTAAAGTATTTAACAGCTCGATCAATCTCTTCTCGATCTAGGAGAGACATAACTCCCAATGTAATGTGGAAGTTGGCGGGTAATACAAGTGCATCCGGATTGACCATCGTGTCTATCTTTTTATAGAATGCTTCAATCTGTTGCTTGACGTTTGTGATAGGTATCGATAAGAAATGGGTTGGCCGCATTCGCTGTTGTGCTTGTTGCAAAGTGCGATCGATTGCCAGTTTGGCCTTTTCAATACTCTCCTTATCAGGACCGCTCACCATCACTTGGTCCTTACCTCTTTGAACCCTAATTTGCGTGCCTGTTTCCTCTGTCAGCTGCTTTAGTCTACTACCCTTTTTCCCAATCAAAAGACCATGAAGTGATTTCTTTACAATATAGCTTTCGGTAATCATGTTTTGATGACTTTTACAATTATTATTACTAGTACTAATATGCTGCAAGCAATGTTTTACCTTACCCTTCAGTAATAGTTTTATTTATAAAGACTTTTGTTGCTCGATAACTTGTTGTCTGCTTTATATTTTTCTCCATGCGAAATATTAAAGACATTGCGAAGTAATATCTGTATGTGATTTGAAGATGAAATAGGCGTGGTAACAGCAGTCACAAAACGGTCCCTTTTTCTACAAAGCCCAGTAAGATACTTGTTTTGGAGCCCTTTGTGACAGAAAATCATATATTCTTATTATCGATAAAACATATGGTGGAAAATGAAAGCAAAGGGTTCAAGGAAGGTACAAAAACGTGTGCATAACTGACGAATTTATGACCTCACAAGCCTGCCTGTGTTGCTTTTCAAAGCTTAACCACCTTTATACAAAGAAAGATGGAAAAAGGAAGAGTAAAGGCTCCCTTTTATGTGGAAATCCAAAATGCGTCATAGTCAAGAACAACAAAGCATTGATATCTAGAGATCCTCTCTCTGCTTTAGCAATTGTAATTTCTGGACTATACAAACTCTTTCTGTATTCTCGCCTAGCATCAGTTACTTCAATACTGATTTTGTTCTTATTATCCCTTTGTTAAACACAGAAATTGTTACCTTGATCTCATGACTGCTTTTTCTGGTTGGGTATTTAGAATTTTTGAAGATCAAAAGGCTACCAGAGCTGCGGTTCACTGCGATTACTAACCACAGATCTTGCTACAGTAGGCTCGTATCATGTATAGACATTTCTATCTCACATAAGTAAACAATATCGAATTGATTTTCTAGTTAGCTTTAATTCTTTCCTGGCTCTTTCTTCTGACTTTAAACTAAAGTAATATATTTTCTTACTTTTCTTGTCTCCGTGAGTTTTTTCTTTTTTAATATTGCTGGAAATGACAAACGTTTGTTCAGCCGAAGGCTGTGAAAAGTCTGCTACTCTTCAATGTCCTACTTGTATCAAGTTAAAGATTGAAGGTTCCCTGTTTTGCTCTCAGGATTGCTTTAAAAAGAACTGGGTACGGAATATAAAAAACAACAGCTTGTTCTTGGGATATTCACATAAATGATAGGCTCAGCATAAGCTTGTTCACAAGGCAAAGATTGAAAGTAATACAAGATACATACAATTGGACAAAGCTAACAATTGTTTAGGCGAACCTCACGACCCTTTCCCTAATTATAGATACACAGGTGAACTTCGTGCGGTTTACCCTCTTTCTCCTATGCGTCAAGTGCCCAAAGAAATAATGCGACGTAAGCCATTTTGAAGAGAGAAAGAGAACAAAAATAGCAACTTATGAATCATTATATAGCTGATTATGCTGAAACAAGTATACCTATCTCTGAACAGCGCACTAGGTCAATTATGAGAGTATTAAATCCCGAAGAAATTGAAGCGATGCGTAAAGTGTGCCAGGTAATAATTTTTCTTTTACTTGAATAAGCGTAATAGGGGAAGCTAATTTCTGGGACTATTTGCTAATAGATTGCTCGTGAAGTCTTGGATACTGGTGCTGCCGCAGTTCGCCCTGGTATCACAACAGACGAAATTGGTAAAGAAAATGACTTGACAAAATGAACGTCTTTTTAACAGTCTCATATAGATGAAATTATTCATAACGCAACAATTGAACGTGGTGCTTACCCTTCTCCTCTGAACTACTACCAATTTCCTAAATCCGTTTGCACGTATAGTATATGAAATAGTTTGTAGATAATGACCAAACAAATTAACATGTGTGTGATATTGTTTAGATCTGTCAATGAGGTCATTTGTCATGGTATCCCAGACAAACGTCCATTGAAGGACGGCGATATAGTTAACTTGGACGTATCATGTTACTATAACGGTTTCCATGCTGACTTGAACGAAACTTACTTGGTTGGCAATGTAGATGAAAGAGGTAAACAATTGGTACAATGCGCTAGAGAATGCTTGGAAAAGGCGATCGCAATAGGTAATCAAAACAGTATATTATATCATCCTACAGGCTAATGAGTTATAAAGCTAAACCTGGTGTTCGATACCGTGATTTTGGCAAGGTCATTGAAGAGCATGCCAAAAAGAATGGATTCTCCGTTGTCCGAAGTTTTTGTGGACATGGCATTAACCAACTTTTCCATTGTGCTCCTGATGTACCTCACTATGCCAGTAAGTATATTCTGTATATTTAACAGGAATGATATTCATATCTTTTGTAGACAATAAGGCTATCGGCGTCTTGAAACCCGGTCATTGTTTTACAATTGAACCCATGATCTGTGAAGGCCACTGGAGAGATGAACTTTGGCCTGATAACTGGACAGCTGTCACATGTGATGGCAAGCGTTCTGCTCAGTTTGAACAAACTTTACTAGTGACAGAAACAGGTGTTGAAATATTAACGCAAAAAAGAAATTGACGTCAATAGAATTGCCTATAAAGAAAGTTATCATGAGCTCATTGTTCATCTCTACTTCTTTTATCTTCTACGTGAGCATGGGTGCTATTACTTTTTCTGCTATTATATGTCCTTATTTTTATTAAAAGCGCATATTTGGGCGGATGATGTTGTAGGAAATCATTCATCATTTTACTTTATTCATCCGTTTTTCTCCTTTTTTCAAAGTTGTTTTAAATCTCCTGGAGAATAGTGGTCAACCCAAGGCAGTGAGCTTGTTAAATGTGCTTTGAATGTGTCAAGTATTTATCTTGGATGTCAAAATAAGACAAAGAATTTTGAAACGTATTGTATAAAGAACTTTGATGAAGGGTTGTTAAGGTAACTATGTTATCGTGTTTGATTATTTCTAGGTTTCCATCCCTTCTTCAGGAGCGCATAATAGTGATACAAGCAATAGTAAGGGTTTAGCTTGCTTGATACTTGCACAAAATAGTCAAACTTTGTAGTAGTAGTTTTACTATTTATCTGTTTAAATGTATTTAAATATATGCAAACACAACAAAAAAATTGTTGATGCAGGTGTAAAAAAGGAGAGGATATATAAATAGGGTTATTCTAGTTGAACAAGCTTCTTGTCAGGGCGTCATGTAAAGCGTTTGTTAACTGTGGGATATCTGAAGGGTCTTGTACTAAGCGAGAAGGAATACAAGGGGAATTCTTTAGTAAAAGAGATTCTTTCGGTGAGTCACTTGGGCATAAATTGATATTTGCTGCGTTCGTAAATGCCTGTAGTTCGTCTTGATCGATCTCTTGATGGTAAAAGTGAACAGGTACAAACTCTGGATTTCCGTAGAGTTGGTTGATTTGTCGTACAATTTCAGGTACCGCTTCCAATTCACGCCATGACACATGAGATGAGCATATTTGTATCAGGACAGCGTTATTTTTCCACTGAGGATATTGACATAATAGGTTAGCAAAGGCGGCAAGTGTATAAAGAATATTGGCTGCGCTGGTATCTTCTTTAGAGAGGATGATTTGCTTGTTGGTAAATAGATCTCGTATCGACTGAGATCTTTTGCTGATTGCGTCTTTCTGTTGTGCAACTTGCTGATTGGATATAGGTTAGTTATGGTTAGAAAAGAAATATTTAATTCTTTACCTCCAGTTCTGAAAGATTATATGTTAAAAGAGGCGTTTCTATCATATAAATAAAAAAAAAAGAAAAGAGGCAAAATGAGGGCTTTTTTCTTGTTTATAGTTATTCTGCGCTTACCAATTTTGTGGTCTGCCCGTGTTTCGAAACAGTATGATGTCTGATCTACATAAAGCACTTTACATGAATAATGTCACGAAAGAATAGGGGAGAATATTTTCTTACTTGACGCATCAGCCATTTCCAAAGTATTCAGCTCGGCTAAATTTATCCATGGTGAGCTATTTGGCAGCAAGAAGTATATTACTATAAATAAGCGTTTAGTTGCCCTTGTTTTAATCTTATTTGATTGACGTGATTGTTTTGATTTACATTTTTTGATAAAAATGTTGGTTTCTTCATCAAAATAAGCGCTATCAAATTCCAAAAAACTAGATAACCTGCTTATTAAGTGTTTTTGGTTCATTGTTAATTCTGACAATAGAATGTCAGTCAGGTGGATTGATTGCTTTTTGTTGACTAATAATGGAAGTGATGGTATCTGTTCAATAGAAAATGACATGGTTTGGTTTAAAATGAAAAGAAAGAAAGTAAAAAGAGGAATAAGAGACTGAAAGGAAGTTTTATTTAAGGGAGGCCTGAAAAATGGTTTATGCACAGATCTTGATGGTCGGGAAAAACAGGTTTATTTTTCCGATTAGATAATGAGCCCATAAAAGGCAACCAGCTACGCAAACCCTTTTCGTAAAAGGATCTTTAGTGATCCACGTGGCTCAAGTAACATATTGCATACTGTTTACACTCTATTCGCATAATTCAAAAATTTATAATACAAAATATACAAAATACAACATTTTGGAACAATCTTGCTTTCATTTGAAGTGGTGTTTCATGCTTACGTGTCTTTTTCCTAATTTATTAAATGGGTTATTGATTATGAATTAACCTTTTAATTCTATCTTTGTATCTAGCAACAAGTTCTCAAATGAAAGGGAGTGTCTTACTTCCGAATCATTCCTATTCCATCGCTTACCTAAATAAACGCCCTCGGCTAAAGGAAAATCATATTATCTGGGTCGGAAAGAGTTTCGGATGGTTTGTGTTCTCGAGTATCCGCTATGTCATCATTTGTTTAAGGCAAAATTAATTAGCGCCAGTAAAGAAGTTTAAAAGAAACAATATTTATAAAAGACGAATGCTCTATTGCTACTGATGTTTTTTATTATATATAGATCCACTAAAGGTTTATGTTGTCAGCAGAGCGATAGAATGTTGTTTGACTACTTCTTTCAAATGATGCCTCTACTTCTACGGCTAGTTAAAGACAGATCAGATTTACAAGCTATTTGATTGGCCTTTGTACTTGCAAACAAAAAAATACGAACCAGTTTAGAAACAAGCTGGACGTCACTCATGTCGAGACTCATGACCTGAATGCTGTATCACAGGCGACACTGAAATAATACAATGATCCTAAATATGCGCCTTAACTCATTCTTTTTTTTTAAGCGTTTTTAAATAACTATTGAAAATGCTCGCATATGAGTATTTTCTTAACCCAAACTCATCCGCTATATGTTTAATATGTTTTATATATTTTGACTTGACAAAGTGTGCTAATTGAATCCTTGGCCTCTTTGTTCTCACTGTTAAGAAATGAATCGTTTATTGCTGTCATATACGAGCACTAAATCTTAAATATGCGTACTTTAATGAGTTTGATTGTTGTTTATGCATTTTTGATATCAAAGAACTCATTTTGCAAAAGTGGGTTGTCAACCGTTTTTGTATCAATAACCAAGAGCGTAGATTGGCTTAATATGAATGCGATCCTTTCCAGTCTTTATATTTTCTAAACGTAGAGCACGGTAAAAGATGCTGCATTAAAAAGGGGAGAGAAGATGACCCATGGGCAGCCTGTATTTCTACTTTTGTCTATTTGTTTACCTGGTATTTCTTTTTATAGATCTTAATGAGAAGCGAAAAATCTGGCCAAATATGGTCGAACGGAAGGATGACAGAGATGGGGGGAAACAGTAGCCAAAATTTTCTCTTTTTCCCTTTTCTTATTTTCTTTTTTATCAAGTGTGATCGACTATAAAATGGGTGCCTTTCCAAGCTCAGAGTATAATCCATACGACTATTATTACCGACAAAACTATGGATACAGTAACGGATATGATGTAGGATAACGATGAAATAGGAATGCATTACTGATTCTGTTAAAGTATTATCACAGGTATTACAATCCATACTATCCAGCTGTTTCTTCTTCTTCATCTATGGCTAATAACTATTATCAATATTATCCTTACGGAGCACCAACTAGCTACAACTATGGTACACCAGCTTATTATGGTACACCTTATTCTACCAACATGTACGGAACATCATACCCCTATGGCTATGGAAGTTATTATCCTACTAGTTATCCTCAGCGAACATACTTTTAAATATAATTCACAATTTATATACCACTTTCCTCATGTTATGCTTAAAAATATAGTATATATTACTGAATATTTCATGACATAGGGAAGATGATGATGTGTACAAATATAATACATATGTATGACACACACATCTGTTGACTCTTTCCCTTTAACGAATGCATAATGCTTTTCCTATTTTATTTTTATTATCTCACGAATATGATCTTTGCGTTTTTTTATTATGAATATTTAAAACTAATTCTTTTGTTAGTATTCTTCATGTTAACACATACACACAACTTGATCATGTCGTCACAAAGACTCGTTATTGGCTTATGTCATTATGTCTAGAATTTCCCAACAAAATGTCCTCTACTCTCCCTCTCTCTGAGCCATGCCTTATTTTCCACAAGTTCACAGTAAAAATACTTGGGAGTAGAAGTTATTCAAAACTGTGGCTATTGAAAAGGGCTGGCCTAAAATTAAAAAGCATGTCAGAAGAAACCCATTCACCTTCTTTAGACACTTTGACATCTCAAACTTAAGCTGCTTATTAAATAATGAAGAGTAGGTATTTACTTTATTTGTTTCCAAATATAACATGATATAATAGTTACTAGTTGACTAATAGCAACTTTCTCTTCTTCATCTAGTGTGTATGGCCCTGATCTATCCTCTCTACTGTTGATGCTAATAGTGACCATTGCCTCAGGTTTATATACTATACTGAAGAATGCCGGTATATGGTTGATAAATAATAATAATTGTCTGGTCTCTGCCGTATAGATTTCTCCAGACATACCAACATAAAATAGCTTTAAATAATCCAAAAGATCATTCCAATCAATACCTCTTAGATCCAACATTTTGGAAAGCAAAGGGTCTATTTTACGTAAATCAATGGGGCTGAACTGAGAAGCCAAGTCCACCAATTCATGAGGTGACATGTTGTTTACTGGGTGGGATGCAGTAATCTCATATAGTTTGTTCCAATCATTTTCACGCCGATAATAGTAAATAGCCTTTGGTTAATTTAGTAAAAAATCATTCATTCAATATGGTGCTTACCTTATTTGCCATATCGCTTAACTTGGCTTTAGCTGCATTAAAGACATCTCTCATAGTGATGCTTTGAGGTTCAAGTATTTCATCCAGAAAATTATGATATCGTCTCGGCCTGGCTTTAAGTGCTTCTGACCATGCCTTTCGAGATTGTTCTATACTATTACAGCAATCCATACCACGATAAGTAATAAGAATAAAATACTGCAACGTTACTTTATGCATATTGACATGTGGCTCTCTTCCGATAATCTTTTTGATAGGATTAGGACCAGACATATCAAAGCTTCCTTGTTGATGTGTGCTTATACTATCACAGCGTTGTCTACTGTTGCTTTCTTCTTCTTCATCATCCATTGGACATATTAGCAGAGTATAGCGGAAGAGAGAAGTTTCAGTATCTTTGTGAGTTAAATGCATATCAAAGGATAAGTCGCTTGAAGATACAAAGCAAGCAACTGGATGGCCGTTTCTTCTTAATGCCCCAAGACCAAGTTTTGAGCCAGAAGCAAACATCCAGGACACAAGGCTATCTTGTGCGTCTTCCACAGGCATTTCATACGTGCCATGAATCATTCTGTTTCTAGCATAGATAGCAGGACGATCATAAATCAACGCAATATTCTTTATCATGCTCAACAAATCCAAGGATGGTGGCAAAAGATCAACATCGTCCAGACTGCGTTGAATGTATCGAAGGTGAAAATCAAAAACAAATGAGTTGACATGTATCCTTTGCTTAAATTGGTCACATTCACCCATAAAGTTTTGAAAATTTTCTCTGCCAACTTCCAAACTTTGATGTGAGTTAGGCGAATACTGCAATCGACCATATCTACGATGTAACGTATACAAGGTTACAGAAACAAAGGCGCCAGTCAATCGAGCTTCACACATGATTGACCCTCCTTCAAAAACTTGCAGTAGATATACAACTGGCGAATTAACAGAATAGTTCTCGGCAATGGTAAACTGGGACAAATATGTTTCAAGTTCGTCTGGCTGATCATTCGATGGGCCATAAACAATCAAGTGCATTCCTATGCCTTCGAGGTAGGAAGCGTACTCCTTCATGAATGTACGTGCAAGTCTTTCGTACCATGCCGTCATCTCCTCAGATTTACCAAAGTTGTCTATCAACGCGTTATTGAGCTCAGAGGTGAGGGAAGGGCCTGCAGTGATCTCAGAGAAAATAATGGGTGTTCTACAGAAATGCAGCAGCCTTGAAGCCTTCAGAATTTCTTGAAGTTCTGGTACGGTCATCATTTCATCAACGGTTCTTGTTTGTCCCGAACCGTAGTAGCGCTCTGCCCACTTTGTATACACTTTAAAGGCTTTTTCATGAGCTTCTAAGGGCTTCGACCTTGAGAGATACATGTGCAAATAGGGCTCACCGTGGCGTACGAGATAATCCGTGGAATAAGGAATCTTGTTGAGCTCAATAGGTCGGGCATATGTATCACGTAAAACAGTGTTCGCATCAGCCATTCTTGCTGCTGAATAGATAACATCGCCTGTTGAGCCGTTTGTAGATCTGGAAGCTGTTTTACAAAGTCTGGCATTGTCAACTATATCAAAGATGTTGTTGGTTGTAAAAGACATTATATCAGGGGTCCCTTGTTGCTGCTGTATCTTGTATCTGATGTTAAATTCGTATGTATTCTTTATCAGTTGTTTCAAACTTTCAAAGTTGACTATAATCTGATTACTGGGTTTAGGGCTACATGGGTTGCTGTTTCGCTGCTCTGTAGAGCTTGCAGTGCTTTCAATAGACGGAATAGAGGATGACGAGTCAATTTGAGTTAATCGAACAATGGTGTTCGCCAGACTAGGCGACTTTGCACTACTGTTACTTGAAATATTCTGAACTTGCGTCAGTGCGGTATGCTGCAGAGGCGTACTGAGATTACTTGCAGAGCTGTTGCTTTGTACTAGTGACGGCGGCGTTAAACTGCTTATACAATTACTGTTATGGGCCATGATCTTTGACATTTTGTCAGTATGATAGAACAATCCCAGCTTTTGGTGTAGTATGTTGTTTAAGCTCATGTGTCGAGTCTCTTGCAGTACAACGTTTTTATACATTGTATTGAACACATGGTCTGAGAAATTGTCAGAGCAATTATAGGCATACATTGTCAATTCAGAGACGTCTATTGTCATTAACGTAAAGCTATGAAAATTTGGCGTGTCTCTATATTCACTCCCTTTGTGCTTCGAGATGAATCCAGGTAATGGTTTTGACGTACTTGATGCAAGTGACTCTTGTCGACTATGAATACTAGCAGTATCTTCTCTTCTTAATGAAAGATCCTTTCGATTAAACAACGCTAGTTCTTCTTCAAACAAACTCAGCGGGCCCCGAGATTTTTGCGACATATCCATAGTTTCTGTACTAAACCTTCTACTAGACGGCTGCGAGTATTTGCTAAGGACTTCTGGAAGACCGCTTATGATCAAATACTTGTAGTTTTTATGGTCAAATGTTGGCACTTCATGTAGCTTTTTTTCATCTTGATTACATGCTCGTCTTTGCTTGCCTAATGATTCATCTTGAGTAATCTCGGCCGATGGTCCTTTTCTCGATAAATAAGCAAAGCTCTTCTTTATTCTGCTACGGATCTTGGGGTATCGCTCGTCAATTTCATCTTCTTCAGGTAACATGGTGTTTTCGAATGATTTTTCAAAGACTTCAAATGGATTGTATAACCGATAATTTGGTATTGAACTTGCACGATTCATATCACCAAAAATACCATCTAAGCTAATAGACAATTGTGCTCGAGCGATAATAGGATCTAGAGATGCGTGAATGTCTTGTAGATCACACTTTAGTTGAGATACTAGGCCATCAAAATACCATGGTGTCAAACTAATCTGACGTGAAAACTTTCGAACGCTTGGACTTTCCCATTTAGACGCCTGTTCAAGGATGCATATGAGTAGAGAAGCGATCGTCTTAAACTCATCTTCCAGTTTAGATTTCCTAGTTGAGGTACCTGGAGGTATATATGAAATGGATGTTTCGATTAGATAGTCGCAGATGCTTTGCTTGAATGACCTGTAGATGACTTCATAAATATGCTGCACTTCAAGTTTACTGTAGGTCCATATATCAATGCAAAGCCTATAACCTCCATGGTGTCCATTTGCTTGCTCAAAGTTAAAACTGAAGCAATCCTTAAGCGCCTTCAACGTCAATCGCTGTCGCTTATTTAAGGTGGATATATCATTGTCAAATACGGTTTTTGAAAAAACGATGCCATTATCATCAGTGACTGTTAGGCATATTCCTGCAATGCCTTCACCTACTCTTTGCTCAAATGGCAGATATGTACCAGGTGCTCGATTTAAGTAATTATAATAAAACGCCAAGCTTAAGTAAGACCACTCTTCTGCCAACCCGGTTTTGCTTGTGTCCTCACTCTTGGCATGATATGAATCACCTAATCCAGAGCAACCATCATAGTGCAGGATATGGTGTCTCTTCACCGTGCTCGCAAGATAGTTTGAGTGGAGAGTGTGTAGAGAAGGGTATGTTAATATGTTCTTTCGCAAGATCTTTAGAAACAGAGACATGTTGCTCACCAAACTGGGGATGCAAAGTTGTTCCTGCAACGCTGGCTCCCGTTCAACCGGTAAGATAAAGTCAACGTCTGCACGAGATAATCTGGTTGTAGGATTGCGTATAAGAAATTGCTGAACTTCTTTCAAAGTAATTTCTGATGTGATTCTTGACTCAATCATCTCCACAAGGCCTTCAATGATATAGGAATCAGCCTCAACGCCATAAACTTCGAGAACAAGCTCTCGCCCTTCGTACTGTTTGCTCAATTTCTTCCCATTGGCTGGTGATGAAGCAGATGTTCCTATGTCTGTCGAGCTTGGGCTATTTTTTGGACTTGGCTGTTGACGATCGCTAGTAATGCTTCCTTGCGGAGAAGGCTTTGGATAAATGTAGGATGGGTGACGAGTTCTTGTATGTGAGGTGCTTAATATGCTGTTATCAGGATTGTTGATAAGAGATGTACCATAAATGGATTCAGGCTGACTAAGTAAACTATCTTCTGCTGCATAAATGGAAGGTTCTATGGCACCATCAGTTATCATCGTATTGACCTCTGAAAGCAAGCAATAAACGACAGAGTTTTTGTGTGAAATGACAAACATTCCAGGCTTGTTTTTCACAAGGAAAGGTAATAATGTGTCTGTCATGAGTTTGTTTAAAGCCGCGTTGGGCTGCAGTCTCCAGTGTAATGGAAATCGCTTTGTGAATACGATATCGCATTTAAATTGGCCAGGTACAAACTTTCTTGGTGGTGAAACGCTAGCTTCTTCTCCTGAAGTTGATAGTATATCCACCAAATTATTGTTTGTACCAGTTATAGGATCTTCATCTTCTTCCGAACTCTCTTCTTCCGATGAATACAGTTGCTTTTCACCTTCAACTGGAGCAATAAGGTATTTGCTATTTCATGAATTATAATCTAGTTTATACAATTTGGGCGGCATAAAGAAATTCATACCTGCAAATACGAGAGTCATGCAAATGTTGCAAAAGAATCAACCTATTCGTCCGCTCCATAACTTCATTCACCATTGACTTAGTAATACGAATGATATCAGATCTGTTTACTGACTGTTGAACCTTGGAATAAAAGTATATTTGAACACTATGTGCTTGAGGGATTAACAGCAGCCAATAGAGCTGTGGGTGAACAGGTTCTTGCTTCACTATTTGCCTTGAACTCTCTTCTGATGTTTCTGGTTCTAAGATACTTATTCCTAAGCCTTCACAGTACTCATCATTACTTCGGTCATCGTCATCACCTTGTCTTTCTCTTCTTATACTAGTAGTTATGTTTAAGCCATCACCATCAAACACATCACCTTCTTCATCTATGTTATGCTGACGCGATATATGCATAGGCTCAGACTCATTATCACTAGCATAAAAGCAATCTCCTACACGAATTAATCGATATGGCGTATTGTTTTGTTTCTCGATTTCTTCAAAGAAGATACGACGACTTTCCTTTTGATTTTTAACAAATGCAAGAGGAATGAACATAGTCGTAGGAAAATCAACAAATGGGTTCTTCTTTTTCAACTGTGCTTCAATATAACGAATAACATTTTCTGTTACAGGACCAGATCTTAATAATCCATGCATGATCTCTTCAGTAAACAGCCAAGTTAATCTAGCTTCAGTTTCAACAAGGGCATCTTGTTTATCTTGGCCAAGTGATGGTAATCTTGCTCGGTGAGCCTTGTCATCGTCCAAGAATGACCTAATTTCATGACTATTGAGCTCAACAACGTATACATTGATTGTAGACAAAATATAACATGGCACTTACGTCTGATGCTGAGCTGCATTGTCAGCAGGACAGTCAGATAGATGTGATAGTATAGTATTCGGTGGATCATATTCTGACTGTGGAAGCGTTATACAAACCAGATGGAGGGTAGCAGTTGTACCATCAGCAGAAACTATAGGCGAGTATTCTGTGCCAATATATTTTGGTTCAAAGTTATATGGCGTTCCGTTATCTAATTTGCCCACATACAAGGAAGGAAGGGTGTTCAAAGGGAACGTAATTTCTGTAAACCCAGTCCCATCGGGTAATGGTTTGCGAAGGGTGCAATCAAGTCGAACGAAAAGCGGATTTTGAGCACACATCACAACGTCTGCCAGGTTACTTGGCTTTTCCCCTGATGACAATGATAGACCAAGCTTCTGTCCCACCTTTGCAAATGGAGGTCTATAGCAGTACATATTTGTCCATTCTGAATTTGAGATAATAACTGGCTCAAAATAGTGTCCAAGGACTGATATAAACCGCTGATTGATTGATACAAGCTCTTCTTCATTAATCCTTGCATGTCTGTTTAATAACGTCTGTACATTCAAATAGCCAGTGAGGTCTATGTCTAAATTTGATTCATCGCAAATCTCTAACACCTTCTCAAAGTCTTCAGAATCGACAGCTCTTCCATGTAAAAGACAGGTGAATACGGACTTTACAAAGCTCCTAGAATAGATTTGTGTGATGCTCTGCATCAATCGAAGAGTTCTATCCGACAAAGGCTCCACTGGAAGTGTCGTCAAAAGTTGTCCTCTAAGAAGACTTGGTCTTAACGTAGAACCCAAACTTTCTATCCATTCCTTTGAAGACGCAGGGTTTATAGGCTGGATTTTTACTTGATAACTGGTACTTAACGGGTTACTGCTATTTCTTGAAATCTGTCGATGGCATTCAAAGATCATCAAACTGATTCTATCGAGTGGATGTTGCTGTCTATCCTGGTTTAACTTGGATTCAAAATGATTTAAGCCCTTTACGACTGCATCCAATCGAGGCATCAGTATCAAAACAAAGGCCGAAGGATCAAATGTTTTGATAAAGCATCGAAGATCACGAAAATTTTGCGCTACAAACAATGTACTTTGAGTGGCAGCCACTTCACTTGTTTCTATTAAATCTTTGATTAGGTTAACATAAAAGTCGTCACCATTTGCCTTGTTTAAAGAAAGAGTTCTGTCAGCTATAGCAAACAAAGATTGTTCAACATAATAATGAAGTAAAGCAATATCTCGTAACACAGGGCGTAATTTTGAGATATTGTCTCTTTCATTGAAGAACAGCGAATCTGGCCTTGGACATGCACATATTGTATTCTTCTCACTGTTCCAGTCTAAAGGTGTTGATGAATTTAACGAGTGCAGAGAATTGGCAAGTGGAGATCCAAGCGGGCTGAATCTAGAAGCTGTACGTGATCTGGTGCCAGTCGGGTTACGTCTTCCGTTTCCGAATGCATTGTCGTGTTCAAGTATCGGATATGTCTGCTGTGCGTATGTGTTACTAGAATTCGTTGTTAAACTAGCTACTGAAGATGGATCTCCAGCTTCCAAAGGATGATAATGTCTATCATAATTCGGACAGGAGTAAGTAGCAATAAGTAAAGAGCTTAAACGAAGCACAGATGAGATATTAAACAGTGACGATTTCTGTATCCACTTAGTAGCGTTTCTAAAGTCATCTTCTTGTTCTAAGCGATCCACTAATGCATTACCAACAGTTGTGAATATGCTTTGACCAAAAGCATAGAGAATATCAAACGTGATTAACGGTGTAATAATGCTTTTATCCTTTTCAAACACTTCGTTTTGTAAAGCTTCTTGCGGTTTAAACGTGTTCTCATTTGACCATGGTTCAACCCATACTTCAGTGGTAATGGCCTTTTTATAGTTATCCTTCCAAATGAAATACTGAGCTGAATAAACTGATTGATTTGATGTAGTGATTTCTTTATAAAAATGACCAAACGACTTATTGAAAGAGAGCGTATTCCATTTCTAAATAAAGGAGTTAAAACCAACAAGCTATTGTTGTAGGTATTTTTTACATTTTCTGATCTATTAAACACGATGTATTCAAACGCCAAGTCTATTAGCGGAGTCAACGTTTTGTTGTGAGACCCTATATCATTGTGAACATCTTGTATATCCCAATGCCAGGTTGTCTGCTGCAAATAGTTCCTAACAATGAACTCTCCAGTCAATATAAATGCTGGATTAATAAACCATAGTGATTTAGTTGATTTATTGTCCTGATCGCCATTTTGCCTAGATGCAAGATGTAGAGTGTCACGTAAAAGCAAATCAGAGAGTGGACGCATGGTGATAATACTTGAAAAAGACGCATCAAAGGCTTGATCCGCGTTTATAGCATCATATACAGGCTCGCTTACTCCTGAATCCATAACAGAGGCTTTATCGTCTTGCTTGCAGTTCAACATGTTTAAGATGGTGTCAACAGTCAGTTTACGAGAATTTGCATCCATATTGAAAAACATGAACTTTAGGCATATAAGTCTATCAGTCTCTCGTAACACTCGTAATTCACAAAATTGAGGAGTAGCGTGCTTAGGACTGATATTACAGTTCTCTATTGACTGATGTGAAGCAAATGGTTCATTTGAGTTGAGTACTTTTATATATGTTTGTCGATCATCACTCATAAAGCTTGACCATTTCTCCAATTTTGCATACATTTGAAAAAGAGTCAGCTCAGTTTCGTCATACTCTATGTTGTCATCCATATAAAGGTTCATAGAATCTGATAAAGAGGGCGGTTGATAGATAATCAAATTGACAGATACTTCATCATACCAACACATGTTGAAGGCACGAATATCTGATCGGTCAAGCTTTGCCCAAAGTGTACTAAACTTGGCTAAATGATTCAGCTGCAGTACTGATTGTTCCGGGTTATTATGTTGAGACTTTTCTGCCTGATTAAACTGTAATAACTGCTTTAACATGTTATCCGAATCAGCAAGCCTTTCAAGAAGTCGTTTCATCTTGCCAACTTTAATAAAGCCTGGTGCACTTGACAGATCCATGGTAGTCTTTGCTCCTTGTACAACCAACATTTGAGTTCTTCTTTGAAAGGAATCCCAGTTATGCAGCATGTGAGAGAATGATGTTGTTGCTCTCACAAGGATTTCTGCCTTTGGTGCACGCATACAATTAAAAATGCTGTCAATGTTTTCTGAGCTCGGTTCTTCAGGAATATGAACCATTTTTTCTTGATTTAAAGAGATGCTTTTCAAGTATCTTCGTAAAAAGGAAGTCCATAGTGACTTTATCCTGTACTCAACTGTGATTTGGGGCTGCCAGCGCAAGATGAGCACAATGACCACACGCTCCTTTTTTTGGAAATTATCTGCCGTTTCTGCTATACTTGCCGCCTGCAGATTATTATTCGCTGCAGATTTGACTGTGGACTTGGGGTATTCATCAAACAAAGAGACAGAGTGTAGTATAAAACCTTGCCGAAGCCTTGCCCGCATAAAATGCCAGCATTCTGTGGGTAGAAAATATTCTTTATATTTCAATAATCCCATATCTTCATTGATAGGTGCCGCAAAGGGATCCCAGGGGAATACTCTTTGATAGGCTGATTCGTTCCTAGCGACATTATGCGCTTCATCATTCGCTTCCGATTCGACATTATCACTCTTCTTGTTCTTTCTAACCATGAGTCGTGTTGTGTTCACCTTATCTAAAGAGATCTCATTTAAGAGTAGTTTGTGATGATAAAAATTGGGCGAGTTAGAAGGTACGTTTGCTGCATCTTTCAATATCGGCAGACAGTCATCAGCAAACATAAAGCTACCATTGGTAGCAATTGTTACAAATTGTAGTATTTCATTATCAGGAATAAAGCCAAAGTTTAATCCAGGGAAAAAACTTGTGGCCTGTCCTATTTGAATAACACTGCATGAAACATCTTCGCTTGTTAGCTGTCGAATGGCCGTCTCATCAGCTACATTTGATTTCACCACACCATCCGTAATCAATATGATCGATCGCTTGCCCCGCTTGGGTACTAATTCTAATGCGAATAGACCTGCACGCAATATATAAGACAGAGTACTTCCTGTTTTTCCAACTCCCCAAACATCTTTCTTATTATGATCCTTGGACGTTGATCGCTTATGTGATACTATACTAGAACTAGCAGCACTGGTAACAGAAGCTGTGGCGCTAATCGTGTTGGGAGTAGCGGATGTGCTGGCTGAAGGTATATTACCAAGCAATCCTGAAGAGTGCTGTCGATGATGCTGTCGATGATGGCTATGATGACGATGATGACGACTGTGGTGAGAAGGACTGCTCGAATTTTTAATGCTGCTGCTTGCTTCAGATCTTTGTTGGTCAAATTCTTTGGTATTCGCTTGAGTTGTGTTTTGTTTTGATGACTGCTGCTGTTGAGCCTGTGAATCTCGTGTAGATATGCTGTAGCTTGAGCTTGTATTGTCTTCTACTGCCTGTGAGTGATCACTCCGTACGTCAAGTTCATATCCTAACTTTGATCTTTTTATAGTCAACTTCTTTCTAAATTTGCCCAAGTCCATTATAAAACTATCAATTGCATCATGTAATACTTTCAACACACAAGATACGTTGCTTATCGACACTTGTATATTTTGGATTAACACTCGCATAGTAGGGTATTCCGCTAATATAGGTATCACATTCATGTTGGATCCAAACTGAGAGCACTCTGCAATAACAGTAATGTAGAGAGTATGTTCAATCTATAATAAAGTCAGATTATATAGTCGATCTACATCTAGTCATACCATTATAGGTGGACCATCTGTTATATCCAAAGAAAATGGCTGTACTAATCCCAAAATGACATTTTCCAGCCTATTCTATTCGTTTAGTTGTGTGATACAACATCACAGTAAACCTACACTTCATATGCATTCTTCATCATCACTTTTCCAGTACTTGTTTCTATAGTAGCTAAACTAGAGCTTAAATCAACCATAAATACCATGTGTTGTTCCTTTGTAATCACTAGGAGCTTTGTACGAGGCGTCATGATATACATCTTGTTATTTGTATCATTGTTGGCCAAAGGTAACAGTTGACTGGAGATAACTGGTGGAGTCAATGTTCCTTCTGTAGCTGGAGATACTGCGACTGTGGTAGGAGGTGATGTATAATAACCTTCTTTCGGTTCCTTTCGTTTCCTTTCCCAGACAGGTTTGACGTTTCCTGAAAGGTACAAAACTTGATATTCCTAATTTTGTTATCAACAAAAAGCAGTCGAACCACAAGGACAAGCTTACATTGTAATTACTTGTTGTTAAAGGACAAAAGAGATGCTCTAAAAGCCATAAGGAAATTTCATTACGGGTGGTATATAAGCTGGTATTTCGCAGTAGTACTGCAGTTCTTGCTTCGATAACCTAGAAAATAGTTCAGCGTTTTATGACTAGACAGAGTAGTTAAGGAACCTTTGTATCAGCCGAAAAAGGCAGCACGCTTTGTTGATTATGACTAAAGTATAACTGATGAGAGAAATGTGATAATAACAGCATAGAGTGCTTTAGGTACCTTTCCATCAACAAGTGTAGCTGGTTGTGTGAATTAAGAATGAAGAAGGGGTATACAACAAAGTAAAAGAAATACAGTGAATCGGATTAAGAAATCGTAGTCGTAGTTAATATTTATTAAGTATATAATCATTATATGACAATAATTGCTATTCTATCAAAGTGTCTTGCCAAGAAGGATTCACATAGTGTTCGTCTGCTTCATTCTTTAATTTAGTATCACAAGGCGAACCTAAGATCATCTTTCTTTACAATATTGATCATAATCTTGATTCTCTAGTTATTAAAACATAAGTAGGAATTACACAACAGTAGAAAGATACCCAGCAAAAGAGATGAAATAGTTTATGACTCGGAAAATAAGAATACAAGTCATCTTTTTATGAACAGAGAAAGAAAAGATCTTTAAATAAGAATACAATAAATCAGCGCTGTGGGCTTGTGTACGAAATATAGTGATTATATTACGTCAAAGGATGTCCTGTTCTTTAATATAAAAGTAGAGAAATGAGACATCCCTCTCTTATCTTTTTATAAAAAAGATGAAGCTCATTTTATGCACAGGTTGGAAACAATAAAGAAAAAAAAAAAAAAAAAAATTATATAAAAGTGCTATTGATCGGTGTTTTTTAAAAAGCGTGTACGTCATTCAGATGTAATATGAACAATGCAGTAAAGATGACAAGTATTAAGCATAGGCAAAAAGAGTTCTAGTATTTATTAGGGGTACAGGTGTCATATACCAAGTTACTTTACTCTCGTGATACAAAGGATACGATTATAAGCACAGACAGCTGCATTTCACATGTTTAAAAAATGAATTAAAATCTCTTCACTTTTTTTTTTTAATTCTTTTTTTCTTTTTCTTTTATTAAAATATAAAAATGTCAAACAAGTGGTCTATTGCTGTAAGTAGTAAAGAAATGCATCATCACGCGTTATTCATTTCTTTTTAAGATTCCTGAAACACCTTCTCCAAACTATGTTATTGTCAAGAACATCTCACTTCAATCTACTGAACAGACAGGTAAGCATATGATATTCACTTGATGACGAAAGGTTATTCATTTTTGATATTTAGTCAAGGAGTTCTTTTTATTCTGTGGTAAAATTAAAGAGTTTGAATTAAAGATGTATGTTTAAATCGCACATATATTTTGCATATATTTAAACATGTTTATATAGTGATCAAGATGACGATAAGCATCAGATTGCCTTGATTCACTTTGAACGTGAATCTGCTGCTAAAACTGCCACTCTCTTGAGCAATGGTAATGCAATCAAGCTATATGCTAAAAAGATAAATTAACATATATATCTTATTAGCCTTAATCGATGATAGTCATATCGTCGCTTCTCCTTACTTTGATATTCCTGCTTCTGAAAACGAAAAGGCTGTTGATACAACTGAACATGATGAAACACAAGAAACAAAGCCTAAATCACGTATTGCTGCTGAAATCTTAGCAAATGGTTACATGCTTCAAGATCACGTCGTTGCCAAAGGACTTGAATACGACAACAAGTATAACCTCTCTTCGCGTTTGACTGGTTTCTTGAACACCTTACAAACAAATGGTATTTTTATTTTTATTTCTCTTACAAAATAATGATGATGTATATGTTACCTAACCTTAACTATGTTTTTAGTCAAACAATTCGATGAAAAGTATCGTATCTGGGACAACGTCATGAACATTGACCAAAAATACAAGATCAGTGAAAAGGCACAAAATGCAGCTCAAACTGCTCAACACCGAGCCCAAGCTGCTCTTCAGACACCTACAGGCCAAAAGGTTCACGAACTTGCCAATCAAACATTAGCTCAAATTGCTGCCGTTCATTATGAAGCCAAGAAGATTCAGGTAAGAAAAAGTTGAGTGAGCATGAAACACTTAGGGCCCGCTTTATCTAAAATTGGTATACCATGTTCATAGGGTGAAAAGTTAAAGAGTAATCATCCTGAATCGACTTCTGCTACTGCTGAAAAGCCTGCTGCACAATAATCTTTTGGGTATTCGCTTTTTTTTCTTTACTGTAATAAAAACATATGCTGTTAATGATTCTCTATTAAATTTTGTGAAAACATATGACGCTCTGTAAAATGCGGAACAAAAAGTACAGTCTTTCCGTATCACTTGTCGCGTTTGAAGTCTCTGTCTATCTTGGCCATGTTGCTGGGAAGACAGCTAAGAGGATCTTCTTTACATCCTTCAAGCTTGCACCTACTGTGAGGTTTGAAAAGCTTTTGGAACTAGATAGGTGCTTCTTCCTTTTTTTTGGTGGCATTATTATTGTGGATGGTATGTGCAACAATCGTCATGACCCCATCTTGGGTTATCGTGAAGCTGTTGAGCTTTCAATAGCTACATCGGCCACAACTTTCGTTTACATTGAAGCATTGAAAAAAGTCCTCTTCGTGCTACTGAGGCTTCGAGTGAATGATTTGGTTTTTACCTTGTTCAGTAGTGAAGCCGTAGAATGTTGTTGCATCAAATAGAGTTTTGTTAATGAACACAAAAAGGTAATACGAGAACAGGGCAAACAAATTTGAAAGATGTAGTACTTCAAGTGTGGCTACACGTTTTGATTTAGGACTGCGTCATCTTCCTATTGGTGTTAGAAGGTAGTTTAAACAGCAACCCCTGATGGTCAGGTCATACATCACTTTTTGTAAAGCGAAGAAGTCCTAGTAAAGTTTACATTCTCGTGTATTTTCTAATCTTTGCGCAATGCAGACCAAAGGCCTGAATGCAAGCAAGCTCAACTTGTTGAAAGCATTGTTTATGCAAGCCTCTTTTGTTTTTACTTAATTGCTAACTTTTCCTTTATGACAAAGTTCATTTCAACTGTTATGGGTGCCCTTCCTTTGTTTCAGTCAACTCCTCGAATTAAATTAAGTTGCTTTTTGCCTTGGTGCTACTGACAAATGAGGACAGAAAAAGAGAAATGTAAAAGAGAAAAGGTATGCATAAACGAATAAAGGATATTACATGTTAGAGTGGCTATTATGTGATTCTAAGGTGAGTAGAACAATTATTTGTACCTGAATTCCTTTTTTCTTATCCACTCACAAAAAAAAAAAAAAAAAAAAAAAACACATATCCAAAAAGAAAGACTTATTTAACATAAAATGTGTACGAGAGAAGTTGTTTTGACAATCAGTTTATAAACTTGGTTACTTGACAATTGTTACAAGTTTTTTTTTTTTCGTTTACAAAAGAGAGTCAAGCTTCTTAATATTTTATTATTTAAATAAGCATATCTATACTATACACCAACATCTATGCATTCTTGATTAAAGTAAGTTTTATGCATTTGGTTTATAAGAGGAAGGGTAGGAAGATGATTGTGCACTCACTTCTATATCTTCCGTATGATCAGCTCTAGATTGTTCATTTGGGAAGAAGTTTGGAATAAGGCCAAATACCACAAAGCAGATGGCTGTCATTAGTGGATCAAATACATAAAATGCCCATTCATCCGAAATTTGTTGTCCAACAGCAATAAAACCATATTGAGCAATACGATACACATTTCTAACGATCAATGCTGATGTAGTAATGTAAAGCACGAGTATTGCCTTTCGCTTGGGGTTGTATTGCCCTAATACATGATAGTCAAACTTTGGATTGGAGTGAACATGGTTCAATGTAAAAGCATAGCATATGAGAATGATGAGTTGAAATGCAAGGCCTAGGAACAATAGTACGAGAGCAGCGTTTCTTGATGAAGCGTTAAAGATTAATCCACCACCAGTAGCTTGTAAGATGGCAGCGATAAGTGTGCTTGTAGTAAAGATTTTCGATATTATACCAGGTCGGTAATAGAACTTTTCACTTTGCAAGTTGGCTAATTTGATGATGTGAACCAAACAGCTGTAGTTGGCCAGTGACAAAAGATTGGATGGGATGAGTAAAAAGATTGACATGGCAGTAAATGTCCCTGTCTCTGGATTGTTAATTACTTGCAACCGTAAAGCAAAAGCAACAAGTTCAAAGATGGCCAATAGGGGAACCCTTATCATGAACTTAGGAGTACCTGGGCGCCGTCGTATACTGTATACCAAGTAGAGAAACAATACAACAAAGACAGCTATTCCAACACAGGCAAGTGGACGAGAAGGCATATAGTGGAACATCGCATAGAGTAGATAGTCTTTTTCTTGATCGGCCAACATTGGACTGGTATTATTGTTAGATGACATATTTGATAAAATGAATAAAGGAAAGGAAACAATTTTTGATCTGTCTATTTATATGATAACCATTGCCTTGGCGTTTGTTACACTATGTTCCTTTAAGTGAACAAATATGGTATAATATCCCCGAAAAAATTCACGCTCAGTCAATAAACGCCACATTTATACCAGAAATGGTATATATTCACCGAAGGTTTAAAATGAAGTAGGAGTACAACTTTACTGTCAGACTTTATGTATAGATTGTATTATAAAATTGAAGATAGTATAACATCATAGCGTTTTTGCTGTGAAAAAGCTAAGCCTCTATCTCCAAATACCATCCACAAACAAAGGAAATTTCTGAACACTCAGCAATGTGGCACACCGTGAGCTTAAAGAAGTTCTAGAAACTCGACTACGTTCTTTCTGTGAAGCGCGTTACTGGAAGTTCCGTGATCTTGCAACACCCTCAAAGCATACATAGTGAGTATGTATTTTTTTTTTTTAAAAAAAATGAAAGGCCATTTCCCCCTCTCTTCTTGACATGTATTGATTGTTACTTGCAATGATGACCAACGTCATTCATATCAAGAATATGTAGTGGGAAAAGCCCCCCAAAGAAGTACCGTAATTCAAACCTTTTTTTTTTTATTTTCCAATACAAAACTGCCCAAATAAAACATCCAGTACTTTTTCTACATCTATACGCCCTGTAACTCGGCCTAATGCATTTGCTGCTAGCCTTAGTTCTTCAGCTGATAGAACGAGCTCTTCTGTAGGCATATCTTTAACAATTGATTATGATTAGCGTCATTTTATATATTCTAGCTTACTATAGCTTACCTAAGAAAGCTTTTAGAGAACGAACACACTCTTCAAGGTGTTCTCTATGCCGTGCTTGTGTAATCAATACAGGGTTATCTAAAGCCGAGTCAAATCTACAAAGATATGAGATGTGGCTCATTATGATCTTTAGCTTTTAATACCTGGATTTGAGTACGTTTAGTAATTCTGCCAAAAACCTATCAACGCCCAGGCCCGTCTTGCAGCTCATTGTCCATATATTTTTTGATTTCACTTTAGCCCTAATTCTATCTGACAGATCAACGAGCTCTTGCTGAGAAACTGCATCTTCTTTATTCAATATAACATAAGTGTTATCATCAATTAATTGCTCAACCATAGGATCAATCGATTCTCCTTGTTCCGCTGATAGCATACAAATCTTTATATCTGAAATGTCGATTCTAGTAATACACTGTTATTTATTATGCAGTGATGAATGCCTTCTTTATTACCTAGCTTTTGCCCTTTTAATTCCTTCCATTTCTATAACATCAGATGACTCTCTTAAACCTGCTGTATCGCATAGAACAACAGGAAACCCCGCTAGATCAAGTTTAACTTCGACAATATCTCTTGTTGTGCCTGGTATATTTGAAACAATGGCCGCTTCTCGTTTGGTAAGTCTATTCAAAAGAGTGCTCTTTCCTGCATTCGGTGGACCCATGATCGCCACATGGATACCGCTGCGAACAATTTCACCAATGTGGCTATCATCTAAATGTTTGGAAATCGATGTATATAATTGTCTAACATCTCTAATAACTAATAACGTTCAGCTATACATTCGAACCATGTTTCCCTGTTTACCTTCATCCATAACGCCTTCTTCTATATTTTCATCTTCTCCAAAATCTATCACCGCCTCTGTCTTGGCCATACAGTGAATTATTTCTTGTCTCCACTTTTCATAAGGTACTCTAAGTCCGCCCTTTTAGATAAAGTGAATGATCTACGCCTATGCAATCACTTTTCATCCTACCTCAGCTTGTTGTAAGGCAAGTTTTCTTTGTAATTCTGTTTCGGCGTTCAAGAGGTCTGCCAACCCTTCTAATTCAGTGAGATCCAGCTTGTTGTTATCAAAGGCTCTATTTTATGTCAACTAGGGCGCAAAAACGACACATGACTGATCTACCCTACCTCCTTGCAAATTCACCTTGCTCTGCCATCCTAAAGTCCTCTATTTCGCGTAATGCCTCCAAGACGCTTTTGACAACAGCGTTTCCTCCGTGAATTTGCAATTCGACCGAGTCTTCTCCTGTGAAGCTGCGAGGCCCAGGAAACCACAAGATCAAGCCACGATCGAGAACTTGACCTGTCTTTGGGTGCCTTATGCGTCTAAAATTGGCCATTCTAGGTTCAACTGGGCTTGTTGTCATTTTTTCTATAACCTTATTCATAGGAAAGCTTGTAAGCGTTGTCTATTATACATATCTTGCACTTTTTACTTTTTTGGCGCTTTTCCCAGATACTCGAATGACAGCAACACCAGCTTTCCCTGGTGAAGTGGATAGTGCATATATTGTCTCTGGTCTGCAAAGTGTAGTTACACTACAAACATGGTGTAATCTTTTAAATAGAAATGAAGAAAATCTGTGCATGTCGAAAAGTACAAGAAAGAAAGAAAAAAAGAAATGCAATACCCGGTCACCCTTTTTCTCTTTTTCTTTACATAGATCAAATGCAAAGTTATTATAGATTAGCGTCTCTCGTGTCAAGATCAACTCTTTTAAAGCCAAAAACAACCACTTCTTCACTCTGTCAGTTCAGATCACTAACCAAAGCGACGACTGAGAGTACAAAGCAGCTTTCTAATCGTCAAAAGTTTAAGCAGCTTCAACCATCACCTAGACTGTATGAGAAGCTTGAAAACTTGGGATTTGGAGCTTTGTTAAGAACAAAGCGTTATGCTGCAGTTTATAAACAAAAAGAAAGGAAAAAGCAGGAAAAGGGTGATGTTGTGCCTGAAACAAAATACTCGGTAAAATATAAAAGGATATGCATGTAGATGTGTCTAATTAATATATACGTAGCTTCCTCTATTATCGTTTTTTGCTGGAGCAAAAGTTCCTTCATCTATTCCTCCAGAGTCTCTTGATGAAATAGCCTTTGTTGGTAAGTTTGTATCAATGTATATCAAACAAAGAAGAAAGCTTACATATTAAAAAAGGAAGGTCAAATGTCGGCAAATCGAGTTTATTAAACAGTTTGGCAGAAACAACTATTGTGCGTACATCAGATAAGCCAGGACTTACACAACAGTTGAATTTCTTTAATGTTGGTAAATTATTTCACATGGTTGATATGCCAGGTTATGGCTTTGCTTTTGCAAATGAGGAAGATCGAGTAAAATGGAGGGATCTGGTAAGGACAAGGCATAGCACACACACACACACTGTTAGCCCTGAAACTGATCCTGTGTAGATGGAAACATATATTTCTACTAGAAAGACTCTTAAGCGCGTGTTTGTTGTCATTGATGCTAGACATGGTTTAAAAGTCGCCGACAAAGAGTTCCTCAACATGCTAAACAGGTATAGTAACCGAGGCTCGTGTAACGACTCTTTATTCATCTCATTGTAGTAAACGTGTGAAATTCCAGATTGTCTTGACAAAGTGTGACCTTGTCGTTTTACCAGACCTTGCAAGACGAATTATGGTTGTGGAAGACGATATAAAGCAAATGCGTAATGCTGTCAAGAGTGTTGTAGTTGTCAGCTCTAAAACATCTGCAGGCATAAATCAGTTTAGAAAAGAGATTTTATTCTTGATGAACCATCTTAAGCCTAGGGAATTTTATGAAGCTATTGAAGAAAAGAAGCTTGAAAAACAAACAAAAAAGAAAAGTGACAAACGCTAATAAAAATATGTAAATAAAAGCTACTTGGACTTTATGATGACGATATATATTTTATACAGTTTAACGAGAATTACTAGGGCTCTCCATAAATTGATTCTGTGGGCATAACCACGTTCTTGTCCTTGAAGATATTCTCTAGCGCCTCTATCCACGCCTTTCTTTTATTCATTACATAAATGGCATGATCTGATAAGCTTGATTTTCCATTGATTGGCGCATTCTTTCGTTTCTTTGACTTTTGCGTTCTCTATAAAAAGTAACATTAGCGCCACAACTTTTGACACTTGAGTAGATTTACAAATCTTTTCAGATAACACTGTTCAACTTGAGCATCCAGTGTGTCCAAGACATGTCTGTACTGCTCATATTGAAGTTGATTGTCAACAACGCGAAGGAGTTTCTTCTTTCTGGATTCATTTATTGCATGTTGTTCTTTTAGCTCTTTTGCTACTGCCCTTAGCTCTGCACAGATCTCATCATCTTCTTTTGCGTTCCAGTCCACCTAAAAAGACCCCTTTTTAGCGTTAAGAAGCGTATTGAATGCAATCTTACGTCGTCATCTGCGAATAATCCAACATATCGCAGCTCTGTCATCAATCTATCCTCAAAGTCGTTTGCATCCAATTGTCCTTGGTGCAGGTAGCCATCATCGTCTTCATCATTATCCTCGTCTGTCTCATTACTCTCTTTATCCGGGATTAGGCTGCTTAGTAAACGTTCTGTCAGTGCTCCACAGCTGATGTCTTCTTTCAAGAGATGTTCTTCTGTTATCTGATTGCTGTATTTTATATTATCATATGAACCTTGCCTTGAACTACAGCTTGTCGAAGGAGATAGATTTAGTCCAGGTATACTTATTGAGTCATCTTCAGACCAAACTTCAGTATAGTGTCTTCCTAGGGGTGGTATGATATATGCCGTTTCATCATCTGGCTGCTTATAAACAGGTGTTAGTGAAGGTTGTTCGTAAGCATATATTCAAAAAAAACCTTTTCTAGTAAAAGTTCTCTATCTGCTTCCTCCAATGGTCGAAAATGTGGATCAATGGCAGTCCAAAATGTCAAGATAGGAATTTGATCCTTAGGTTTCACTCTTACAAAGTCTAATTCATCCTCTTTATCATTTATCTGTGATGCCTTTTTTCTTTTCATATTGTGAGACTTTTTAGCAGTTGGTGGACTAGTTTCGTCTGCTCTTTTCAGTTTAATCGTTTGTGTTGGTTCTACAGAAAAAGATTAGGAATATTATCCTTTCGCTCATAGGACACATACTTTTATTAAAACTGCCCTGAATCGATTCATCTCTTCGTCGCTTCTTTCTCAATGTTTCTAGAGCTCTTGTTAAAGGAGTTAACATATTATAAATAAAATGATAAGAAAAAACTTACAGTTGTCTTTCTAGTTGCTGTTTATTATGTGAGTTATTATAGATGATGGGTTCATCTTTTAAATTGTTTAATCTTGTCATCAACAAGTTTTTGTATTCTTCTTTACCGTTGTCATCTTCTCTTGGTGGCTTCTTTTCTGGTTCAGCTACAAAGATGTATTATATAATCTTTTTTTGATATTAAAAACACAAGTGTTTACATTTTATCTTGACATTCTTTTTTAAGTGAACAAGGTCCTTTTGTAAGTTATGAATGCGTCTCTCGGAAATGGGTAAAATTGCTTCTAGATCAGCCTTGATTTTTAATAAATCAATAGGATCTGGTATAGATCCAATGTTTGAAGAAACACTCGAAGAGTTTTTAAATTGTCGGTAGTGAAGAGCAGTAGCTGCTGAAACTGTAACAGGCTGTGAATATCGACGCATAAATTTATTAAGAGGGGAATCAATGTTTGAAAAAGGTACACAATTTACGGACTTTATGGAAAAACATCATTGTGGGACAAGAAGAAAGGATTGATATCAATCACGTGGTTTAAACAACATGGAATTAAATTTGACATGCATACGACGTCTTTGATACATGTTAGAAAGAGATAGAGTCCTTTAGGATGATGTCAATTCTGCGTAAACAGGGTCTCATCTGCTCTATACTCTAATTTCAATTACCGCGTAGAGTCCATTTAAAAAGCTATTCCTTTTTTTATATTTTTATTATTTCTTACCGACATGAGCTGGTTTCAAAGAGAAATTCGATTGAATCCTCGTAGAAGAGGTGTTGTATAAATAAACAATACACGCAAAAACTAACTTGTGTATAGGCTGTCACCTTGTCCATAATGAAATTGTGAACCAGATTCCTGAATTAAGATCATTCAAGGTCGGAATGGCCAACGTATTCTGTAAGAGTGAATAATAATAATAATAAAAAAACAAGTTATAAATAATACGCGTAGTGCAACATACTTCTGCTTCATTAATGATCAATGAAAACGCTGACCCTGATGTACAAAAGGATATGGAAATGGGTTTAAATAAGATCGTGCCGGAATCATTTCCCTATATTCACACAGCAGAAGGCCCTGATGATATGGTATGGAAGTGAACTAAATGATTTGTCTAATCTAATTCTTTGTTTATTAGCCTGGTCACTTGAAATCAGGAATTGTAGGCGTTTCTCTTAATGTTCCAATCACCAATGGTCGCTTAAACCTTGGAACTTGGCAAGGGTAAGTTTTTTTTTTTTTTTTTTGTTTGATCGAGGCCAAAGGATTAGTGAATTAATATATTGTTAGTATTTATCTTTGTGAGCATCGTGAGCATGGTGGATCACGCAGGGTTGTTGTTACATTGCAAGGAGAAAAGAAATAAAGAAATATAGATGAAAGGGGGGTTAGGATGAATGATTAGTTATTTTGTCTAGTAAAGAATTGAGAGCTCTCTGCTCTTCAAGTGATAATGCTTGTTTTGAATGGGATTTCAACATGGAAGCTGCATGTTTTACATTTAGTCTGGTGGCTATCATGCCTTGCACAACACTGATGCTCTCGTCGTCTTCAGAGTCCTTTTGCGGCTTTCTTTGTTCAAGTATTCCTTCTTCTGCTGCTGTCAGGTTACTTGCAACAACTTCTTCTTCTTTTTCATGATCCGTCAGAGTAGTTACCGAGGGCATGACAGTGCCTAATGTAGAAGGATCAACCTGCAGAGGTAATCGATTAGGCTTCCACCAATAGGAGGGGTATTTTCTTTCTATATTATTAATCAAGCAGCCAATGGTCACTTGTATGACAGCGGATAAAGTAACAACACCAATATAAAACCATTTAATATCGATCACATTCGTCGTCGTAACAGCGATGAGTGCAGTTGCACCTGCAGGAGGATGAACCGTTTTGGTCAATTGCATGATAACTAAGGAAGTAGCCATTGCAGTAGCACCAGCTACCCATTGTACGGCTATTCTTTGTTCCTCGGAGGGCCAATTATGCTTAATACCAAGGAATAATTGTGTAATGACAACTCCTACGATTGATCCGATTATCTGCCCACCTATGACATTTCGAGGCTGAGCTAAAGGAGCATCAATTGCACCATAAATCAATACAGCACTAGCACCCTAACATATAATAGAATGTTATAGATCATATTTCGAGTATTCATTTATTTTATTTACAAATGATGCAATAATCATTGGCGTATGATGTGCTTGAAATGAAGGGGCATAGACAAATATAATCTCTAATACAGCAATGCCCACCCAAGCAGCCAAAAACGACCAAAAGCAAATTTTCCATAGTGGTAATATCTTTTGCTTATGATCTGGTTTTCTATAGCCTAGAAAGTATGACAGAAAATAAGGTAGTCTTGATAATCTTGACATTCTGCCAGTGAAGAAAAAAAAAAAAAAAAAACAAACAAATAAACTCAAAAGATATAATATATACTCCGAGCATAGTAGTCACTGTACACTTTATTGAGAAATTACTCGCACACTGATAATTTCAGACAACAAATAATATTAAAGGAGAGCCCATCAGAAGCAAAAGAATGAGATGTAAAAAGGAATGATTAGTACATCAGTTACTACATTGATATTAAATACTTACATTATAAAGAAGAGAGTTTATAAGAGAAAAAAGGAGCAAGCAAGAGACAAGAAAAGAGAACAAGAAAGAGAGCGGATGGGACCAAAGTTTGGTAAGAACCAAGCTACCCCCAGCTAGCACCGGTACTGTTTCGATTTTATGATCTATAATACTACATATCAGTTTCATACAAGAGTAAATAATATCATATCTTAGGGCTAGCTGGGGAATAGCTGGTCTTACTTTTTGGTCCAAAAAAGAAAGGAAAAGAGGAAGTTGAGATCAGACTATTTATAATGAATATCCTACAACTTTTTCAGTTACGTGTTATTCATAAGTATTGGCTGCATTTATTTTATGTATCTCTCAAAAAGGCAGAATTCATTGTCTTTTTAATATTAGAGAAAGGATTGATAGCCAACTAAAGTGTAATTGTTATTGGTTTTGAAAATGCTTTATTACTATTTCAACACTTTTTCTGTGGACGGTGATGACGTCTCTTTCTTCTCTTCTTCTTGTCTTGATTTTTACTTGCAGAAAGCGCCTTTTGCAATTCAGCTTGTTTATGTGAATCCAATTGATCCAACATGCTTTGACATTTCTGTACAAGTTCACGACGATAGCTTCTAATGGATTCGTCACCGTTGCTTTCGATTGTATCCAACTTTAACATAGCTCTCATCAACTCATCTTCTGATCCTAGATAAGCCCGATTCGCATCTGTAGTAGCTGTCAATAACAGTGTGCCTTCTTTCTGTTTGCTAAACGTTAATGGTTGGTTTAGTACATGCTGCCAACGACTGACAATATCACTGGTTTCGCTTTCGAGGCTTTTAGAAATTTCATTTAATAGCTGTACAGTCTTTGACTTTTGTGGATCTTTAGACTTTGTCTCTTTTTGTTGCTCTGCTGCTATTTCATCTACAAATCTCTGATTCTTCCTTTCTTCTTCTTCTTCTTCATCTACTGGAGATACACTCATTCGTTCACTTGTAGGCGTTGGCTCTGCCTCAGTAAAGACATGCTCTGGTAAATAAGGTTTCTTCTTAACCTCGGGGATTTCTACCTTGGGCTTCTCTGTTTTCTTGGGTTGGCCCTTTTCCCAAATACCCGAAGGCTTGGGTTCATCACAGTAAAATGTTTTTCCTGGAGCTGGGTTGTACTGCTCACCGACTAGAACCGGTTGTGAAGCTAATTGGTTAACAAGGTCTTTTAGGGTAACCACATGATCGGCAAGAGGCGGAAGAGCTCTTTGGGTATGACTTGTGTCTGGTGCCACATCCTCGAGTGTCTTGTCTTCTTCTACTTCATCCTCATATCCTTCTTCTTCTTCGCTTGCTTCATGAGAAAGGGATGTCTCAGGAGTTAATTGGTTTTCTTCTAGGGCGCTATGTTCTGATGTGAGGAATGCAGAACGGGGTGTTTCAGAGTCCTGCTTTTGATCAGACAAGAATTTCCATACTTCAGCCATAGCTTCGTCATTATTTGATTTTTCATCATCATCTTCTTCCACTAGTTTGTACTCTTTGTCTTTTTCTTGGTATTGTTGCTCAAACAGATGTTTAAGCAACTCGGCCAGCTGCTGTGCGCGGTACTCAGAGTACCCGGTTCGGTATGCTTCGTCCAGTTGTCGCTCTATTTCTTGTTGCTGTGTATTCATTTGAACATACCTATTCCATGCTTCATTCACACGTTGCTGCTCTAAGGCTGCGGCAATGCACTGACGGTAGTAGCGCTCTTCTTCTTCTTGCAATACAGCACGAATCAGAGCCTGTCTTCGGTATTCGTCTAGGTAAGCTTGAATCTGACGAGTTCTATGGCGTCGATACTCTTCTTTAAGTAACCTAAGATTATAAAGTGCTTGCTCTAATCGTTGCTTTTCGCCTCTAGCAGCAGCAGCTATTTCTGCTGGACTTGCTGAACGATAAATAGGGTGAAGGTGCACCACATTTGATGAGCTTTGACACTCTTCGATATGTTTTGCGCGTTTATCTTGTTCATATGCAAGCAAAGACTGCAACTGTAAGATGTCATCAATACTCCAGGTTCGTGTAGGATTTCTTCTATACATTATATCAGAGAAGAGAAAAAAAAAAAAATAAAAATAAAAAAATACCTATTTCAGAAAAATAAATGATTGGTTTTTCTAGAAAGGTGGGCCGATGCATGAACTTTGGTCAATGACGTAAGTTCATTAGTTGATATAAGAGTAATCTTATATCAGTATTTTTTTTTTTTTTTCGTAGGGTCTCTATTATACGTATCTTCACTTCAGTTTAGGCCAAGAGCCTGTATGCTTTGCGCATAATAAAATGGTCGAATCAAGTTTGTAACTTGGTCTACAGTCGGGGTTACTAATGTTTCGTCCTTCCCAAAAATAAAGACAGCTTTTCTTTCATATCACTTTTTACTTGTCACTCTTCTTCATAAGAGTAAAACATGTGAAACCACCATAAAAATATGAATCAAGTTTTGTATGTCAATCAAAAATGAACTACGAAGATATGGAACGGATGAAATTGTGCTTGTTGCACATCGTCAATCTCTTGAGCAGTAATTATAGAGAGGGAACATGCAACTCGATTTAATCTATCAACCTATAGAGATTATGGATGAATGCAAAACCGAAGAGAACTACTTCCAAGTTTGACGGATGGAAAAAAAAAAATTGACAATCTTTTTGATGATCTATTGGAATATTGATTTGATAATGACTCCAATGGAATATTACAGAACAGCCCTGCGAGATTTGACGGAATGGGTTATGGATTATTCTCTTTTGTTACTTATCCTTGCTGTCTTTGAGAGACTTTGTGCTCTCTCAGTCCATGTGTGTAATCTTGACCGAGATCGCCCAACTATCAGTACATCAAATTTTAACCAAACTTTCTCTCCATCTCAAAATCGAAAACGTTCATGCTCACTTCAACAAAATTACCATTAACTTCTCGGATTGAAGCCTTACAAGGTAATGCACTCAAATATATGTCTAAGCATCATCACGACCTTCTAATTTTATATCAGAAACCAGACACCTACTTTGCAGTGTCTTGCTGTCAATCTGGTCTTATGGGATGTCTTGTACGACTTGAAGTCAAGTCAAGCAACATAAGGCCAAAGATCAATACAAACGAAAACAATCTACAGAGATTTAGGCCATACTTGTTTTTAAAAGTGCTATTTCCAAGTGTTACAGCCATTCAATCACTTAATAAAATGTCATATTAAGGGTAGCAAATATTCAATTTATAAACAATATCAGGTGGAAATAACAACAGTGCATTCACAAATCTTCTCTCTCTATCTGACTTAAACTAAAAAAAAAGTAGGGTAAAATGGTAAGACAGCTGCGCATATCAAAATTTATCACAAGGCTTAGTAGCGATACTATTCTGAGATTGACTTCTTTATGAGACGCAAAGAGCTGTTTATATTCATTATTCTAGACAAGACTGTTTCGATTTCGCTAAAAACAGCCCTCAGCGTGCAGTTTACAACTTTTAACGAGAAAGTAGTAGAAAAATATTACACCGTTAGGGAAAACACTCTATATAAGCCGTCCATTTATTATCTTTATCCTTTGTCGCTTTCTTTAGCAACTTGTTTAAATGTTAACTGAACAAGCGGCCGCTGATAAGCCGATAAGAATCAAAGTTTTACTCAGTTTAGAAAAACAAACAAACACAAGGTGTTGTATTATCTGTTTATTCTTGTTGATATGCTCATTCGATTTCCTCACATGATGCATAAACGGATACACGTCATGTCTAATAGTCAAAAGTATCAGCTAGTAAAAAATAGAAAGACTGACCTTTTGAAAACTGAACATTTTTTATTTGTGCAAATGTACAATTTTGGACCAGAGTTATAGAAGGAGACTGAGGTTAATAAAAGTACTATTGTCACCATTTATTCCTAAATCAGATCCAGTAGCCCAGCGAGACAAGCCAATGATAAAGAAAGGGAAGGCTCAAAAACGTTAAGCACGCGTACTTGTCAATTATGTGAAGATCATTCAAAGGGGAGCATCAGTAAAGGACGACAGTAGGGGTAATAAAGAAAGCTGATGAAAGTAAATAATCTGAGTGATTGCCATTTATGCTTCTATCGCCGTTGTCAACAATACCATTCTTTTTTACGTCAGTGTATGTGAATGAATCTGTGCATTGAACATGTTTAGTTCACATGATGCTGTGACCTATAAAACAGGTATTATACTATTTTTGCTTGAAACAAAAATGAAAGTGTATCATGTTGATCTCTGTGTCATTTAAAGTAAGGCTCATTAAGGAAGTGTTTCACCATCAAAAAAGGACTAAGCATGAGAGAAAATAAAAACTACACGTTTCATTCATGGTATGGAGTATCCTAAAGTCCTATAGCGTGAAGTAAGGATTGAAACTGCGATCAAAGATGTAATAAGGCCACTTTAGATGAAGGCTGATTTAGCAGTAAAGCAAAACAAGTCTAATCTGGAAACAGGGAAAGAGAGAGAGGTGTAAAAGAAAATCGCTCACTCCTTTGATTGGCGTAACATAGAGTTATTATGAGGCTTAAAAGCTATTGGCTTGATCTTCAAGAAAGGAAATTTATGTGTAACGTTACTTGCTTTGAAGTGTAAAAAAATGTCAGATTGAATATAAGGAACAATGAGTTTATTTCTCTGTTGGTTTGGTTATTATGATTGATATATCAGACCTTGTGAGATATATAGAATAGAAAATAGCATACATCGGCGCATATTTAATATGCTTGAACAAAGATAGAGGCAAAAGAGGGAGAAAGAAAGGACCAGATCAAAGTATTCGTTGTTGTATCACCAACCGTTTGTCAGATAAAAAACCTAGTAAGGAATCGCAAAAAGGGCTCACAGACAAATATGGTGGTAATCTTTTTATTTTGGTCTCCTCTGTCTCTGAATGTGCAGCTTGGCACACTGCAATGTACACACGCCTTTTTGGATGCTTTCTAAAAAGGAAATGAAAAAAAAAGAGCCAAAGATCTACGTATATAAATAAGCTTGTTCCTTTAAGTTTTTTCCTCTCTCTTTTTTTTTTTCACTTCCTTTCCTCTTTTGCTTTTTTATTTTGCATTAATCAAATGGATCCTGAAAAAGTGGAAGAAAGAACTACTGTGATCACGGTAGAGGATACCAAGGTTATAGACGAAACCAAAATCAAATTTGCCAAAGTCTACCGCCCAGAAAGGACAAAAACGATTCAAACAATTGATACTACAGGTTCACGTAGGCCATCTATTAGCGCTCCTAAACGCCCCGAAAAGAAGCGTAAAGCCGATAAAAAGAATGTTGACATCGTAAGTACATTTATTCTTTTTATTTATATATGTGGCCTAATCTTTTTTTTATTTGTTCTAGACTGAGCATTTACTCTCTGCAGAGGAATGTGCAGCCAAATATAATACGCACATAAATACTAAAAAGGCTTCAGAATCAAAGGGTTTAACCACTCAACAAGCCGCCAACGTCTTGGCTGAAACAGGTCTTAATCAGCTTTCTCCTCCCAAGAAGAGACATCCTATCCTCAAGTATATTGACTGTGTACTCAAATTATTCAATCTGCTCTTGATTTTGGCTGGTATTCTCGATTATATTTTATTAGCCATCAATTTCCAAGAAAACTTTGCTAACGTAACGTGTATATCTCTTTTTGACTTTTATGTACTTTTATTAATTTTCCTTTTTTAGACATATCTCGGTGCCATTCTGATTGGTGTAGCCTTACTTAACGCTTTTATTGAATTCTATCAAGAACAAAAATCACAGGCCTTACTTGATTCCTTCCTCAACATGGTTCCTGCCAAATGCATGGTCATTCGTGATGGTAAAGTACAACAGATTGATGCCGTTAACCTTGTTATTGGTGATGTTGTCATGGTTCGAATGGGCGATAAAGTGCCTGCCGATCTTTTTCTCTACCAAGCCTCCGATCTCAAAGTTGACAATTCTCCGCTCACAGGTGAATCTGATCCCCAGGAACGTGGTCCAAATAACACTCAAAAGAATGTCTTTGAAGCTGAAAATATTATATTCAATGGTACCTTGGCTGTATCTGGTGAAGGTTATGGTATAGTCGTCAGAACAGGTGACAATACGGTGCTCGGTCAAATTGCTGGTTTGACAGCAGGTGAAACTAAAGAAGATTCTCCTCTCTCCAAAGAAATCGCTACTTTTGTCAAGATTATTGCTTCCATCGCCTTGATTACCGCTGCTATATTCTTTGGTATCGGTTTCCCAGTCAACAATAACAACGTTTCCTTGACTTTGAACTTTGCTATTTCCGTCTTTGTCGCTTGGGTCCCAGAAGGTTTACCTGCCACCGTGACCATTTTGCTGACAATCTCTGCCAAACGTATGGCTGCCCGTAATGTACTCGTCAAGGATTTACAAGGTGTAGAAACCTTGGGTGCTATCACTCTTTTGGCTACAGACAAAACAGGTACCTTGACCCGTAATCAAATGACCGTCACCTATATCTGGTCTTGCCTCAATTTGAGAAATGTTATGGATAAACAAACAATGTCAGAAAAGGCCATTCAGATACCTGGTGTCCGCGAGATCTTGAATATTTCAACTCTCAACTCACGTGCCAAATTTGATCGAGTCGATGTTCCAGTCTCCCAAAGACAGATCCTTGGTGATGCTACAGAAACTGGTCTTGTCCGCTTTGCTGGTGAGCAATTTGGTGATCTCTTTGATACTTTACCTGATCAATATCCCAAGGTTTTTGAGATACCTTTCAACTCTGACAACAAGTGGGCCATGACTATCCACAGAATGAAGCATGATAATGGTGATCTGACTCTTTATGTCAAGGGCGCCCCAGAACGTGTGTTGAAACTTTGTGACTCTATCCTGACCGAATCTGGCTCTATTCCACTCACTCAAGAACACCACAATGCCTTCCAGGAAACCTATTCTTATATGGCTGGTCAGGGTCACCGTGTCTTGGCATTTGCTCAGGTCTTGCTTGATGGTCAAGAATACCCTGCTGATTATGTATTTGACAAGAACCAAAAGAATTATCCCATGTCTGGTATGACCTTTGTCGGTTTAGCCTCACTTGAGGATCCTCCTAAACACGGTGTACGTGAAGCTATTGGTAAATGTCGTGCTGCTGGTATCAGAGTCATGATGGTAACTGGTGATCATCCTTTAACGGCAGAAGCTATTGGTCGCAAGATTAATTTGATGGTAGGCGAGACAAAGGAAATGGTTGCTAAGCGTACGGGACGTTCTGTGGAAGAGGTCTCTGAAGACGAGTACAACAGCATTGTCATTCACGGTGACATGATTGATGGTTTGACTGATGATGACTGGGACAATATCTTTTCCAAGGACGAAGTCATCTTTGCTCGTACTTCTCCCAAGCATAAACTGGAGATTGTCAAACATGCACAGGCCTTACGACATATCGTTGGTGTTACTGGTGATGGTGTGAATGACGCTCCTGCATTGAAAAAGGCTGATCTTGGTATTGCAATGAATATTTCTGGCTCAGATGTCTCCAAGGATGCAGCTGCCATGATTCTTCTTGACGATAACTTTGCTTCTATCATTCATGGTATTGAAGAAGGTCGACTTATTTTCACCAACCTCAAGAAATCCATCATGTACACCATCACCCACTCTATGCCTGAGGTCATTCCAAATTTGCTTTACATTATTGTACCATTACCTCTTCCTCTGTCTGCTATTCTTATCTTGGTGATTGATCTTGGCTTTGAATTGTTTGCTGCTCTTACTTTTGCTTGGGATGTTCCTGAAACAAAGGAAGGCCTTATGAAACTACCTCCTCGTAAGCCAGTTACGCCTGATTCTATTGATCGTTACCGTCGTTATCTTCATCGCAGAGAACGTTATGTTCAGTATGATGAGTCAGGCGAAGAAGTACGTCCTAATGTGTTCCGTCGCATGTACAACAAGCTTCATGAGTTAACCACAACTGCTTACTGGAAAGAAAAGTTTGAAAAAACCGATGACGAAGTCTTGGTCGATCTCCCCCTTTTATCATGGGCTTATCTTGAAATCGGTATCATTGAAGCCATTGGTTGTTTGACAGCTTACTTTGTCGTTCTTTGGTATAATGGTATTACACCTTATGATGCAGTGATCATGCAGCGTGGAGCATCCTCTCCTACCAACTACTTTGCCAATGGACCCATCTATGCTCGTGATTATCTCACTGCTACTGGTAAACTCTTGAATGCTGAAGCTCAACACCGCGCTCTTGGACAGGCTCAATCTATTACCTACTGGAGTGTAATGGTTATGCAAATGTTCAATATGTTTGCCTGTAAGACACGTTTCTCTATGCCTATTGGTCGTTACATGTTCTCAAACAAATGGACCTTTGCTGGTATCCTTGGTGGTGCTTCTTTAGCAACCCTCATTGTCTACTGTCCACCTTTCAATATTCCTTTTGGTACAGAATATCATCTGTTGCCTCTCTGGTGGTTGATTCCAGTTGGTTTTGGCTTTATCATTATTGCTTATGCCTGTTTACGTATGAAAGTCAGACAGAGACTCAATCCTATCAACTTTAACCCTGAAATCCATGGTTTACGTATGCATCCTACTATCTTTACGGTAGCTACCACAGAATCTGGTCATCGTATGGCATAAACGCTCTCTCTCTCTCTTTCTCTCTTATTTATACATACAGCATGCTTTTATATACTTTATATAATTCATATTTATCTACATCATTTTTCTTCTTAGACGTTTGTGAATAATAATAAAAAAAAGAACTTCATATTTTAACTTTGTATAAGAGATAAAATGTAAAATGCTTTTAATTATTTCTTTTTATTGTCAATGATGTCGACGAATGCATCGATAAGTAGCTGTGGACACCTCTCTCTAACAACTTGTAAAGGATGCATAGATCGAACACCATTTTGCCTAAATAAAAACAATGAATTTTTCATCATCATTAAACATATGACATTCCTTTACCATTTCACTATACAAAACATTGGGCTGCCTTCTACTTCTCTGCCAATGTATTCTACTTTTTTTGCTGCCTTTTGCCAATCATCTATATCTACGGCAAAGGTTTCATTGAATATAATATCATCGTCACTTTTATCATCATCCTCTCCTTCCATGATACTACTACTACCGGCTCCAACGCTGTATAAGCTTGTAGATGTACTAGTACTACTATCGACTTCAACGTTATAAAAGCTAGAAGTATCTACGTTATTATTGTTGACAAGCAATCTAATTCTCTTTGTCTTTGGTGCAACATCATCATCCAACCCTTCTGTTGTGCCCTCTCTAACCCTTATCATTGACTGTTCTCTTGTTTCCAACCCGTTTTCTTCATCATCAGTAGATTCCTCAGCAATGACTCTCGGCACATTCACTGGCACTGAAGCTACTTTGTGATTTTCTGTGCTTGATTGACCTGTGAGACTTTGATGAAGTTTTTTGTCAGGATTATGATCAGGAACGGTATTCCAATATTGAACAATCAAATCTGTAGCAAATCTACACGTATAAAATAAGTTTACATGCAAAGTAACTTTTTCATATACTACATGTTTGCTTCTCTTTCCCAAGTGTTGTCGCTTTCGTCGTAATTTAGCCATTTGATCAAGTATTTAAATGTCACTTTCTTTATATAGATGTAAAAAGAGAGAGAGTTGATTAAGGAATATATAATAGCAACATAGAATGTATGCTTACCTTTCCTCTCTTTATCACTTTATGATCTAATATCTTTTCTACTTCATATTCTTCAGAAGACATATTTATTTAAAAAAGAGAGAGAATGTTTTTTCTTTTTTCTACTCTTTTTTTTTTTCTTCTTTTTCTTCCTTTTTTTATAATGCAGATAGAACATCCAGAGGAACAAGGTTCTTCTTTAGGGATTAGTAAAGTACTTAAAGAAGAAGCACGTTTGTTAGAAGAAGGAAGAAAGAGAGATTCCTTAACAGACGCAACTTTTAAGAAAGTACCCAGCAAAGGAGCAAGTTTCTGGACTTGGACAAGGTTTATTATTTCACTCTATTACAATAAAGTATTTTCTTTTGTTCTCCCCTTTTGTTTTTTGATGTCTTTCTGTGTTAATATTTATCTATAGTTGGCAGTGAATATGTTTGGTTTTTTGACAGGATGGAAATGGTATAATAGGTAAATACTATAGTCATAATAAAAATAGTATTATTAAAACATTGCTAGGATTGATAACGTGATCATCTTGGGCGCCTTGCCTACGCCATCACTCATAAAGAGTCTACATAAACATGAAAATGTCAAGGCAGTTATCAATTTGTGTGAAGAGTTTCCTGGATATGATCGAATCTATGAACAGTGTATGATCAAGCAAGTACGATTGGAGACCCCTGATTTCTGTATTCCTTCTTTAGAGACGATTGAAAAGGGTATTCAACAGATACATGACGTTATACGAAATGACGAACAGTCATCTATTTATCTACATTGTAAAGGTAGGATCGATTAAATGTAGTAGCTCTTCTCAGACTTATACAAAATAATAGCTGGAAGAGGAAGAAGTGCAGCCATTGCCTTGTGTTATTTATTAGCTACTTATCAATTAGATCCCTTTGAAGCACAAAAAGTATTGAATAAAAAGAGACCTCAGGTATATTTATACTATATTCTTTATATTTATGATTAAACATACATAGGTGGACAAGGATTTATACGTGAGTGAAGAGATTAGATTATTTTATAAAAACTTGCTATCAAAGCTTGAATCCAATCAGTTCATTCGTAAACCATTCCCTCTCTGATAATACTAAAAGCTAGCTTAATTTATATGATAAAGAAGACAAGAATAAATGATATTTATATTAGTATTAAGGGATGTCAAAATGTGGGTTGTACATAGTTTTAATGTGATACAGTCATTACACATAGTTTAGTGTCAACTGTAGAATATAAAGTGCCCCCGAGTCAGGGCGACTGAATCATTTGAACGCAACAATGTCCAAAAAGACAGTCATTTCTTCATTGTTAAAGGAAAAAGTATTTAATAAAACAAAGAGATTGTTTATCTCTTTTTGATATATTCTGTCTCTTTCTTTCTTTCTTCTTTCTTTCCTTTTCTCTTTATTCCCCTCATGACTCATTTGAACATTGAGACTTTGGCTCAAGATTTAAATATACCCATTCACCACTCAGGACGTTGGTTTAAAGACGACCAAGGACGAACATTGATATTGCGAGGCGTCAACGTCTGTGGTTCTTCAAAGCTTCCTACCCGTCCTTATCCAGGCTCGACTCACTTGTATGACGAAAACCTCTTTTGGGATCATCGCAATGTCAGCTTTATCGATCGCCCTTTCCCTCTCAAGGATGCTCATGAACACTTTAGTCGCTTGAGAAACTGGGGACTCACGTTGATTCGTCTTTTGGTACCATGGGAGAGCATAGAACACGCTGGCCCTGGATCATACGACGAAGAGTACATTGATTACTTGCGAGAATTAATAAAGATGATGCCCAAATATGGGCTCAAGTGTATCATCGATCCACACCAAGATACAGTAAGTCTTTTATACTAGCCCCAAACATGCCCTTCCCAATCAAACATACAGTATATATAGTGGTCTAGATTCTCGGGTGGCTCAGGAGCTCCAGGATGGACATTTGAAGTAGCTGGCCTTAATATCAAAAATTTTAAAGAAACAGGCGCTGCCTATGTACACAATACTAATGCTGTGCCTGGTGATCCGCTACCAATGGTAATCAAAGCCAATTACGCATCAATGCATCCTCATGTGTTCTTTATATATAGGTCTGGCCAACAAACTATACAAAACTAGCTTCATGTACCATGTTTACTCTCTTCTTTGCTGGTGATACCTTTGCTCCCAAACGAACCTTTCAAGGACAAACAATTCAACAGTTTCTAAATGACCATTTCATTCGCGCCTATGAGCATTTGGCTCAACGTTTGGTTGATTTGGATGCTGTCCTGGGGTTTGAATTTATGAATGAACCACATCCTGGATACATTGGGCTAGACCACCTTGATTCATTTGATCCAATTGTAAACTTGTTCTTTGGAGATTCACCTAGTCCATTACAATGCTTTGCTTTAGGTGCTGGTATTCCTCAGTCTGTAGGTGTCTATGTCAAGTCATGGCCATTCCCCACAAAAAAGTCTCATGACCGTGTGATTAATGCGAGTAAAGCATCCGCCTGGGTTGATCACTGCATATGGAAAGAGCATGGTGTCTGGAAAGTGGATGATCATGGAAATCCTCAGCTAGTGAATACACATTATTTTTCAAAGCATCCAGTCACGGGCGAAAAAGTATCATTCTACAATGACTTTTACAAACCTTTGGTCAATCGATATGTAAAAGCGATACAAGCAGTCAAAAAGGAATACTATTGTCTAGTAGAACCTTTAGCAAACGAAGTAAGGGGATAAGTGTGCGTTCATGATTACAATACAAATACTTTTTATTTAGAGACCTCCTGTCTATGATGAAGATGACTACCATCACAGGGTTATCTTTTCTCCACATTGGTATGATTTGAATTGCGTTTTTTACAAGAAATTTAATGGGAAAATAACTCACGATGTCCAGCACTTGCAGAGGGTATATGTTTTACACAATTTTTCTATACATTATCTCAAACATTTTTTAAAAGGGTGGAAATGTTTTGAAGGCTACTTATTTTGGTAAAAGCGGCGCCAAGAAGAACTATAGAGGCCAAATCAGGAATATCAAAGAAGACGGTATAAAGAACATGGGAGAAAAGCCGTGCATTCTTGGCGAAGTAGGTATTCCTATGGACTTGAATAACCGGGTAGCTTTTGCGGATGATGATTACTCAAGTCATATTGATTTTATGGATTCCGTCCTTTACGCACTTGAGACAAATTTGATGAGTTTTATGTAAGTTTGTTTGTGTCTTTAAACACAACCGAACTCATTGTTGTTTTAGATTATGGAACTATGATGTTTGTAATGACCATGAATATGGTGATCACTGGAATGGAGAAAACTTTTCTATTTACTCTGCAAAAAAGGCAAAGGAAGATTACTTGGAACATGATGATGAGAAAAGCGCATTGTCAAAAAGACACCTGTATGATGGCGGAAGAGTGCTTGAAGCTGTCTTGGTTTGTATACGTACACAATCAAAGAGAAATATAGCTAATCTTATTCCCTAGCGCCCATATGCAGTCAAGGTTGCGGGTACTCCTGTATCAGCCGAATTCAATCTGGACACTCTTCAATATACCTTTTCTTTTATTCCCCATGGTAATACGGAACATAGCAAGGTGACTGAAATATTTGTACCTTATCTTCATTACGGGAACAAGACCATAAATACCAAAGTCAACGTTGGTGAATGTTATTATGATGAAGAAAAGCAAACACTCTATCATTACTATAAAGGTGACGAAGCACCTAAACAAGTGACAATCGAACTTGGCGTGATTACACCACAATCATGCACCGTCATGTAATTACCCTCTCTCTCCTTGAAAATTTAAAGCTCAGAATACAAATACCAATTTATTACCCTTCATCTATTTCTTTTTTTCCCCTTTCTTTGCATCCATCATAATGAGTAAGGTACATAATTTAGATGACCCATATGATTTGAGAGTACGTAATCTTACGTTACCTAAAGAGGCCCTATGTATCACCTTCAACCGGAGCAAGAAAACTTGGGGGTCTAACCAGCACAACTCGTTCACCCAATGTTAGTAATGTATTTTCTCATGTCAGGCCTTCAACTGGATCCTCACCTTTTCATCATCGATTGAAAAGAATTACTTTATCTGATGAGGATGAAGAGCAACAAGATGAATCTATCTATGGCATATCTGAATCATTTAAGAGATATGAACTAATGACAGAATTGTAACAAACAAAACAAGAGTGAAGTAATCAATATTCATGTCGTGCATTTTTTTTATAGCATCAATCTAAAGAATCCTAATCATTGCCCACTTGGAGTATACGTTTTACCTTCTTCAGAGAATTTATACAGTAGGTTTATAGTTATTTAACGTCATTGGCATTATAATATACAAGTATATATAGTTTGGTATGGTGTGATTTTTGTACATCAAGGTTACTATCAGTCTGGAGCATTCAAATTTAGATTGGCTATACCTGAGAGCTACCCAGAACATCCACCTGCGGTCACATTTATGAGCGATATGTTCCATCCTTTGGTAGATGGAGGAGGCAATTTATCCATATCTCAACAATTCCCTACTTGGAGACCATACGAGGATTATATATTTCACATACTTCATTATATCAAGAACATATTCAAAAAAAATATACTAGACAGATTAATTGACAAGCACTGCTTCAACAAGGAAGCATATCGACTGCAAGTATTAAGCATGCAGACATAACATAGTCAACTCATCATAATTTATATACATTAGTTATAGAACAGATATTAAAATATTTAGTAAGCTTGCACAGCAATGCGCTCAGCTATCAATCACAGAATCCTATTTACTTGATCATTTCCCAGACGATAACATGATTCGCTTTTCTCCTGTCAGTGAACCAAAGTTTGGTAAGTTTCTCTTGTTTATTTATTTGTATACATATATTTGACTTTTTGTTATCTATAGACGAACTTTGGTCTCAACTTTTAAAGCAGTAAAAGATGTGGCTCTTTCATTATACCCGTATTCTGTTTACATTCTTTTTTTTTTTCGGAGAAATAAACAATCAATAAGAGATAGGATGTCGTGGCATTTGATAATATGAAGCTTGTACTGAGAGGGTAAATGAACCACGAGCCCCAGAATTGAGACACATATATAAATTAGTAAATGGGATATGCATATATTCTCAAATACATACCAAAACAAAATGAAAAAGAGGAATAAAAAAAAAAAACAGACGTATCAATAAAGTTAGTATTCTCCTATAATCATTTTTTCAAGTAAAACTTACCCTAGGTATTATTACCAGCGGTAATAGGCTTAACAGCGTTTCCTGTACAGAAAGCTACAGCAAGTTGATTGAATTAATCAGTCTGCGATGGACTGATATTTCTGTTGAATTGAGGGAATGTTGTTCCAAGCAGTATAATCGCCATCCCAGACAAGCCAATAGCAACAGCACTCAGTGTATCTCTAGCATGAGTGTTTTGACCTGCTTTTACTGACGAACAGGACGAGGAATACCAATACTTGCAAATCTTTGGGAGGAACGACAACAGCACAGGACAAAAACGGTTTCCTTGATGAGGAGGAAATACAGGCAAACTCTTCACTGCTTCTACCGGTAAGCTCAAAATGTAGCAATCTACCATACGATTTGTGCCCCATCTACTGACCATCTTTTGCTGGTCACTTGAGATATTCTCTTGAGCAATCATGTTCAGTGCACTCTTACGATTAGCATGTGTGATCTTGGAGGCATGAATATCAACAAGTTTAAAGTATCGACATAGATTTTATGCTGAGCTCTGTATGTAATTGGCGTAAATCTATCATCTCCCTTGAAAACTACTTTTCATACCAGTTTTCACGCGAGTGAAGTCCGGGAAAAGCTCGTTCTCGAAGTGGAATCTTGAAAAAAGGTTTATTGCCAAAGCACCGGCAGAACATACTTCAACATCATGATGTCGAACAGACGAGCCATATTCAATCCTACCACGTTGGCTGGTTTTTCCAAAAGTGATAGTTGCAACCAAAGCAATGCATTCTGATATCCCTTGATCTTCTAGTACAAGCGAGAACAGATCAGCAAACTACATTCCAAGCACTGTTTGGCAACAACGAAGTATGGCATGACTGATTAGCCAAGAGAATCATTCTTCTTAGTCAAGAAATAGCCACTAACTTCTTCCATATCTTGTTTGGTGTAGTCATCGTTTAATGTATTTTTTCCTCGATCTTCAAAGTTTTGCTTGCTACTCTTGACCTTTTCTTTTTCGAGAGTATCCAGAAAAGCCCTAACTAGAGGTCTTCTTGCAGGATCATGGGGGGGGGTTTAAGCCAAGTGCTTTTTGCTTGCTGTACATATCTGCGATATATTTGACATAGGCGAGGGCTGACTCTCTGCCTAGAGCAATAGAGGCACCATCTGGATTTTTTCTAAGCTTTCGACCTTGCTTCATGACATATTCTGCAAGGAAATAGCTAAGCTTTTGGTTAGTGATAATCTCTCCATCACCAAGTGTTTGTTCAAGGCATCATTTCTATGTTTAAACAGCGTAATTGGATTTTCAAACCTTTTCTTCATTATTATTTTCTAGAATTACCTTCCACTCTTCTTTGGCTGAATATGTCTTAATAGTGTTCACAGAACGATGAGTCATATTTTTGGCAATGATCATTTGGTTACTATAGTGCATAGCTGAATTATTGTCAATCATGCGCTGAGCGCCTTCATCATTCACAGCAAGACGATTGTTCATCTGGTTATTCATGTTAAACTGGAGTATCAATACACTATTTATAAATACTAAAAAGAGAAAACATAGCATAAAGATAGGACTTATAATAGTTTCAAAGAGATTAATATTGAACTAAAAGTCTATCTCTCTCTTTTATAACTTTTTGAAGTCTTGATGCCTTGGCTTTGTTAGTTACAACATTAACAAAATAAGCTGAACCACATCTTATTGGATAAGCTGTCTTCTAAACGTTATGAGTTACAGATGAGTCTTTGTAGGTTATTACTACGGTAATTTTTAAGGTATTTTTTATTTTTAGGCTGACAGACTAAAGGAAATCTACCAAGGATCTTTTGAGTTCTGACAGGTATTCTTTTGATTCAGAGTTGAGTCTAAAGCTTGTACTAGCTGTGGGTGTTGATATTGTTGCTGATATTGTTGATGATGCGGATAGTACATCTGTGGCTGCGGATTTGGCCAGTGGTAATGCAACTGAGCATCCTCTCTTTTACTCGGTTTCATTAAAGTAGCACATAGTCCTAACAGAATCCATGCTACACATAAGACAATCGTACCTAACCATACTCCATCCCATAATATACATCTATATTAATTAGCTCCTCTGTTATTGCTCTTCTCGATTTACCTTTGATACAGAATGGGATATGTCGCATCTGTCTGTTGATTTAACGTTGAGCAATAAGTGATCAACCCTCTAGCGGGTCTTTTGAATTCGACAATACCATTCGTCCAAGGCTCCTGCCCACTAAGAAGGGTTGTTGCTAGGACAGTAGCGATTAACAGTATAGCATTGACTATACTTAGACATTTATCGCCTCGTAAGATATGACCACGTCGACAACAGGTTGCATGTGTACAGATTGCAAAGGAACTTAGCATAGATATACACAATGTAATGTACCAATTTAAATACTATTGAATCATTTTAAGAACAACAAAAAAAAGCAAGTTAACTTTCAAGAGTATACCTGCCAGTGTCCTGCATTTAACCATCCTGGGATATGCGTCTATGAATTATATTACTACGTCTGTAAACAAGTTTTTTTTTTTTTGTTTTCCCCACTTTTTGTTGGTATTTTGAAAGTAAGAAGCATTGTGTGAAATGACAGCCGAGACAAAATAAGCTTAAAATAAGTATTGCATAGCGCGTGATATTAATAAAAAATAATGATGGCATATGGAAGTAACAATAATGAAGAAAGAAAACCCCACTCTCCTTTCAGGCACAATTCTCCTTTTATCATACTTGAAATACTCCTATTTTTCCATTCCTTAAAAGATAAATGCTAAAATCATTTTATTCTTAGGCAGAAACAGCCTTGAAGTATTCGGAAAGACGACCCTTTTGAGGAACGAACTTGACATAAGAACCATCAGGCTTGATGAGACCCTTGGAGCGAGCTTCGATATAATCTTCACGGTCAAGAGGAGTGAAACCCCACTTCTTGGAGATAATAATCTTTTGTTGACCAGGGAACTTGTACTTGCAACGTCTCAAGGCTTCAATAACAACAGCCTTGTTGGAGTCCTTGGAACGGACGGAGAAGATGATTTGACCAATGTTGACACGAGCAACCAAACCGTTGGGCTTACCGAAAGCACCACGCATACCAGTTTGCAAACGATCTGCACCAGCACAAGACAACATCTTGTTGATACGAGTGACGTGGTAAGGGTGGACACGGATACGCATGTGGAAGGAGTCCTTACCAGAGGTCTTGGACATGTACTTGTTGGCACAGATACGACCAGCTTCAAGGGCTTCGGCAGAAAGTTGTTCGTATTCGTTAGAGACCAAGTGGATACAGAGAGGGAAGTCGTCAACAGATGCCTTCTTACGACCTAAATCGTAAATTCTCAACTTGGCGTCAGGGACACCACGACAGTATCTAGACTTGGGGTAAGGCTTGTTCTTACAGTAACGATAGCAACGAGCAGGACGACGACCCATTTTTACAAGTTACTATTAAATGTTTAGTTGATACATGTCTGAATGTGTATATTTGTGTATAAGGAGAAAAAGAATAAAGAAAATAGCTGTGGTTGTTTTTGATGTAGAAAGCAATTGAAAGATTTCATGCCTCTGCTTTGAATTGCTGTTGAATGCATAATTTGATGTATATCAATTGCTGTTCATGATCTGATTGTACTCTTTTATAAACGCTTCTCCTCTTTTGTTACAAAGGGTGGATGCAAGTATATTTCTACAGCTGCTTTGCTTTTCACATTCTTTCCTTTTTCTTTTATCCTTATACAAATGGATGGATGGATCGATGTTTTACCTTTATGTCAAAGGGGGGAAAGAGTATACAGCTGTCAGCACTGCTTTGATTGTTAAGGAGAGACTGGTCGGATATTCAATTAGTTACAAATAGACTCCGGTTCGGACATGCTCCATCTTTAGATTGAGCTCAGTTGCTTTTCCCTCTTAACAAAAGCCTCGATTTGATAGGCACAATTGCACTATTTTATTAAAAATAAATTCCAGAAAGAGGATGAAGTTATGGCGTGTATGAAAAAAATGATTGGTGCATATTAAAAAAATATTTACGCAAAGGTTAAAAATAAAATGTGTGCAAAAGGAGACGACATACAAATGAGAGTGATAAGTACCAAGAAAAGAATATAAAGAATTATACAGTTAGTTATGTAAGAAAATTATTATATATAACTTACCCCGAAGGCATCTAGATGTGTCCTAGCGATAGCTAGGACGGAGAATCATCGTCTTAGCGTATTCTAGTTCTTGGTTACTCCTGATCGTCCACTCTTCTTCGACGTCTTGTAGGAACAACAGCAGCCCGGTGAAACCTATGAGGAACCATGCCATTACGTCGAAGTCCACGAAGGGTGTACATGTAATTGAAGCAAGCAGCAACATCCTTGTTCCATAAGCGATATCTATCTGGTGCTGCCATGGCGGATCTACAGTATAGATTGGTACATCTACAAACAATGTTCAATCAGTATAAAATCATCCAAATGGTTAATGTGTTATTACCTTAAAAGACCATGACAGACAACCGTAGAATATCGCTCTCGTTGATACGGTCGTGGGTTTGGAACACGACGGAACGTGCGGAGGCTTTCGTTGCGGCATGTTGGACAGCACCTACTGGTCTTGTACTCGTCTATAAGATAGACTTAGAACCCAGCTTCTTGAGGAGTCTTCGGAAACCAAGGCCACGGATGGGCTCATGATACCTAGCATGGGGAGCGGGCCAGTTTCCCATCACAAACATGGCGTCTTCTCCAAACTTGGCGCGTAAGTCTTGAATAAGCTTTTGATCGGCACGTTATTAGTTGAAGTACGCTGAAAGACGGGACATTCATTATCCTGGTTTATGATGGTATGTCCATAGAATCAACTGAGAACGCCAGACTGCTCAAATCTGGCTTGAAGGAAACGGCTAAAGCCTTCTACAGATATGGTGCTGCTTGGCTGTTGAGAAAGGGCTTGCTCAGCTTGAACGACATCAGGATCCTGGGCTTTGAAACCTTGCAAGATTCGACGGTACTTTTTGGTTTTCCACGTCTTGTCTTGCTGTTGTTTAGTGTACTGAAATTGCACTGGTTGCTCTGGTGTAGAATTTTCGCGTACAAAATACAACACATCTCTTCTTCCTGGATCCACAGCGACGCATCGACCAGAAATCTCTTGATAATTTCGCCCAGTTAGATTGGTGATGTAGGAGGTAGCTTCATATTCTACCGTGAACCTTGCCGTGTATCTTGTTTGCCTGTCGAGCCTCTTCTTGAAAATTGTGACACCAACGCTATCAGTTTGAATAGTGCTACGGAATCTAAGCTGTCCATCTTCTTGCGGCTCGAGGGCTTTTGAATCAAGGTTGACAACTCGGCGCCAGTAGTTCAGTTTATCAGCAGCATTAGACCATCGGATTCCCAGGATGCTTTGAATGACAAGTTACACTCAGTTCTTACAAAGTTGTAGACAGTGCTTTTAGAGACCTTGAGGTCCTGAAGCTTTTGAAGTAGTCGCTCCATTACTTGCTCCAAGACGGCTGAAGGATTTTCATCTATATACTCCAAGATCACTTGCTTGTGTTCTTCATGAAGTATACGCGAGCGACCGGTTTTCTTGTGCTTTATAAAAAATACTCTCAGGATCTGTTTTGTACATTTGAGTCCATCTTTGAGCTGTGCAAATATGAATACCTAATTGTTTTGCAGCAGCTGAAGCACTCATAACTTTCTCAAACATCAGTTTAAAGAATCTAACTTTGTCTTGATCCGTATAAAGTGTGTACGCTCGCTTACTCGACGCCTCCTTCATGCAAACATCTGGGTCATCTTTTGCATCCTCATCTGCCATAGAGCCTACATCGATATTATTCTCCTGAGGTTTATTATGCAAATGCTGAGTGTGTGAACTAACTGTCTCTAAAGCATATCGCTCTTCATCAATGATGTAGTCCATAGGCTCAGGTCTACCGTACTCATCAACTGCATTACTGTGCACGCCTTCATAGAAAATTTGAAAGCTCATATTGTAATACTCGATTTTTAATGAGAAAGGGGGTAAAAAAAAGGAAAAAAGAGAACTGACAGTGCTGTCATGCTTAATATACCCAAATTTTGTACGACAAAGCTTCTACATACACGACATTTAGCTTGTCAACAAGCGAAACCAACCAATGGTTAACGCGACATTAGAATTTAACAAGCGCGAATTTTACTTTTGGCATCAGTGTCAATTTTTGGAAATACAGTATAGCAATTAGGGTTTAAAAAACCATTGAATATATGGGCAATTATGACAATGTATCAACTATAGCTACATTTATTTCAATGTATTATCTCAATCATACTTATTCTGCTACAAGTTCAATGCATAAATGAACAAAGGGGGACATGTCAAAGATTTGGCTGCCTTTTTTTTTTTTTGGTTCGTCATTTAACACTCCGGTGAATGACGTATCGTCCAAGGTTGCTTGCGCGTTCAATTTTTTGTTTATTGTCGCGAAGTAACTGTGCTTTGTTATTTTCTTTTACACAAGAAAACTTATAATCATCCAAAATGGTCAACGAGAAGAAAGAAGAAACACCTGTTAAGGATACAAAAGTTGAGGATAAGAACAAGGATAAAAATGGCAAGAAAGAAGAAGAAGAAGAATTGGTAACTGATCTCATTTAAAGCATCTTTAAACTAACTCGACCTTAGTCTGAGGAAGATCAACAGTTAAAGGCTGAATTAGAGCTTATGGTTGAAAGATTACAGGTATGCACATTACCATACATGTTTATTGGGAAAGCTAAGTTTGCAATGCTTTTAGGATGAAAACAACGAGCTCCATCGTCCTGCACTTGAACATCTACGTACAACCATTCGTACTTCCACCAGTTCAATGACATCCGTACCAAAACCATTGAAATTTCTCAGCAAATTCTATCCTTCATTAAGAAAACTTCACGAGTCTTGGGCAGAATCTGCTGACAAGAGACTGTTTGCTGATATTTTATCTGTGCTTTCCATGAGCTATGGTGAAGAAGGACAACGAGAAACGTTAAGATACAGATTTATTGGATCTACAGATGAAGATATTGGCTCTTGGGGACATGAATACGTGAGACATCTGTCAGCCGAAATTATACAAGAATATCAAGCACGCTTGGAAAACGATCAATCTACCAAAGAACTGATTGACCTCGCTTTGGACATTGTTCCATTTTTTCTCAAGCATAATGCAGAAGCAGATGCTGTTGATCTTTTACTTGAAGTTGAGTCAATTGATCAGATCATTCGTTTTGTAGATAAAAATACATATGAACGCGTTTGTCTTTACATGGTCAGGTAGGTTATAGAAAGAGCAAATATCAAGAAAAATGTCTAAAAAGTATTTAGCTGTGTTAATTTATTGGCTCCTCCTGATGACCTCGAGTTCCTCCGAACTGCACGCACCATTTACCGTCAACAAGAAAAGTATGCTCAAGCACTTAATTTGGCCATCCGTATCGGCAATATTGATCTTATTAAAGAAGACTTTGAACAATGTCCTGATCCGTAGGTATAATCTCTATCTTAACAATACAGATTCACTCATATGCTCTTTATGATACAGTTTAGTAAAAAAACAAATGGCATTCCAGCTTGCACGTCAACAAATCTACATTGAAACAGACGATGCAGATCTTAACGCTTGCATCAACAATACAAATCTCTCAAAATATTTCCTTTCTTTAGCTCGCGAATTGGATGTCATGGAGCCAAAGGTGCCTGAAGATATCTACAAGAGTCATTTGGAAAACCACAGTAAGTGATGATTGCTACATAACTTATGTATCTAAATAATCATCTACAGGAACTGCCTTTAGCAGTAATATTGATTCTGCTCGCAATAACTTGTCATCCACCTTTGTTAATGCCTTTGTAAATGCAGCTTTTTGTAAGGATAAGCTGATGGGAACTGAGGATGAAAATGATTCACCTTGGATTTACAAGACGAAAGAACACGGCATGACGAGTGCAACTGCATCTTTAGGTCTTATTTCTTTATGGGATATTGAAGCTGGATTAAGCACAATCGATAGATATATGTACTCTACGGATGACAACATTAAGGCTGGTGCTTTGCTTGCTATTGGTATCTTGAATACTGGCGTGCGTGAAGAAAGTGACCCTGCTTTGGCTTTGTTATCCGAACATTTAGAAAGTGGAAGTGTTGCAGTTAAACAGGCTGCTATTTTTGGGTAAAGAAAAAGACGCATACCAATCATTTGATATTAACTGTTTAATAGCCTTGGTCTTGCCTATGCTGGCTCATCTCGTCCTGAGCTCTCTGATTTGCTTTTGCCCATCGTTTCTGATACTTCTTTATCTATGGAACTTTCTTCTATGGCAGCCTTGTCTTTAGGTATGATCTTTGTTGGATCTTGTGATGGTGAAATTACCAGCACGATCTTACAAACCATGATGGAACGCGAGGATCAATACCTCAGGGAATCCTGGTCACGTTTTATGGCCTTGGGTTTGGGCCTTTTGTACCTTGGCAAACAAGATGCTTCTGAAGCTACATTAGAAACACTAAAGGCAATCGAGCATTCGCTTGGTAAGCAAGCTGAAGTATTAGTGGAAGCCTTATCATATGCTGGTACGGGTAATGTGCTGAAGGTGCAAAAGATGCTTCATTTGTGTAATGATCACTTGGATAAGGAGAATGAAGATGACACATTCCAAGGATTTGCTACACTTGGTGTTGCATTGATCGCCATGGGTGAAGAGGTTGGCTCTGAAATGTCCTTGCGTACATTTAATCATTTGGTAAGGAAAACAAAGTTTGTGATTTATAAGGTATTAATCTTTCATAGATGCATTATGGTGAACCTACAATCAGAAAAGCCGTTCCTTTAGCATATGGTCTTTTATGCGCATCCAATCCCCAAGTTAGCATTTTGGACACCCTCAGTAAATATTCACACGACAATGATGGTGATGTGGCTATTAGTGCCATCTTTGCTATGGGTCTTGTGGGTGCTGGTACCAACAATGCTCGTCTGGCACAAATGCTGCGACAACTGGCCAGCTTCTATCACAAGGATGCATCAAGTCTGTTTATGGTTCGCATTGCTCAGGGCCTTTTGCATATGGCTAAGGGCACTATGACATTAAATCCTTTCCACACTGATCGACAAATTATGTCTCCTGTTGCCCTTGCGGGTTTATTGACAAGTATCATCGCCTTTACTGATCACAAGACATGTAAGCCAAACAAAAGTGACTACAAACATATGGACTAAACTATTCTATAGACATCTTTGGCAGATATCATTATTTGTTATATTCACTTGTAACAGCCATGTATCCTCGATTCCTTATCACGTTTGATGAATCACTTGAAAGCTTACCAGTAACTGTTCGTGTTGGCCAAGCAGTTGATGTTGTTGGTCAAGCCGGCCGTCCCAAGACCATTACTGGTTTCCAGACACATTCTACACCTGTTCTTCTTGCTCACTCGGAGCGTGCTGAACTTGCTACAGAAGAATGTAAGTGATCCAATGTAATTATGCATGTATGTATATTAATGTCATTATTAGATTTACCTTTGGCGCCTGTCTTGGAAGGAATTGTGTTGCTAAGAAAAAATCCAGAATACATGGAAGAGGATAAAGAGTAGAGAGATTAAATGAGCTTTATTAATAAAATGTAAATGTTTCCTGATCTTTCTTTTTTTTTTTTTTAAACAAGACTAAACTACATGAAGGGAGGACAGTGATGTACCTATTGACTATCTATCCGACTTTGTTTTATGTGCGTAGTATTTGATCAAGTTTATTATATTATATCTAAGCATCCTCATTGCGTCGTCTACGTTTTGCAAGAGGCTTTGACCAAGGTGAGTCCTTTGTTGATGTGTCTTGATCAACCAAGTGTGTGTACTTTGTACGACCTGCTAAACCAAAATTTTTGACTTGCATAACTTCTGGTAACAGTTCTTTATTACGAACTTCATCCACTGTAGGTGCAGTATAATCACGTCTAAAGATCTCGTCTTCTGTGTTTTGATAGAATGCACCCTTGTGGTAGTATTTTTGTAAGAATGTATACTGTCCTTTTTCCTTCTTTCTTGTTTCTTCTGCCTTTTGTAGATCTTCCTTTAAACGAACTTCTTCTGGCAACTCTCTTCTACGTTGTATTTCCTCTTCTTCTCTCTCTCGTCTATATGCAATTATTAGTTATATAACACTAAAAGAATAAGGATGGCAACTTACGCAATACGAGCTTCTCTATCACGCTTAATACGAGCCAATTCTCTTAGCTTCCATGCTTCATACTCTGCTTCCTCATCCACTTTGTCTGTATCATCTGGTATATCATCGTATTCAGACAAGTCTTTATTCAATGCTTCCTCTCTTTCACGTTTCAATTCCTCAGCCAACATATTATGAGATTGTCTCTTTCTTTCTTCTAATTCCTCTTCTAAGCGTCTCTCTCGCTCCTCTCGTTCTTTAGCCAATTGTTCTTGCTGCAAGATAGTCTCTCGTTTGGCCCTAAGATATAATAATTAGCTATACACAAAAATCAAGTACATTGAGTAGAAAATTACTTTGGTATAAATACAGGTTTTGGTAAACGAGCGAGTGTGTCTTCCTCTTCGCTTGAGGATTCGTATTCACTTGATTCTTCTTCTTCTTCTTCCTCTGACTTTTGTTCTTCTTCTTCCTCTTCGTCTTCTTCAACATTTTGTACTAATGCATCTTGTTGTTCCAAAGCTCTTTGTTTTAATCGCATACGTTCCCTGGCCTTTTCTTGTTCATCTTCATCGTCGTCTTGGACATGACGTCTTCTTGCAGATCTGTCTTGGTCATCTAGTTGTAATTGTTGCAACCTTCGAAGTCTTCTATCTGTACTTGCCTCTTGTTCAGATATCGTAGTCTGTTTGATTCCAGTGCGGACCTCTTTTTGAGCAAATGTCAATTCTGCCTTGGTGGTTTGTGGTTGTTTCTGCTGTTGTTGTTGTTGCTCTTCATATTCTTCTTCGGAATCAGATAATTCATCAACATAGTTTTCGGGCACTTGACCAGCTCTGTATCGTTTAACAGGAGCTTTTGGTTTTGGAGTATTTTTAGCAGGTGATCTAAAAGACATTTTGCGAAGATAAAAAAAAAAAGAAACAATTTTTTAAAAGGAGACAGAGATAGAATGACTACTGTCCTTTATAAGCTAAAGCGAATGATTGATTTCCCTCTAATAGAGCATATATTGAAAGAATTTCTTAGATCATAAAAGTATACCAGATCTTTTGCTTGAGTTATCCAGCAATACATGATTGAGTAAAGCTGAGAGTGTTACAAAAAAGAGTTTATTTATTGTTAAACATTCTTTTTGAATCTTTTCATCAGTCTTGAAAATAATCCGAGTTTAGATGGCCTCTTTTCACTATAAGTTGGATTAAAAAAGTGAGAGAAAGATTGGGCTGATTTCTGGTCATCTACTGTTGTATAAATGATCAGATTATCTGCATTTTTAGGTACTGAAATGCTTCGAATCATCGGTGAACTGACTATAGTAGGTGAAGAGTAGAATGAACGGGATATTTTCCAGTTTTCTTTTGGTTGAAGAGAGGGTTGGGTTCGCCTAGAAATGATAGAGGGAGACCTATTGAATATGTCGTCTCTGTCATTTATAATAGAAATATCGGATAAAGGAGAGATATGTTGTATGTTATCTCTACTCTTGACTGAAGTATTCGCCTGTGATCTGTTTATTTTTTGGACATGGATCCTTCCTTGTTCATTTTCATAATCATTATTATGACTACTCCAATGATTTCTTAATGGCGACGAATTCAACACACGATAACCGTTTTGCCTCATTCTTTCTAAATGAGAGTTAGTAAAAGTATCCAGGCGTAGAGTAAAGTTATCGTTGTCCCATGGAAACGATATATCTTCTTCTTCAATCTTTTGTTCTTTATAATAAGAACGTGTCATTCAGTTAATATTTTAAAATAAAGAAGAGATGGTCTCTTTATTGTTTAAGACAATAGGTCTTTTATGTCGTGAAATGTTGTCAGTAGATCATACTCTTTAACCACACAGGTTCAATTCCGGTTATTCTCATCTTTTATATGGTCTTTATATTTATTTATTTACAACAATGTTTGTGTTTAATAAAGCATACGAGTCTTGATATTGGCAGGAGTTGCAAGAATAGCATTATAGAGTGATTCCAAATGCTCCTGTGTGACATTTGAAATATCTGCCATTACATATGCAACATCACCTTTAGAATCTGAGTATTGTTTTTCTACGTTATGGTCAGCAAAGATTTCATTGATAACCTATTAAAAAAAAGAAATGAGTTGATATTCACATGGTTAGTAACTAACTTACCTTGAGGACACCAGGGATATTACGGTGAATGTAAAGTACACGAACAGTGTCTTTATCATCTTGTGAGATTGCACGAAGATCAATTTCGGGAAAGTTGACAGCGCCGACAGAACCACCTTCATTAATAAATTTGATCAGAGCAGTCGATACTTCAACACCAATCATACTTTGTGCTTCTTCAGTGGAGCCACCGATGTGGGGTGTCATGATTAAATTTTTAGCACTCAACAAGTCAGGGTAATCATTAAAGTTGGGACCATTAGCAGCAGGTTCTTTGGGATAGACATCAATAGCAGCACCAGCAAGATGACCAGAATGTAAGGCCTTTGCAAGAGCAGGGATTTGAACCACAGTACCACGAGCATTATTTAAAAGATAGGAACCCTTCTTCATTTTCATGATTTCACGTTCACCGATCATATTCTTAGTTTCTTCTGTCTCAGGAACATGCAAGGATACAAAGTCTGAAATCTCTAAAAGTTCATCCAGGGAATCCACAGGCTTAGCTTGACCCAAAGGCATGATTTGGAGTACATCATAAAAATAGACAGTCATACCCATAGCCTCAGCTAACACAGAAAGCTGAGAGCCGATATGACCGTAACCAACGATACCCAAAGTCTTGTGTCTGATTTCATAACAGTTTTTAGAGACCTTATTCCAAATACCTTGATGCATTTCCGTGTTACGGTCACCCAGTTGACGTGCAAGTGCGATCAATTCACCAATGACTAATTCAGCAACGGATCTTGAATTACTGAAGGGTGAATTAAATACAGCGATCTATTATTATAGGATGACTATAAGTGACTTTCTCTTGGTCATAGATGATAATATCTACTTACACCCTTATTAGCCGCATGCTTAAGATCTACTTGATTTGTTCCAATACAAAAGCAGCCAATAGCCAACAGATTCTTGGCTTCATCTAATACTGCCTTTGTAAGCTTTGTCTTGGAGCGAATACCGATAACATGGACATCTTTGATCTTTTCGATAAGCTCATCACCAACCAATGCCTTGGTATAAGTTTCCACCTGATTCTTTTGTTTAATACAATTCATAATGTCATCAATGTATTTACCTGATAACCTTGCTTCTTGAATGCTTCAACAGCAGTAACATTCACATTTTCCAACAAGAGCACCTTGACTTCAGCCGTATTAAAAGGTCTAAGGACCTTTGGCTTTGTTTGAGTAAAAGATGAACCACGGTTACGAGTTCCTTGTTGTGTTTCTACTGCCATTTTTTTTTTCTTTTAATAAAATTTATATGTAAAAAAAGAAGCAAGAATTATCAATTAGATTTGACAAGTCATTTTATGTTACTGTTACTGTTGTATTCTATTTAAACTCCATGCATTCACGGAGATATCATCTTGTGTCATCGACAAATGATTTGATTGGACCAATGGTTTGATCAAAATTAGATTCTTATATGCACACATATCAATGTACATAGACACTTTAAAGCATTAAAGAGCATCTTTTTTTTTTCTTTTTCTTTTTAAACAAAAAAGATGGGAAAATATATAACATTTCAAACACTTAAACAATTGCCTCCAGAGCTGGCCAAGAACAAGCTTGTGAAGCTGATATCTGATCAGAATATTACCATTATTCCAGAATTTACCTTAGAATCTGGTGTTCAACTTCGAAATATACCTATTGCCTGGAAATCATGGGGTAAACTGAATGAAGAAGCTAATAATTGTATGGTTATATGCCATGCTTTGACAGGCAGTGCTGATGTGGAGGATTGGTAAAAGGAAAAAAAAAGGATGGTTAGAATCACTTTACTAAGTCATTTATATCAGGTGGGGTCCATTGATAGGCCCTAAAAGAGCATTTGATCCTACCAAGTTCTTTATCATCTGTTGTAATGTCCTTGGTTCTCCTTATGGATCTGCTTCTCCACTCACTATTAATCCAGAAACTGGGAATATATATGGCCCTGAATTTCCTTTAGTCAGCATAAGAGATGATGTTAATCTCCATCGCTTGATACTGGATGATCTCGGTGTTAAACAGGTCGCAATCTGTATCGGCGGCTCCATGGGTGGAATGCAAGTACTGGAGTGGGCACAGTTGGGTAAAGAATACGTGCGTTCTATTGTGCCTATTGCGACATCAGGACGTCATTCTGCTTGGGGTATCAGCTGGGGAGAAGCCCAAAGACAGTCAATTTACAGTGATCCAAGTTATGGTAAGGTAAAAGACAGTAGAAAAAAAGATCGGAATTGTCTTATATACGTTGTATTAGCTGAAGGATACTATAGTGAGGACAGTCAGCCTGTCGTTGGTCTATCTGCCGCTCGTATGTCTGCATTACTCACTTATCGTTCACGTAATTCATTCGAATCAAGATTTGGACGAAAGGCGGCAGATCTTAAATCACCCAACAGACCCAGCTCACCAGCCGAAGCAAACCGCATGATTCATAATGATGGACATCGGGCATCTACTGTCCAGACAGGAACGGAACATGTTACAATTAATGATCCGCCCATGCCAACTCCCTTTGTTTTCTCTGCTCAGTCCTATCTTCGATACCAAGGAAATAAGTTTGTAAACCGTTTCGATGCCAACTGCTATATTGCTCTCACTCGCAAAATGGACTCGCATGATCTCTCTAGAGGAAGAGAGGAGAGCTATCATGACATTTTAGCGGCGACTGATCAACCTGCACTAGTGATTGGTATTGAATCAGATGGTTTGTTTACTATATCAGAACAGTATGAATTAGCTGAAGGAATGGCAGATACAGAAATGGTCGTTATTGACTCCCCTGACGGTCATGATGGATTCTTGCTTGAATTTGATCAGATCAATAGACATTTACTAAACTTTATCAAACGCGTATTACCCGAGATATATAGTACGAATATAATCAGTGAACAAGAAGCAGAGATAGAAACCATAAAAGCAACCAAGAACAGTCTCTTTGGTGAAGCAGAAGTAGATATTACCCAGTGGTAGCGTGTGTATTTGTGTGTGTGTGTATATTCAAATAAAGTTTTGGTCTTGTGTACAAAAGAATAAACGGAGGTGATTTTCAAAAAAAAAATTCTTTAATTAGAATGGTTGCGCATGCATCCGAAAATAGTAACTCAATGTACAATAAACAGGACGACACTTAGGGGAAAGTATCTCTTTTTCTGCACTGTACAAAAGAAATAAATAGATATAAATAACATATATGAGCAAGTTCCTATGATCTAAATCCTGTCAAAACTTACGTAGTCCACTTAATATGATAGTAGAATGGTTTTACATTTAGCTCCATATTCTCCATATACAACGTTACATCTCCACGTGCATTCATTGTACCATTTACATTTATAAAAGGGTGGCATGAATTGTGCACCCTTTTTATACATTTATCTTTTTTCTTTATTATAGAATAATTTACTGATCTACTTGCAGACCCCTTTCCTATCCTTTTACTCCTTTCCTTTTATTTGTAATGAAGTCTGTTGTCATTCTTTTATTCTATATGATCCTTTACTGCTTGACAGTAGAAGCGATCAAGATTAAACATCATAAATTCAAAGAAACCAATTCTGATATCATTCCTGGTCGATACATCATTACTTTCCAAGATCAAAAAGACACGGCTGGTACATTTTTCTCTCAATCACTGCATGCAATCAAGAATCTCAAGGTGAACCAACGATTTAATCATAAATTGTTTAATGGTCTGTCTGTCAATCTTTCATTCAAGAATGAAAAAGACCACAAAAGCTCCTTGTTGTCTTTATTGGATAGACCCGATATCAAATATGTATATCCTGTTCGCGTTGTTCGTCGCCCCAAGGTGTTTGCCAAAAAACTGAGCGTACCCGGAAAGAAAGAACCCTCCGCTCTTCCACATCAAATGAGTCAAGTAGACATTGTTCATTCAAAACTCAAAAATAAAGGCAGAGGAATTTTGATTGCTGTATTAGATTCCGGTAATTAACGCATGTTTCAAAATTCAGAATGCTGTTTTACTAAAGTCAAATGTCTATAGGCGTAGATTATATGCATCCTGCTCTAGGTCAAGGATTTGGTAAAGGCTTTAAGGTATCTAAAGGTTATGACTTGGTAGGCGATATGTTCACCGGCACGGAAACACCTGAACCCGATGATGATCCAATTGATAACTGCGGCCCTGACACTGGTTCTGAAGGTATGTCAACTCTTTCTATTGCTATACATGGACTTAAACATTAAACTATAGGTCATGGAACGCATGTATCTGGTATAATCGCTGGGTGGGACCCAGCTACGGTATGTGTCGCGTTTACTTTATACATATTGCTTTACACAATGTCTCATCATATGCTTTCTTATGCTAGAACTTCACTGGTGTTGCTCCTGAAGCAAATCTCGCCATGTATCGTATATTTGGCTGTGTTGGTAACTCTGCAACAGACGTTATTCTTAAGGGTCTCTTGATGGCTTATGACAGTGGCGCTGATATCATCAATTTGAGTCTCGGTTATGCTAATGCTTGGAGCGAAAATTCAGATGTCATTTACCCTGTCCTTCAAAAAATCCTTGCGAGAGGAATTCACGTCGTAGCCGCTGCTGGTAATGATGGTGAAAAAAGCATATATTCCATTGGTAATCCTGCTATCTCATCCAATGCCTATGCTGTGGCGTCTATCGAAAATGAATACAAAAGTGTGACGGATTTAAGGGCTACTGGTATAAGCCATCCCATTCTGTACTCTGGAAGTGAAAGCAGTCGCGACTTCATTGATGGTGAGCTTGTTTTTGCAACCGAAGATCAAGACGATACAAGTGCTGCTTGTGATCCAGATCAGATACTACCTACTGTGAAGGGCAAGATTGCAATGATACCAAGAGGTAATTGTGGTTATTTACCAAAAGCAAAGAACGCAGCTGCTGCAGGTGCTATTGGCGTTGTTTTCATTGGTAGTACGAATGCGCTTGGACCCCTCTCTGTTAAGGATGCTCCTATTCCCTGTATAATGATCAGTTTAAAAGACGGCCAGGCTTTATTAAGTGCTTTAAAAAGCCGTGTAGTCAAGATCTCGATGAATAAGATGGGACATCCATACCCTGTTACCAATGGAGGACTCACATCAAAGACCACTAGTGTTGGGCCTACAGCTGAATTAGACTTCAAGCCTGACATTGCTGCTGTGGGAGGCACAGTATTCTCTACCTTACCAAGGTACCTCAAAAGCTGGGGTATAATGAGTGGTACTTCTATGGCTACTCCCTACGTATCAGGATCTATTGCTCTTTACCTTGTAGCCAAAGGAAAGCAAAAGGATTCAATTAAGTACATCCAAGAACAGTTTCAAAACTATGCGATTCCATCAAAGGCCATTGAATCATCAGACCTGGACATTCCTATTCGTATCGGCGCTGGTCTCATTCAAGTATATGATGCTATCACTCAGGGTGTGCATATAACCCCAGGCAAGATTAGTTTTAACGATACCTCGTCCAATGCATACAGAACACAAACACTGACCATTAAAAACCACGGTTCCCAGACAATCCAATATGAGCTTCTTAATGTTGCTTCTGTTGGCATTGCTCCTTATGATGTCAAAGAGAGTGGATACGCTCCGACTGAGCCTGCCAAGAATGTGAATGCGACTGCTTCATTACGTTTTTCTATAAAAAAGTTCAAGCTTCCACCTGGTAAAACACAGACGGTTAAAGTTACCATAACTCCACCCAAGACAGACCCGAAAGAGCATATCTTTTATGGAGGATACATCGTATTCAAATCAAAGCAGCCAGAAATTGGTAAAGATATCAGTGTCCCTTACTTTGGCAAACAGGGACGTCAACGTGACCTCCCGATAATAGATAATGACTACCCAAAGCTTGTTGATGCCAACGGTAAAGAGTTTGGACCCAATGACATTTTTACATATGATCACAGTGTCAAAAATAGCTCTCCAACAATAAGATACCGTTTGCTAACACCCACCGCTGTTCTCAAGATCGAACTGATTGACATGAATGTCAACAAAGTCATTGGCACTATTCAAGCAGACAGTTTATATGTTAATCGTCATTATCAAACAGGAGATAGATATGAAAGTAAGATTTCTTGGCCTGGTACATATTTACCACCTGGAAGTGCACCAGAGTCCGAGGGTGTGCGAACACCGGATGGTACATACAAATTACGTGTTTCTGCGCTGAAACTGTTTGGAAATCGCAATACTCCTGATGATTGGGAAACATGGACTTCGTGTTCTATTGTACTCAAGAATAATAACGTTTAGTGTTAAATTTTATGACGTATTTTTGTTTTCTTAAATGAAAAAAGTGTAATAAAAAAGCCTTCATTCATTGTACTCTTTAAATGGTCTTTCATCAAGTCCAAAGCGTGTCATAAACACATTGAGCTAGTGACAATAGCCTCATTCTTTTATGAATTAAACACAAGCATGTCTCTTTCTTTTTCTTTATGTCTCGTCATACGGTTTGTGTCTACTTTTTTGTTTTATTGATTTTTTTTTTTTTGGTTTACATAAAGTCATCAAAATCATCATATGTAGTAGAGTATTCTCTTGTGGGCGCTGCTGGTGCTGGCGTTGCTGTCTTGGCTGATTGACCCTTGCCCTTTGTCTTCTTATTGTTCTTGAGTGCTTCTCTTTGTTGTCGTTGTTTATCATTAGCAAGTGCTGTCAAACTGGAGGCTGCCTTACGAATGTCCATATCCTTCATGGGGTCAGCCAGATCACGAGCTAATTGCTCAAGGAAAGTGGCATAACCAGATACATTCTACATAACACAGAATTGATCAGAATACTTTAACTAAAAACATTCAGACTTACAGAATGTTGAAGGATCAAATCAGTGAGCAACTGTCTGAATTCTTCAAAATCAGCACGCGTGCGTGGCTTTAATGATTCTACAGGCTTTGAAGGTGCCTTCTTGGCTATAGATATTAAGGATGAGTCCTCTCTCATTTATTTTTCGAATTTTTAATACCAATCACTTACGAGCTTCGGCTGCTTCTTCTCCTTCTCCTCCTTTGATACCGTGTACGCGTTCAAACTTTTCTTCTTCAGTTTCACCATCCAAGAAACGGTTGGCCTACCAAAGTCACTCTTCTGCCCTCTTTATTTATCAATCCAACTTACCAAAGCAGCCTTCTTTTTCTTTTGTTCTTTTAATAATGCTTCCTTTTCAGCAATCTTTTGCTTCAAGGTCAAATTCTTTTTAACAGGTGGCGTCACTGTCTTTGTTTCGACTTTTTGTTCCCTCTTTGGTTCTTCTTCTTCTTCAGATTCATCCCAGTCTTCTTTGACATTATTGTTATTATCTTCGGTGTCTTCGTCATCCCAAGCCATTTTAGGTTTTGTGCTGGCGACTTTATTGACTTGCTCAAATTCTTCTTCTACATAAACAACTTAGTTTCTTGAATACTCTATTTTCTTTGCTTTTTTTTTACCCCAATCACTCATTGCTTCTTTTATAAAGAAAAAAAAATTCTAATGGTTACAGAGGGTAAAAAATTCTATTTTCAAACACAGCAAGTGACTTTTGGCAAAAAAGTATCTTTAAATTAGTGTTTATTTTAATGATTATTGTTTTATGTACACAATTTGTTATTTTGTTCGATTCCTTTTCTTATTTTCAGACCAGAGAAATCCAGAGACCAGAGTAGCTAAAGTGATAGGCACTGTCCAATCATCTGTTAGGCCTAACCGTGAAGCTATGCCTAGAATTAAGGTAATACACGTAAATAACACGTACGGTTCCTTTGAATGCTGTTGGCTGTTATAAGATGATGAGTGACCCGGTCGAAAGGCGCAAGGGAATAATGAGTCACATAGAGGTGTACCTTTTTTATCTTGATTGTCTATAGATTCATCTGAGCTATTGATATTACTATAACTACTACTACTACTGCTGCTACTGCTGCTAATACTACTACTACTGATGCTACTATGGGTATAATTTGGCCCTTCTTCACCTCCAACAGCTAAATCTCCTTTAAGTATTTGCTCTAATAAATGAGTGTCCTTAATAGCTAATGATCTTCTTTTAGATTCCATCAATAACTGAGACTGTCGTTTTAAATCTTGGGGAATATGTGATGAACTGGGTCGATTCATTCCATCAGTGCCTTTTTCTTGTAATTGCTAAAATAAAAAAGAGAAGCCTTTTATTGATACATTTCAATAAACCCTTTCTCCTTCTTTCCCTCCCTTTCGCTTACCTTTTGTAAATGCTCTAATTGATCTTCTAAGCACATAAAATCTTGTTCTAGTTGAGATACGATCTCATCCTTTATTTTGAGTTCTTTTTTTAATGTCTCGAGATCGTTGTCTTTGTAGTTTTGCTGCCGCAAGATTTGCTCCTTTTCCTGGTCGAGCTCTTCAATAATTTGCTCTAGTCGTATAATCCTGTGTTCTAATTCTGTAGCATAAGACCCTTGTGATATATCAGAGTGAATGACAGGTCGACAGATGTGTTGTGCCTCCAGCTCTTCTTCACCGTCCTCATCGTTATCTGTTGATGGTAAAGTCATAACCATGGTTGAATGATCAACAGGTTTCATTGTGAAACAGCAGGTCCCTTCACATATAGGATGACCCGCGAGCTAATAACATGTGAGTATACAACAATATGTATACATTAGATGTTACCTGTCTCTGTAATAGATTGATATTTTGAACTAAAAATTCATACTCTGGACCTACTGACTTCATCTGAAGTATCTGGTTCTCTTTTAATCGATTGAGTTGTTCAGTCTTTTCATCAAGCTCCTGTTGTAAGAGTCGAGTGGTTCGTTGTAATTTGATATTTGCTATTGTCAACTCTTCAATCATTTTCTCTAAAGGGCTCGTTCGTTGCTCGATCAAGTTATCTGTATCCACCTTGAGTAGACGATTCGTCCTTTGTAATTTCACATTTTGTAATGTCAATTGCTCAATTTGTGCCTCCAGTTGCCGTGTACGTGTATCTGAATCACCTTGTTTTATTTCTCGTTTATGGTCTACTCTTGTTTCTGTCGGGATGGAATAGTTCATCAGATTAGAATTGACACTGAATCTTGATTCAGACATGTCCTTTTGATTGGCTTGAAAATACATTAATAAAAAAAAAGAAAAAGAGAAGAGAGAAAAGTACAAAAAAAAAGAAGGTTTTATTCTGCTTGGTAAATATGCACGAGTTTAACGTCACACATATCCTTTGCCTTTCAACTTGTCTGTTTGTCCCTCAACTATAAGCATTTCACTCCTTTTTTTTTTAATCTTATTAATAATAGAGATAGACTACAGCCTTTTCTTCTCATCTCTCATCTCCCATCTCTACAACTTTATAGACGTCATCATTTTATACATATTTTATCCTTTGAAAATCAAAAGAGTGTTGTCTAAAAAGTAAACAAGGCACATTGTTACACGAATATTTTCTTAGATCGCATGGCTATTTTGAAATATTCCATCTTTGCATAAATAGCCATCATTTTCTACTGGCTATTTGCTACCATGACGATAACAAGATTAGCATTCAGGGATACACAAATATAAGTGTGTATTATAAATATTAAATTATGCTTTATGATCAAAGAGAATAATTAATGGCAGCAACTGAATGAATGCTTTGTCATTTCTTCATCTTTCAAAGGACGACCAACCCATGTCAATCAATTATAATAGAAGAAAAAAAATTCATTATTCTAAACTATACTTTAGATATAAAAGCTGTCTAACCTTGTATTTAAATAGTTTAAAAAGTGTAAACATTCACATAAATCACTCCGACTAGAGTCTCCCTTTTAAAAAAAAGAGTCATATTTTTCCATGCCTTTCTCTTTTTTTAAATAAAATATAATGGCACAGCAAATTGAACGTAATCAAGAAGCAACAGTTTATATTGGTAATCTTGACGAAAGATGCACTGAATCACTCATTTGGGCCTTGATGTTACAAGCTGGCCCAGTTGGTAAAGTTATTCAACTATAAAATAATAATCACTAAACTAATATTATTCAAGTCAATGTTCATTTACCCAAAGATCGAGTAACACAGACACACCAGAATTATGGTTTTGTAGAGTTTTTAACAGAAGAAGACGCAGATTATGCAATGAAGATTATGAATCAAGTACGATTGTATGGTAAACCTATACGTGTCAACAAGGTAAACTTTTTATTTTTATAACAATAATATTATTAACGTCATCAAACCATAAATAGGCTACTTCCGATAAAAAGAATTTGGATGTTGGAGCAACATTATTTATTGGTAATCTGGATCCTGATGTGGATGAAAAGACATTATACGACACATTTAGTGCATTTGGCTTGATTGTAAATACACCCAGAATTGCTAGAGATCCAGACACAGGTGCCTTCAAAGGCTTTGGATTTATTAGTTATGACAACTTTGAATCTTCTGATGCAGCTATCGAGGCTATGGACGGACAATATTTGATGAACAAACAAATTACAGTATCTTATGCATTCAAGAAGGATGGAAAAGGAGAAAGACACGGTTCTGCAGCAGAAAGACTGTTGGCAGCAGAGGCCAGGAAACACGTACAGATGCCAAATCGATTATATGCAGGTGGACCACAGATGGCACCTACTATGGGATATATGCCACCTACAGGTTATCCTGCCATGCCACCACCACCTCCACCTATGGGATACCCGCCTCAAGCTTATGGTGCTTGGCAGTAATTGTGTTTAAATAAAAAATAAAAATTATGTATTATTATTAATACCATTACAGTGTTTTAATCCAGACGTTAGTTAAAAAAAAAGCAGTGTAGGAAAACAGTATCATTATTTTCTTTAAACGCACTTGCTGAAACATAAGAGACAGCAATTGTCCCTTTTTAAAAAAATAAAAGGCTGATCTTGACTGTCTCAAATAGAATACAATATAAACATTTACCATCCCTCTGTGATTATTGGATAAGATGAGTTTTGTTGACTCAAGAGCTTCCTGTATGACTTTTTATTTATTTACAAAGGTCTAATTTTAAATTAAAGCAAGAATAGATCAATTTTTTTTAAAAATCAGCAGAGCTAAATTGAGAAAGCCCTTTTTATTTTTATTTTTCCCTTTTTTTATTTTTTTTTTTTCCTTTTGAATTTGTTGTCAAGTCAAAATTTATAAATTCCTGACATGCAAATTAATCATGTCGGTCAATAAGACATCATTTATAAAACAAGCAAAAACTAAGAAATCAGCAGATTTTGCTGGTAGTACGGTACCTGACTTTATTCAGAAGCTATTTAGGTACATTATATAAAAAAGAGATGAAAGCAATCTAAAGCTTTATTATAGAATGTTGGAGAATGATTCTTCAGAAAACACCCTGTCTTGGGGACCTGATGGAACAACTTTTATTGTCAAGGATACAATTGAATTCTCGAGGACGGTCTTGCCGAAACATTTTAAACATTCCAATTTTGCAAGCTTCGTTCGACAGTTAAATAAGTATGATTTTCATAAAGTAAGGCAACTAGAAGAAGGACAAAAGACATTTGGTGATCAGGTAACTTTATTCTAAACTTTATTTGTCTTATTCCTCCTATAAACAACTTTTTTATTTTTTATGCAGGCTTGGGAGTTTGTTCATCCTAAATTTGTTCGACATCGCAAGGATCTATTGGAAGAGATTAAGAGAAAGGTGCCTGGAGCAAACACGATAAAGCAACCAAAAAAAGGGGAAAAGGAAAACGAGAATATAAACATGTCCACGATGGAAGAAATACAGGCTATGACAGAAAAGCTTATTAGTGAAATGAATGAACTTCAAACCAATCGTACGGCCTTGGAAAATGATATTTCAAGATTATCCCAAAGGGATCAAGAAATCATGAACGAACTAAGCCGTTTAAATGCTAATCTTGCGGCCAAAGATGGTCTCGTCAAAGAGTTCCTCGGCTTGATAGAGTCTTCACAAGGAAATGGTAATAGCGTGTGTAATTATAACGTGATAAAGCGCTAATCATTTGTTTACTAGTCAACATAAGTCAGCAGGAAACACAAAAATGGATGAACTCTTACCACAAAATATCTAAAACAAACGCGGAACAGATTGAAAAAATGAATAAAGAACTGGGCTTAAAGAGTAAAGCCTTAACGAATGATGAACAACAAAGACATCAACATAGAGCTATAAAGAGAATAAAGATGGAGGAGACAGCGCCGCTTCCACCATCACCTCAGCCCATACCTATAAACAATGGATTTGACAATAGCTCTTTATCTGAAGCAGCAGCGGCAGCGGCCGCAGCTAGTATGAACGCTGGAAGCTTGATCGGATCCCCGTTAAAGACCGCGGATGGGCTCACATTCGTCACTCTTGGTAGACTTTCGTCCAATATGTCCGTACGCGATAATAAGCCAGCAATTGAAATCATGGCTGCCGATCAAACACCAACACTGGCCACAAGTTTACAGAGACCAACCATCGGCATGAAACGTAAGCCATCTTCTGGTCTGTCGTCATCTTCACCGGTCAGCTGGACTGTTCCTCCCAGAATATTGCTTGTAGATGATGACTCTGTTTATCGCGATTTGAGTGAGAAATTATTACAAGTGTTTGGATGCACGATAGACCTAGCAAAGGATGGCGTGGAAGCATTAAAAAAGATGGGCTTGGAAAAATATGATTTGATTTTAATGGTAAAATAAGATATACAAAGCTTATTTCTTGTATTCATTCTTTTAAAAGGATATTGTCATGCCAAGAATGGATGGTGTATCTGCTACAAGAAGTATCCGTCAATATGACGCCCTTACACCTATTATCTCCATGACATCCAACTTTACAGACAATGATATCATGCAGTATATAGGAAGTGGAATGACAGATATATTGCCCAAACCATTTTCTAAGCGTACGCTTTACCAGATGTTGGATAAATATTGTGCACATCTAAAATCGATCCAAAGGGTTCAGGTCACATCAGATAATACAACATCTATACCCCGTGCCCTGAACATACTACCAATGGGTGATACTGACAGTATAGCTTCATCCTCTACATCCCCTACGACCAATCAGCACCCTTCTACAGCTTCTTATCCTTTCAAGCCATCATCCAGTGCCACTACTCCTACTGTCACATCCAACACACCCCCAACTACTACCACTACTACCGCCACTACCACTACTGCTGCTGCTACCAGTACACCTACTGTATTTCCTCTTGCGCCATATCCATACCCTATTACAATGAATTCTGTTCCCACTGACGTCAGTAGCAATATTAGTCCTATTGGGCACAACGATATACCAAATGTTACACTCTGGCCACAGCAACCAAATCAGCACCTGGATACACCACCAGCAATTATTGCAAACGATGGTAAATTCACTTGGGCAATGCCTACGACAAGGAACAATAATAATAGCAGTAACCAGAGAAATTGAGCTTTTTTTTTATATTTATTTTGAAAGATGCTAATAAAAACCATGTAAATACTTGCTTGAAAACAAAAGAGAAGGGTTTATTATGTACACGAGGTATAGATAGAAAACTAATAATTTTAATAAACAGATACATGATTTGCTGGAAAGATTCCAATGGCTCCATTGGGTAGCCTTCCTTGCCACCAATCACACGGTAAGCCTGTGGCAGGATCTATTTTAGATAAAATATAGACAAGATCGCCCTTACGAATCGTCAATTCCATCGGATTCTCTCCTATGAAGTCATGAATAACTCTCGCCGTCTCTATAGGCCCACCGTATTGAGGGATCATCATTCGTTGCTGTTGCTGTTCCTTCATTCTTTCATGCGACTTTTGAATTAGTTTATATATTACATAGGGTAAACCGGTGACAATGGCCAGGAATAAGATAACAGATCGTCGCTTTTTATTACTGTTGCTGGGGGCAACTGCTTCTGGTGGTTGCTCGTCTTCTGTTATTTGTAATGGTTCTCTTTCATTATCCTCAGCAGGTTCTGCTGGTGGCGTTCGACCGATCAATCTGTAAAACAATCGTCTGAGCCATCTTAATAAAGCAAATACATTGAATATGTTGCCCAAGTAATGCCGTAGGTTTCCAAACTGTTCTGCCACACCTACCATGGCCATGAAACTAGAATGGGTTGCCATATAGGTCGAGTCGAGCATCTGTGCAAACCCTCCAAATGCTTGAACGATCGATTCAATCACGTCAAACGTCGCACGGGTGCTTGCCTCCATACGCTGCGTCAAGCTATTATTGTCGGGTCCTTCGCCAAACATGCCTCCCCCTCCTCCGAAACGATTGTATCCATAGCCTCCAAATCGACTGTAGGGCGAATACGTACTTCCATAGCCACCATATGTCGATCCGTATCCTCCATAGTTATTATAGCCTCCGTATCCTCCTCCTCCGTACCCATATCGGTTGTAAGGGCTACTGTAACTTGAGCCATACATACCTCCATAACTTGATGTTCCAAGGCCTACAAGAAGACGTTGATACCATGTTTTGTGTTATTTTTCTTGATTATATATTACCACCATACGCTGAACCCATGGTAGTAGGTCTATTAGGTACTGCTGGAGCTGATGTGGTTGTAGTTGCAGTAGTAGTAGTAGTCATATTGGCTGTAGACGTTGTCACTGGCGCCACACTGCTATTGTTACTATTGACTTCCCAAGGCTTTGGGGGAGATGGCATGTTAAAATAGAGATTTAAAAAAGAGAGAATAAATCTTACTTAATGATGGGAAAACGGAGAACCAAAAAGTCCATAATCATATGTAAAATTAAGTAAGCAACCAGACAGAAAAAGAAGGGAGGTAACACAAAAGCGATTATAGAACTGTTTATTCTATGGGTATGATTTGATGCTTGGTCTCTTTTTCCGTCTTGGCTTTTTCTTTACTTTCACCGCTACTTGCTATTACTATCCTATCCGTACGCTTAAATTGCGTTGAATTGATAATGTTTTGTGATTGAGAAGAGAGTTGAACAAAGGCTGCGGCAGTCTCAGCTAGTGATTCGAATTTTTGGACTGCCTCGTCTTCATTCATGCACACAACAATGACATCTCGCTCTGAATAATCACCATACAAGGTGATGGCTGTTTCTGCATCCATGATCAGAAAGCGAGTAAGCCAGCAATGACATTTTCTGAAAGAGCTATTATGTTGACACCAGGGAAACGGTGTATTATAAATGAAATTATCATTGATCCAATTCGAGTAAGTGGATTTCTCCATAGCTACATCTGTTGTTCCACGGTAGTTTATCGCAATTGCATGTCCAGCTGCGTATGCCATATCCATTAATGCTTCTTCAACTTCCTGATGCAGCAAAAAGTCTGCGGACGCATTAAGGAGCCATTCATTATCAGTAGCAATAGAATATTATATCAAGTAAGCAACATCCGCTTGGTTTTTACATTGTGCAAGTGCATTGATAGAGAATTGAAGGATGATTTCGTCAATAGATATGCTGACTGTCGCAAATTTAGAGTAGAATACGTTGACGCGTTCAAACATGGCAGTAGCAAGATTGAGTACTTGTATATCACGTTTTTCAACGACTTGGCGCCCATCAATGTTATAAAGAGCGAACGCTGTAATTAATAGCTCGGCAATACCGACGTTGTCATCAAATGTATTCTCGGACGGTAACTTGCAGGCAAGAGGCCCCGACTTTGACTGAGACACTTCGTATAAGATACTCAGAAAATTATCACCAAATATGTGGCTACGCAGTTCCTCGATGGCAATCTTCACAGTCAGTTCACTCCACTCCACATCAAAGACCCATGCTCCATCGGGACTTTGATTACGGTAAATCAAGGAGTGTAGAAAAAGGAAGTGGTTTGCAAATAGTAAAAATATGATTTTGATAAGAGAAAAGGTCGAGTTTTGAGCTAAAATGCAAATCTTGATGCCAACCCGAAGAGGAAGAGATGTGATATTGAAAGTTGATACGAGCATATCGCATAATAGAGACACTGAGATATCAGAGATATCGTGTTTATGTCGTAAGAGTGGCCGAAGTAAATCTGTGCGATCGTATGAGGATTGAATAATACCAAGAGTTTTTGTGTTGAAGCGTTTCATAGCGTTTTTTGTTATACCACCAAGACCTTGTTCGATAGCCCAGAGGGTACCAATAACGGCCAAAGCAAACGAAGCAGGATCAATCTGGCCAAAAATGCTCTCCATTCTCAAATAAACAATATGAAATACAAAAGAAAATGATTAAAAGGAAATCAGCCTCGTTTCTTAAGAACAAACATTCGTATTCGTTTTTTCTTGTGAAGCGAAGCCAAATTTAAAGATCTGAGATAGGCCATTTAATAAGTCGAACGTAATCTTGTAGGTTTTCGTATCAGAATCTTTCCTCTAAGAATAGTAATAAGCCCTTCTTTTCTGTAAAGGGTCTACGTTGCCCATCGTCGATTTGGCTGAATTTTACAATTTTAAAAAGATTGAATACAACAAGTACTTTTTGTGGCTCCTCAGTGTACGTTCCAATGTTCCTCTGTCTTTCCATTCTAAAAACAAGTAAGCAATTCCTTTCTACAACGACTGGTTGGTTACATATTCCAAGTGATATCATTGTTTAGCTGCAAATCCTATAACACCTTAAATTGACAACATAAACTTTAGCAACCTTCAGATTTTACCAGATCTACTATGGCTACACTCATTCGCTTACAGTCTCTGGACGAAAGAATGGCTTGTTATTTCTGATGTTGATTCGCCTTTGAACACTTCACTTTAGGCTTTCTCTTGAACAAGTAATATTAAGAAACTTGGATACAGTCTGACTTAAATTATACATGGAAATTATATAGATTCAACCATCAATAGGTAGCTCAGGATCACCTTTTTATACAACAATGTACGCAGGTTTCCGTTTGTAAAGCAATAAGGACATAATAGATAAAAGCGTACTATTGGATCCTTCTCTTCTGAGCTTTAATTATCTTGTTACGATTGGCTAAAAAACATAGAGGGTTCATTACCGTGTTGATTTTTCTCGCGTATTTTGTAGTTGCAACAAATAATCAAAGCTAATCAACATGGTAAATCAGTCTGTATGATCGAAACCATGGGCTTAACATACTTGATAGCCTACAACATACATTCCTACCATTGTCAATGACGAAGGTATATGCTCTTGATATGTCAAAAGTAAAAGCAATTAACCTCTATATGTATATAGCTCATTCTGACGGCATTTGGGATGTTGCGTGGTCCAAACACACAAATCTGGTTATTTCTGGCTCGGAAGACGGCAAAGTCAAGTGCTGGTAAATTATTTAAACATGCTTGCGAGAAAAAGGAGTTTATTCTGTACATGTATTAGGGATGGTGCAACAGGCGAATTAAAGTTTGAACTTGAAGGACATGCAATGGGTGTTATCTCTGTCGACGTCAGTCAAGATGGAACACGTAATAGGATATAATTACATCCACTTTTTACGTACGATTACTGACAGATATACAATATATAGGTCTTGCTTCGAGCTCTGTAGATTCAAACATTCGTATTTGGGATCTTGAACAAAACGGAAAGCTTATCCAGTCTATTATTGCCGCGCCTGTTGAGTCATGGAAAATAAAGTTCAGTTCAGACGGACAGCACGTCGCTACTGGCTCACATAATGGAGACATTCATATCTACAGCGTCGAAACAGGAGAGAAAGTCAAGAGCTTACCAACAAAAAACAAGTTTTTGATGTGTGTTGCTTATGCAAGTATAATCTAGTAAAGAGGGATGACATTAAAAGACTAATAAGATCATAGAGTCCTGATGGAAAATATCTAGCTGGAGGTGCAGAAGATGGGACCATTTACGTGTTTAATATCGAAACGGACCAATTGGCTCACACACTATCAGGTAAAATTCAACAAGTGTACATATAGGGAAAGTGAGAGCTCATATGCATATGTAGGGCATGCCATGACTGTTCGTTCGCTTTGTTTTGCCAGCGACAGCAAGACACTGATCAGTGGTAGTGATGATAAGTGTGTTCATGTTTACGATGTTGAGCATGGACAGCTGGCATCCTCTTTAACTGGACATTCAGATTGGGTCTTGTGTGTAGCAGCCAATCCAGATATCAGTAAACAACAAATAGTCAGCTGCAGCTCGGATAAGAAGATTAAAGTGTGGGACCTTGGTTTAAGGTCGGTTTTGGAAACTCATGAAGTTCATTCAGACCAGGTAATGCTTTATGATTGGGCTAAACGAAACGAACTCTAATAAACAAAAAAAAACAGGTCTGGGGAGTAGCATGGAACCCAGAAGGTACTAAACTGGTATCCGGCTCAGATGATAAGTCCTTAAAATGGTTTGCAAGCAGTGGATCCTCTTAGTATTGTATCATAGAATATCTTTTTTTTTTTTCTTATACGCGTATCTTTTTTCTTGAAATCATGAATAAAAATCATTTCATGATATACTGATTACAGTCATAATAAAAAAAAAAAAGAAAACACACCATGATGTCCTATTGAAGTTCAGATATGAATGATCGCGTCTGGCTCCCATTGATCGACCTGATTAACCTAAGGCACATTAGTTTCTCTTTTGATCAAAACAGATAACTTGAGCCTTGCACATTATTCATCATTTAATAATGACATTTAGGATATGTCAACTATTATAATCCATACATCTTCTTGAGATACTAGGATTTTGTGTGTACACGCACAGTGGTAATAATTGAATAAAACAATAAAGTGGCGGGTGGGAATCTTACGATAAATTCCCTACCAACAGGAGGGCAGTGATCTGTCTTGATATTCCATTCGGAGCCTGTATTTCTTCTGTTGCTCAGCCAAGATATGCAAATAACCCTTTCCCACATGAATCGAATTAAGAAGGTTACGATGATAATCTAATTGTCTCATATGAGACCATTGCAATCTGGAGTAAAGTTTAAATAAGGGCTTGGGAAGCGTCCCAGTTGGTTGCATGGTAATTTCAAGATCCGATATGGGATCCAATTCTACAACCCGTCGCTTCCGAAAATATGATCTTTCATGCAATCAGCAATCTAGTTGTCTACCATTCTGTCAATAACAATAGCTGTGTAGTTGTTGTTTTGGAATATAATGAAAAGTAAAATAGTTTGTAATAAAAATATATTAAAAAAGGTTCAAGATTGTAAGACCAGTAGTGGTACCCAGTCTTCTTTTGGGAATGGGGCATTTCCCTTTTGTTTTTTTTTCTTGCTTAGAATATATCAAACCCAAACATCAGTTCCGAATATCTTTTCATCTTTTGAGTGCGTAGTAAAATAAATCTTGTCAATGAATTAAAATTAAAAGAATGAATAAACAGTAAAATGATCATAGTTATCAATGAATGATGCTCAGTATGCCTTCACTCATTTTCTCACGTACACAAGCGAGGGTGTCTAGAAAAAGAAAAACCCTTACAACTATGTTTGATAGTTTATCCTGATTACCGTATCTATTGAAAGATCTAAAAAACCAGAAAAGGTCGGAAGTAAAAAATCAGTCGATTTTTAGGTTCCACAAGCCACATTTGCATGAACGTCATTTATGTATATAAAGCATTGATCTTTTCAAGGCCTTCTTTTTTTTTTATTATCATCATCTTAAACAATCAATTAAATCAAATCATGTCTGAAGAAACTTTTACTGCTTGGGCCTGTCCTGGAAAGAGTAAGTTTTGTGTGTTATTGTAGATGTTTATAATAACAATCGCGTCTCTAGGCCAACCCCTCCAAAAGATGGAAGTCAATTTCTGTACTTGGGATGAAAACATGGTTCAAATGGATATCATCTGCTGTGGTGTCTGTGGTACTGACCTTCATACTGTTGACGAAGGCTGGGGCCCTACTGAATTCCCTTGTGTCGTTGGTCACGAAATCATTGGCAAGGTTACCAAGGTTGGTAGTAACGTAAAGAAGATCAAGGTTGGTGATCGTTGTGGTGTTGGTTGTCAATCCGCTTCTTGCCACGAATGTGATTATTGTAAGAAGGGTATGGAAAACTTGTGCTCTGTTCACGCTGTATGGACCTTCAATGACCGCTATGAAAATGAAAAGCGTGACAAGACTTATGGCGGTTTCGCTACCAAATGGAGAGGTCCTCAAGACTTTGTCGTCAAGATTCCCGATAACTTCTCATCTGAAGTTGCCGCTTCTTTTCTTTGCGGCGGTGTCACTACTTATACTCCTCTTAAGCGTTATAATGTTGGTAAGGGCTCCAAGGTTGCCGTCCTCGGTCTCGGTGGTCTCGGTCACTTTGGTGTCCAATGGGCCAAGGCTATGGGCGCTGAAGTTGTCGCTTTTGATGTTATCCCTGACAAGGTTGAAGATGCCAAGAAGTTGGGATGTGATGGCTATGTTTTGATGCAAAACGAAGATGAAATCAAACCTCATTACAACACTTTCACTCACATCTTGGCTACCAAGATCGTCAACAAGTGCTGGCCCACCTATTTCAACATGCTGAAGAAGAACGGTATCTTTATTCTCTGTGATATCCCTGAAGTTCCTCTGGAAGGTTTGAATGCTTTCACCATGGCCGGTAAGCAATTGACCATTGCCAGTTCATTCATCGGTTCTCCTTCCGATATTCAAGAGTGTCTTGACTTTGCCTCACAACACAATGTCCGCACTTGGGTCAACACATTCCCTATGGACCAGATCAATGAGGCTTTCCAATTTGTCAGAGAAGCCAAGCCTCGTTACAGAGCTGTCGTCATGAATTAATCATTTTTAGCATGTTTGTATTTTATATTCTTTAATAATATCCGTCATTAAAATAAATAAAAACTATATTGTTTTGTTCACAATACATATTTGTACTAGTCTTTATCCATTCTTGATTGAATAAGGCAAGTAAAGCTAATCACGGGTTACAAATACTGATAAAAACCCCTACGCTTGTAAATCAAGGTATACGGAGCAATAAAGAAAAAAAAAAAGTATATTCGTGACTTTCAGGAAGTCTACTTAAAGAAGATAAAGCTTAGTTATGCAATTGATGGGAGTATTTCCATATAGAAAGTAATACGAACAACTTATAAACTATTGAATTATAAATGGAGCAGCTTCAAAGCCCACCAGATCACGTCGATATATACCGACTTGTTGTTCCACGTGTTCTTGCGTCAAGATACGAGGACAGATCTGAAACGAGCTATACTTGGAGTATCTTGGTTGATGGTAACCAAGCACTTCTTCTTAAGAATCTTTTAATCAGTGACAACATAAACACGATACAATTTGGGTTATATAAAGCTGCTTTTTATTATTTTCTTATATATAAAATATCTTCCGTTTGCCTCTTAAAGCTCATATGATAGGTTTGTCTGTGTATCTTGTATTCAAGAAATGGACGGACAATCAATTGATCTTTTTGCCGTGTTGTAATATTCCTACAAAGTGCCGTCAATACATGCCCACATAGCTAAAGAAAAAGAAGAAGGGAAATGGTTTACCTTTTTAAAAATGGAGTTTTCACATCCTGAACATCTCCGGTATCACGTTCCCAAGTGAGATAATTTGATATATACTTATTATATGCTTTGTCATGTTCTAGTTTTTGTTTATCTAAGAGTTGAATGGTAGTCTTGCGGGTATGTTTATCCTATAGACTATTATTTAATATTGTCTTTATAAACAAACGCCACACTTACGAAAATAATATTATATACATCGTCTTCAGACGATTCATTATGTACGCCTTCTGATCTCGGTCTCAATATCTCATTGGATTTTTTATCCAACACAATCGTTTGGATCTACAAGACAGCATGAGTCTCTTTCTTTTTGCTTGTTATCTATTACAAACCTGCTTTATAAAAAAGTGAAGTACTTTATCAATAGTAAATGTGATATATGCATCAATACCAAATATATATCTTGCATTTTCCTCAAAGGTGGCTTGATCTATTTCATTATCCAAGAATTTTTCAATGTGTTCTAATAATGCATGATAACATCCCTTGGATAAATCGATATCTATTCAATACATCATATAAGCAATAATTCAAAGGTGGAAATAAAGTCGTAATATTACCTTCATAACGATTAGAATACAAATCTAGTTCAACGGCTGTCTGATTCAATTTTTTTTGTAATCGTCGAGGATTCTCGTCACTCAATAACTTGAGTTTATGAAGTCGTTCGTAAAGTATTTGGAATAATCGGAAGAAGCAATATACATGTATGTTACAAAGGAAATGACCGTCGCTTGAGTTATCCTTTACATCACATCGAGGACAAGTCAGTTTTATAATTTGTGTCTGTACATCCACTTGTTGGCTCGTTTTATCTATGATCTCGTCATCATTAGGCATTGGTAACTCTTCCTGATGTTCTTCGTCCGTCTGCTCTTCCTCTGATGGTTCCTCTTCTTCGTCTTCAGTGAAATAAGCAAATTGTTCTCTTGTCAACAGATCCTGGTCAAACTGGAAAAAGCTAGGTATAAAAGTGCACAGAAAACTGCGTATTTTTCGTTTATCGCGTTTTGTAAATCCATTCTGTCGCCTGAGATAAAACAAAACGAGTCGCACCATATCCTTAATCACAGTGCAGTCAGAAGGTTCAAACTTAAATTGCTTATGCTGTTCAACTTCTGCCATCATTGCTTTGACCGATAATGACTTACGATCATTGCTCTTGAACGTGTTGCCTTGATAATCTAATGACTTATAAAAATTCTTGCTGTCCTGCTCACGCCATTGCTTATTCCATTCTCTCTGAATTCGCTTCCACTCTTCGTCCTTTTGTTTCAGTCGCTTCAATAACACAGGTACGACAGCAGCTGGTCGACTGTAGATCAAGTCAAGGATCTCCAGCGCTGTTTCTCGATCATATATCTTTTTGATAATTCGTTCATAAATAGACACAGTTTGTCCACCCAGTCCAGGTTTGAGCTGAAATGTGTCTTTTTCTTCGTCCGTCATTGCTTCTATTCTTTGAGCGATGGGCTCCAATAGAGCAATGATATTTAAATTAGCTTCGATATTCAAATCAAAATCATATCTATTGTAATGTTGAGTGAATTGTATAAATTCGGATTGTAATTACCTTTCTTCTTCACATCGATGCATTGCTTCTTCATAAGGGTTCTTTTTGGACGCCGTGAATCCGCTATCTTCACTTGCCCATCGAGGGTGCGATACGTATTCATCGTTCAATACCTCCCAACAGAGCTGATCCCTGCCTGAACAAGGTTGATTCTGCCACTCTTTGGGCACAATGCGATAGCTTGGGCTTTCTTCTACAGCTTCACAGTGATTTAGATCAGGCTTGACAGCAGAATAGCCAGGCTTTTCGATTGTCTTTTCCTTTGATTCATAACCAAGAACGTGTTTGAAAGCATCTAAAAGCTCTTGATCTAGGAAAGGCTCAACGTGTTGTATGAGTTGATCTGCATCAAGGATATGAAGGGTATACAAATGAATGATTTTGAGAAACTCGTCATGAGAGGGCTTATTGCCAATGTACTTTTTAATTCGATCAAAGAGTTCGGTTTCTTCTGTAGAAACAGATGGTTTTAATGGATCAAAAGGAGGATCCCGTTGCTGTGGTCGTAACAATGGTTGTTGTTGTTGTTGTTGTTGTTGTTGTTGCTGTTGTTGAAGTTGATATTGTTTTGATTTCTTTGTGACCTATTATTTATAAGTTACATTGTTTTATAAAAGTAATATTCAATAATAATTACATAAGTCTTTCTCTTTTTTGTATAAACAGGCATTGCCTGTGTTTGCATCACACGCTTAAATCCTCGTGATTCCTGCACTTCTGGTAAAAACTGCTTAAACTCTTCTAAAAGATCGTCATGTCCAGCAAATAAATATTGAATGTTCGCGTAGACTTCATGAATTGTCTTTAGATCTTTCTGATAGGTCTGTAATACTTCCAAGAATTGCTTATAAATTTCTGGTTGATGTGTAAATCGAGTCTGGCAATAGTTGAGACATCAGAGGAATATTCTTACATGTTTGAAACTTACCTTGATACGATTGACATAGTTGATAGCATGATTGAATTCAAGAGGACGCTTTTCGTTATATGGACTTGTCGTGATCACCGTTGTGTTATCGACCGAACACTCAATGCGATAACCCACAGGTAGAAATGTATTAAAGCCAGAAATCAATGTAGGATGCCCTCTGAACAAGTTGGATACACGCTCGATAACACCAGGGGTATCAATACTATTTACGTTTGTTAAAGAACTTTCTTTTCCTTTGGAGTATCCAACTTACGCTTGGCTCTTAAAGTCTTTCATAATATCTAAGAATTGATTATATACATTAGGTTTGTCAGAAAAACGACCTTTCACTTGGTCAAGGTAGGCTAAGGCATCAACTACGTTGAGTGGTCGATAGTTGTTATTAGGTGACGGAGGCCGTCGCTGTTGTGGCTGTGGTGGTGGTTGTGGCGGCAGAGTGGAATAAGTATTATCATATATGAGCATATTAGAAGGAGGAGGTAAGTAAGGTGTCTCTAGTACTGAAGGAAAAGAAGAAGAAGAGGAAGAGGAGGAAGTAGTACTTGAGAGTGTAGGTCTAGTGATTGGTCAATTCTCTTTATAATGATCTTGTCTTGTTTTTTATATACCTTGATAAAGGGGTTATAGAATCACTAGGAAGAGGAGTAGAAGCAGTTGCCGTAGTGGAAGAAGTGTTGGCTGTGTTATTTACAGGTGTTTGTAAAGACATGGATTATATGTGTAAAAAAAGAATAAATATTTTAATTTTTATCTTCTCTCTGTCCTTTTTCCCCTTTTCCCTTATCTGTGTTTAAAATTGATTTGTTAATACAAAAGATAAACAGTGTAAGCAAGATTAAGATGTTACAAATAAGATCGCCTTGTATAAAATCATTCTATAATCACAGAACAAGAAACATACTGTGAAATTACACTAAGGCTTATCAAAAGGAACGCATATAAAAAGATAGTGTAAGTTTGAGAAATTGAACATTTGTGACATGTTACACTCTTTAATTGCAATTAGTCTCTTCATTTCTCTCTCTTTTTTTCTCTCTTTTTTATTTTTATTGAATAATGTTATCTTCACCTAGTTCACCTACAACAATACACCAAGATACTATACCTCCTCCATGGAATCACGCGTTATTGACTAGTTACAAAAAAAATTATCCAAATAAAACTACTCCAAGTGAGTGATGATCACTGTTATAAACCAAGTCAAGTTGACCTTTTCTTCTAGTCTACTTGCCCATGTCCAACATGAGACGATCTGGAGATATTTCAATGCATTGCCTCTCATTCAAAGGATTTCTTAAAGATTATCATTTGCAATACTTCAAGTTTTTATTAGCCATGAATGATCATACCTTGATGGGTGATATTAAATCAGACAGGAACGGTAGAATCACTTGGTAAATGATTCATTTTTGTTCTTGACTTCGAGTGACGCTAAATCAAATCAGGATCATGCCTTTTACTCAAGAATATTATCTATTCAAAGGCAAGTTTTATATCGCCTCTTCACCTAATCAGGTTACTCGATATCCACCTCCTAAGGTACCAGAAGATGATGACTATTGGGAAAACCAGCGTATACAGTTATGGAATGAGTTAAATGATAAAACAAAAGTCACCTTTACTTGGCCTTCAAGAGGGGATCGACCGAGATCAGCAGATATTTCGATGGAGATAAAGAATATGGATATTGCTATGGATAATCTATGTTTGCTGATCTACAAGGTGACTGAGGTTGAACATTTGGATTATTCAATATTTCCACCTAAAAGAATGGTAATAGTGTATCTATGGCAACTGCATCTTTAATCATTTTCTTTTTCTATTTGACAGGTTTATACCCTTTCAAGCAAATCCAACGATTGGAAAGTCGAAACAGCTAATCCATAAAATGAACCTTTTGTTACTGTGTTGTCTATTCTTTTTCATTGGTCGAAAATAAAGAGCCTCATTCAGGGCATTAGCGTGTAACCTAACGTATTTCTTTTCTCTCAATGGATGATATTGTCTACAACATCACTCAGCAGTGGTTAACTACTTTAAAATCACGTATTCAATACAATAACAAGCCTTTTCTGAAAAAGCTGGAAAGCTTTGGTAGTGGAGTATTTAAATACGAGGATCCAGTCTTGTTGGTAAAGATTATATTTATACTAAAGGGCCTTATACATACTCTCAAACTCAGGAAAGAGCGTTGGACCTGATACCTATTCAACGATTTTATGACGAAGCAGACCCTGAAAATTGTCTGGAAGATACTATTATTAAAAAGCTACTTTACTGGTTTAAGAATGAGTTTTTTACTTGGGTCAATAGTCCACCATGTGAACATTGCAATGTAAGATTTTATTAAAAAACAAGACATTCACAAACTCAACTTGGCATAGAAAGAAACTCGGTCGGAATCTATTGTTATGCCAACACCCGAAGAGCGACGATACGATGCATATAGAGTAGAAACCTATCGTTGTACAGCCTGTTTTAAAATATCACGGTTTCCTAGATACAAGTAAAAAAATATATAAAATTGCTCATCAGCGAGTAACTGATCAACGAGAGGATAGTGACCCAGGGAAATTACTGGAAACAAGACGCGGCCGTTGCGGAGAATGGGCCAATGTGAGTATATTGCTCTATGCTTATAATGCGTATTTATCATTTCTTCAAGTGCTTTACACTCTGTTGTAGAGCTGTAGGAGCTGAGGCTCGCATTGTTTATGATTCAACAGATCATGTCTGGACAGAAGTTTATTCAGAATTTGAACAACGATGGATTCATTGCGATGCATGTGAAGATGCTTGGGATAGAGTAAAGAAACTATATGTAATTTCTTGGATAAATTCTAACTTTGATTCCGGGCTGATTGATAGCCTTTACTGTACAGTCTCGGTTGGGGCAAGAAATTAAGTTATTGTATTGCATTTTCAACTGTAGAAGCTTTAGATGTCACCAAGCGGTACACGAGGGATTGGCCAGTCGTTTTACAAAGACGTAAACAAGTGCGTGAAATCGAGCTGGCATTGGTAAACAGTTGTAAATGAAATAATACTAAGAGCTAAGAGTGTTTATAGTTCTTGGATGATTTGACTCAGATAAGGCAGCAATCGTTTAGCTTGGAAAAGAAAAAAGAGTTGAATCAAAGGAGAGTAAGGGAACTATTGGAATTGGAAGAAATGAGTGCAAAAAGAATGATAAAAGAGGATGAACTCGTGGGTAGACAGAGTGGTAGGGTTTTTTTGTTTCTTGTTTCTGCTTTTGCCTAATCTGATTAATTACATCAAGGTTCCGCAGAATGGAGACAGATGCGTGGTGAACAAGGAAATGATTTAAAAAAGGAAACACGCTCTCTTCACAAATTTACCCTACTTGGCTCTTGTAGACAATTGGATTCAACCATCATTCGTCTAACGGACAACACGACAGATCAAACAGGTGCTTTTTATCATCCAGAATCAGTTGATCTTACAGATATAAAAGGCATTGAAGTTGAGTTTGCTTTGCGAATCATTGGTAATGGCGCCGATGGTTTGGCATTTGTGGTTCAAACGGTTAGTAAAGACGTTTTGGGAGAAGGTGGTTGTCAGTTAGGTTACGGAGGTATCAAACAGTGTGTGGCTGTTGAGTTTGATACATACCAAAGGTAAATTTTTGTTGTAAAAATTGCCTGTGTGTTCTAACCCCCCGTTCTTATAGTTCTGATAGATGTGCAGATCCCTCAGGGAACCATATTAGTGTCCATGCTCGAAAGCCGCCATTCCCAAACTCCGCTCATCATGATTACTCGCTCGGCCATACGTCTTCTATTCTGCCCTTGGCTACAGGGCAATGGATTCACATAAAGGTACAGCTTGATCGTGATGGAGTTCAAGTCGGTTTGAGGGATAAAAATCAGTATATTCAAGTATTGGATGTTTGCCTAAATACACTAGACTATTTAAACTACCCACATTCTAAGCAGGCATGGATAGGGTTCACAGCCAGTACAGGTGGTTTAGCACAGATACATGATGTACAGTTGACACAACTAAATGTTTATTATAAATAAACTGACTATATATATGCATATATATATATCTTCACCCCTTTACTTACTCCGTTTTACTGCATTCAACAACCCCCCTCTTTTATATAAGCTCCTTACTTGTATATAAATAAGGAGAGCGATATATAAATCTTCTTTTTCTTTTTCTTTTTGTAGTGTACATATAGACAAGTCTAATGAAAATATATGCTAGCTTATCATTACTATTGCTTGCTCTAATTTTAGTAAATGCAGAGCAATCTATTTATATCAAACGAGGTAAGAATAAAAGAGAGAGAAAAAAATAGAATCATGACTCATAAATAGTAGCTGACGAAATAGGTAAAATTTGAGAGTCTTTGTAATACATGTATTGATACTTCTTTTTATTCAAAGCTGCACAGACATCTTCTGGAGCAGTCGCTGGCCAACAACAGCCGACACCAACAGCAACTATGACAGCGCCCAATACAGCCATGGGCACAGCAGCAACAGGAGCACCTGTGTCGATGTCGAACAGTACACAGATCAACGCTACACAGTCAGTCAATAATGCTAATCCATTTGTGGGCAAGCCAACGTCTGCCTCATTCTCAAATGATATTCCACCTGCCTACCTTACGTGGAAAAAGCCGATTCCGAACCAGACGTTTCCTCCGCTTTACAAGATTGGTGTATCCAACATTACGTTTGAATGGACTGTCGATCCCAATGCTCTCAAGGTACAACCTGCCAATCTGACTGTTGCCCTAGCAAATCCTCAAAAGCAAACATATACCGCAGCCATTGTACCAGGTACAGCTACCTCAGCTCACTGGGATATAGCTCATTTACCTGCCAGCTCACCCCTGATGGTGGGATACTATACCGTTTGGGTATATGACCAACGAGGACCAAAAGCGTTTCCTAGTCCTGGTTGGCTTATGCCTGATTCCAGATTAGTTGTGGCAATGTATTCGACGGAAGCTTATGTTGGTCGAACAGACTGTAAGTTTC